ATGCTTATATCCATGATTGATTAGTTGGTACATTAGTGGTGGATTCTAGGCTATAGTTCTCATCATCATTGTATTCATAATAATTCAATTCTTTGTTAGTCGTTACTAGTACTTGTTTACTTTCCTCGCCGAAGTTTGTTTTTGGTTCAATATCTAATCAAAACTCATTTTCGCGTATGTGTGTTGGTGTATTTTCTAGCCAGTTCTTGCATATTAGGGCAATACATACATTAGTTACAACTGTCTCTGTGGAATTGTTGTGAAATTATTGCAAGCGAAAATCCGCACAAGTAATATAGGGATAAGTGAAGTGTCGTTCCCACGAAGATTGTAATTTTCGATTATGATTTATGCAAAAGTTTATTTGAACAATTGATTAAGAAGATTGATTGATTTAACTAAACTAAAATAGTTATGAAAATAGCAATTTAATTAGGGTGGTGATTTTCCCACTTCCCTTTTGTCCACTTACACTCCCTTTTGTTTTTAATGGTTTTTACTATAGCAAAAAAGGAAGTGTAAGTGGATAAAAGAGGAGCGGGAAAATCAGTTCTCTTTAATTAACGATGGAAAATTAAGTTGGTGAGACACTAGAGCATCCGATTTCACCATAACCAATTCCACTTAATTCTTATAGCCAATTACCCTTAATTACTGCTCATGTTGACAGTTGGTTTCTACTAATTCATTCAATATCCCCTCTTGAGTTTAACCAAAAGTATTCTTAATTAACAGTCTATTCTCTCTCGAGTAACGTATTTAGAAAATCAAGAACCCATTAAATTCTATGAGAACCTGCAAGAAAACTGCATGAATCATGTTAGTCCTTCTCGGGCACTCATTCAAGACATGGTATTTGTTACAAGAAGCAAACACCAAACATCTCCTCTCGGTGTTCGTTTGGATCATCAATTAAATATTAGCTAGATATTTAAGGCATTAAGAACAGTAACAAATACTCAACATGGAATAGTAATAAAAAATTAATATAACTATAAAAATTAAGTATTCATGGCTAGGCTACATCGTAGCCCTAGCAAGAGAAATTAGTTCATGATAAAGGAAAAGATAAACAAAAGAATTGTTGTCATAAAGATGATTTGGCAGATGGATTTGATCTCTAGATTCTCCACATCAACACCTCCGTAAGCATCGCGATAGCAACTCTTGGCTTTCTCTCTATGATATATTTGTGAGTGTGTTAAAGTTGTATATGAGAAGATGATGGCTCTGGCTCTTGGGTTAAAGTTTTATATTTATAGGCCAATGGAATCCTCTAAAAATAAGGAATATATATTTTAGAGAGTATTTAGGAAATATATGAATAATAGGAATAATGGGAAAGTCCCAATTGGAAAAGGAGAAAAGGAGTGGCTGAGGCTCTTTTAATTCTTTTACAAGTCTACGGCTGCACTTCTCCTATTAGCTGAGAGAAAAAGTGATGTGGCAAAGAAAGCTCAGCCATGTAATATTGAATCTCATGATTAATAAAGCCCAACCATGTAATATTGAATCTCATGATTAATAAAGCCTAGTCGTTGCTTGCCAACACTTCATTCTATGACAACTCCTCCTCTAGTTCCTCAACTTGCATCACAAACACTCCAACATACAAAGAAGAAAGCATGCAGATGCCTAGCCAACATTTGGCTTGGAACCTCCGCCTAGTCTTTCACATGCTCACAATAACACCTTAGCCCTTTATCAAATGGGATGGTAAAAGCTGAAGTCTTGCTAAAGCATCCGCCAACACACTTACACAAATAAACACAGCCCAACCAACACGCCTTCTTCAGCTCCACCAATTAAATACACGTGGGTTTTCTCCAATTTCAACAGTTGCAAACGATTTTAGTTTCAAAATTGATGGTAAACTTCTTTAACTCTATCTTTCTGGCGCTAGTCACTAGTTGTGGGTATAGCACAGATGCATTCCAGGTGTTTGATGAAATGACCAAGTGAGTTTTTGAGAGTTCGTTAAGTTGATAATTCCACCCATTTTGCTCCCTTAAGCTTCCGAAATTATTGTTTTTGCTCCATAGCCTTGCTAGGACCGATTGCCTACAAAATCCTCACAACTAACCAATTTCACACAAAAATAATGCAATTAGAGATAGATTATATATGCAAAATATGAATATATCAAACTACCTCAAACCTATCTTTGCTAGTCCTTGAGCAAAATTAGAAACAAAAACAAAAACAAAACAGAAAGCTAACTAAACCACTTTTGCAGGGAATCTCGATGGCACTTAGCATGTGTCACAAGCCGTTAAACCTTTAAGTGTCCCTAGTAGGAGGAGTTGTGTCTCCTATTACCAGTTATGATACCCACAAACATTTTACTACAAAACAAAGTCGTTAAAGACACCGCTTTAAACAAGCTAATAAAAACCGATGCATGCAAATAACATTTAAATCACTAAAGTTATGCCACTTTGAGTAAATTGCATCATGGTGTAACATGTAATACCAAAACCCATAACATCAAAGCTTAAAAACAACTACACTCGAACTCCATGGAATTATTTCGCCTTGACTCTAATCCTCACTGGATATCCCTCTATGATTTTCTCTTGGAATCCTAAGCTTACACTCAAATGTCACATATGTGTATGAAGTTATGTAATGTCCATCAAATATTAACACATATGCTTAGCTTGAAGAATGGAAATTTCTGAAAATAATGTCTCATAAAAAGAATTGAATACTAAGAACTAGAATACATACATCACCACCAAGCAAGATTTCTCAAAAGATTAGTTAGGTCTTTTACTTCGGTTGTAATGAAAATCTAGGCTCAAGGTAAGAAAGAAAGGAACGAAATAACAAAAACTGCGAACATACCAAATCATTTTTCACAATCACATACATGGCCAGCACTTTTTGAACTTTTTGTAATACTCAGCGTCCAGGAATTGTGCAACTTTCCTACTCCATTTGGAGTGATTTGAACTTTTATTCTTTTGAATTGCAAATTTATTTATTTATTTTATTTATTTATTTATATTTGCAATTTTGCACAAACACCTTTGTACACGCCAATTCTTTGGTATAGAGCTCAACCTTCTTACTTTCATCACTTTCACACATCCTAAGCTATAAGATATGGCTTAGAAATAGGTTGTATAGGTTATAGATAATAAGGGTGGTGAAAAAAAGGCTAAGTGTTTGGTCACAAAGGGGTTAATGACACTCACAAAAGGGTAGGATGAAAGGTCTTTTAGTGGGTGAAACATGCGTAGCCTAACATCATCTCTCATGGTCCATCCAACTTGGAAGTGACGTACCTACAAAAACAAGAAAATTCTTTAGTATCCAATACAAACCTAAAGAGAGAAATCTAATTAAGAACAAAATCAAAGAGTGTTTAACAGTAGAAACAATAAAACCCCTCTCAAAGAATGGATTTTGGCTCAATATCTCACAAGGGTAGTCTTCACTAATATTCCAAAGTCATTCGAATTCGAGCATAGCAACTTTGTCCACCAAAATATTACGAGTATGGTATTGTGAAGTGCAAAAATTATAATGCTATAACCCTTCATGGAAACACGCTAGTAAAGCATTCATGATCAAAACATGGCATATACATCTCTATTAGCAAGAAAAAGTGATAGTTTTAACTAGAATTCACATTTCGGTAAAACTGCTTCCTTTCAATAATGACCTAAGATCAGTTTTCAGTGACTATCTCACAAAGTACTGCATGAAATTTGGCAAGCCTTATATGCTCAAAAAATAGACAAAAATGTGCAGAACTTTTATTTAGAAAATATTCCGATAAACAAAATGGAACTGCATGAAAATTAACATTGAAAATAGATAACAATGCAAATCACATAAAAACTTCAGTTCTAGACCCCTGTTTAGAAGAAAAAAAAGCTGTAACTTCCAAATGAAAATTCAAAAATTATGAGCCTTATATGGCTGGATTCAACACAAAAAATTAAAGAAGTTAACGTGAGCCAAATCATCAAATACGATACAAATGAAAACAATTTCAATAAAACATAAACACCAATGTTTTGCATGACTCGAAAAAGACTACAAATGGAAATTTTTTTTAAATAAAATGATGTTACCCACCTCAAACCTAAACCAAACATTGTCCTCAATGTTTAAAAAGAAAATTAAAGCAAGGACAAGGAATAGTAAAATGAATGAACATGAGAAATACACAAACGAAAATTAAAAAGATAAGGAATGAAAGTATACAAGCGCTTAGTTTAGAGTCAATAGCCCGACTTTTGGATGTATTTACTTGATCATCGAGGAGGACGGTGGTCTCCTCCTCAAGAAATGAAGCTGCCACATATGGTTTTAGTAGATGACCATTAACTTTGAAAGTTGAACTGTCACGATCATTCTTGATTTCTATTGTCCCATAAGGATACACTGTTAACACTGTGAATGGCCCGGACCAACGAGAGTGAAGTTTCCCAATAAAGAGTTTCAACTGTGAGTTGTAAAGGAGAATGTTTTGACCCACATAAAATTCTTTCTTCAAGATGTGCTTGTTATGCCAGTTCTTTGTACGGTCATTGTAAATTTTTACATTTTCATACGATTCATTCTGAAGTTCCTCTAACTCATTCAATTACGACTTCCTCTTCTAACCCACCGAACTCATGTCAAAATTGAGCATTTTAATAGCCCAAAATGCTTTTGGATCCAATTTCACAAGAAGGAGGCATGCTTTCTTAAAAACAAGTCTATATGATGACATCCCAATTGGCATCTTGAACGCCATCCTATAAGCCCATAGTGCATCATTCAATTTCAATGACCAATCTTTCCTAGATGCATTCACCGTCTTTTCCAAGATTTTCTTCAATTCCCTATTCAAAACTTCAACTTGCCCACTAGTTTGCGGATGGTAGGGAGTGGAAACTTTGTGGGTAATGCCATATTTTGCAAGAAGAGACTTGAAATTGACGATTGCAAAAGTGAGTACCATAGCACGCGGGACACCAAACCTTGTGAAAATATTTTTTTCGTACAAATTTAACCACAACCTTGGTGTCATTAGTGGGTAGTCGTTTCAACCCATTTGGATACATAATCCATTGCAACCAAAATATACAAATTCCCACAGAATGCTGGAAACAGACCTACGAAGTAAATATACCCCAAATATCAACAATTCTACCTCCAGAATATTGTTCAAGGGCATTTGGTTTCTACCAAAGATATTTCCCGTAAGTTGGCAAGGATCACACCTCGCAACAAAGTCTTGAGCATATTTAAACAAAGTAGGTTAGAAAAACCCAGATTGTAGAACCTTGGCCACAGTCTTGGAAGCACCATAATGGCCTCCACAAGCCAAAGTGTGACAATGCAATAATATGTCAACCATCTCTGTATGAGGTACACATCTTCGTATAACTTGATAAGGACCGTCCTTCCACAAATATGGGTGCTCCCAATAGTAATGTTTAACCAAAGATAGGAATTTCTTTTCTGATAAAAGGACATATCAAGGGGAAGAATATCACAAGCTAGATAATTGATGAAGTCTGCATATCATCAGTGATGAATTCTTTCTCAGAATTGATGGAAAATAGTTGCTCGTCAGGGAATGTCTCTAGGATGGGTGCAACATCTTTTATAGCTTCATCCTCATGGAGTAGCCAAGAGAGGTGATCAACCACTGCTAGGGGTGGGCATAGTCCAGTTCGGACCGATTTTTGCCTCAAATTAAAACCGAATTCGGTACTATTCATTCAATTTCGTTCGGTTCGATTGTAACAAAAAAGATTCAAAAATTGTCCGGTTCAGGTTGAATCGATTTCGGTTTGGTTTCGATTCGGTTCGATTTTGAACCATATTATTAAAATTATATTTTTATTTTTTTGACTTGAAAATTAATAAATTATTTAATTTCATATACAAATAAATATTAAAGCTAGAAAAGAGAGATGTTTTGAAATTGAACTTGGATAAATATTAGTTATGAGATTAAAAACCATTGAATTTTGAAGACATTGAATCGGATCCAAAACCATCCAAACCGGTCCGGTTCGGTTTTTGAAATGTTGTTGACTTTTTGGTCAACTCGATTTTTTTCGGTGCTGTTCGGCTCGGATTTCCAGTTTGCCGGTTTGAATGCCCACCCCTAACCACCACGTTCTCATACTTTTTTTTTATCTCGAATTTCAATATCAAACTCTTGAAGCAATAAAACTCATCGAATTATTCTCCAGTTTGCTTCCTTTTTGGCGAGCAAAAATTTCAAAGCCGCATGATCTGTATAAACAATTACATTTGCACCCAATAAGTAAGAACAAAATTTATCCAATGCGAATATCAGAATAAAATTTATCCAATGTGAATACCATTGCTAACAATTCCTTTTCTGTAGTGGCTTAATTTAACTACACATCATTCAACGTACAACTCGCATAGTGAATCACATGTAGTAATTTATTATTCCTTTAATCCAAGACCGCTCCGATAGTATAATCACTTGCATCACACATAATCTCGAATGGTAATTCCTAGCCAGGTGCAATAATGACTGGTGCAATGGTGAGCTTCTCCTTCAATAAATTAAATGCCTCCAAACATTCCGAATCAAAGTTGAATTCGGCATCCTTTAATAGCAACTTGCAAGGAGGCTTTGTAATTTTCTAGAAATCCTTAATAAATTGACGATAAAACCCAGCATGTCCTAAGAAGCTTCGAATTCCTTTCAGTGTAAAAGGGGGGTGGCAGGTTTTCTATGGTCTCAATTTTTGCACAGTCAACCTCAATACCTCTGGCTGAAATTTTTGCCCCAACACAATCCCTTCTTGTACCATAAAATTGCATTTTCCCAATTGAAAACTAAATTGGTTTCTTCACATTTGCCACCACTAATGCCAAATTATCCAAACAAGAATCAAAATATGAACCTAAAATTAAAAAGTCATTCATAAATATCTCAATAAATCGTTCCATGTCAGAGAAATTACTCATCATGCAACGCTAAAAAGTGGCAGGAGCGTAACATAACCCAAAAGGCATACAATGATAGGCAAAAGTGCCAAATGGAAATGTGAATGTCATTCTTTCTTGGTCTTCAAGCACAATAGGGATTTGATTATAACCTGAGTACCCATCTAGAAAATAGTAATAAAGTGTGCTTAGCAAGTCTTTCTAGCATCAGATTAATAAAAGCCAACGAGAAGTGATCTTTTATGGTTGCAGGATTCAATCTCATATAATCTAAGAAAAATTATGTTTATTTGAGACATTGTGCATTTTTGTTTGGGTTTTAATACCTAGAAAAGAATTGTTATTTTGGATTATGCCAAAGAGGAGGCCCAGATTCGTTGGCTCTGTCTAAATTATAAAGGTAAAATACAATTTTACCCTTTTGTTTTAAAATCATATTTCAGCCTCTCTCTCTCCTCTTCCTTATTCACTCCAGCGATGAGGATGCCCTCTTCTCTCCATTGACGATACGACGCCCTCTCTTTCTCCTCTTCCTTCTTCGCTCAATCAACGACGACGACACCCGCTCTCTCTCCTCTTCCTTATTTGCTCCATCGACAACGACACCCTCTCTCTCATCTTCCTTCTTTTCATACGAAGCTCTGTTTTTCATCTAGTGAGGTATGTGTTTTCTAGATCAGATTCTTATTTCAATTTTGTAGATCTGTTAGGCTAGCTTATATGGATCTAACAATAGATCCGTTCTTTCAATTTTCTAGATCAGATTCTTCTCAAGCGAAGTTTCTGTATCTATTGATTTATTAAGACTATATGGATCTAACAATTCGTTAGGCCAGCCTTGTCATTGGTGTGGGGTGAAATGATTTGGCTTTAATTCACATTTATAAATAAGTTTTGAACTCTGCTTGATTGCCTGAACGGAAGGTTTGGACATACATCCTTAATTCTTGATAATTTTTCATTTTCATTAGTATAACGTTCTAATATTGGTCTCATAGAACTTTTGAGATTGAAGAGATTGCAAATTGTAACAATGTAGTTGGTAGGAATTAAACTATTTTTTTAGGTGAAATACTATTGTTCCATGTTCTGAATTTTCCTCTTAGAAAAGCATTAGTCTGATTACATAGAATACTCTTTAAAGATCCCAATTACATCACTGTATGAAAATTCCTCCTTGAGAGTGCCCTCTACATTTGTGTAACGGAAATATTGAACTAATACTAAATTATTACAACATTAGGCATTATTTTTTGCTCCATCAAGCTGCTTTTTTGATTTGTCATGCAATGTTGTTTGATTCCTTTGGTTGCTGAATTTGCTTTGTGCATGACATGTTAGGTTGGCTCATATTATTCATCTTTGTTATTGGTGGCTTCTAGACCTCCAACCCCTGGTGTTCTTAGTTGAGGGATTGGTCTGGAAGGTTTTTCTAGTGTCTTGGCTGGTCTATGGAGTATTGGAACAGGCTCCTCAAGTTTAACTGAAAATGTGCATAGACTAGCTGCCACTAAGATGTGAAGTCGTGGAGCTGTTGAATTGGGCGTATGCATTTTGATTGTCTTATCCCTTGTCGGTAAGTGTTTGTTAAGCTTCTGTTTTCAATTGCAACAATGAGCCAGTAACAACACAAATATGGTATTTTCTATCATTTTTAGTGCATGCTTATATCATTTTGTTATAGCATGATACTACTAGTATTGATACAAGTATCTGTACAATTACTATTTCGACATTAGTTTCTTTTATGGTTGGGCATACTAGCATTTTAGTTTGAATATCTAAAATGGCAAGTTTATCCATTTGGTTTTGGTTATTTGAAGATTGCAATTGCTCAGATTATTTCTTTGTGGCTTGGGTAATATATCATCCTCAATCTTCTTTATTCAATTTTTGGGATTACCATTTCCTTATTCTCCAGTTATTTAGCCTTTACTGGTTCTTGTGAAATTTAATTGTTTACATATGTTGTTTCTCTACTGCTGAAAAATATGCATAAGGTTTGCCTATTCATTTCAAGAAGAGTTAGAGGCACATGATGGTTGGGGATTGTGATTTTCATGAAATACTACTCTCCGAGCATTTTTTGATGAACTATTTCTCTTTTTTTTGTTTTATTTTTCTTCCTAAAGTATACAATAATGCACGTGGGGTGTGACCCTCAGTGGTTAGTTTTGCTTTTTCCTTGGCCTTCAACCTTACCAACTGCAATGCAATTTTTTTTTATAAGAAACTGCATTCTTATGAAATTTAATTGTTTACATATGTTGTTTCTCTACTACTGAAAAATATGCATAAGGTTTGCCTATTCATTTCAAGAAGAGTTAGAAGCACATGATGGTTGAGGATTGTGATTTCCATGAAATACTACTCTCCGAGCATTTTTTGATGAACTATTTCTCTTGTTTTTTCGTTTTATTTTTCTTTCTAAAGTATACAATAATGCACATGGGGTGTGACCCTTAGTGGTTAGTTTTGCTCTTTCCTTGACCTTCAACCTTACCAACTGCAATGCAATTTTTTTTATAAGAAACTGCAGTGCAGTTTCTTGTTCCATATTTTGATTTTAGAATAATTTTTCCAAGTCTATGGGAATGCTACAACTGCTCATCGACTTAAATATGTTTTAAACTTATTTTTAGTACTTTGATCATGGCTTTGCCTTTTGGTTTCTTTTCACATTTGAGCTTTTTTTTTCCATAAACTGCACTGCAGTTTTTGTTGCAGTTTCCTGTTCCATATTTCGATTTTGCAAGTCTATGGGAATGTTACAACTGCTCATCGACTTAAATGTGTTTTGAACTTAGTTTTATTGATCATGGCTTTAACTTTTGGTTTCTTTGCAAATTTGAGCAGATTTTTTGTCATAAAATGCATTGCAGTTTCCGTTTGTTGCTATTTTTTATAAGAAACTGCATTGCAGTTTCCTGTTCCATATTTCGATTTTAAATAATTTTTCCAAGTCTATGTGAATGTTACAATTACTTATCTACTTGTGTGTGTTTTGAACTTAGTTTAAGTATTTTGATCATGACTTTGCCTTTTGGTTTCTTTTCACATTTGAGGTTTTTTTTAATTTATAAACTGAACTGAAGTTTTTGTTAGTTGCAGTTTTTGATAAGAAACTGCATTACAGTTTCTTTTTCCATATTTCGATTTTAGAATAATTTTTCCAAGTCTATGGGAATGCTATAACTGCTTATTGACTTAAATATGTTTTAAACTTAGTTTTAGTATTTTGATAATGGCTTTGTTTTCTTTGCAAAGTTGAGCAGATGTTTTGTCATAAAATGCACTGCAGTTTATGTTTGTTACAGTTTTTTATCAGAAACTGCAATCAGTTTCTTGTTTCATAATTCAATATGAGAATAATTTTTCCAAGTCTATGGGAATGTTACAACTGTTCATCTATTTATACATGTTTTGAACTTAGTTTTAGTACTTTGATCATGGATTTGCCTTTTGATTTCTTTTCACATTGAGAAATTTTTTTTTCATAAACTGCACTTGCAGTTTCCGTTTGTTGCAGTTTTTTTTATTAGAAACTACAGTGCAGTTTCCTGTTCCAATTATGTTTGTTGCATCCTGTTCTAAGATTATATAACAATCAACAATTTTTGTTTTTGTGGTTGTTTTTGTTTTTTATATAATATAATTGATATCTACATTGTATTTTTGTTATGGTTTCTGTTTTTATTTGCAGTTTTTGTGTGAATAAATGTTGAAATGATTTTTATTTTATTTTAAAAAAAAACTGTTAATTGGTATATAAATATTGTATAACTGAATAAATATTACAAAATCAAGTTTGGTGTAGTGGTTTGTGAGTCATCCTTCCTCTTTTAAGGGTCAAGATTCGAGTCCCTTCAATGACATAAAATCCTTTTTTTTAAAGGTGAATAAAGGGCAACGGAGTTGGCCCCCTACAGGCGGTGGTGGCGGAGGCGGTTGGCTGGCGGTGGAGGCGGTGGTGCCCAGCGGCAGGTGCCCAGCGGAGGGTGGCCGGAGGTGGTGGCCGACGATAGTGGCCGGTAGTGGTGGCTAGCGAAGGGTGGCTGGCTGCAGGTGGCAGTGGTGGTGGCTAGATATGGACTTGTGGCATAGTATGCTTGTCTTAGGAGTGCCATTGTGTGTAATTTTGATATTTTTGTAAAATTAGGTACTATATTTGGTATTTATATCAGACATGACATAACCATAGTCATCATAAGATTCATTTGAATTAGTATTAGGTCTAGTTCCTATGCTCATAGATCCAAAACTAATCGTCATGTCCTATTCAGATGGATTAGAGGTATGTGGGCAGTGGACTATACATAGATTCTTCATATTAATAAATTATAGGGTTATGGGCAAGGATTAGTTATTTTTAGGTTTCAATTTGCTTCAATTGCCTTCAAAACTTCTGATTATTTTTTGGTTTATGTTATGGGTATTGGGAAATATCGGGGATATTGACAAAATATCAGGGATATCGCACTTATTGGGGATATATCGTCGATACAAGGGAAGATATGGCCTTACCCCCCAATATCGGTGTCGACAGTTGAAAATACCAATATATCGACAAATATATCGGTGTATCGGCCAATATTTCAATTCTTGGCATGAACCACTTCTTTCATGTTGGGGTTCAATTGGTGTTAATATTCCACGGATGGCTTATGCTCCTCTTCCATTAGTATTCGGTGCATACACATAGAAGAGCTAATACCTTTGATGTCAGCGATCGTCTACCCAATTGTAGTTTTATGTTTTCGCAAAACCCATAACACTTTTTCTTCTTCAGTTTCACTCAAATTTGCAGCAATAATAACTGGTAAAGTTTCATAAGTTCCCAAATATGCATACCTCAAATGCATTGGCAATGGTTTCAGAGTGCCGCTCTTAGTGGTTCGAACTGATTCCTTCGCCTCGAGTTGTACGGTTGTGATGCATCCAAGGCATATTCAACAACCATTGGATTGTCATTTCGGGAGGTAGCAGCATGGAACAATGTAGATTCCAATGAATGGCTCAGATTCTCCTTTTCAAATGTGTCAGAAGCAATTTCATCAACTAATTCTATGCGAAAACAATCCTCCACTTTTCTTGGAAATTTCATTGCTTTCAAAAACATTGAATGTCGTTTTTTCATCCTAACTCTTAAAGTTAGTAACCCTTTTTCTATGTCAATTAGATAGCGTGAAGTAATCAGGAATAGGCGGCCCAAAATTAGTTGTGTGTCAGAATCTTCTTCCATATTCGAAACCAAAAAATCTGCTGAAAATATGAGTGTATCAACCTTTACTAGAACAGCTTCAATAATTCCATCTGGATATTTGATTGATCTGTCTGCCATTTGCAAAGAAACAATAATGGGTTTAATTTCATCAATACCAATCCGTTTAGCAACAGATGAAGATAGTAAGTTAATGAAATCACATAAAGCTCTTTCAAAGAAATTATTTCTAATAGTGCATAAAATTTTAAAACGCCCTCTATCTTTTTGCTTTGGTGGAAGCTTTTGTTGTAAGATGGCACTGCACTTTCTAGTCAGTTGGATTTTCTCGTGCTCGCCAAATGTCCTTTTCTTCGAGGGGATGTCTTTCTTGAATTTTGCATAACTTGGCATTTGTTCCAAAGCTTCGGCTAAGGGATATATGCAACTTTTTGAACATCTCCAAGAGTTTCAAAAATTGCCCATCAAATTTATTTTTCCTCAACCTCTACGGAAAAGGAATTGGTGGGACATGTGGCTTCAATGGAGGAGAAGGAATCGGTATAGAATTTCTTCTTCTTGGGATTTTTCGGTGGTGGCTTGTGGGGTGGTGAGTGGCAATTTAGCTGCAAGTTCTTCTTCTGCCACAGACTTCTCGGCTTCTTTCTCTTTTTCATATTTTTCTCTTTTCAAGTCGATTGATGTATTTACTTACTTCCCTTTCCGAAGAGTGATTGCCTTTGCTTGTTCTTGATTTTTTATGTTAACTTTGGGTTGGCTCTACAATACTCATTGGTTTCCCCTACTCATTACATTAGTTAGTTGGCCTACTTGCACCTCCAAATTCCGAATAGAAGCATTCTGATTTTAAAGATCGGTTTTTGTTTTGGTTATATGTTTTGTGTTTGTTAGATTCAGGGGAGTAGCAATATGTTTTGTGTTTGTTAGATTCAGGGGGAGAATATATTCTGTAGATCTTTTAAAATCTTTTGCGAATATATCTTTTGTGCTTCACTGGTAGTTTGTTCTTGTGCAGATAAATGCAATCTTTTGGAACGGCAATTAGTTCTTTTTCATTGGGAATTTTGTCTAGAAAATGCCAAAGGGGGAGATTGAAAGTGTATTTTTAGTTGGTTATTTTCTAGCAAATGTAAAGAGTCTGTAAGTTGGTTATTCCTAGATAAGGAAAATGTTTAAATAAGGAAGAGGTGTAAAGTCTATACAAATCTGCATAGAGTCTTAAATAAGGAAGAGGTTTAGATAAGGCCAATCTCTTTGTTTATTAGGTAAAAGAGTTAACCTAGTATATAAAAGGTTGGGCTGTAATTTTTTCTTTTTGGACCTCCATTTTGCACTCTAATCAAATCATGAGATTGTTTTATAAGATCAAGGGAGAGAGATAAAAGGCTATTAGGTTCTTAGATTTATCTAGGTGATAGTCTAAGAGCATAACATATCATTCATTCATCATGGAACGTTGTGGAAGCTTTGCTTGTGAGGAAGATCAACCTGCGTGAATTGGTGTTCATCTAAGAGAAAGTGAAGAGAACATGTTCGTACAAAACAAGAGTATTTGATCAATCTTCTTTTGTAGTGTAAGAAAGTATCAATTGAGTCTTATATATGTCCTTAAGTTTTTAGCGAAATTGGCTATGTGCCTTGAGGTTTTTCTCTCATGTGTGGAGGGTTTTTTCCTAGTGCAAGATTTCGTACAAATACTTTGTCTTTGTTTATTTTCTCAGTTTGTTGTATTTTGATTTTTTGCTGTGTAGTACAAGGATTGAATCACATATCAATCCTGCATATTGCATTTTAACATTGATCCATCCAGGTTTACAATTACACAATTTAAACAAACATTAAACATTCCAACTAGTCTCAGTTGTTCTATTTGAACAAGCGGTAGATTTCATTCCTACTTTTTGCCACAACGCCTGTTGGATAAAAGAAAATAACATAATAAATTAAAATAAATACATCATAAAAATAAAACAAGCAATTATTATATATAAAAAAATGTGCATACATGTGGGACACATTACCATAACCACTATTATCACCATCACCAGTGTTAGAAGTGCTTTCCTGAATTCTATTGCTGCTTCCATTTCAATGTCTCGCGTGATGGTTAAATCGATGTGGTTTCCCATATTCTGTGCACAATTTCAAACATCACGTGCTACCTGGCGCTGACAATGACGGGCATCCTTTATGTGATTATTGGCACGAATAAGTTCTGAGATTCTAGCCATTCGTAGAGAGAGTGTGTGTGTGTGTGTGTGTGTGTGTGTGTGTGTGTGAGAGAGAGAGAGAGAGAGGAGAGAGAGAGAGAGACAGACAGACAGACAGACAGACAGAGACAGAGAGACAGAGAGACAGAGAGATAGAGAGACAGAGAGAGACAGAGAGAGATTTTCTGTTTATTTCAATATTATGTATGGGCTCTCCCTTTGTGTTAGCTATGCCCAAACCTTTTAATAAGCGCCGTTTCTAACACTGTAGTAAAACAACAACAATTATTATATTACTAATATACTTATAGAATCATAATTAAAATAGGAACATAAGTCCTATTTTCACGAGACACAAAAACTATATCATTTTTATCTTTTTGAATTATAAAATGTAAAAATATTAAAACTGAACATATTCATTAAATTGGAGAAATATAGTAAATATGTTTCGTCTATATGTTGCTCGATAAATATGTGTGTTGTCACTATTGCATGTTATTAAGGTTTTGATTTTGAATCAAGAGACTGAGGTTATGGTGTCATACTAGTACACTCACAACATAATAGAGGGGTGGTTTGAAACGTGATTAAATGATTATAGTTATATGATTAATCACCTCTCCACCATATTTACCGTGGTAGACGTTTGATGGTAAACCATCACTTCTACGACACTCACAAATGAGGAAAGTAACACCACCAATCTAACCACAACAAGGAAGCAAGGAAAACAAAATACCTTATTCTCAGCAACTGAATATTCAAGCCAAGTGAATTGGCCACTTTTTATTAAATCGACGAAAGTCCCACCCTTCTAAGTGACTTGGATAATCTTCTAACTCGGGTTGACATGATCCAAAAAGAATATATGCTCTTCGCACATTGTTCATTCACAGGATATTTGCATATTAAATGACGTAATCCTGGATCATGCTCAAGATAATTGATATTAAAATCATGATCATCATCAACTCTTTGAGATTCAACTCTTTCAACTGGAGGCTCCACAATGGGAGACTCAGGAAGATTTTGCTCATCACATATTGGAGTAGATAAAGAAGTGTTAGAAGCCAATGTACTAGAGATGACCCATAATTCTTTTTCTTAAAAAAAGACAACAAATTTTTTGTTCTCTTGGGATTTCGATTGTGATTCAACAAAATAAAAGATATCCTAAGAATAATATGTAGAAATTTTTTTAATCAAACATACCAACAAAAAATAAAACAAATTCCCATAATAGCATCTCAACAATATCAAACAAAAAATTATAATTCATCCATAATTAAACCCTAGAATACTCAATTTTAATAAAATCTCAAATTAAAGCCTTATAATAATTCATCCCTAATCAAAGCCCTAATTAATTTAAAGGTAAACTGCCGAATACCCCCCTGAACTATATCGACTGTCAAAATGTCCACCATGAATTATTTTTTCAACCAATCATCCATAATTAAACCCTAGAATACTCAATTTTGAAAAAATCTCAAATTAAAGCCTTATAATAATTCATCCCTAATCAAAGCCCTAATTAATTTAAGGGTAAACTGCCGAATACCCCCCTGAACTATATCGACTGTCAAAATGTCCACAATGAATTATTTTTTCAGCCAATTTAACCATCGAATTATTTTAATGGTCAATTTAGCCCCTGCCATTAGTTTTCATCTAATTTTCTGTCTAAATGTCACATGTTAGGCACGTGACTCACTGTTGAATTTAAATTTAATTTTTTTTTAAGTTTAAAATAATTAAATTGTTAAAACTACAAAATTGGAAAGAAAAAAAAAAGGAAAAGGAAGGAGCAGAGCTTGACGACATTGGGGCTTTTATCGCTAAGAATTTGACGATTACGAATGGATGGGGCTAGAGGGAGCTTGGCAGATAAGACTTTTCCCAAGATTTGTATATGGGAATCTGATGGGGAAGCTGAGGATATTTACTTGTGATATTATCGATGATGTGGAGGCTTCGATGTTCTACAGTGGCACAGGTTTCTGGCGAGCCCAAGATGCCTGGCCATACCATATCAAAAGGGCATTAGAACTGCTATTTGATGCTCAATCTTCAACTGGGTATTAGGTACTTTTTCTGATTTTTCAATTTTACAAGTCGTGGAGTGATTTTTTGCTTAAGGGTTTTCTTTATCAATGGAGGTTGGTGTTTGATGTGTTTTTGGTTTTTAGATACTGTATTGGGAAGCATACTTCGATAGTGAGAGATCTTAAACCCAGTAATTTCAATCCCAAAGAGAAGTTATGGACCAGGTTTCCACAGGAAGGATAGAAGAAAGGAGAGAGAGAGAGAGAGAGAGAGAGAGAGAGAGAGAGAAGAAGAAGGAAAAGGAAAAATTTTTTTTTTTTTTTTTTTTTTTTTTTTTAAAGAAAGAGTGAAGAAATCATGATTTCACATTTTCTTTATTATTTTTTGGTATTGTTCTTGTAAAATGACAAACTTACCCTTATAATTAACATAAAATTGGATGGAAGTCTAAAAAGTTGACGACAAGGAATAAATTGACCATTTAAAATAATTCGATGGCTAAATTGGCTGAAAAAATAATTCAGGGTGAACATTTCAATAGTCGATATAGTTCAGGGAGGTATTCGGCAGTTTACCATTAATTTAAACAAAATCTCAAAATTATAATTCATCCCTAACTAAAACTAGAATACTCAATTTTAAATAAAAACTATAATTAAAGATATATAGCAAATGAGATAATGAGAATAATACCTTGTTGGTGACAAAATAAGAGGAGAAGATGTTGTTACTAAGTTGCCCACACACATAGATAATAGAAGATGTAGTCAATAGAGAGAGAATTCAAACAAAAAAAAAAAAAAAAAAAAAAAAAAAAAAGAAAACTTGCTACTGTCTGGTAGCAGAGAGAGAGAGAGAGAGAGAGATAAGAAGTCTGAGGCCATCTCCAACCCACCCTGGCAAAACCCAAAATTTGGGTTTTTTAGCCGAAAACCTCTCCAACCCTTGTATAGGAGTAGGCTAAAATTTCCACAAACTGATTTTTGGGGCCAAATAGCAGCCTGTGTTTCAGTCGGATTGATAATTTAGTGGAGTTGACACCAATATATGATGCAGCCCATGTGAAGCACCTACAGCAAGGGGCTCGCGTTGTCAGGACACATGGCGTGCTGGGATGAAGGGTTGTAGGAATCCAATGGGTTCCTTCAAACTACTGTTTCTTTCCTTTCCAATTTAATTTCAAAGGTTATATAATATCTAACGGCTAAGATTTAATATGAGCAAATCCAACTATAAAAAACAATTTTCAGAAAATTATATTATGTTTTGGATTTTTTAGATTAAAATATTCAGAAAATTAATTTATCAAAGTTGAAACAACAATAATGCGGAGAAAAAATAACGAGAAAAAAAAAATTAAGGATTAACCTTTTTAAAACAATTTAATAAAGTTGCGAACTCAAATTATGAGTCTGCATGGTTGGAGAAAAAAACTTTTTGAGTCCGGTCAATACATGAATAGTTGTATTTTGAAGGGGAGAAATTTGAGTTGCCCCATTTGGGTTAGAGATGGCCTAAGAGCATCTCCAGCGCGAAGCCCAGCCCGGGGGAAAGGCTGCCAGAGGCAGCCCGAGACAGCTCCAGCGCAGGGCCCGTAGCCCGGTTTGGTGGTGGGTCCCACGTGCCCGAGCAAGCCCAAGGGCAAGTCTTGCCCGGGCTGAAGCCCGAGTTGGCTGACGTCAGCGCTGGCGTCACGCTGACGTCAGCGCACAGTAAAACATTTTTTTTTTTTTTGTTGCCAAAAAAATTCAAAAAAAATTCGAAAAAATTCTGAAAAATTCTGAATTTTTTTTTTAAATACCAAAAAATTATGTATTTTTTCCCTATAAATACCTAACCATTTTATTCACTTTCTACACCAAATCTTCATAAAAACTCATCTCCTTCCAATTATTTTTCACATTTCACAACATCTAAAATCAACTGGTGGAAAAAAAAAAAAAAAAAAAAAAAAAAAAAAAAAAAAAAAAAAAAAAAATTTATTCAATTTAATGCCTTTATATATATATATATATATATATATTTCTTGCATTTCCAATTTCTTTTTTTTTAATAGATTAGTCAAGGCAAAACCAAAAATGTTATTCGAAAAATTTTATCCAAAAATTTTATTTGAAAATTTTATTCGAAAAATGTTATCTTAAATTTTAAATGAAAATTTTATAATAAATAGTGACACGTGACAACCGAAAATATAATCTAAAAAGCTTATCAAAATTAATAGTTTAAAGTATAAACAAATAGGAAATAAAGTACAATGAATAGTAATTGCCTTAGACTTCTCCTAGACTTTGCCCTCATGGGTGGAACCACAAATGCAAAGGCTGATACTATTTACGTGAATAGTGGCAGCCCTTGCTTGCCCTTGCCTTAGACTTAGCCCTTGTGGGTGGAGATGCTCTAATAGCCAAAGAGGAGAGAAGAATCACAGGACCGCATGGATGGGCAATATATGGGTAGGTTTGTTTTTAATTTTTTTAATTTTTGGGCTGGGCTTATAACCCATGTAGGTTTTTTTTTGTTTTTTGAAAATTTTTGGGCTGGGCAAGCACCCAGCCTGCCCTGTGCACAGCCCCGCCACTCGCAGCTCAAAGCATACAAGCAGTGCTGCTAGGGTTTCTCAGTTAGGCTACCATGGCGATAGATAGCGGAACCAAGGAGCAGTCGCACAAGGAACATCGGTCCAGGCAGTCGGGGGCCAAGGCCGACAAGAAGAAGCGTGACACTTCCCAAAATGGGAAGAAGCAAAACCCTAAAGCATTTGCTTTTAGCTCAACTGTGAAAGCCAAGCGTCTTCAATCTCGCTCGGTCGAGAAAGAGCAGCGCAGGCTTCATGTCCCAACCATTGATCGTTCCTATGGCGAACAACCTCCATATGTTGTTCTGGTGCATGGACCTCCCAAGGTATATACAGTATATCTAGTCAGTGCAATAACTTACCTGCATCTCACTCAAACTGTTGTTAATTTGTTCACACTAATATTTTTTTTGTTCAATTCCTTATTGTTGATTTCTAGGTTGGCAAGTCTTTGTTAATTAAGTCGCTTGTAAAGCATTATACCAAACATAATTTACCAGAGGTTCGAGGCCCGATTACCATTGTTTCAGGTGCCATGCTTCATGTTTTTCTGATATTGCAATAATTTGATTTAATTTAATATTAGGTTGAGCACTGTTCGTTAAATGCTTGATTGATTGCTTGTGTTAGGGAAGCAAAGGCGGGTACAGTTTGTGGAGTGCCCAAATGATATCAATGGTATGATTGATGCTGCAAAGTTTGCTGATTTAGCATTGCTTCTCATAGATGGAAGCTACGGTTTTGAAATGGTGAGACTTGAGACAATTAATTTTGTTATTTTTTCTTCTACTGTTTCCACGTGGATGGCTTAAACTTAAATGGAAATCCTGACGCTAACAAAATGTTGTACCCGTTTGTTTGTTAAAAATGTCTATGAATTTAACTCCTGTCATACATATCAAACAAACACACATGCTCGTGTGCAGGCACAACACCCACACTCATAGATTTCATTATTATGTATCGGGAGATGACTCTGCTCGAATATTTATTTGGTGGATGTTCTGGATTTCTTGATACATTCTTTATTGGTCTGATTTCTTTTTCAAGGATTTATTGGTCTGATCCCATTTTTCATCAATATGATGTCAAGACATTTATATTATAATATTGTATTGCCTTAATTTCCTTTTACAGGAGACATTTGAATTCCTGAATATATTGCAAGTTCATGGGTTTCCAAAGGTTATGGGAGTTCTTACTCACCTTGATAAGTTTAAAGATGTAAAGAAATTGAAGAAAACAAAGCAACACCTCAAACATCGTTTCTGGACTGAAATATATGATGGAGCTAAATTGTTTTATTTATCTGGTCTCATTCATGGAAAGTAAGTAGCCACTTTCTGCACTGGATGATGCAGTCCCTTGTGAAAGTTGACAACTATTATGAGTTGAATTTTTATTTTATTAACTATGTTCCCCCTGGTTTGATGAACAGGTATGTCAAACGTGAAATTCACAATCTGGCACGTTTCATATCTGTTATGAAGTTCCATCCTTTATCTTGGCGAACTGCTCATCCATATGTTTTAGTAGATCGTTTTGAAGATGTGACTCCTCCTGAAAAAGTGCGTTTGAATAATAAATGTGATAGAAATGTCACACTGTATGGTTATTTGCGGGGCTGTAACATGAAAAAAGGAACAAAGGTACGTGTTTGACTTATAAAGTTCTTGTCTTATTGCCTTTAGAAATCTATGTATTACAAATGAGTTTAATTGGAAGAAAATACCATAACTCAGGTCTATGTACGGAGAGTTCCTTTAATGCTCCCCATGAATTCCAAATGCAGGGATGAAGCCAGAAAATTCTTTTAGTGGGCAACTCCAAACAATAAAATTAGATTAAAAAAATGTACGACAAAAGAGTTAAAAACTTAAGGGTAATTGATTCATAATAATTTTCATGCAGTACACATACAGTTGTCCCCAATATATATGTCTTCTTGTTATCAAAGCATCCTAAGAAAATTTTCAGTTGAATATATTTCGGAGAACATATAAATAAATAAACAAGTTTGAATAAAAAAATTGTGAAATTGTGACATCAATAATGGGTTAATTATATATAATTGTAATAGCATATTAAAGATGTAAAGAACAATCCATGAAGGATGAAAAAAGGAAACCATTTTAGAATGTGAGCATCCAACCTAGAACCAATTGGCAATGGGTCTAGAGGCCCAAAATAATTTAAACTATTAAGTCAATGCTTACATTTCCTGTTGGATAATACTCTCAGCATGTGGAAAGAGAGGAAAGCTTTGACATCCTTCTAACAAATTAGGCTTTGTCGTGACTTTTAGAAGCCGATCTTTAAGTGAAAAGCTCCTTCAAATTTAGTAGTTAAGATGACTCACATTTTCGGGTTGGTAACTTGGTGCTGCGTCTGTAATAGTCCCCTCTCTGCTAAAATAAAGAAGAAAGAATACATTGGATTATATGATTCATAGATGCATTATCTTGATGTTTATTATTAAATGATATATTGTTGCCTGATTTACGTTGTGTATCAGATTCATATTGCAGGTGTTGGGGATTACAATTTAGCTGGTATGACAGGCTTAGCTGATCCTTGCCCTTTACCCTCAGCTGCCAAAAAGAAGGGACTGCGTGATAAGGAAAAACTGTTTTACGCACCCATGTCTGGACTTGGGGATCTCCTGTATGATAAAGATGCTGTCTACATAAACATAAATGACCACTTTGTCCAGTTTTCCAACGTTGATGAAAAGGGCGAAGCAACAAATGAAGGTCCAATTTATTATTATTTATTTTTAATTTATAATTTTAAAAATTTGTTTTCTTATTCATATTGTGTATGTGGGTGGCATGTTTGAAGCATTTGATATTCAGTTCATTTATTATTTCATTAATAGTGTTATTTTTTTTATGTTTTTTTTTTTTTTTTTTAAATCACTTAGACATCTTTGAGTTTTCCTTATGTAGGAAAAGTTTCTATTTTGCAACTGCCACCAATTTCAAAACTTGATACTCATGTTCCCGTGTAACAGGAAAGCACCAAGATGTGGGTGTGGCTTTGGTAAAATCTCTTCAGAACACAAAATATTCAGTTGATGAAAAGTTAGAGGAGAGCTTCATTAATCTATTAGTCGGAAGCCTAATTTATTGTCAAATGCTCAAAGTGATGGAAAAGATACCTATGAATCTAGAGAAGAGATCCGTATGATAGAGCCCTTAGAGGAATATCAGTCTGGGGAAGCAATCAAAGGTGATGGTTCTGCTAAAGAAAGCAATGCGGAGGATTCTGACGGTTCAGAATCAGAATCTTCAGATAAGAATGAAGCAGCTCATAAAGATGCGTCTGATCAAGATGCTAATCTTAAAGATCACTTGAAGGAACATGTGGAGTTTCATGGTGGAAGGTCAAGGAGAAAAGTTATCTTTGGAAATGACCTTGATCATAACGATATGGAGGTGAACAAAGCTAAACTCATTATCTCTGTTGAATAGAACCATGATTTGGAGAAGAAAAAATATTTTGTTTGTGTTTGTGTGTGTGTGATGTTACAGGCAGATACTGAAGTTCACTTGTGGAGGCTCATGCACATTAAACAGCTTTGATGTGTTCGTTACTTTGGTGTTTGCATGTTCATGTTATTACTCACATGGCTTAATAGAGATATAAGATAACTTCAGTGACTATTAAATATAAACAATCTAATGTGCTTTTATATTTCTTGTTTTTTCATGTCCGATCCTCGTGGGTTACTTGCTCATGATTCACTGATGCTAAACACTAAATTTTTGCTTTTGTGGACTGTACCATCATGTGGATTCTCATTAAATGCATAATAGATGTTATAACTTTTACTACTTCTACTAGTTGTCATATCCTCTTCACCTTTCAGGTTATGAACAGTATAAGTAGTGGAAACCAGAAATGTGTATACATTGAGTGTCCATGATCTTCTTTAATATTACTCAGGTTCTATGCATATTCTTCCGTTATAGGATTCAGATTTAGAGGCTGAAGATGATGGTGATGACAACAATGATGATGATATTCAGGCATCTTCTGGTTCAGATTCAGAGGAAGATGAAGATGTTCATGAAACAGATGGTAAATTTACTCCCAATTTGCAAATTTTTTGTAGGTTGTAATATTCTTATTTTCTGAGCAAGAAGTACTCTGCTTATCTTTTGTATTAGATGCAACCTTCTCTGGTGAACGGTCTGTAATGCCAAAACCCAATATTATGTATGTTGATAAAAATTAAGTATGTATAAGAAAATGGTATATAACTGTAAATGTTATCCATCAATTGCTTACATATTTTAAATGTCTCAATTTATAGATTTTCCAGTGACTTCCCATTATCTAATTTTATCTCCCCCTTTTCTTGTGGCCTCATACTAGATGAGATAGGGAACATTGCAAAGTGGAAAGAATCTTTGGTAGAAAGGACTTCCTCAAGACAAACTATTAACCTTATGCAACTTGTATATGGGAAATCTACATCAATGCCAACAACATCTATCAATGAACATGATAGTAGTGCAGATGATGAAAGCGATGGAGATGATTTTTTTAAGCCAAAAGGAGAAGTAAACAAGGTTTGTTTGGACACAACTGGTTCATATCTCGCCGTAAGAGGCACATTCTTTTTAACATTAGAAGGATTTATGTTTCTTTCCAATCTGAAATAAATTATTGGGGTAACGTCAGAATGAGCGCTGTCATTTTATCATTTTTGTTTGTTTATTGCAGAAACATGGAGGAATAGAAGGTGGAACTTGGAATATCGAGGACTGTTCCAAATTCACAAATTATTCAAATCTCAAAGACTGGAAAGAGGAAAAGCTTAGGGAGGGTATTCGTGATCGTTTTGTTACTGGTGATTGGTCGAAAGCTTCTCAAAGAAATCAAGCCGCAGAGGCTAAAGTTGAAGATGATGATGCTGTCTATGGCGACTTTGAAGATTTAGAAACTGGTGAAAAGCATGATGTGGATCATACAAATGACGCAAGCAATGATGTAAACCACAAGGAAGATGATTTGGCTAAAGAGGAGCGGAGGCTGAAAAAGCTTGCTCTTCGTGCAAAGTTTGATGCTCAATATCCTTTTCACTCGAATATTTTATTTATGTACTTTTTCAAAGAATTACATATTGCTCTTCTACCATAACCAAGGAAGAATTTGTTGATTGTTTTTTCTTGAGTTTGGAATTGGATGAAGCCGGGATATGATCTTCATTTAAGGTTCTGGGTTGTATATTGCATTTGTCCATATATGACGTTCTAATAGTAGTTCTGTGTGTGAACATCTTTATTTTTGGTTTGGTCATATCTACTCTTTTGTATTTGTAGAGAAATTCTGAAATTACTTTTGTGCCCTTAATTTGATCTACGTTTGATGGAGCTGAGTCATCTGAAGAGGAGCTTGAGAGTAAACATGAAGGCAAGTCTGGTCGAGATCAATCCAAAGAAAGTGGCTATTTTGACAAGGTAAACTTTCTCGCATATATTTAAGATTGTTTTGCACCATACAAGGTTGTGAGAGCTCATGCCTAGTTCTTCCAGCTGAAGGATGAGATTGAACTTCGGAAGCAAATGAATATAGCTGAACTCAATGACCTGGATGACGCCACCCGATTAGAGATAGAGGGTTTCCGGACAGGGACTTACCTACGGTTGGAGGTTCATGATGTCCCTTATGAGATGGTTGAATATTTTGACCCCTGTCATCCTATTTTGGTTGGAGGAATTGGTCTTGGTGAAGAAAATGTCGGACACATGCAGGTTAGTGTACATTATAAATATTCAATATTTAATTGTTTTTGTTTTATACTAGCCTGCCTGTTGCACATGTAAGATAGCTACCATATTTTATGATATTGAATAGTCAGTGGGTGGTTGTATTTTAGTCAGGCCATTATGTTATTCATAAGGTGGTTTTAGTAACTTAGACACCAAATAAAGTTATTGGGTGAAATAGAGTGACACCCTATCAGGCGTTCACTTATATAATAGATAGATGGATAGCAATGATGTGCTATTATGTTATTAACCACTGGTGTTGCTAGCATTTATGTCATGAATGTAAAATTACATTAAATAGACTAGGGTTTAGAATATATTTACAAATTTAATAGACTTCTTTGCCATTTGAAATATACTTCAAGTTAGCACTAATGCTCTTATCAGATGGCTGGCTCCATAAATGTGGCAATTTTGTTTTGTTACATTAATTTTCCACGGGTCCCAATTAATATATTTACAATATGATAAAGCTTGAAGTGAATGAAGGCTGCTTCTCTGATAGATGCTCATGGTCCCTTATGGGCTCAATGTTCTCATATATTTGAAGAATTTTCATCTCATCTGATGTTGTGTTCCGTCTATTTCAGGCCAGGTTAAAGCGGCATAGGTGGCACAAGAAAGTACTTAAGACTAGTGATCCTATTATTGTTTCTATTGGGTGGAGGCGGTACCAAACAATACCTGTTTATGCTATTGAAGATCGCAATGGAAGACATCGCATGCTTAAGTACACTCCCGAACACATGCATTGCCTTGCAATGTTTTGGGGCCCTCTTGCCCCTCCTAATACTGGTGTGGTTGCTTTCCAGAATTTATCAAACAATCAGGTTTGACAAGTTTCCTTTCCTTTATTTTTTTCTTCTCTCTTTATGTTTCTTACATCTCTTCGAAATTTTTAGGATTAGCAAAGGGAAAGTTTTGAATTTTTTCCATTTAAGATTTATCTAATGAGGACTAAGTTGAGGATTAAACTTTAGGATCACATATGAGGCCCACCTTTCAATGTGGTGCCATGATTTGAACCATGCATTTTATGGGTTCTCTTCCAAAAATATTCCCTACAAAAAATATCTAAATCAAAAGATTGTTTAGTTATTTAATTGTGTGATCTAATATACAGAAAAACACAATGTGTCTGATCATGCAATGATAAATGATATTCAAATAGATTAATCATTTATGATATGGCTGATTTTTTTTTTTCCAGATATGAGCTTGAAAATGAACGGTTTGAAACATGGAATATTTCTGTAAATATTCAGAATTCGAAAATCTTTATTGTCTAACTTGTGTTAGATCTGACTAACTCAGATCAATAGATTCTTACTGTATATTGGGACATAAGGGCATGAAAATGACATGCCCTCTATTTTTTAAATTTTTTCATGAATAGGGCTGCATCAGGCTTTAGCTTCTGAAGGATGAAAAATGAGAGCTTTGAACAGCTCACTAGGAGCTTAAATTCATTTTTGTCAGTGGCGTTGAGCTCCTGATGCTTATTTAAGAATTAAACATTAGCACCTTTCTCCTGTGTGCATAAATTGCTAATGTGTAAAGAATTATTTTTAAATATTGGACCTTTGTACATCTGATGGCCATTAAATAGCATAAGCATCCTATGCGCATTACCTTTATTCATGTGCTTAGGAGAACGATGCAAGGTCAGTCTTTAGGAAATATGGAGCCCTGTGCAAAAATACAAAATGCGGCTCTTTTAAACCTCCACACAAAAAGACCACAATTTTTGTTGACATGTTTTGGTATCATACTTTAACAAAACAATGAACAAGATAATTTAATGTAAAGGCAAAGGGTTAAATTAAGGAATCAAAGTTCAACTTAAAATTGACGCGCACACACACACACAAAATGACCCAAAAAATGGCTAGCACGCCACAATCGCTGAGCACCTTGGCTTTCTTCTGTTTTGTATGTCTCTTTATAAGGAATTTAATCCAGTTTTCTGCTCTTCATTGAGCTACAGTACATTTAGGTACATGATTTATTTATTTTTGTTTTGAAAGCGATAATCAGTAGAAAAAAAGATATGAAAAGAAGTCAGGAAGAGACGCGCATAATTTATCCTCCGTGTTTAGCTGAAGTGCTGGTTATGCTAGTGTCTTTCTTGTAAAATACAATTTTTAGTTAACCAGCCTAGACTTTGAAGTTGGACTGCATTGGTGTGTACAAACTGCTTACCAACATCAGGTGGCTTTGAATGTTTAGTTTGGATTTGATCCTTGTGATAACAATGTATTTCATGTAAGTAGATTTTGTGGAGACCACTTTGTAGATCGATAATGTGTTTCCTTTTATTGCTTAAATTCTATATTGTGTGTGTGTTTTATTTTTTTATTTATATTTTGCTTAGTGGGTCTACTAAGCCTTTGGTAAATTAGTCTATTTTAAGTGCTCATGCCCCTCTCGTTCTGCCATCTCAAAGAAAAAAGACTAGTCATTTAAAAAAAGACCATGTGCTCGTTTATATGGCCCTTTTTGTTTAACTTTGTCAAATTTTATGCTTATACCGTGTTCTTTGTTCTTAAGCTAGTTTCTTTGGTCTGGCAGGCACAATTTAGGATCACAGCAACAGCAGTTGTGCTTGAGTTCAACCATGCATCACGAATAGTGAAGAAACTCAAACTAGTTGGTCACCCCTGCAAGATATTCAAGAACACTGCACTTGTAAAAGATATGTTCACCTCAGATCTTGAAATAGCTCGGTTTGAAGGAGCTGCTGTTCGAACTGTCAGTGGCATTCGGGGGCAGGTGAAAAAGGTATGTGCGTGTGATTTTTTTTTTGTCCATGTGGATTTTGGCAGTCGAATATTCTGGAATGATTTTCATTTCATCTTTACTCATGAGCTGGTGTTGTTACTGAGTTGTGCATACTATAGGTAACAGAAACATTTCTGATGCCTTCACTGTAATTAATGTTCTGAGCATATGGATAGGCATATTTGAATATTTCCTTATATGACCCACGATGCTAATTTAATTGAATTTTAATAATTGTAATATTGACAGGCTGCAAAAGAAGAAATTGGTAACCAGCCGAAAAAGATGGGTGGACAACCAAAAGAAGGGATTGCTAGGTGCACCTTTGAGGATAAAATTAAGATGAGTGACATTGTGTTTTTGCGTGCTTGGACCCAAGTTGAAGTTCCTCAATTTTACAACCCATTGACAACATCACTGCAACCTCGTGATAAGACCTGGCAAGGGATGAAAACTACTGCTGAATTGAGGAGAGAACATAATATTCCTATTCCTGTTAACAAAGATTCACTTTACAAGGTAATCTATGATGTGTGGGCCTCAAAGTGAGGCTGCTTACTGCAGCAGTACATGGTTTTTCTCTCAATTCTGCCCATGGAGTACTGCGTTTTTTCTTTCTTTAGTTTTTCTTGTTTTTCAATGGTATTTAATTTTTTATTTTTTTTCATTTGTTTGTGTCAACAGCCAATTGAAAGGAAGCTGAAGAAGTTCAACCCATTGGTGATTCCTAAGTCGTTGCAGGCTGCTTTGCCATTTGCATCAAAGCCTAAGGATATACCCATTAGAGGAAGGCCACTTCTTGAAAATAGAAGAGCTGTTGTCATGGAGCCTCATGAACGAAAAGTTCATGCTCTTGTTCAACATCTTCGATTAATTAGAAATGAGAAGGTATGCACCTTAAGACAAATATTCTGTTTGAACACTCGTGCCAAATGCATGATTGATGGTTAAATTTGTTGGAAAGCCAAATTGGGTATGTAACACCAATACAGAGTCACAACTTATAGGTGTTTGTTTGAATAACCGCACTATTACTTTGGAAGAGGATTACTTGAGTTTTGGCAATGGGGCTTGCATAAACACCTTTGAGGCAAACCTCAGACTATCCCTGAAGAGTGGCACCAATTTAATGTTACCCTTTCCTGGACTTGCTTTAATACTAGTGTTAGTGTATATGAATTTTAATATTCAATTTTGCTGAATTTTTTTTTCTTTCCGTTTGATGGCTTCTATATTACTGATTTTTAAGATGGCTCATACTATATCATACTCTTCACTTCACCAGGCTTTTAATTTATTTCTATTTGTACTTTTTGTAGAGAAAACTTGTAGGCCTAGTGTAGAGCGCAAACATTATGTTGGCTTTATACTAGAGCGCATATATAGCTGAAAGTATATTTCTTTATTTTTGTTTTGAAGACTCATTTGTGCAGTTTTGTGACATTTTCCGATGGAAATTTTCCTATTATTTTGAAAGTATTTTAACTTCACTTTGGCTTTTGCAGATAAAGAAGCGCAAGCTTAAGGATGATAAAAAAAGGAAAGAAATTGAAGTGCAGAAAGCCAAAGAAGAGCAGGTGTCGAAAAAGCGTCAGAGGGAAGAACGGCGGGAGAGATATCGGGAGCAAGACAAACTGAAGAAGAAAATCAGGCGAAATGCAGAGGACTGATGGATGCACAAATTTTTGCGAACTGTTTATGTGGCTTGGGGAAACTTGGTCATTGTGCTCGCCGAAAAGAAAGATAAGTGGTAGAGATACTCTAGGATTTGATACTCAGAAACATGTCCCTGATTACGGTTCCGACAGCCCCATTGAGATGAATCGACGTGTGGGAATTGTCAATGTGCAATTTTGTAGTCATAGCCTTCAACATGTATCATATGTTTGCTCTTGGCTTCTGAATAGGTGTTTTTCTGTGTACATTGGAGGGATGGGACCATGAACTTAAAATGTCATTTTATATCAGTGTCCTAATTGCTACATTTATAGAAAGTTTTAATGCAATTAAATACAAAATTTAACACATGCTAAGATTATTTAATGGTTAAATGAAATTAATTAGGGGCGTATTCAATTAAAATTTTAATAAATTTTGAAGTATTTTATTTGACTTTCATAAACTTCACATATACTTTGATTGAATTTCATAAGAATTTTGATGAAGTTTGTTGGAATCTTGTCGTAAAGTTTGATTGATTTTTAAATTTCTATAAATTTTAATGATTATTAGTTAAAATGCCTCCTAAAACTTGAGTCAAATCTCATTTGCATTCTGAAATTGGAAGTGACCCATATATCCCCTTTTATTGTGTTTTGTGTTTCACTTTGCCCCATAATGTCAACTCTATTGCTAACCTAGTCAAAATTGCTGATGTGGTAGGGATAATTTCGTCTTTTTGTGCCATATGACCTAAAAAAGTTATGAAAAATAAAATTCTCGTAAATAATTTATTTTATTTTAAAGAAAAAAAGAACCAAGAACCTCGTTCTCTACCCATACCAACCATCTCTACCTAGCCCTCACTTTAATGTCAACACCACCTCTCCACCTTCCTACACCCCCCACTGCGACCTTAGCCCACTTACCAGATCAACCCACTCCAACAATCCCCATCTCCCATCTCTCTCATTCCACGAAATCCACCCCATCCCTACAGTTGCTCCCCTCAGACAAACCCCACCACCACACAACCACCTACCTCCCCCTAATCACCTCCAGCACATTCATCCAAACCGCCCGCCCCCCCTCCCCCTTACCAGATCAAACCACTCAAACAATCCTCATCTCCCATCTCTCTCATCCCACGAAATCTACCCAATCCCCATAGCTGCCCCCTTCAAACAAACCCCACCATCGCACAACCACCTACCTCCACCTAATCACCTCCATCACATTCATCCACTAACCCTAAAACACCCCAAACCTGCCCCCTCGGGGCAGGCGCAGGCCGGGAAATCGCAACATCCAACTAATACCCCACCCCATATTACACAAACCCAACTATCCCCCACCCCTCTTCCCCAAACTTGACTTTCAAATTAAGAAGAAGAAAAGAACGAGAGAAGAAGGAAAAAAGAAAGGAAAAAAAAAGTCGACTACTAGAGAGGGAAGAGTATAACATTTTTTAACTTCTTCTAAGCATATAATAAATATCATCGTTATACAAAGATTACAGAAGAATACAACTTGCTCCAGTTGTAAGGAACATTTATTGGGTATTGGAGGTCAAGGGTCTGAAGCCCCTTGAACCACAATACTCTTTAATATTTGCATTTTTTATTTATTCTATAAATAAAGGTGGGCTCCACAACTTTCCAAGTTGACGAAATAACCCCTACCACATCAACAATTTTGGCTGGGTTAGCATAGAGTTGACGACATGGTGCAAAGTGAACGCGAAACCACTGTCAACAGAGGTATATAGGTCACTTTTAGTTTCAAGGTGCAAAGTGAAATTTGACCAAGTTTCAGGGGGCATTTTAACTAATAAGCCAATTTGAAATAACGATGGGTCATCATATTTGATGTTGGTGATGGGGTGGTGAGGATAGGCATTAATGGTGGTGGGGAGAGTGGTGGCAATGACCATGTAAAGTGGTGGCGATTGTGGCAACGGAGTTGGTGGGGGTGGGGATGGTAGTGGCGGTGGCAGTGGTGGTTGTTAAATTCCTTGAGACAAAGTTCTATTGTTATTATTATTATTTTTATTACTTTCCCTTTATCTCGTATCTTCCATGAAGGTAATAATATGGTGGTAGATGCTTTTGCTTCTCATCCGTCGCATCACATTGCCATCTCTATAATATGAGTCAATCGAGTCATACTAGCTGCCCCGCTAAGCCCATTTCTTTAAAGAAATTTTACGTAATAATATAATGGGCAAAACAACACTTGTAGTCCCTGTGGTTTCTAACTTTTATCACTAGGGTCCCTGTGGTTTCAATTTCGTTACTTTTGCCACTGTGGTTTAAGATTCCAAGCAATTTGAGGACACTTCTCAATTTCCGTCAGATCCTTTTAGTTATGTTAGGGTTTAGGATGTTGTCGTTAGTTATTGAATAAGTGGAGGGGACATTAAGGTAAAATCCCCTGTAATTCATAGCACTCGTGCCACAATGGAATAACCATCATTCTTATCTTCTAACTCCAGAGAAAGAGAACACGATGACTGGAATCCTCAAATAGAAATTAGGGATTTCTTTCTGAACTTTTAGAGTTTAATTGAAAAATTCTCATATGTGCGTAAAGTTAATCGATTGAAGGAGCCAGTTACGCAACCAAAATGACGAAGAGCATAGGAGAAGGCAGTGGAAGCTTCAACAAACCAGGTTAGAAAGAGATTGATTATTTAACTTAGTTTCAATTTGATACGGGGCCTTTCAATGGTTAAATTGTTGCTTTCAATACTTTGTTTTTTCGATTGTCTGCATATGTTATTTCTTATCCTTGATTTGTAGCCTTAACTTAGTTTCAATTTGATATAGGGGCTTTCAATGGTTAAAGTGTTTGTTGCTTTCAATGCTTTGTTTTTTCAATTGTCTGCATGTGTTATTTCTTATCCCTCATTTGTAGACGAAGAGATGCTTTTCATTAAAGTTTAGAATGAGATACTTTTCATTAGCATTCTATTATATCAATTGAGTAAGCAGGAAATTTATTGTAGCATGAAATTGTCAAGTTTTGCTGTTCAAAAAAATGTCAATTGAATAAGGCAATTTGAATCAAAATAAAGATTCTATTCCACATTCCTTGTAAATTTGGAAACCAAAAGAACTACAACATTCAATTTACACACAACAACATCCAGAATACATACACAACAACATTCAGAATACATAATAGATGGGAATGGTGCCAACGTTCAATTTTTACCAACTTCATAACCACAATCATGATCAACAACACAAAAATTAATACTAGAAATCCACAAATCAACATCAACAAATCCCTAATTCCATTAAGGGAATAAACAACAGAGTCTTCCAACTTTTTGGGCTTCTACAATTCATCTTCCAAGCAGCCATTAATGCATTCACCTCCTATCACTGATTCATTCTCTCTGCTTGCTTGATTGAATCTAATTGGTTCATCATCCCAAATAAATCCAGCACAATAAAGTGTTCCTTGCATAACACAATTTCAAAATTAATAACACAAAAACCAGATTCACCATTTATACCCAAAAATTGACAAAAATAAATTTGAACTTACATAAGATCTAGTACATTTCCAGAATCGTCTCCCACGAGTCCTATCTGTCTTGGAGATTCCCAATCTCATTTCGCCATTACAAAATTGACACCTTGGAGCTTGGCCAGAGTTCGACATCTCCCAAACTTCCCCCATATATTGCCAAATTCGAATGGGTAAAGCTGAGCCATTGTTTTAGGGTTTATAACATGGCTCGATTTGACTGTAATGCCCCTCCGTGTGAGGGGCACATGCTCAGGCCCTAACAGAACTAAAAGGAATCTAACGGAAATTGAGAAGTGTCCTCGAATTGCTTGGAATCTTAAACCACAGTGGTAAAAGTGACAAAATTGAAACCACAGGGACCTTAGTGGTAAAAGTTTGAAACCACAAGGACTACAAGTGTCGTTTTGGCTAATATAATGTAGGGGGTGATTGCAAAGTAGACTTAACTCATATTCATAGGACATGACACTTTAATGATACGCCCAAATTCATTAGGATTTTTCCTTTCCTTCTTTCCAAAAATTTTATTTTATTTTATAAATATAAGTGATAGTCTAAACTACACGGGAAGGGGGTTTTCTCAAACACACACACTACCAATCCTATGTCTTGGAGGCCCTAGGAGAACAACCTAGATAGGCCTTTCTACTTTATATGAATATTTATGTGATTTTTCTTGATAAGTTAAACAAATATTTTTTTCTAATTTATTTATGCTATAAGTGGCCTTTTATTGAGTTTCTGTTATAAATCCATATGTTATGGGTTTATAGATTATGGATGCCCACCATCATATCCACTATTAACCTATCTTAATACCCATCATTATATATTTGTAACCTACCAATTGTGGGTGGTAAATTATTTAGGCCTCTCTACCCCTATAAATAGTGCACCAAATATGAATGGAATACAAGTGGATTTGAGCAAATTATACTGTTTTTCTCTTCCTCTTATTTCTCCCTACAAATTCCCTAGTTTCACAACACGTTATCAGCACAAATGACAAAGATATTGGTCTTGCAAATAGTGCAACTACGCACACAATTCTCTTGGCATGGAAAACAATCATGGATGCTCTCGTTTTGGGAGAAATGACAAAGATATTGGTCTTGCAAATAGTGCAACTACGCACACAATTCTTCGAGATAAAAAATATTTTGAGAATTTACATTTATCAAAAGCAAAGGTAACTACCATACTAGGTTCTGCAAACCTAATTGACGGCTCTGGAAGAGCTCAAATTTTTTTACCCAATGGGACTCAATTCTCCATTGATAATGCTTTGTACTCCTTGAGATAGAGAAGAAATTTACTTCGTTTTAAGACATTTTAATGAACGGATACTATATTAAAACTAGAAAGGATCACAATGTGGAGTATCTTTACATTACCACCATTATCAACAGCCAAAGGCATATATTGGAAACACTTCCTGCTTCTCTTCTAGGTTGTATTATACAACCATCAAAGTAGTTGAAGTCCATGTTGTCATGAACCATAAGTTCATTGACTCAATGACTTTCATGCTTTGGCATGATCATCTTGGGTATCCTGGATCCACAATGATGCGTAGGATTATTTCATATTCAAATGGACATCCTTTAAAGCCTTACCGTAGTATTTTGTCCATTGACCAATCTTTGCGAAGCTTGCTCCCAAGGGAAATTGATCATGAGACAATCTCAGTCAAAACTTGGTTTTGAATGTCCATCTTTCTTACAGCGAATTCAAGGGGATACTTGTGGGCCAATTCACCCATCTTGTGGACCATTTCATTATTTTATGGTTTTAATTGATGCATCTACTAGATGGTCACACGTTTGCCTATTGTCAACTCGTAATGTTGCTTTCTCTAAGCTCCTTGCTCAAATAATTAAATTACGAGCACAATTCCTTGATTATCCAATACAGTCAATTCGACTTGATAACGCTGGTGAGTTTACCTCCCAAACTTTTGATGCCTATTGTATGTCACTTGGGAATGATGTTGAGCACCTAGTTCCCCACGTCCATACTCAAAATGGTTTAGTAGAAGCTTTTATTAAGCGTCTCCAGCTTATTGCTCACACTTTGCTATTGAAGACACAGTTTCCAAATTCTGCTTAGGGACATGCAATTTTTCATGCAGCATTTGTCCACTTAATGCCCGTTGCCCACCATCAATTCTCCTCTTTACAACTCGCCTTCGGGAGACAACCCAATATATCACATTTAAGGGTTTTTGGTTGTGTAGTATATGTGCCAATTGCACCCCACAACGCACTAAAATAGGTCCTTAACGTCGATTGAGAATTTACATTGGTTTTGATTCACCAACTATCATTCGATATCTCGAACCTATGACATGAGATACTTTTACTGCATGCTTTGCGGATTGCCACTATGATGAAACATTCTTCCTGCCGTTAGGGGGAGAAAAGACCGTTCCTAAAGAATGGCATGAATTGGGATGGAACATATCCATTATGTCTCATCTTGACCCTTGTACAACTTAAAGTGAAAATGAAGTAAGAAGGATTGTCCACCTTCAGCAAATTGCCAATCAAATGCCAGATGCATTCAATGATACAGGAAAAGGGACAAAATCACATATACCTACAGCAAATACACAAGCAAGGATTGATATCCCAATCGGATTAACCAATGTTGCAGCAAATGAATCATCAACTACAAGCTTGAAGCAAGGTAGACCCATTGGTTTGAAGGACTCAGCTCCCAGAAAGCAAAAATCGAAAGCATATTCCAATCTTAATGAAAACGCTCATGAAGATATTATTAGGAAAGAGATTCACCTTGAACCTACAATTCATCCAGAGAATTAAAGTGTCATTGAAAAGACACAAGCCACTGAAGAGGAAAAGATACCTAATACAAATTTTTGTAACTTTCGCATGCAATGATGAATTGTCTAACTGTAGTGAAATGGTTATCGATGATTTTTTTTTCTTTTGCAGTAGTTGGTGAAATTATAAAAGGTCATGAAGATATTGAACCACGATCTGTTAATGAATGCAAAGAGAGGTCTGATTGGCCAAAATGGAAAGACGCAATCCAAGTTGAGTTAAATTCCTTGGGAAAACAAGGTGTATTAGGACTGTGGTTCAAACACCCCAAGGTGTAAAACCTGTGGGATATAAATGGGTGTTCACAAGAAAGCATAATGAGAAAGATGATATTGCAATGTATAAGGCACGACTCGTTGCACAAGACTTTTCTAAAAGGCCTTGGATTGATTATGAAGAAACATATTCTCCTGTTATGGATGCAATTACGTTCCGTTATTTAATAAGTCTTGCAGTTTCAGAAAAACTTGACATGCGTCTTATGGACGTCATAACTGCATACTCGTATAGGGAGTTAGATGCTAATATTTATATGAAAGTCCTAGAAGGACTCAAGTTGGCAGAATCAAACACTAAATCACATAACATGTACTCCATTAAGTTAAGACGCTCACTATATGGGTTGAAACAATCCGGACTAATGTGGTATAACCGTCTTAGTGAATATTTGATTAAGGAAGGCTACATCAATGATCCCATATGCCCTTGTGTTTTTTTTTATAAAGAAATCAAATTCTAGATTGGCAATCGTAGAAGTGTATGTGGATGATATGAACTTAATTGGAACTCCTAAAGAGATCATTAAAACTGTTGAATCTTTAAAGTGTGAATTTGAGATGAAGGACCTTGGAAAAACTAAATATTGTCTCAACTTGCAGATCAAGCATCATCCCAACAGTATTCTTGTCCTTCAATCAACTTACGCTAAAAAAATTTTGAAGCGATTTTATATGGATAATGCCTACTCATTGAGCACTCCAATGGTAGTTCATCCATTAGACACAAATAAAGATCCATTTCATTCTAAAGAGGATGATGAAATGATACTTGGTCCAGAAGTATCATATCTTAGTGCGCTTGGTGCTTTATTATATTTTGCCCAATGTACTAGGCCAGATATTGCATTTCTATTAAATTTATTAGCCATTTATAGCTCGGCTCCAACACATAGACACTAGAATGGTGTAAAGCATATCTTGCGCTACCTTCGCAGAACAACTGATATGGGTCTGTTTTATTCAAATGAACCTTCCAACGGTCCAAATCTTGTTAGATACGTGGATTCTGGGTATCTCTCCGATCCACATAAGGGTCGCTCCAAAACTGGTTATGTTTACTTGTGGAAATACAACGATCTCATGGCGATCTACCAAACAAACTTTGGTTGCTACCTCTTCTAATCATGCTGAAATTCTTGCGCTCCATGAGGCCAATAAAGAATGTGTTTGGTTAAGATCCCTAGTTCATCATATTCGAAAAACATGTGATCTTTCTTCAACAACAAAAGCTCCGACAATCATGTATGAAGATAATGTTGCTTGTATAGCTCAAATTAAAGAAGGGTTTATCAAGGGTGACAGAACCAAACATAAACTACCAAAGTTCTTCTACCCACATGAGCTTCAGAAGCTTCAGAAGAATCAAGAGATTGAAGTCAAACAAATTCGTTCCCAAGATAACCTAGCATACCTCTTCACCAAAGCTCTTCCGAAGTATATATTTAAGAAGTTTGTATATGGTATCGGGATGCGACGACTTTACAAGCAATCAGACTGTTGAAGATCAGGGGGAGATATCAATCGAGGATACTCCTCAGTTTTACTACATTGGATGTATGTGCAATGTACTCTTTTTTCCTTCGATCAGTTTTTTATCAAATGTGGTTTTTCTTGACAAGGTTTTTAACGAGGCAACATTTAGCACGCCTAATATGATGTCATTGTATGGTGGACATCCAAGGGGGAGTGTTATAAATCCATATGTTATGGGTTTATAGGTTATGGATGCCCACCATAATAGTCACTATTAACCTCTCATAATACCTATCATTATATATTTGTAACCTACCAATTATGGGTGGTAAATGATTTAGGCCTCTTTACCCCTATAAATAGTGGCACCAAATATGAATGGAATACAAGGTGATTTGAGCAAATTATACTATCTTTCTCTTCCTCTGATTTCTCCCTACAAATTCCCTAGTTTCACAACAGTTTCCTCTTTTAGTTTTGAATTGAGTAACTGTGGGAACCAATTAAATCAAAACCCTAGGTCAAATAATTCCTTCCATTTGGGGATTATTTTACCTAATTGGGAATTACTCAACCTAATTGGGAGTTACTCAATTTAATTAGGGGTTACCCAATTAAATTGATAATTACCTAATTAAATTGAGATTTGATTTGATTCCTACCACAATTAGGGATTTGACTTACCCTAATAAATCAAATCCCTAATTAATCAAATCAATGCCAAATCGGGGAGGAATAATTCCTTACCACCTATGGAATTCCTTTGAAACCCTAGCCTCCGAGACCACTATAAAAGGATGGCCACACACAAAGGTTAAGGTACGTCTAAATTCCTACTGAAACTCTGCAGAAATTATTTCTCACAAACCCTAGCCACCACTTTCTTTCTCTCTCTTACACAAGGCTCCGGCCACCACACACGGCTCCGGCCACCACACATGGCTCCGGCCACCCGGTTTTCCTTGAAATACCCTACCTAACTTAGGCATCGGAGGGTCTTTGGCCAACACCCCCCGGGTGTGGTCCTTTTACCCAGATCTGTTTTGCAGGGAGAAAGAGAAGTGGAGAATACGAAGGAATCTTAGGCGAATATTCTAGTGGGACGAAATTTGCTCCCACACATACCACAATATAAGCCAGCATTTAGGTGTCTGCAAAATAGAATTTCATATTAAGTAATTATGTAAACTCATAGACTTGAGAAAAGAGGGGTGTCGAAGGGTGATTCTGGGTAGTTAGCGTAGGACCTTGGCAGGCCCACAACCAGAGCTTCTTCCGAGTTGGTATGGAGTTCAATGGTCCCATCTTCACAAGAATGGTCACCCAAGAGGTATTGGTGTGGCACTAGCCAAATCCTCGTAGGGAATGTTTAAGAGAGAAAGAAAATGAGAAGAGCTTCTGAATGATAAGAGTTATTATAATAGTCTGAGTCTAGGTGTCTTAGTATAGGTGAAGGGTATTCTTAGAGAGGTTGAGGGAGTAAGTTCCCTTGATTTAAGGGAGGAGGGGTGTCTAGCCATGTTGTCATAATGAAGAGGAATGGTCCTTAAGGATCGCTAGATCATCTAATTATAGGGAAGAATAGCCAAACAGCGAGGCATAGCTGAGATTAGGAATGCATTTAATTCCAACCAGGGTGTGACAATTGTCCGTGCACATGGGTTTAAAGGAATTAATGACATATAACCAAGTTCTAATTGGGCCCCGTTTGAGATTACATTTTTTTTGCTAAAAATCAGTATCACTTTAAAGTTAAGCATTTTAAGGTGTTTGGTAAAAATAAAATATGCTGATTATATTAAAAAACAACGGCCTCCTGATAGCAGCTTTTAAAAGTAGCCTCTAGGTTGCTTTTGAAAGCTACTAATTTCACAAGAAGCAGAGAATAGCCTCTATTGAATTTTTTTCAATTCCCATAATACCATAATTAATTTTTTTTAAATGACATCATCTACCACCACCACCTCCTCCTCCTCCTCCATCACCACCACCCACCTGACCACCACTCCATCACCACCACCACCTTCACCTCCACCTCCACCTCCATCACCATCATCACCACCACCTACACCTCCACCACTATCACTACCACCACCGCCATCACCACCGACCACCTCCACCTGCACCACATCCTCCACCACCACCACCACCACCTTCATTACCACTACCACTACTACCACCTCCACTACCATCAGTACCACCACCTCCTCTACCACCCGCAGAAGGTTAGGATATTTTAGATTCATTAAGCCACAAAGACGAGATTACACTTAATTTCTAGGCAACGGAAGCAAAGATTAAAACTTTGAGCTTAAAAACAAAATCTAACTCAAGTATCTTTAGGCCTAAAAGGAATAAAGCACTTAGACACCTCTATAATATTTGTTTCATCTAATCCTAGTCTTAGATGAGAGTGCTAATACCGGGATCACCAAAAACACCTCATTATGAGGAGACTACTAAACCTAGGGGTGTCATTTTAAACCGAAAAACTGAAAAACTGCAAAAACCAACCGACAATTTACCGCAATGAAACCGCAATTGCGGTAAACCGAACCGCATTTGCGGTATTAAGAATCGAACCGCATTTGCTGTTGCGGTTGTGGTATTTGATTTTCAAAACTTGCGGTTACCGCAAACCGCAAAGTCGCACGGATGATGAGGTTGAATTCTACAAGGAAATGGAACATATGACAACTTGTAAGTGATTAGTTTATTTATGCTAATGTTATTTATGCTTCTTCTTATAATAAAATGTATTAAACTATGTTGTTTTATTTGTAGATAACATTGGTGCTCAAACACAACGGGGTTCTTCAAATCCACTCACCACCAACACTTGAGTTTGTAACATTGGTGCATTGCATTTTCCTTTTAGTTTGTAACTTTAATTAACTTTGAATTGGATTTTTCTTTTTGGTTGTAACTTTAATTCATTTTGCGGTTGTGTATTTATTTATTTAGGTTGTGAATTTATATTTTTGTGAATGCTTGAGAACTTGCGGTTTTAAACCGTTAATTCGCTATAACCGACCGCATTTTGCGGTTTATCGCAAAACGTGGTCAGTTTACGGTTTCAAAAATCACCAAACCACAAATAGTTGGTCGGTTTGCAGTTTGAGTAAAAATTCGCAGTTACCGAACCGCAACCACCCCTAACTAAACCCATGTGGAAAGGGAGGATTAACTAGTCTCATGCTCACCAATGTATAAAATGCATATATTATATTGTAATACTTGTAATACTAATAACATATATTACTATTACTATTATTATTATTATTATTATTATTATTATTATTATTATTATTATATTACATTATACTATACTTACATACACATGTACTATAATGTACATATATACACATATATACACATATATATAATATATATGTATATAATATACATATACATATATACACATATATTATTATTATAATATACCCATATACACATATACATATTAATATTATAATAATAGCATACGTGTATATATGTAATATATATATTATATTATAATATACATATATACACCTATACACACATATATATACATATATAATATTATTATAATATACATATATACATGTACATACACATATATGTCATATATATATATTATATGTATATATATATATATACATATATATTATAAAATACATATATACACATACATAATATATGTATTTATACATATATACATATATATAGATAGTTTTGAAAAAAATAAAAAATATAGTCCTAGTCCAAGCATATACCAAGCACAAGATAAGTGTTATCCAACTTAGACCAAGTCAAGCCAAGCTAAGACAGTCCCTAAGCATAGTCCATGCCAAGACAGTCATGTGTAACAAACGATCCCTTGTAGTACTACCTTGAGCAAAGCTCAAGGTTGATCACCCATGGAGGGTCTTCACCAAATGATTCTCCAAAAGAGAGCCATCCAAATGTTTGGCATTTAACTTCATACACACCAAAGGAAGAGGATGGAGGAGATGAAGAACCACAAGGAGGTGGAGGTGCTAACACTACTACATTTTACACTTTGCGCGACGAAGAGAATTTTGTCGCGCAAAATACATTGTAGTCGCACAAATTTCAGCGCGACAGAAACTTCGTCGCGCAGAATCTGTTGCGCAAAGATCATGAAGAAAGACTTTGCGTGACGAAGTTTTTTCATTGGTCGCGCAAAGGGATTTTGCGCGACAAAAAAATATTTGTCGCGCAAAGTGACTTTGCGCGACGAACCATATTGGTCGCGCAAAGCGACTTTGCGCGACGAAACAACATTGGTCGCGCAAAGTTTTGTGCGACGAAAAACAACTTTGCGCGACAAAAAAATTAAATAAAAAAAATTCCCGCATCCCATTTTTGGTACCCACCCAAATTTTTAGAGTTTTGCACGACGAATACTAATGTGTCGCAAATATTTGCACGACGAAATATTTTGGTTTTTGACTTGTTTTATTATTTTTTTAATATTAATTTAATTATATTATTTATTTCGAATTTTTACTTTTAAAATTTAATTTAATTGTATGATTTTTTTTGTTACTTTAATTTAAATTGATATTAATTTAATTATATTAATTTATTCAAATTTTTACTTTTTAAATTTAATTTAATTGTACAATATTTTTAATGACTTTAATTTAAATTGACATATTCAAAATAAAATTACATATGAAAAATAGTGATCAAATTATCCAATATATATATATATATATAATATTCAAAATGTACACATAAATTAACAAAGTACAATAATAAAATCCTAATACAAGCATATTGTGGTGGTAGTGGCGGAGGATATGTTTTGATAGCTTCCTAATCCTCAACTTTAGCCGTCAAAGTCTTGATGATTCCCTACAACAACAACAAAAAAGGTCAAATAACAAAAATAACAACAACAACAACAAAAAAGGGATAATCTCCCCTAAAATTGTTATACCACAAATCCAACCCAAACTCCCATCCCTCCCCACACAAACTCAAAACTAACTCCAAAAACACATATTAATGAAAAAATTTAAAATTTGGAGAGAATATACCTTTTGGCAAGATTGAGAGTGAGTGAGAATGAGAGAGAGAAGTGAGTGTGAGAGAATTAGAGAAGATAGTGATAGAGAGATGAGAGAGTGAGTGAGAGTGAGACATAGTGATAAGAGAGATGAGAGAGTGAGAGATAGTGAAGAGAGAGATGATAGAGATTAAGTGAGAGGAGTGAGTGTGAGAGAAATTGTGGGATTTGGGGAGAGGGAAAGAGAGAGGAGAGGTAAGACATTGAGAAAATGGTGGAGGAGTTATTTTCATTTTAAAAACCGCGACGAAAAATATTGGATTATTGGTCGCTCAATGTTTTGCGCGACGAAACATATTTGTCGCACGAAGTTTTGCGTAACAAATACTGGAATATTGGTCGCGCAAAGTTTTGCGCAACGAATAATAGTATATTGGTCGCGCAAAGTAAATAAAAAATTTAAAAAAATCCCGTGTCCCATTTTTGGTACCCGCCCAAATTTTGAAATTTTTGCGCGACAAAAAATACATATTGGTCGTGCAAAGTCTAAAAAAAATCCCATTTTTGGTACCCGCCCAAATTTTTGCGCAATGAAAAATATATATTGGTCGCACAAAGTATTGAGCGACACAAAATATTGGTCGCGCAAAGTCTAAAATAAATAATTTTTTAAAATCCCATGTCCCATTTTTGGTACCCGCCCAAATTTTTAGAGTTTTGTGCGACGAAATGTTGGTCGCGCAAACTTTTGAGAGACGAAAAATTGGTTCGTAGCACGATATGTATAAAAATAATTGCTATGAATAATAAAAATGAAATTATTTTATTTTACGATTTAAAATATAAATAAGATTAAAGCTACTTAATAAATGTATATACTATTCAATTTCTTAATTGTTATACGTACAAAATAAATAAATGTAAAGCTACTTAATAAGTAAATAAATATATATATACACACACCCATTCAACGATCCAACCGTCAGACTTGTTTGTATATACTTCAAGATCGTATACCCCAAAAATTGCAAAAAACAAACATTCAGAGACCTAGTAACGGGACAAAAAATTTCAACGGTTATAAATGAAAATTCACAATTTAACGGTTATTTTAGCTCCGATTTTGATGACTTTTTACAGCTACACTCCTTGACCCTATATGAATACAATGAACTAATTCGATCATCAATTTAAAATATTTACACTAGTGGATACCACAAAATCTTATGTTATATTTAACAAAAGTATAAATAAACTCTTAATTGTTAGTGAATATATTGTTTTGATGGCATACGCATTCTATGAAACTAGTTTCAACGATCCAACCGTCAAACTTGTTTGTTTATACTTCGAGATCATATACGCCAAAAATCGGAAAAAATAAACATTCAGAGATCAAGTAATGGGACAAAACTTTTCGACGGTTATAAATGAAAAATCACCATTTAACGGTTACTTTAACTCTGATTTTGATGACTTTTTACAGCTACACTCTTTGACCCTATATGAAAACAATGAACTAATTCGATCGTCAATTTAAAAAATATATTTTCTAACAAAAAGAATTTAAAAAAGAATTTTATTTATTTTTATAAGGACTTTGAGCGACGAAGTTTATTGTTTTGTCACGCAAAGTGACTTTGCGCGAAGAATAGTTTTTCGTCGTGCAAAATTTGGTCGCTCAAGACTTTGTGCGACGATATATTGTCGTCGCGCAAGGTTTTTAGCGACGAAGTTTTGTGTTTCGTCGCGCAAAGTGACTTTGAGCGACGAATAATTTTTCGTTGTGCAAAATGTGGTCGCGCAAGGGTGATTTTTTACTAGTGTAATACCCCTCTTTGTATGGCCGGCCATGGTGGAGGGTAGGAAGAGCATGGTGTAGCCTCCTTAAACTCTCATCATCCAAAACCCTAAGATGACTCAATCCCATAGCTATGTATTTATAGGCAATAACATTTTAAGTTGGGTCACCCATGACCCATATTCAACTTAAAATGACCCATGTGTGTCATCTAAATGGGTCAAACCCATTAGCTTCACCATATGGACTAAATTTCCTTCTTATTGGGCCTTTTGGGCCTTTGTGATTATGTTGTCACATTCAACTTATGCCACATGCCCAATGGGTCCAAGCCCAATGGGCTTTGAACCTCTAAAACTAATTTTAGGCTCAATATAATTTCTGAGCCTTGATGAATTAATTAATCTCTATTAACTAATTAATCCTTGTTCATAATCTCTTAATTAATTTTTCATCTCTTACCTTTATGGGCGTGTGATCCGTTAGGTTCTAATCGGCGAGGCAGTGAGCGATTCGGGCTTTTCCTTAATTGATTGTGAATTAAAACCCCTGTTTAATTCTCCCGATTATGAGGACCTAGTTATGACATGTCCTCAGGGCATCCACAAACTGTGAGTGATGTCTAGCAACGTGTCACGGTTACTCAAGCCAATATAGAATAAGGTGGAGAACCTATTCAATTGGAATTACAATGTAATACGGTCCTTCTCTAACTCAATGCTTTTGGTCACATCATTAGGGTACGGAAAACACGTAAAGCCCCTAATTTGAACTCCAAGCTTATATGACTCATACAAGTATGATTGAAATCACAATTCTCAATCATACCTAGTGCTTCTGCCGAAGACTCCTGAATCATATCGTCATAGCATTCTCTATCTTTACTAAAGATAGAGATCCCTTGTTGTACACTCACCTGCCTCCATGGATTGATCATGAACCTCAACTATACCCTAAAGTCATGTCCTTGAGATAACCCAACTATTTAGTATGATCTAAGATCCACAACGCTTTCACAAGACAACTGTGGTGTCTCAGGTCGAGGACTAATTTTAAATTATTGCAACTATGGAGATCTTGTTTGACATATAAGTAAAACTTTCATACAAGATTTCTAGGTTGATCGCGTTTAGTGAATTCACTCTCTAATAAACACCTATACACTTATCTTAGTATCTACACAAATGACTTGAGACTAGTCATCCTCCCAATTAAGTAGATACAATGTATAATGATCTTTACAAATTGTCAGTGCCTAGTTAAACGATCCTATGCTTAAGAACTGTTTAGGGTGTGAGTTATAGGGAAATGTCTCATGAACCTAACTTCTTTAGATCGCTTTCTGCATCTCACCACCCATGGACTTGTCGTTTAGGTAAATAACTATTAATGAGACTATAACCTAAATCGACATAATTGCCCTTATAGTTTACCATAAAAGGTAATGAAATATCCTTAAAGTTACATCACATGTTTGGCTTTATGGTATATTTCCAACACCCACAACCACCGCCACCACCACAACCACCAAATCCACCTCCACCTATATTACCACTACTACCACCACCACTACCACTGCCTCCACTACCATCATTACGACGACCACCACCACACCGCCACTACCACATAGTTAGCACATAACACTTTCAATATCATGTCCATTTTAATCATTATCAACAGTTACAATAGTTTTATATTAAAATATACCAACAACATCATGTCTATTTTAGTTATTATCTACAGTTACAACAGTTTTATATTAAAATTTACCAAATGGTTTCAACATTGCTTTTTATACTAACAACACTTTAAAAATATTGTTTACCAAACATGAAATTGCTTTACTTTACAGCTCATTATTTTCAAAGCATAGCATAAGCAACTTTTTTAAAAAGTGACAACAATTGCTTACTAGCCCTAGGGGATGTTGGGCCTTACTAAAGAAGGTTCATGTTGGTTTTTCAAAGTGTTTTGGTCTATTGTTTATGCTGACTTGATCGTAAAGGGTGCGGCTGGTGAGTTAAAACATCGGGTCGATCATCAACTTGGTCAGGTATGATGGGACTAGGTGGCGAGGTCTTTGCTGAAGTGTTGTCTATGTGGCATCATGCTAATGGTCAATTGGCTCGGATCAAATTATGTCTCAACAATAGGGGTGAAATTTACAAGTCAATCCAAACTAGGGCCTCTTGTTGGACAATGTGACATATTTTGAATCACATGTTTAATTAAGAATTTATTTCATTGATTATGTGTGTAGCTTTTTCATGAATTTGTGTATGAGTTTGTAGAGTCTTATAAATTCACGTACCAATTTGAAATGACCTGTAAAATTTAGGAGGGTTTTGATGTAGTAAACTCGTAATAAAAATTACATAATGACCCAAAACATATTGTAAGAAGTGTGACAAAAATAAGAAAAGAATATGTGTAAGAAAAGAAAACCACCCTAAACATCTCCATTGATGTGACGTATGTTTCCTTTTCCACTCTACCAAATAAAACTTACATATATATATTGGAATATTACTGTAGTGATATTTCAAGTCAATAACACATTGTTCTCCGTTTTAATTGATTTTTTCATATGATTGTGTTATTGACTTGAGACATTGTTATACTTCTCCGTTGCGTTACCTCCATTGAGTGATTGAGTGATTGAGATGATGCCCATTATTTAAGCATTAGCTAATATCCCAATTAAAAACACTAATTTTGAAGGTGAAGATGTGAACAGTGAATCCTTCACATCCCGAGAATTTGAACGGTAGGAAGCATGGCATGGTACGAGGGTACAACCATGCCATCATTCTTGCTCTGTCATACGACATGACTCTCTGTACGGGAAAGCAAACCTCACCCACATTAACTATAAAAATAAAATAATAATTTCACTATACTAGTTAGGCGAAAGACCAACCACACAGAGAGTCCACTACTGTCCATTTTCCATTAAATTCCCTTTACCTCTTTTAAATAAGAAAAAGTAAATAAATATCATCTGAGGGAGATAAACAGAAATTGCAGAGATGAGAGAACCTTTTGTTTGGCTTTAAAAGGAATCTTAACTTTTCTTGAACTAGGTCACTCTCTCTCTTTCTCTCTCTCTAGATCATTGGTGACTTTCTTTCTACCTGGCTCTTGTGGGAAGTGTCAACGACACTAAATACGACGTATGTAAAGAAGAGGTAAAGAATATTTGAAATGAAATCAGAAGCAAAAATATATAAACTTTTTGTGAGAATCTCACTGGAATTTGCAGACACAATGAGTTAATTGGATTGCTAGGGTTGTTTCTCTCCTTCTGTTTCCCTCTTGGGTTTTCTAAGATTTTCTTCTTTGAATCTAGCTAGGGTTAGTTTTGAAAGGTGCTGCTGGCTCTAACACCAATTTATTCTTTTTTATGTTCTCCTTTTGCTCTTACCCAAAACCTATGATCTTTTTTCTTCTCTCTCCAGATACCATTTCTTCCCACTCTCTAATATTTCCATTTACAGAAGTACAACGCTGTCTCCACTTCGATTGATTTGATTTGCTCTAAATAATATTTTTATATTATTTGTATATTTTTATATTTGTTTGTTTTTTCTTTGTATTTCTGGGTTTAGAGGCAAGTTCTCTTTGATTTTTTTTATTTATGGTTCTTTTGTTTCTTCTATCTTTCTCTTATTTTTCCCATTTGTCCAGAAACTCACTTCCTCTTTCTAGTTTTGTTCAAATGGTTTGATTTATATGATGGGGTATCTTTAATTTCCCTTTTTTCATGCCACATTTACTCAGAATAGTTGGATCTGAAACTTCATTAATTTTATTATGCAGTCTCTCTCTCTCTCTCTCTCTCTCTCTCTCTCTCTCTCTCTCTCTCTGTATATATATATATATATAGTTTGTGTATGATCGTTTGATAATGATGAAGTGATTTTATGTGAAGGGGTTTCTGCATTTTCCTTGTAATTAAATGACGAGGAGGAAAATCCAGATCAAGAAGATCGACAACACAACGGCGAGGCAGGTGACGTTTTCGAAAAGGAGGAGAGGGCTTTTCAAGAAAGCCCAGGAGCTCTCTACTCTCTGTGATGCTGAGATTGCTCTTGTAGTCTTCTCCGCTACTGGGAAGCTCTTTGAATTCACCAGCTCCAGGTATTTTTCTTTACCATAATTCGTATAAATATACTCAAAGTACCAAAAGAATTAACATAATTATTTTTCTCTTTTTAATCTGTAGACAGTACATCCTAAGTTCATATATATATATATATATATATATATCTCTGGAAGAGATGCTGATGGGGAGAATGATAAAATAAAAATTAAATACGTACGTGGTACTATAAGCTGGTTATTTTTGTTTCGGTTGACAATGAATAAAAATTATATATCTTCATTAATCTTTCAACCAATCATCACCATGAATAGAAAAAAGGTTTAATTAGAGGAGTAATTACTATAGAAGCAGTTTAATAGAAGCAGTTTTATAGAAGCAGTTTTATAGAAGCAGTTTTTGGTCCAAAAAAAAAAATAGAAGCAGTTTAATTAATGAAGACAAGGAGTACTAAATGCTTAATTAAAACTTTTATTCTTTCTAATATTATTAATCTAAATAAACACTTCCAAAAGGTCTACAGGCAAGAGAAGGATTTGAAGTAGGAACCATATGTAAGATCATCTTTGTATTCACTGCTCTCCTCCAACTAGTGTTGTAATCTTGTATCTCTAATAGGACCACACATTAATGAAGAAGATTTGTAGACCACACATTCTATGCTCATATTTATTCATTTAATGAAGAAGATTCATAGACCACACATTCTATGCTCACATGTATTCATTTAATGAAGAAAATTCATATACTTATTAGTATTTTCATTGTGATTGGTCTTAACTCTTAAGATCATGATCATGTTTAATAACTTTAACTCATAGTAAACGATAAGCTTGTTTGGGAATGATTCCGAATAGACCGTAATCACTTCTAGGGAGAAACACTTCTCATGTGCTTCTTCATATAATCATTTTTATTGATTTTAAGTGATTCTCGGGTGGTGCTCCATATAATCATTTTAAAGTGATTCTCCATAGAAGTGCTTTTTGGTCTATCTAGAATAACTCCCAAACGAGCCTAATTTATGTTCTTATAATGATTTTATAAACCTAGCTAGACCAATCCTATATATATAATCACAATTATAGTTCTTGAAATTATATTACTTGCTAAGATTGTGACAGCTTGAATAATGTGCCAACGATCAAACTACTATATGCATGCAATCACAGTATAAAATTACAGAATTTATTACACAATACGAACATAAAATAAGCAAGTTTTCATTGAAATGCTAACTAATTAAATTTGATTTTCTTTTCATGTGTAAAGCGTGCAACAAGTAATTGAAAGGCATGACCTGCTTTCTTCCGATTTTGACAAGCTGAATCATCCATCTCTTGAGCTGCAGGTATATATGTATGATGTTGTCGATTACTACTTCTTTTTAGCAATGTCTTTCTTTGTCTTAGATGACCAAATGATATGTTTCTATATAATTTAATATTTTAAATAAATAAAAAGCAAAAACGAAACTTAAACATTTGTCGATTTAAAATCATTCCTCCATTTTTTTTTTCCTTTTGAAATCATTACAATAAAAGAGTAAATGTGGTCATTTTGTAGTAAATCAAAGATTCTAACAAGACACCTTATAACCTTGAAAACCAAGTAGTAGTACCATCCATAGAACAAACATCCTCCTTTGAACTTGACACCACCAGCTCTAAAAGATAGTGACATGTCAGTAGTACCTAGCAGATACCTCAAAACCCACTTCACTGCCACAAATCAGCATTCTCACCGCTTTCAGCAACTGTAAGAGTCCCTAACTTCTTCCCATGAGCCAGAACCAAAGCTCGTTTCGAAGCTTTTCAACAATTATTGGAGAAAGTCATTACACAGTCCTTTACTATCCAACTGACCTAAAGTGTCTAACATCATGCAATGTCCATATAGAACTGGTAGGTAGCTTGATATGCACATTACCCCTTCCCACAATGTCCAAGGGTTCATCATCAGCAAGATATACCTTCCCAAAGTTTCATTTCATATGTTTCTCCATGATTTCATGATGTGGTGAAGAATGAAATGAAGCTCCCCAATAAAAAAAAATGCACGACTCCAATGGGCTATCAACACTCAAAATTTTATTGTCCTCAATGAATCCAAAGGAGTTGGCTCCTTGTGATTCACTCTTGAACGCCCTATAGTGCTTCATATGACCGATCACAGTGACAACAACCATAGAACCACTTACCAGATATTGATTTACTTCTTCCCCTACATGGACCTCTGGATTTTGATCTAGCCAATTGATCTAGCTCTTGATCATGTATTGAGTGCAGCTTTAGGTTATTCTTTTTTGTTTTCTTTTAGTCTTATTTCTTCGCTTAGAATAATATGAAGATCCTCAGTGAATACCCTAAACCCTAAACCCTAATACATCTTAGAGAAAGCTTCCATCAATTCAGCAGAATTGTCTTCACGCACAAAACGTGAAGCCTCACCTCATTTGTGAGAGTTAACAGAATAGCCCCAAAAGCCTTAGCGTCAACCTCTTCCCAGTCTTATATTGTCATACTCTCATGCTTCTTCCTAGAAAAAGGAGATGAAATTTCCTATGCTTTAGGTAATCATCAATCAGCTATCTCCATAGCACAAATTATCTGCCCTCGAACTTGTTTACTTTCCTCTTAAGAGCCTTTAAGTTCATCTTTCCCACTCAAGCCTGAAATTTTGATATCAGTTGTTAGGAAACTGGATCATTGATCTCCCATATATAACAAGTGCAAAACAATATAAATGAGATTTAAAAATACAAAAGTAAACTACGAAAGAGTTTACAAGGTTTACTCAATATCAACTACGTGGTTGGATTGCTACGAGATTATCACTATAGAAGAAGAAAGTGAAACAATTACAAACATCAAGTGTTTTCCTCACTCACTAATTAAAGTATGAAATCGATGCTTCCGCCGATCAACTCTCACCTTTATCTCATCGGCGGGTTGCAAGATCAACGATATGGCTACCTAAAAGTCTTATTTATCAAGTAACTTTAATTAGCATTATATGGGTAGGAATGGGAAGCAAATGAGGAATCAAATCACAAGTAGGGGAAAGCAAAACATGTAATTCGTGGAGCATTTGCTCACCAAGATTAGGTGACTGGACTCAAAACAGAACCTTGAACATGTCCGAAGTTCGAATCGTTCTCTCCCCTAACAAAAAATAAAAGAAAGAATGATTAATCACATAAAAATTTCTATATAACTTCAATAAAATATAGTATACTACTTCTAGCCTAACCAGGTGGAAATAATTACTGATGATAACAACGAATGAAAATTCATCTTTGTTGGCAGTAATTTCAAAGATTATTGCGTAGTATATGAAGAGTTATCATTTGGAAAGTTTAACTATTATTAATCTAGTTTATTTAATAAGTGCATGAGTTAGCGGGATCAATGAAGAGTTTCTTTTATGAGTTAGTATTAAACTAAAGCTCTGTTTGGGAGTACTTTTGAAAGGGCTGAAAGCGCTTTTTGACAACTAAAACCACTTTTGACAGTGTTTGGCATAAGAGTTTAGAAGTGCATCTTGGAGAAGCACCTGCTATGTGCTTCTTCAGTGGGATTTCTTTTGAAAATTTCAACATCTTTATGAGCAAAAGTACTTACTAGAGAAGCAGTCTCAAACGAGCCCTAAGTTAGTGGGTTTAAGTGGTTAAGTTAAAAGAAGACCTTTAAATAAGGCTTGCTTTTGTTTTTTGTGAGAGTGAGAAGTGAATAGAGTGAAGAAGTGTATGAATTGAAAAAATATAGATTTGTATCGAAGTTTTAAGTAGAAATGAGTTTTCTTGAGGATAGGAGCTCTATATATGTAGGGTTTTACTACTGTTTCTTTAATTTGTTGTTATGCTTCTACACATTAAACACATTTTATACTTCCGCTGTGCGTATTTTCCAAATCCACCAAAAATCTTTGAGTTTGGTGATCCATTAACAAGAGGGAAACATAGTATTTTTACTTTCCTAACTGCTTCTACATCTTGCATATGAAATCATTTTTCTGAAAGAAAAAAAATTCATTAAACTGCAGTTCTTTTGTATGTCTCAGGTTGAGAGCAGTACTTCTGCCGCATTGAGCAAGGAAATTGCGGAGAAAACACATGAGCTGAGGTATATAACGGCATCCATTATTACTGTTTATAAGTTGGGATTTAAATGTACATCACTCTGGCAACTATAAGGGGTGCCTCCTACAACAGGAAGCTAATGGGAGAAGAACTCCAAGAACTAAACATGAAAGAGTTGCAGGAACTAGAGAAACTGCTCGGATCAGGATTGAGGCGTGTTAGAGATGCAAAGGTTTGTTTTTCTCTTAGTTTGGTTGATTTATTAATTTTTGTGGCTTTTAGAAATTCTTCAACGTACCCTTGCATATAAACATTTTGTGTTTCAGTGTGAAATTGTTCTGAAGGAGATCACCTCTCTTAAGTGGAAGGTCAGATATGAAACCTTTTTTTTTTTTTTTTTGAATGATTAACACTGATTTGCCAATACATTTGCTGTAAATGATGAGATGACAATAATAAAAAAGTACAAACTATTTTAATGATACTGAGACAAGTTGCTGAGATCTATAAATACATGGCATATAGCAATTACACAAGTGATAAAAGGCGAGAAAATAACTAGGATTTCATTTGGATATACTGATTTGGGAGAGATTTAGAGGTGTAATTGAAAAATACTAGTGGAATTTTGATAATGTATTTATTAAATTTGTTTCAATAATAGAGGCGCAATTAAAACTTTAAGAAAATAAATTGACAAATAGGGCTGTCTTTATATTTGCGGGATTCCTCAAATAGACGTTTTGTTGGATGTACTGTACATTGTAATTCGATAATTCAAACTGTCTATCTCATACGTCTCTATTAAAAAATAATTCTTACAAAAAAACTCAGACAAATTGGAAAATGGTGCAACATTTGTTGGCATTAAGAGTAAACTTTCCTAATAATTTCTTTTTCCTCCTCCACCTTACTCTTGTATTCGCAGGGATCCCAACTTATGCAAGAAAACAAGCGATTGAAGCAGGTAATGGTAACTTTCTGACCCTCCTGGAGAGCTTCTAGGGATCTTAGATGATGATATGAATGGCTTTGATTCAATTTCTTTAAGTTTACTTCTTGTTTTTTTCTTTTCCAATTAGTGATGATGAATGTCTTATTGGCACAGATGGCAAACCGACAGGTCCAAACACTTGAACTTGAACAAGGCCAATCCTCCGAGCCAATAGGCGATTTCATCCATTCAGACCCTTCGCAAGACCACGACTGCTCTGACACTTCTCTCAAGTTGGGGTTAGCTTATTCCACTCGCTTTTCGTAGAAGATTAATGAAGTTAATTTAGAATCCAAGACAAGATTTGGGTTCTAATACTTATTTATGTAATAATGTACTAAACAGTTCTAACTACATTAATCTAATGGCTACAAATAGTTCAACTCATCGAAGAATATTTGTTTACTTCTTCAATCTCACCGCTTGTGCTTTGAAGCTCCGAAGCGGTTTTGATTATCGGAAAGTGATTTTAGCCCTTCTGATTTAAAACTAGTGCCAAACAGATTCTAGATGAAAAGATATATGCTTCTATTTGCCTATAAAAGCTTTTCTCTTACGCCATGCAGGTTAGCTTTTCCTAGCGGGATATGAAAGATGGAAAGCTCATAAGGAGAAGATCAGTTGAATTATCTCTTGTTGAAGAAGACAAGTCGCAGTACATATATATTTATTCAAGACCAAAGCTTACAGCCTTGAATAAATAATAAGCTCTGATATATATAAGTCATATTTGTTTTTACAATTTGATATTTAGCCTAAAGATGAGTATTTGAATATTATTTTTAGTTTCCAGGGCTATGTATATGGTCAAGTTTTACCCTACTTCCGTAATAACTGAAAGTATGTAAACAGTGGAAGGTGTTGACCCTATTTTCGCTTGGAAAAATTTGTTCAAGCAACAGTATAACATAATGTAAGAGAGAGAGATGTGCTTAGTTTCTGTACTGAAAGAAGGTTGTCATGTTTTATAGAATTAATAAAATAAATGTGTGTGTGTGTGTGTGTGAGAGAGAGAGAGAGAGAGAGAGATGGATGGCAATATTCCCTACGGGTTAGGGTTTGTGGGACTTCAACCCTAATGGGTCAGGTATAAAGAATAGAAATTGGGTCTGGGATGGGTTTGGGGAAATTTTTGGATATGATCTTTAGGGCAGGGCAGGGATGGTATTGATCTCCAACCCGAACACGAACCCGCCCTATTTAGAATATATTATTTATTTTTCATATGAATATCTTGTTAAGTGACATTTAACTTTTTCCACGACTCTCACCAAATTTTATGTTACAGATTATTACATTATATATTTAATTCAATAACATAAAAATTGTAAGTATAAAACAGAACTTTTGTTATTTTTTTCTTATTAACTTACATTTTTTATTGATATTTTTGTAATGGGGCGGGGTGGGGGATTCGTTCTTAACGAAGGCAGGGATGGGAAATCCCCGATTTCAAAATTACAGGTATGGAGGCGGGGATATTAGGGAAGAAAACTTAATGTTCGTATACCTCATAGAGGCCCATCAACATTAACTTTGTGGCCCTTGAAATGGAATGATGTCCATAACCATAGTGATCGGAAACAGATGAGCTATCCAAACTTGGGTAATTTTTGGAACTTTTGATATCCTATTCAAGTAGGGAATTCAAAAACTTTGGTTTTAGGATTCTCAAATTCATTTCTTAAAATTCAAAAAATTGTTTGGTATGTAATTTGAAAACTATTTCTAGAAAAAAAAATCTAAAAAAATTGATTTGTTCTATTTTCAAGTGTTTGGGCATTTTTAAGTTTGGACTTTCAAAATTGGGCCTATCAAATGAATTTTTTGGATTTTAAACTCAAATTATGTTTTTGAAATTTAAAAATTTGAATTCAAATAGAATACTAAACAAGCCATATGATCTTTTGCCGAACAATGTAAATCTCATCTTTCAATTAAGATTTTACTTCATTAATGGTTTAGTGTGAATAATAGTTAACAACATAAAAATTTGGATTTTCCAAAGTTATTAGAGCAAAATGTTGCGCTCTTCAAAAGATAGTCTCTCTTTTCCCGTTACCTCATTGGCATGTTGCTCTGGTCCTTAGTTGGTTCATAACTTCTCATACCATTGGGAGAGATATTCAACACTTTGCTCGCTCCAACGGCGGATCTAGAATTTTTTTAAGAAAGGGGCAATATTTCAAAGGTTAAGAGCTTAACAAAACAAAAACAACCAAATAACCTGATAATTTAAACGATATTTAAAAGGCTAAAAACACATATTAATCATATTAACCGATTCACCACATTAATCATTTAATCAAACCACAACAATCTTTATTAATTAATTAAAAACTAAAATATATACAAAAAATAAATTCAAAAAAATCTATACAAAAACCAAAACAAAAACTCAATCAATTAACCAAAATCTAACAATCCATCTTAATTAATTAAAGCATAAAGAGAAATTACTTTGAAATTTGAGAGAGAAATTAATTTTCCAAACAAATTGTGGAGGGTTGGTCCATTGGTGGATGGCTTATCTGTTCTGGTTTAGGAGTGGCTTATGCCCACTTCACAACCCTTCTTTTGCTTCTAAAAACAAATGGGTTTCTACCAAATGAATCAAAGAATACAAAGAGGGAGAGAGATCCTTTCATGGTTTCGTTTGAGAGAGTGAGAGATAGCCAATGATAATGAAAAAAGCACAAAGAGAAAAGCTAATGGATGATGGAGGCAAAGGAGGATTGAGAAAAAGGAATGTGGTTGGGGAGTTGGCCGGTGTGGGTAATGGTGGTTCAAGTGTGGAGAGGTAAGGTTAAGAGTTGGGGATGATAGGGTTTATTTGGGATATCCAATTTTGATTGAAACTCATTTGAGGTTGGCCCTTTCTTTTTATTTATTATTATTATTTGTTATTTGTTTTTTGTTTTCACTTGGACCAAAACTATGCGTTTTGGACATATCACTTACAAAAAAAAGAAGCCAAGCAGCCCTGCGCGCTGCAGCCTGCGCAAAGGAGCTGCTGCCTGGAGCTTCTTTGGAGCAAATAATCGAACAGCTGGTGGGCAATTGCAGAGGGGCATTTCCAGCTTCTCCAACTGATTTTCCGGCGAGGGGAGGTGCAGCTGCACCTCCTTGCGCCTCTGTAGATCCGCCAGTGGCTCGCTCATTTAAAGATATAAAGTTTAGACTATCTAGCGGATGCCTTAGATTCTCTTGGGCATTCCATTCATTCATCTCTGGTTTGGCATCATGAACTTCCTCTTTATGTTATTTATGTGTTTAATAAATGCGGTTTTGGTTATCAGGTAGTCTGTTTCTTCACATGCATGTCTATTTCACCGAGCATGTTTCTGAAACAAAAAAGAATAATTAAAAGTTATTAAAAAATAAAAAATAAAAAACCGAAGTTCAGTCTTTAATCACATGCACATGCAATCCCAACGATTTAATTGGGTCACCAATTTTTGGACACTACAATTTCTTATATATAACGCAAAAGGCAGAGAATGATGAAACATTCAAAATATCAGAAAATGCCATTAGTTAATTCAAACATTAAGAATTAAAATTATTAATTAAATGATGATAATATGGTAAATTCACACTTTTCATATTTAAAAAAATTTAAATTAAAAACAAATCATATAATAGGTCATACTTTTATGGAACATAACTATCTATATTATCTTTTCTTAATTATAAAAATAAATTTTTTTTTAAAAAAAAAACCAATTGGCACATGCCGAGCATGTGCCAAGGGGCTAGTTATTCATTATAAAATAAATAAAAATCAGAAATGTTACGAAAAATAAAAATCAGAAATGAACCCAAATATTCAATATTAAAACAATGCCACGTCACTTGATATCTCGGGTATATGCCACGCACGTAGGCAACGGGTATCGAGCGCTATTTATATGCGCTAGTCTCGTTACTTCCCGCTAAAGACCTGTTCCAAATCACACATTCTCTCTCTCCTTTTCTCCATCTCTATTATTTTGATCTCTCTCTCTCTCTCTCTCTCTCTGAGTTAATTCTGAAAGTCTGTAGTCGCTTGGTTTGTTGCCATGGATGAAGAGTACGACGTGATAGTTCTTGGGACGGGTCTCAAGGAATGCATTCTCAGTGGTCTTCTCTCCGTCGACGGGCTCAAAGTAACTCAATGCTTTTCCTTTCATTCTTTCATTTTTTTAAAATTTGTCTTATTTTCAGTAAGTATATATTATTGGGTGATTCTCTTCCTATTTTTGATTTGATAGTTAATTAGATGGTTACGTACGTACGCATCAGTTGCCCAATGCAGTTGCCCCATTTCGATCCTCCTCTTAGTATTAGAGTAGTTTAAATTATCGTCTTGTAAAAAAAATGTAGACGGTTATGTGCTAAGCTCTCACTCATTTGAAGTTGTTCCAAATTGACAATTCCTCACATTTGTGCATTTGCCCTTGTTTTGGTTTTATGTTTGAACTTCTAATCGTCATAGGTAGAATTATTAGAAAATATATGATAATGTAGTACTTAAATTAGTATATGATCCAAGATGATAAACAATGGAGCAATTGATTCATCTTGTAAACTCCAAATAGTTAGAACAAGGTTATTTTTATTAGGAGTATTAATGTTACATGCACGTAAATCCCAGAGAAAAGAAATATTACCTACTAACTCTTAGTCTAGTTGTATTTTTCTCCATGTTCGTGGATGAGGTCTCAAATTCGAGTAGCCCCTCACCTGATGAAGAAAAAAGTCCCAATAAAAAAATTGTTGCAATTGATTAATCTTTCTAAGGTAGGAGTCAGGACCCTCTCACATAGTGTCCTACTTCTCATTAGTATTCATAGATACATTCTGGATCATCTTGTTTATAGGCCACCTTGATGTTTGATTCTTTTTTGTTTTCTTTAATATTTTGATTCCTATTTGTATTTGTGAATTGAATGCTGCCCACTTCTTCAGTACAGCTGATGTTAATCTTGAAACAGGTTTTGCATATGGACAGAAATGACTACTATGGAGGAGCATCTACCTCTCTAAATCTTAATCAGGTACGTACTTACCTCTTCTTACATCATTTTTCACATTCGATCCAGAAACACATCGGTAAGTTTGTGTTCATCTGATACGAAGAACTTGCAAGAAATTGTTGAAAAGAGTTTATGGTTATCTTTCAAACTTTATATTCTGCTCTCTAGCTTTGGAAGCGGTTTAGGGGAGATGACAAGCCTCCGGAAAGTTTGGGCTCAAACAGAGAGTACAATGTTGACATGATACCAAAGGTACTTGGAGTTTACCTTAATTAGTAACTTTTGATTAAGAGATCAAATTAAGAATGCCTGATTTTTAGTTTTCACATTGGACGTCACTTTTCATCAGATAGGCCGTGCCCGTGTCTTAATTTTGTTATGTTTTTCTGCCTATTAACTTAACACCTTGTTCTTAATGTTGTAATTAAGTTTGCTGCCTTCTTTCCCATTTCCCCTTACAGTTCATGATGGCCAATGGTGGTTTGGTCCGTGTCCTGATCCACACAGATGTCACCAAGTATCTAAACTTTAAGGCTGTTGATGGTAGCTTTGTGTACAACAAAAAGAAGGTACATCTATATGATATATGTTGCTAATATCAAATCAAATCTGTTACATTCAAGGAAATAGATCTTACATCTCGAAGAGTAAACTTATTAGAATTAATGGTTTTAGATCTATAAAGTTCCAGCAACTGATGTAGAAGCACTAAAATCGCCATTGATGGGACTATTTGAGAAGCGACGTGCTCGAAAGTTCTTCATTTATGTTCAAGACTTTGAAGAGAATGATCCCAAATCTCATGAAGGGCTGGACTTGAACAAAGTTACTGCAAGGGAGGTTATCACGTATACTTACTGTTCCATCTTCTTTTCTTTCTTTCTTCCCCAACCATGCATTCATTATACTTGAGAACTTATGAATCACTCGAATTAGTAATCATTTGTACACTAAAGTCTTTTGTGTAGTTTCACTATTTGTACTGCCTTGTTTTATCTCTTGCACATTTATATATAGCAGTTAGCAAAATGGTATATATGATGTCTTATTGTGAATTTCACAGTTGATTGCTCACTCCATTGAATGTCATTTATTTAGATGACTAATGTGATATTAAATTGTAGGAAATATGGGCTAGAAGATGATACAATCGACTTTATTGGTCATGCCTTGGCACTTCATATTGATGATTCTTACTTGGATGAGCCAGCAATGGAGTTTGTGAAGAAAATGAAGGTTCAACTATGTTCTGCTATATGTTTTGAAGTGACCTGTTTTAAGAAAAATCTCTCAACTGTATTCTTTTCTTTGTCATAAAATACATGTGTAGTTATCAGTTCTCTGCTTTCGCTTGAGCACTACACTTAGAAGATCTACCGTTGATTGGTATCCTGATTGTTTTGTTATAGCAATTTTAAGCCTCTGCACAGCTACTATCTGGCCGGTTCATCAAGCGATAATATTAATTTATAGAATGTTGCTTGCTTCTAGTCCCGGTAGTACATAATCTAATAGGAGTTAAGCCAACCTTGTTATACTTGATGAATTGCTCTTTCTTGGAGACTCACGATGGAGCATTAAATGATGGTTAAACAATTTATTTAAAAAGTGAGCGCGGAAAGGAAAATGTTGATTTGAGATTAAGCTTGCTCTTGATAAGCACTTGATAATTCTTATATAATTATACAAGAATTTGTTTTGTAAAGCTCTATGCAGAGTCTTTGGCACGTTTTGAAGGAGGATCACCTTATATCTATCCACTATATGGACTTGGAGAGTTGCCTCAGGTCTGTTTGCAGCTCTAATTACATAAAGATGTACTGTGCTAATATTAGTTTCCTTGCTGAGTGGGTTAGATATTTCAGGCATTTGCACGTTTAAGTGCTGTTTATGGTGGAACTTACATGCTCAACAAGCCTGAGTGTCAGGTAAGGTTGTCAAATTTTTTTTTATATCCAGAAAATTTTATCTATGTGGTCTGGTTTGTATGGTTTGCAACATTGTGATGCTTGCACAAAGACCCTTGTGCCTTTGCATGTGTCTCGGTGCGTGTTCAAGAAAAGTGTTTGGTTCTCATTCTTTAGACACCTTCAAGTAAAAGGTGCTCACTGGGCACTAAATTTGCCTGTTAAAGCTCTAGGAAAGTTCTCTATATCGCGTGCAAATGGTTTGCACCTTTTTTACGGCTTGTCATGCTGAAGAAGTAATTTGTCACTGCATTTTAAATTTCTTGTGTGTTGCATTTGTTTTGATAGTATTATGCTTCGGATTATAGGTGAAATTTGATGATAATGGGAATGCTATTGGTGTGACCTCAGAAGGAGAAACAGCTAAATGCAAGAAAGTTGTTTGTGATCCATCATATTTGCCCGATAAGGTATCCTTTGTTTAAACATTAACAGTATGAGTTCCATCTATCTCATACCGCATGATCAATGTACTAAAATCTTGTCAAAAACATCAATGCTATGCAAAATCTGTCGAGTCTAGAACATTCTACCTAAAGCAGAATTTTACATCTTGGGCTTTGTTCATGTGGTTTTTTACTGCTGCTGTTGTAAAAACAGGTACGGAAAGTTGGAAAAGTTGCTCGTGCTATATGTATAATGAGCCATCCTATTCCAGACACCAATGATTCTCATTCAGTCCAGGTTATTCTGCCGCAGAAGCAACTTGGTCGTAAATCAGATATGTGCGTGGCTAGTACACACATTTCCTGTATTTTGTTCAATCATGGAGTTGAAATTAATAAGCTTGCCTCTGGAATTAAGATATTTATTATGGGCTCTAGAGCAACACTGGCCACTTTGGTCTTGGTAGCTCTCACCTATTTTCTCCTTTACGATTCGTCCTCAGAGACATTATACTCAATTAGTTAGTTGGAGTTAATGAAAAATGTTGTTCGAAGTCGATACTGAAAACTAAACTAATAATAAGACCTTATGCTCTTGACCATGTTGGAATCCTTTTTACTGCTCTCCTCTTATTATTATGATGAATAAAATGACAATACCTCTGGAAATAGGAAAAGAGTATTGAAAAATCCTGTGTGAGCCGAAATCGTTCTTAATCCCTATATGTACCTTTGTTATTTATTAGATCATAAGCTGGATCAGAAAATAAATATGAAAAATGAACATACTATGATACTTACAGATTCTGTTGCAGGTACCTATTCTGCTGCTCCTATGCTCACAATGTGGCTCCAAAAGGAAAATTCATCGCTTTTGTTTCGACAGAAGCAGAAACTGATGATCCTCAAGTTGAATTGAAGCCTGGAATTGATCTACTTGGTCCATTAGATGAGATCTTCTATGATACTTATGACAGATATGTACCCACTAACGACCATCAAGCTGACAGTTGCTACATATCTTCTGTAAGTAGATATAACTATGTCTCATTTTCAATGGAAATTTTTCATTTTCATTGTGGTTTTGAGTGTTGAATTCCTTGCAGAGTTACGATGCAACTACGCACTTTGAGTCCACAGTACAAGATGTCCTAGCGATGTACACAAAGATTACTGGGAAGGTAACCTTCTAGTATTCATTGAAGTATATTATTTACATCATCCAAGATTAGGCAACTGTGTCACAGTTTCAACCATTATGTCAAACTTTTCTTGTGAATTTAAGTTAATGCTTGTATTATCTTTAGAGATTGACAGAACATGGGGCAAAGAGCAATTTAGATGTGGAGCATGACTTTGTTAATTAAGTTTAAGTTTCTTCTCATGACAAATATCGTTCTCTGTTTGAATGATTCAGGCTCTTGATCTTTCGGTCGATCTAAGTGCTGCAAGTGCTACTGCTGAAGAATAAGATCCTTCAAACTTCTTCACAAGCTGCATTCTTTTAGCAGGAATACTACTTGTTTTTTAGATTATAAATTATAACATTCTTCATGTGAGAAAGCTCGGTATTTCCCTTCTTTGTTTTTGGTGGGGTTTGGAATTTTTAATTGGATTTTTCAATTTAAAAAATGTGGATTTAATTTATTAGCCTGAATCTCTGATAAGATTTTCAATAACTTTCTGATACATCAATCTTAATACTTGTTAATAAAACCAAATGACTCTTACATAATAATTCTTGTTTCATAATTTGAATAAACCAAAGCATACAAACACCAGATAATTGCAATTTTTTGTGCCTCACTGTATTGTGTTCTATTTATCTGATAAATCAATTTTGCTACTTGACTTGTGTTGCACCGCTTCTTATATTAAGGTGCTTGTAATCTGTCTTTTATTTTTAATTAAGAGAGTTGTCTAGAGCTGTTTTTCTCTTTTTTTCCCCGGTTTAGACAGATCTTTGTATGAGATATTGTCTTACAAAATTTAGTTCAAGTTTTTAGTATGGTATCAGAGCAAGTTCAATCATGGAAAACATGAATAAGTTCGTGTAGTTCCAAGATTTGATGGCAAGAGCAACTTTCAGCATTGGCAATTGCAGATGGAGTATGTAGATGTTGTTAAGAGCGGATTCAACTTATCCAAGAGATGTTGTTAAGAGCTATGATTTTCAAGTCCCCCTCCCCGTAAATTAGATTAAAGTAGTTTAGACTATTGCATATGGACAATTGGAGACAATTGGAGGTGGTTTCTACAAAGGATATTGGATGTCTTGCTGGACTTTTGAGTTTTTTTTTATATATATGAAATGGTATTAACAATGTTTTTTTTCGTATGAAATGGTGTTAACAATGTTCTATTTGTATGAAATGGTATTAACAATATTATTATTTTTGGTATGAAATGGTATTAACAATGTTTATTTTTTGTATTAAATGGTATTAACAATGTACTTCTATGACATTATATTAACAATGTACTTCTATGACATGGTTTGCAGAGGTTCGATGGAGAAGGAAGGGTCGTGAGGACATGCCCTTGGTTTTTGTGGTTTTTTTAATACTTAAGTTTGGTTTTTTTATTTATTTAAATATGGGTTGGGCTTGTTTTGGGTTTTTTTTGGGTTTTTTGTATTGAGCTTCTTTTAAGTAGCAGTCATGTAATTTATAGGAAATTCAACACTCATTTTGTATGTAGTAAATGGTTTTGGGGTATATTTCTAAAATGCATTTCATGTAGGGTTTTTTTTATATAATTTCAGCCCCTATTTTGGGTATATTACTAAAGCTTCCTTATCTTTTCTCTTTAGTGGGTGGATTGTAATTTGACAAAAATGCCTTTTTAAAGTTGGTCATGTGAAGGCATGTGATGAATTTGAAGGAATTTTTTTATGTTAGATGGAAAATTCATATGTGGACAAAAAAAACGAAGGACTAATTGATTGATTTGAGAGTTTGTGGACTAAAATGAGGTTTACAAAAAGTTCAAGGATCATTTGTGATAAAAATTAGAGTTGGGCATAGTTCAACTCGAGTCGGTTTTCTCAAAAAATTGGAACTTGAACCGAAAATGAAAACCGATTTGGTCCCGTCCGGACCTGTCTAGTTCTAGTTCGATTCTTGTGGTTTCCGGTTTGGGCCTAAGCCCAAAATTTTATTATATAATTTTTATTAAGACCTGCCCAAAAATTTATTATATTACATACCTGCCCAATTTGTTCATTATCAAATATGCCCAAGCCCAAATTTGAACTTCCACCAAGCTTTTAACACATCAAAATCAATCCAACTTCGGTAAAATATAAATTACAATCCAAATTCAATCCAACTTCAACAAAATATAAATTACAACCCAAATTCAATCCAATTTCAGAAAATAAGCTACAAAATAAATTATAATCCCACTACAACAAAATATAAACAAAATACAAGCATGCAAAAACTCCACAAAAGAATGTAGTCTCAAGTGTTGCAACTCACACAAAGCTTCATTAAATTCCTCCTAACATTGAAAAGTAACTGGAGCAGACTTGGTAGTTATGGATGAACTCATAATATCTATATAAAAAAACATAAACTCATTAAAACATTAGTCAAATATACAAAATATATAATACATTAATAAAGCATAGAAAATTACAAAGAAATACCTAATTCAATTGATTCATAGAACTCCATCTCTTGAATTGTTGGCTCATATTGTAAAGAGGTATGTCATCCGACCTTAACCAATTTTGAGAGCAAATTAAGGCCTCCATAATCTTAGGAGTCAAAGAAGCACGAATTGAATTAACTACCTGACCACCCATGCTAAAACATGATTCCGAAGCCACCGTTGATACCAGGATGGCGAGCACATCCTTTGCAATAAGTGCCAAACCCGAATACTTAACCCCATTCAATTTCCACCACTTCAAAACATCAAATTCATCAACCACATCTTTAATAAGGTCGGTGATGTACCTATCAATTTCATGCTCCAAAATCACAACATCATTTGCTCGAGTCTCTTTTCTCCAATTTCCATTCATTTCCCTTCGTTTCTTTCCCCTTCGGCTTAGGCTACTACTTGTTGTATTCATGGTAGTAGGATCACTAAAACAATAACTACTACTTTGAGTGGATGGTGGTGGTATGGCATACTCTCCATGAAGCTTCTTTAAAATCTCTTTGATCGCATTCTTCTTCTTAACCGCATTTTTTGGATTTTCAAACTAGATCTTCAAGATAAACTCCAAGTTCCCCAATTTGTATCGAGGATCAAGAACAAGCGCAACCATCAAAATTTGGTTCAATTTATGAAGGTCACCCCAATACTTTTTAAATTTCATCTTCATGTTAAGTGTCATGTCCTTCAAAACATTGGAGGTTTGGATTTCACTTAATATTTCCTTCTCTTCCATCAACAAATCCTTAATTTCTTCTTCCATTGCATTCAAGTCGTGAAAAGTGGTGTGGGAAGCGGGATGCAAAGTGACACTCATCTTCAATGTAGTATCATAAAATACCTTTAGAAAAATTCACAAAGGTACGAGCATTGTTCCAATTTTCATTAGTTGGTGGCCCTTCCCTCTTTTTAGAGTAATGAGATATAATCACCCTATCTTCGAGAACCAGTTCATCTTCACCAAACCAAGAAATATATGGGCCTTCATCATCTTCTCCCATTCTCCAAAAGGCTTTTTCAAACTTTAAAGCGGCTTCCAACATCATATATATGGAATTCCACCTAGTTGGCACATCCAACACCACAAGCCCTTTGCATTTAATTTTCTCATTCTTAACACAACTCTTAAAGTCCTCTAATCTTTCGGGAGAAGATCTTACATACTTCACCATATTTCTTACACAATATGCTTTTCTCCAATTTTTTCAACCCATCACGAACTATCAAATTCACAATATGAGCACAATACAAAACTACCATTTCCCCAATAACCCATTTTCGACTTCAAGTAATCTATTGCCTTTGTGTTTGAAGAAGTATTATCGGTCGTGATGGTTAGTGTCTTCTTCATATCCCAATCAAGCAAACATGACTTGAGGAGTTTACCAATTGAGTTCTCATTGTGATTGGAAATGACACAAAATTTCAAGACTCTTTTATGCAAGTTCCAATCTCCATCTATGAAGTGTGCCGTGATTACCATGTAATTTATGTTTTGAACACTTATCCAAGTGTCTGTTGTGAGGCACACTCTATGTGGTGCTAATTATTCTTTCAATTTTTGTTTCATGGCATCATACATTGTCATGAAATGCCTCACAAGTGTCCTACGAGATGGCACTTGGAAATGAGGGTTCAAAGAATTACAAAATCGCCTAACCTTTTTCCTTCAATCACACTAAAAGGCATATCATCCATTACTACCATTTCTACACATGTCTTTAACTACTCTTCTTTACCATGCACCGTTGATGTAAAACCCACATGTCCTTGGTCAAAAGATAAGAGCTTTTGCCTTTTATCTTTGGGAACCCTCCCGGGATATTTCTTACATAGGTTCTCAATATGCTTCCTCAAATTTGAGGTTCCATTTCTACTGGAGTCTGCCGCATAGCTAATAGAGCAATACTTGCACCTAGCTCTCTTCTTAGTGGTTAAATATTTGCTCCCATCCTTGTTCACACTCTCAAACACTTCGCCATATCTCTCAAAGTGATCTCATACTTCTGATTTTTCTTTTCTTAGGCCGAAATGAGGTAATGGTGGAAGACCACTCGGTGGAGGTGGTGTTTGGGCATGAAGTGCACTTTGAGTTGGTGTTTGGGGTTGGGGTTGAGGGATGAGTAAAGTGGGTAAAGGTGTTGATGCATATGCGGATGCAGACGCAGATGAGGATGCGGATGCAGATGCAAATGTGGATACGAATACGGATGACAAATCAACTTCACTATTAGTAGTGTCATGCACTTCTCCAAATAGGTTCGACTCATTCATGAATTCTTTAAGAAACAAAAAATAGCAACTTAAACATGATATTAACCCAAAACAACACCTTAATTATTTTTAAAAAAATTAAACATTATACACTCCAACTAAACTAAACAAAACAAAATCTTAAATATTAATGCTAATTTCATGTAATTTAAACATGATATTAACCAAAAACAACACCTCAATTAAAAAAACATAAAGTTAAACATTATACAATTGAACTAAACAAAACAAAACACTTTAAGTAAAAAATAATAAAAAAATAATAATAATAATAAAAACTGAAAAAAAATTTAAACATGATATGTCAATTTTTTTTAAATGTTAACATGATATGTTAATTTTTAATTATTTACAGTTTACCTATAGAAATTAATGTCCATTTCATTTGAATTTATATTCTAGCAACCAATGAAAACACTACAGACATGATGACACAAAAACAATTAAAAACATATAGAAATTTATCCACAAAGACAATTAAAAAATCCGGAGAATTTCAATGGAACAAAACCTCTCGTACTAAGAAATTCTTTTTTTTCTTATTTTTTTCAATTGGGTTCCAAATTTTAGTTGCAAAACGTCAAATTTCAAATATGCTCATTGCTCACAATCAGAGAGAGAGAGAGAGAGAGAGAGAGAGAGAGAGAGAGAGAGAGAGAACTACTAGAAGCTGCTAATTGTTGTTGGATCTGTGAGAAATTTCCTACTGAATCTAAGCAAATTGCTGCTAGAGGACAAAGAGATTGGTTAGAGAATCGAAAGGGGAAAAGAGATAGAATCTGACCTACGTGCAAGACGATGGAGCGATGGCTGAGAAAGAGCTTCGGCAGCGCAATGACTGTAGGAGAACGAGGATGGCTGAGAGAGAGGTTTCACGTAGAGAAAGGTTCAGCGGTTGAGAGAGAGAGGAAATGAAATGGGAGAAAGGAAGAGAGAAAACCTAAGTCGTGTTAGAATTTTGTGATGATCCTGTGTACGCATGCCTACGGTAACATTTTACACAACCAATAAAAAATGTCCACGTTTTAAACTATATATAAAATATAAAAATATATATATAATATAAATATATATATATATATATTGTATTGGACCGGTTCCTTGTGGTGGAAAATCGAGACCGAAACTGGTCTGAACCAATCCAGTTCTAATTTATCCCGATTTTTTACTTTTTCGGTCAACAAGGTTTTTTTTCAGATTTTTTCAATTTGGTTTGGTTTGATTTTGTGGTTTTGCTGTTCCAATGCCCACCCCAAATAAAAATCCCTCAAATAATGTGTTAATGAAAGAAAGGTGAAGAATCTCATATGCTTCATAATCAAGGTCTATAATATCGATGGTATCTGTGAGGTAAAATACCTCTAGGCTGAGTTGGGCCAAAGCTCGGTGTTAGTGGTGGAGCTGGGCTCGAGCCTGGTCGCCATATATTTTTCCACCCCCAACTTGTGTGGGCTTGTGGGCCCATTAGTCCATGAGCTCGGGCCCGGTGCGCATGAAGTTGATTTACATGTGTTCACTCAAAGGACTTCTAGTCCCAAAGAAGTTGGTATGTTTCGAGATCACAAAGACAACTATCTAAATGGAGTCCTGTTCACCCATTTTATATTTGTTCCTGTGATGGTAGGTTAAAGTTCCCCATTGCCTTGAAAACCATTGACTGGTCAACAAGTCAACTTTTTTAGTGTGCAAGCGTGTCATTGCTAGCAATGAAAAAATCCTAGCAGACTTCTTAAGAATAGATAATTTGCGCCCCAAGTTACTAATTTTTAAACAAGCGATTGTGAATTTGGGTGAGGAATATCTGCAAAGTAAGTTCTTTTCTTACCTCAGACTGGTGAGGACTTCACAATTTTCCACAGTACAAAAACTAGTAGTTCTTGCCATAATAAATGATAAGATAGTGAACTGTTTTAGGCAGAAGTGCCTTTTACAAAACTCAAAAGGGAAAAGCCAACTCTAGAAAGACAAAAAGAAGGCTGGACTTCCATTTCTACCTGGATATAGGCTTCTGATTCGGGTTGGACTAGGTGTGCTTGTGCTGGACTAAACTGTCAACAGCTTCAACTGTTAAGTTTCGGCGGTAAATCGATGCCAATGTTCGAGTTTGGCAGAGATTTAATCTATTTCAAGCCCTGGAAGGCTTTTTGAACTGGCAGAATTACGGCCTCTTCAGTCTGAGATGGGCAGAAGTGGCTAGACTTTGAGAATTACTGAGCTGGAACTGCACTATGGTACATGTTCTACTTAATCAAGGCTCTCCATAAATTTGTTGAGGTTTTCATATATGTAAAAACCCGAGCTCTGCTTGATTTGACTTTTGCTGAACCAAATTTGTAACGAGAGAAATCTCGTTTTGAATTACTTATTTCTCTAAGTCTGAGCTGGAACTAGAAGTTTTGATTTATAGCTGGCTTCTTTCTTGTGGCTCAATGAGCTTTTGGTTGCTTCAGTTTGTCTGAAAGTTTTTGAGATCAAGTGATCATTTCGAGTTTTGTCCTTGATTGATTTTTTGGTTGTCCTTTGTTCTGTTCACCTTCTCTTATATTTATAAGAAATGTTTTGGAGTGGGGTTTTCTAATTCTTTTAATAATGGGCAGCAAAAAATTAGAAAAAGATCTTTCATTTTTAAATGCAAAGAAAAATGGGGTTTTATCAACTCTTGTAGATAAGCCCTCCATAGTCAATTCCTAAGGCAATCACTTCCCTGTTTTTCTTGAAAGAAAACCTAACCCTTCTTCCAATTTAACTGCTCTTTGTAAGAGTTCGAACTGTGATGGTTAGTTTTGATCTTCCAGATGAACAACTCCCTGGTTCCTGCTTATCTTTAAAACGCAGTCTGCTTATCTCTTGAAAATGGTGCATGCTTTGGATTTGAAATCTTTTTCTAAATATATAAAAGGGACTTTGATCTTCTGATGGTAGAAAAAGCTGGAGACTTTGGCCTGTTCTAAGACCTGCTTTCATCAATTCCCAACAACTCAATTGAGATTGCTGACTTTTCAAAGCTTTATGTAGTCATGTGGGTTTGCATCTTTTTGGGCTTTTTCTTTCTCATTGAATCATCCCAAGCCCAAGTTGAGTTTTTGGAGCTATGGGTTCATTCCTTTCTTATTCTCTTTCGAAGCCCAAGTTATCGTTGTGTTTTGACAGGTCATGGGCTGGGGTTTCTTGGATTTTGGGCCCTCGATTCCTGTTTAATTGTTAAGTCCAGACTGTTTGGGTCATGTGGTTTAATTTGTCATTCTGGGCTTTCAATGTTGGGCTGGATGCGCAGAGTTTTGGCCCAAACAAGTCCTAGTTCAAGGAGGACTAGATTATTCTAAAGTCCTAGTTCGATGAGGACTACGTTATTCTAGAGTCCTAGTTCAAGGAGAGTTGGTTTACTCTGGAGTTCCACTCCGAGAAGGATTAGGTCGCCTAGGATGATATGAAAGGCTGAGGCCATCCTCTGTGAAAGGTATGCAATTCTAAACACTAGAATCTATTGTGCAATTTTGCTCTTAAACACTAGACTGACTTAGGCATCAGAGAGTTCTTAGCCGACACCACATCAGTGTCACCCACTAAAGCTATCTTGTTTTGCAGGTTCTAGAGGACAACTTGGTTGCTCACATTGACCTAGTCCAGAAGAGTTGCCTGATCTCAATCTTGAAGAGGTCATCTTTTGTTGAACCAATTTTAGGCATCAACAGTTTTGCGGCGTTTGTCGGAATCGACTTCTTGTGGATTTTCATATGAGTTTTAGACAACAACCATTTGCTTGACACCATGAGTGAAGAGTCCAACCCCAATGAACCTGTTATCCCCGCTGCATCAAGGAAAAGAATGAAGAAATCCAATCGCTTAACTAACATTGAGACCTACTTGAAGGAGATGAGGAAAGACATTAACAAACTCCGTGATCATAACAAGGAGGTCATGGAGGAAGCAGAGAAGACCTATACAAGAAGACAACGAAAGCTAAAGGAGTGACGTTAGGAACATGGAGATCATCAATGCGACAGACCCTAACACCGCGGAGAACTTCAACGTGAGAGACATGACAATGAAGATGCTGAAAGCCATCCCCGATTTTCTAATGGAACGAAGCGCAAGAAGCTGCAAACTTTTGAGCCCATCCTTCACGGCTCATTCTCTGGTTTCTCTAGCATGCCCGTCGGAAGCCAGAAGGAATGTCTTGACTTAAGAGATTTGCTTGAGGAAAAGAAAGCTTAATATGTACAACCTCGTAATCATGATGGTGATCGTGAAGTCAATCATGATCGTGATCGGGAAGTCGATTAGTTTGATGTCCGCCCTAATGGAGACGAGCATGCTGAAGAAAGTAGAATTTTGGAAGCCATGAACCGGATGCAAGATGAAATGGATTGAAAGCTGGAAGTCCGCCTACCAGCCTTCAAGCGTGAGCAAGGTGCAGGACCTCTCAATCCGGCCATGGCAACTAACACCTTACCATTCACTAAAGATATCCTTGAATTCAAGATTCCAAAGGATTTCAAACAACCCAAGATGCGACTCTATGAAAAGACCACCGCCCCAATGGACTTCTTGAACGACTTCGGTTACTAGATGAATGTGAAGGATGCCAGAGATGCCATGAAATGTCAAGCTTTTCCTATGTTCTTAGAAGGATCCACTAAGGATTGGTTCAAGTCCTTGTAGCCTAACTCCATCAGCTCATTTGACATGTTCAAACAGAGCTTCATGAACCAATTTCTATTTGCATCAAATAAGAGATACCCACCCAACTACCTCATCAGCATTAGGCAGGGCCCTAAGGAGAAATTGCAAGACTACATCAATCGTTTCAATCGAGAAGTAATTAGCATCCCTAGTTGCTCCAAAGATACGGCCTATACTGCTCTTCTAGCTGGGTTTTGAAGATGACCTTTTCTGTTCCATGTCAACAAGTTTCCATTTAAGAGTTATAAGGACCTGATGTCCAAGGGGTATTGTCATGCCATAGCTAAGGAGATCACATATGACACACTAGAAGGGAAAGATTCATCGCAGCCTAGTGTAGGAGATAAACAGAGAGAAGGTCGGAATGATGTACGCGATAAGCCGACCTTCGAGGTTTTTCAAAATTGATATTGCAGATATGACCATGAGAACGGCCATATGACATATCAATGTTACGAACTCCAAGATGAGATTGAAGCACTAATTAGACAAGGTCATCTAAACCGATTTGTGGGTAAAAAGAAGCAAGCAGAGCAGCATGACAACACACCAGATAAGCAACCACGTGCTATGAAAGACATCAATATTATCTCAGGGGGGAGTAACCCTAGCTAGGGACTCCAACAAAGCACGAAAAGAGTATGCACAACGTACCCAAGTTGGACTTTGATTAGTCCATAAATACATATCATTTTGTACCATCCTAACCTATCATTTGGTCATGGTGTTAAATAAAACGTGTGCTTTTAACCATCTTTTGTCTTAGTTTCAATTTATTAAACTATAGGGCTCATGATGTGCATTTTGGAGTCAATATAAAAGAATTTAAAAAAAACTGTCTCTGCATATTTGTCAAATTCACGGATTTAACTATACTTGTTTACGCAGAATCGCTGGTGAGCCATACACCGTTCAAAATATATGGAAGTCTAGTTTCCATAAAAATTTACTGTTCATGATTTCGAGTTTTCTTGAAGGAGTTCTTACAGTTTTGGTGACAAATGTTCATTTCAAAAATTTTGCTTGAAAATTGCTATGCCACCATGCTAGGTCATCATGTCATTTCCTTATCAAAGTCCAAGATAGCTGCTCCCATCATCATCAATGTCACATAAGCTTCGGATTTTATATTTAAAGATGGATGATGCAAGTGTTCAAAGTGAATTTGAATTTGAAGATTTTGGATTATTTGAAGAGGAAGAACTCAATTTGGATTTGATGACTTTGCCTTTTACAGCTCATGCTATAGAGTCCATTTGCAGGCCTGAAAAAAGAATACTCCCATACTCAAATGAATAATTCTGCTTCATGATACTTGTTCATTAAGATGTCAACTATAGCATATCCAAAAATGGGAGCAATTGGATAAATACTCAATCCACAGGTTGTCACACACCAAGACAGGTTCATAGGAGGACAGATTGCATATGCAGGAGGAATGAAAGGGACTTCATGCTTCAATAAATAGGCAGCAACTCAATGAAAAACTTACTTATATGTTCATCCATCCTAAGAAGAGCAAAATCTAAAGAACACCAAGTTCCATCTATTTCACTCATTCCCACTATACATAAAACCTCTCCAAATCATTAACCTAATCTTCATACAGCTCTATTGGTGTGGGACTCCTTGGAGGCTTACAAGATCTTCAATAAGGGTTTTTCTTACTTTTATTTTGTAATATTTCATGTCTTTTAATTCCCTTGTTGTTGTCATGGATGTGATGAGTAGCTAAATCCCTTCCTAGGGTTTCGATGCAACCTAACATGATGATTCTAAGTTTTTAAGTTTGATTGTTTTTCAAGTTCAATTCTGGTTCTAGTTCTTATTTATTATGCTTATAAGTTTATGTGATTGTTGGAACTAGGAATAATAAGAGTAAGTATGGATAGTAGATAACAATGCTTAAGTACTTACTAGGTTGTTTTATATTCTCTTGTTCTTAATGGATTCTTGGTGCTTAATCTATGTTAGATACCATGACTAGGTTAGGTTCGTGAATCGAGAATACAAGGTTAAAACCAAACACGATGGCTTAATCAAACTTTAGAGAGAATCAACTTTTTAGCTTGAATTGGACTTTGTTAACTTGAATGCTTAAGACTTAGAATTAGATTATTATGGTGAAATAGTTTCCCTGGTTGTAAAAAATTTATAAATTTAAAAATAAATAAAAAACCTATTTTAACCACAAAATCATTGTTTAAGCCTTGCCATTCCATGTTTACTTATTTAGTTTTATGTTATTTTCAATTCATGTACTCAAATCAAAACTCTCAAAACATTTTTAAACCTTGTCTTTAAATTATGTTTATTTTAAGCTATAACTCTTTATTTTTGAATTGGGTAATTAAAGTACATAACTAATCTGAACTTCTCAATCCTTGTGGGTACGGCCTCGTACTTATTTTGCTATACTATTTAAATGGCCCGTACACTTGCGAGTTATCAAATTTTGGTGCCGTTGCCAGGGATTGAATGAAAGTTCTTCCTCGGATGGATGAATTATGTAAGTAAGTTTCTCATTGAGTTGCTGCCTATTTATAAAAGTGTGAAGTCCCTTTCATTCCAGCTGCATATGCAATCTGTCCTCCCATGAGCCTGTCTTGGTGTGTGATCACCTGTGGATTGAGTATTTATCCAATTGCTCCTATTTTTGGATATGTTGTAGTCGACATCTTAATGAACAAGTGTCATGGAGGAGAATCGTTCATTTGAGCAAGGGAGGATTTTGTTTTCGTGTCTGCAAATGGACTGTACAGCATGAGCTGTAAAAGGCAAAGTCATCATATCCAAATTGAGTTCTTCCTCTTCAAATTCAAATTCACTTTGAACATATGCATCATCGATCTTTAAATATAAATCTGAGCTTATGTGACATTGATGATGACGGGAGCAGCTATCTTGGACTTTTATAAGGAAATGACATGATGACCTAGCATGGTGACATAGCAATTTTCGAGCAAAATTTCTGAAATGAACATTTGTCACAAAACTGTCATAACTCCTTTAGGAAAACTCAGAATCATGAACCGTAAATTTCTATGGAAACTAAACTTCTATATCTTTTCAAGGTGTATGGCTCACTAGCTAATTCCACCTCAAAAAGTACAGTTAAATCAGTGAATTTGACTGATCTGCAAAGACAGTCAAATCCGAGAAGTTGACTGTTACAAAATGATATGTATTTATGGACTGATCATGGTCAGGTTGGCAAAGAACCCACATTGCCATGCCAAGCTCATTGTCAGGTTGGCGAAGAACTGACCTCAACTCACCAAGCTCATTATCAAGTCAGTGAGGAGCCCACCTCACCATGCCAAGCTCATTGTCAGGTTAGCAATGAGCCAATCTTAACTCGCCAAGCTCATGGTCAAGTTGGTGAAAAGCCTACCTCACCATACCAAGCTCATGGTCAAGTTGGCAAAGAACCCACCTCGCCATGCCAAGCTCATTGTCAGGTTGGCGAAGAACTGACCTCAACTCACCAAGCTCATGATCAAGTCGGTGAAGAGCCCACCTCGCCATGCCAAGCTCATTGTCAGGTTGGCAAGGAGCCGATCTTAACTCGCTAAGCTCATGGTCAGGTTGGCGAAGAGCCTACCTCAACATACCAAGCTCATGGTCAGGTTGGTGAGGAATCCACCTCGGCATGCCAAGTTCATGGTCAGGTTGGAAAAAAGCTCATCTCGCCATGCTAAGCTCATGGTCAGGTTGGCAAAGAGCCCACCTCAACTCACCAAGGTCATGATCAGGTTGGCGAGGAACCGACCTCAACTTACCAAGCTCATGGTCAAGTTGGCCACCTCACCATGCCAAGCTCATTATCAGGTTGGCGAAGCACAGACCTGAACTCTCCAAGCTCATTGTTAGGTTGGTAAAGAACCGACCTCAACTCGCCAAGCTCATGGTCAGGTTGGCAAAGAACTCACATCGCTATGCCAAGCTCATGGTCAAGTTGGCGAAGAACTAACCTCAACTCGCTAAGCTCATGGTCAGGTTGGCAAAGAGACCACCTCGACATACCAAGCTCATGGTCAGGTTGGCAAAAGACCCACCTTGGCATGCTAAGCTCATGGGCGAAGAACCTACCTCGCCATGCCAAGCATGTTAGGTTGGTGAAGAACCGACCTCAACTCGCTAAGCTCATGGTCAAGTTGTCAAACGACCTCCCTCGACATGCCAAGATCATGGTTAGGTTAGCGAAGAACCCACCTCGGCATGCCAAGCTAATGGTCAGGTTGGCGAGAAACCGACCTCAACTAGCCAAGCTCATGGTCAGGTCAGTGAAGGGACCCACCTCGAATTGCCAAGCTCATGCTCATGTTGGTAAGGAACCAACCTCAACACGCCGAGCTCGTGCTCAAGTTGGAAAAGGTCTAACCTCAATTTGTTGAGCTCTGGTGAGCAAAATATTATCCGAAAATTTGCCAAGTTTCAACAAGAACCACCAGTTTTTGACCTACAACAACATAAATGGAGCTCAAGGCATACATAGATAAATCATTGAAGATCAAGGTCCAAAAAAAAATTACCGAACAACCACTGTGATCATAAAGTGACAGAAAGATAAACAACACAAATGTTTCAAAACAGATACAGTTATGGTCTAACAAAAGAATTACTAACTCCAGAACTCCGTGGATGGTCATCACGCTAGCATTCCACTTGAGGTATTCAAGAAGACCAATCTAGCCCGATCAGGTTCGAAAGGTGTCATCCCTATGAGCACTTCCATCACGATCTCATCGTGCACGCCGACCTCAGAGGTGCTTAACTCCACCTCACCCACTATTAGACCACTCATTTTTGGGGAAGGAGCACCATCATCCTCATCGTCACTGAGATCAAGCTCCCCTCGAGCAAGAGCATCCTCCAGGATAGTCTAGTCTAGGGTAGGATATCACCTCTTCATGGCTTCCATGTAAGACTAAAAGCCCTCATCTAAGAAAGTTGATTTGAGCCCCTCAAAACTCCTCAGAAAACTTGAATTCTTTGATCACCTTATCCTTGGTTAACCTCAGCTCCTCCACCTCACTTATAAGCTTGGCCATTTGCTCTTAGATGACACCAAAATCTTTAGCATGATTCTTAGCCATGCTCTTCAACTCGGACTTAGCATCACTAACATTCTTCTTCTCAAGGTCAACCACTAACCTTAGCTTGACGATTAGAAGGTCACTGTCTTCATTTTTCTTCCCTAGTTCCTTGATATCATCACTTTGCTTCTAGAGAAGGCCACAGGTCTCGAGCTAAGCATGATATTGGAGCCAAGTAGCCTAAAAATAAAAATAATATATACATATATATATATAAAGGGAGAAAGAGTGAGTAGGGATGAGCCTTAATCCATGAAGGGCTACATGAGAACAAGCATTACATCTAGTATGGCTTGCAAAACCGTATCTATCTTTCCATTAGGGACTTCCCCTTAAATCCTTCAAGCTTGGAATCATGGCTGCCAAGCTCACATATCCTAAAGAAGGAGGTGAAGGTTGAGTAGATCCTCAAGCTTGAAGGGTTAGCTTGGTGTTTATATATGTCACCACTGTTTGTCCCCCGAAGAGGTTGTTTTAAATTTATAAAACTCGCAAGCGCATGAAGCAATTGTAGAATAGGCATGTGTAAGTGCGAGGTCGTACCCACAGGGAGTGCGTTAAAAAGGTGAAAAACTAATCCAACCCAAGTTAATTCAATTGCTAACCTAGTTGATTCAAAGTTTGATTTGTTTGTTGGAAAAGAAAGATGAAGTAAAGCATAAAATTGAAAATGCAAATAAACTAAAATAAGGTTTAAATGAATTATAAAAATAACTAAGGTTTGAGATTCCACACCATTATTCCATAAAACTCTAATTAATTATCAACAATTCCCATGGAGTAGCAATCTAGAAATCAATCTACCGCTTTCTCAAGATATATCAATTCAGCATGCATTATAACGAAGCTTATGTAAATTTCTCTTCCCTTCATAAGTACAAATTCTAAGCATCCTATGTGGAAAAAGATTATTTACAAAGGATCAAAGAAATTTGTATATTAGTAATACAATGCCAAGGATGCATTAATAGCTTAACTTAATAGTTGGGAATTGAAAGATAAAAACTAAAACTTCATTTCATAATGGTGTTTCCTCCTTAACATAATTTAACTAGACATAAGTGAAAATAAAAACAACATGAAAAAACTAAAACAAAGAGAAGGAAAAATTGCATCATCACCCCCTTGGTTCCTTGCCTCATGGCTCCCCAAGATTCTCTCCAATTATTTTTCCATTTTCCCTCTCCCTTTGGTGCCCAAGAATTGCACAATTTCTGCACTCAGTTCTCTACTAAAATCTGCACACCTTCTCCCATTGCATTGCCTTCTATTTATAGAGGAAAGAGAGCAACTAAAGCATCAATATAATCATCATCTTCACATGTTGGTTGTTTTCCCACTAGCATTCTTTTATCTCTTCTTTTCCTCTTTTGAGATTTACAACACTTCTTTTAATTCATTCTTTTCCTCTTTTGATTCCACTTGATCTTTAACTTGCTGCTCCCCATATGGGTTGCTATCTCTTTGTCACATTCTAGGATCGGCTTCATCGTAGCAAGATATTGTTCGCTTTGGGCCCCCCTCTCTGCCCTCACGGTTTTGTTTCTGGGAACTCATGAGCAACTTTCCAGTGAGTCACCCATCTTGGGATTGCTCTACGTTGAAACTACGTTGGTGTAAGGAATAGTTTCTTTTTTCCTTTATATACTATTTGCTTTCAACAATCTAGTTCTCCATATTGAAATAAAAACCTTATTTATTTCTTTATTGCAATCTAGGGATTGACGGATTTGAAGAAGTCACATTATCCTCAAAGAAGGGAGGGCTACACAAAGGGCAAATTCCTAAAAATCAGGCCACATGTGGCCCTTTGGCCACCCTAGGCAAAATAATTAGATGGCCCTAGCTAACGTCACCTAGCTATTAGCTGACATCAACTAGCATTTTTTAATTTATTTTTAAATCCGAATAAAATTATTATTATTTTTTAATTCTAAAAATTCTTAAATTTTTTGTATAAATACTCACCTCATTCTTACATAATTTCTCACAACATCTTCATCATTTTACATATTATCTTCCTCGGTTTCATCCTTTTACATAATTTATCACATTCTCTTCATTCTTTTACAAACTATCCTTCATCTTTTTCCATTATTTTTAAAATAAGACAAGGGCTAAAACAAGAAAAAATCTAATTAGAAATCTAGAGGTCTAATCACATGCTGACTCATGGATGTAAAAAAATCCTATCCAAAAATATTTTTATCTTCTAAAATGTATTTTAAATAGTAGTTTAATTAAATTAACTAATAAATTTACATAATATACTAAAAAGTATTAAAATATTAAATTTAGCCCTTTGCTATTGGAGACGGTTAAATTGTAGCATGACACTATTCCTTATAAAATCATTTATTAGAGGGCTAGCATGAGCACAGATATTAGTAGGTCGTGCCCGACACTGCATGAAAGCTTGGGCCATGCTCGGCACATCACGAAAGCTTGGGCCGTATTGGGATTAAAAAAAAATAGGTCCAATGGACTTTGCTGGCCCACAACTCAATATGGGCCGTGCTTGGCCTCAACCTAAAATATTATTTGAGGGACACCGGATTGTTGGATTGGAAAAAAAAAAAAAAAAAAAAAAAAAAAAAAAAAAGGATACCCTAAACGGTGTCCCTCAAATAATATTTTGGGGATCTCTCAGTACAAGGAGATATATATATATATATATTGAATAATGAAATATTGTTAGAATTTTATGATAAAATTTGATAGATTTTTGTTACAGAGACTTTTTAGTGGTCAATTTAATGGGTATTTCCATTAGTTTTATTTTTTTATTATTTTATAAAAAGAATAGGTGCTTTATTAAAATAATAAGCACTATAAGAATGTACATAAGATAGCACTGAAAACAACCAAATTTTCATACTGGAAATGGTTGTGTGTCATCATGCCGTCCACTTTATTGATAGGAGACTTTAGTGTAAGTCAATTAAATAATTAACTTTGCAATGGCCTTGTACGTAGAGGTGTTAAACGGGTCATTTAAATTCGTGTCATTAAGTTATTCATGCCGAATTGTGCCGTGCCATTTAATTAATTAGGTCGTGCTCTGCCACACTGGTTCATTTATTAAAACTATTGATTCTAGCCCGACCTAAAATTCAAGTTCATATTGAATCGTGACGTGCTCAAGCCGTGCTCATAATTGAGTTGTGCCCATACTTGGGCCCAATCACTCATTTTTCTTGATTTAAGAAACATGCACATTAAAAAAATACATTAATATTCAAAGGTGATTATTAATCAAATATAAAGAAAGATATGTGAATTAGGGCTGGCAATGGGTCGTGTCGTGTCGGGATAATAAACGTGTCAAAAATGCTCAACCCGAACCCAACCCATTTAATAAACGTGTCATGTCGGGTTCGGGTCGTCTTTTATCGTGCGGGTTTCGAGTCGTGTAACGGGTTCATAAATAATTATATGCATGTTACGAAACTCACAATTGAAAAAAATTTAAATTAAAAAAAACAGAGAGAGTAGAGAAAATATAAGGAAAAGAAAGAAAAAAAAAGATAAAGAGAGGAGAGAAGAGAGAAGGAAAAGAAAGAAAAAAAAATATATAGAGAGAGAGAGAGAGAGAGAGAGAGAGAGAGAGAGAAGATTGAAGGAAAGAAAGAAAGAAAAAAGAGAGATGAGAGAAAACTAAAGAGAATGAAAAGAAAGAAAGAAAAAAGAGAGATGAGAGAAAACTAAAGAGAATGAAAAGAAAGAGAAGAAAAAAGGAGAGAAGAGGAAAGGAAAAGAGAGAAAAAAAAAGAGAGAGAGGAGAAAGAAGGAAAAGAAAGAAAAAAAAAGTGGAGAAGAGAGATGGAAAAGAAAGGAAAACACAAAAGAAAAAGAAACACTATAAATATCAAAAGACATGATAAAATCACAAAGTTGTTTGTAGCATGGTGGATAAGGCGTTTGAGAGAAATGAGGGCAGTAGGAGTTTGAAACCCCTTGTGTGTGTGCTGAAGTCTCCATTTCTCTTAATTTTTTTAGTGGGTTGACAGGTATTATAGCGAGTTAACACGACCCGTGACACAACCCGTTTAATAAACGGGTTAGGTAGGTATTATAGCGGGTTAGCGGGTTGACCCGAAACTCACTCGTTTATTAAACAGGTCAAAACGGGTTGACCCGAAATTGACCTATTTTTTTATCATGCGGTTTCGAGTCGTGTCCGAAATTGCCACCCCCAATGGAAGTCAATTAAAATCTATGAAATTCACCCAAAATTCAAAAATTAGGGATCCGTGGAGCCCCCAGTCTCCCCCACTTCTTCCCTCTTATTTTTCTGGCGAGAACCCTTTCTTCTTCCATTTCAAGTTAAACTTCTCTTGTACTCTTCTCGACCTCTGTTTGTATTTATAACCCAAATACTCGCAAACGTTTTCAGCATTTCTGTTTGCGAGTTTTGAGTGGCTCGGCTTCATGACTCGTCGGTTCACGTCCGACTCCGAGTCTCCGAGCAAGCGATTCCAGGCGTTCGAGTTCAACGCCGACGACGAGGTTGTGGAGAAGCAGTCCGCCAAGATGATCGCCAAATTCCGAAACCTCATGAAGCCCAGGAACAGGAAGAGCACGAAGAACAAGTACCTCGATTCCCCTATTATCAAGTACAAGTTCCTGCACTGCTGTGAGTTTGTTTATCTTTTCTCATTGCATTTTGAATTGTGGGTAGTCTGTTTGGTTAATGGGAAAATTCCGGAAAGAAAAGAAAATGGAAAAGGGAATTTCGGAAATGGATTGTTTTGGCCCTGAGAATTATGCCTATTAATCAAGTTAGCAAGTTCTTTAACTTAATTAATTGAGTAAATTAGTTATTTATGTATCATGTGTACTCACTATGCACTTGTACCAGTTACCAAGAATCTTGAAAAGGAGTTCAGAAATGAATCGATTGATGTTGATGCTGGAGGTAGTGGGGTTATCACTGCCTAAACCTCTAATTTTATTTTTTAAATTTATTGATGTTTAGTTTTGCTTAAGTTTCTTTACTTTTTGTGTAGTTGCACATGGAACAAAGACTCCACAAAAGGAAATTACCACTTTGTTATTAGATGATGATGCTACTGATGTGGGCACAGTAGCAGAGGATGGTGGTGGTGCTGCAAGAGAGGAGATGCCCAGGTTGGATGTCTCTGTGGTTTCTAGTTCTCCAAACCATGAAGTAAGTATTCATACTTATCTCAAAGATTTTTATGTTGTATTTCTTGCTTGGGTGAGTATGTTTTCAGCCAAATATACGACCTTAAAGCAATTGTAATGGGCCTAAACTTTAAAATGTCACTATACTTGGTTACTCTCTTATTTGCTAGACCCAAAATTTTACCCCTTTTTATGGGGATGGCCAATGTGGATCTTAAGCATATTGTTAATAATGACTTCGTTTGAAATTGTTCCAGAAAAAGCAAGTATGTGCAATTTCAGATGATGATGAGAGGATTGAAATGCGTTCTTCATCAACTCTGATCTCAAGTCCTTCAACATCTGAAGGTTTCTCTTTAATTTTTCTGCCATAAAAATCAGTACATAATCAAGTATTGTTGGTGCCTTTTTTCTCTCACAATTTTGTGTCTTTCATTTATCTTACCCCAAACTTTCTGCATAATTGTAGCTCCATTAGAAGAACAAGAATCATACCCTGGTTCTGGTGGATATGAAATTGTAAGTGTGTTTCCTTCCCCCTTATTATTTTTGATATTGTCTTTATTGGTGGTTTTCTAAGAGCCTAGATAAGGAAATTAAATCTTGTTTTGATGAGTATGAGAAACATAGAAAATAGGGGGAAAAAAGACGAGACATAATAATAGACTATTGAAGTAATAAAAAGTTAAAGGTTAAAGGAAAATTCCCCGAGGTCGTTTTTGTTCAGAAAGTGGGATATCTTCTCATACTGACATTCTTGACGTTGGAGTTTGGTAGAGGCCAAGTCTATCAAATTTTATCCGAATCCCTGGATCACCCATGCACCATCAAATTTGAATTGGAAGTTATGTTAGAGATATTCCTAAGAGGCTGGTTATGATTTTTACGTTTAAGAACGTTTGAGTTTGGTAGTACTACCTTTTGACTTGACTCTATTTGATCCGTAGCAATTGGAACCCTTAATTATTGCCTTTTTAAGACCATTTCCTGTTTCAATTCTGGTGCTGTACTGATTAATTGGGCCCCAAGGTGTCATTGGGATTTAGTGCTGCTCTGTTTTCCCTTCCAGTAGGGAAGTGTGTATTGGTGGAGAATGACGTGTGTTGGTGGGAAGGAGTTTTCCCTTCCAGTATGTCACCTTTAAATTTGCAATTTGTAAACAAAAATAAAGATGCATGTATAACTATATGTTTGGAGACTCCTGGCAGACAAGTATGTAACCACATAGAAAATGTATGTTTTAGCGGCTATTCTAGTTTTCAGTATGTTTATACACATTTCCTGGATGTTGCCCCAATATTTGAAGACATTAATAATTAGTTTTTTCCACTCTAAGCGATTTCTAACTTTAAATTGGATTTGTTTACCCCCTCTCCGAAAAAAAACCTTTAAAGTACATGCTCGACTCTGAGGTCCATGCCCAGGATGTACTTGTTACGCAAGTTATTGTACAGAGTCTACGGACAGGGAATCAATAGCATGTCACTATATGTAAAGGTATGGCCAGATAGATGTTGAAATGTGATTAATAAAGTATAAATTTTATATCCACAGATCACATGTTAGCACATTCTTTCAAGTAGTTGTATTGTGAATTAGTGGTGCATGTTAAGGCAACAAACAATCACATTCTTTTACAGCTGCTGTTTCCTTTGCATTAGGGAAGTTACAGAAAAGTATATTAAAAGGATATGTGTGTGTGTTTACATAATGATATGGTGTAAATAAATCAGGTTTTACTCCATTTTAGAAATTTTTATAGAGTTTACGTACACTAATATTGACAGCATCTCAGTTAAATTTTCCATGTCGCTGTGTTAGTCTAGAAGTTCAACTATTAATGGGACATTGGGACCAAGGGACATATAATATCTTTGAGTGGAAAATTGGTTATATCATGGAGATTGAGTCAGAATGGTGTAGATTTATCTAATTATACACGAGGTTTTTTTTAAACTTGTATATGAGCAATTTGATAATTTGCTTATTGTAGGTTGAAACAGCTACAGGTGACCTTCAACTTGAATCAAGGGATTCTAGAGCAGCTGCAAATGCAAATAAAACTTCAGGTTTGTGCATATTTAGATAAATGGTAATGGGGCTATCTTGTTTTTGTATTGGATGGAATCATATGATTTTCATTAAAAAAGTCTTCTTGCAAACAGTTATTCTCTACTTTAAAAGCTGCCTAGCGACAAGATGACCGTATGAGGCAATCTGTTGATAACTTGGCTAAAGTTGAAACTGTCATCAATTTCCTACGTTTGTCCCCAATCCTGAATATTGGGATCAGATCCTAGCTTCACCTTGTCATTGCAACAACTACAATCACTCCCTGTTTCTTGACATTCAGCTGCCTTACTATGTGCGGCACTCATGTGCCTCCACAAAAACTGCTAGCACCACCAAACGTGTTGTGTGTAGAATGCATCAATAGAATAAGAACAACTCTTTTAAAATATTTTTGGAGTGCTCAGATGGATAAGTATCTAGAAGCTATCAAAGTTGAGATTGGTTAAATGAAATATCAAGTTGAAATGATCTAATTTCAGACTTTAACATATTGAGTTGATTATAAAGGAGTGGGTTCATCCTAATTAAAGTTCAAAAAGCTAACCCTGTAGAAATGTTCCTTTGTGTAATATTTCACTTTATAGTCAATATCTTTTTAATTATGATGCCCTCTATTATTGCATGCAGGACAGGAAGCAATCAGTTCATTGGATGCGAGATATGGGGATGTGTGGATCCTTGATTTTGAGTGAGTGCTCAACTGGCGCAGTATATTATTTTTTATTATTTTTACATTGAATCTGTGTGACTGTTCATCTTTTTTAGTTTCTATGATTTACAACTGAAACAGGGTTTATGCTGTAGTTGATTTATTATGTACAAGTTTTTGGCAAAAGTCACTTTTGGTCCTTGTAGTTAGCTGGATTTCCCACTTTGGTCCCTGTGGTTTCAATTATGGTGATTTGACCTTTGTAGTTTGATATCCATCGCAATTTAAGGACATTTCCAAATTTATGTCCAATTGCATGACTGAGTAAGCACGTGCCTCTCACGTGGAGGGGTATTTCTGTCCACCCATACCATATACCTTGGTGCTCTTCTAAAATTTCGATCCTATGTTGAGATTTCGTTCAATTCCTATAGGGTTCAGAGTGAGGGAAATTAGAGGGTGAGGAATTTTGATTCAGAGGTTGAAGAAGTGGTTCATCTTGTTGTGGGAGACTGAAATATCCCTCCACGTGAAGGGCACATGCTTACTCCATAACGGAATTGTACGGAAACTTGGACGTGTCTTTGAATTGTGATGGGTGTCAAACTATAGGAGTTAAATTGCCAAAATTGAAAAAATATGTCAAACTACAGGGACCAAAAGTGACTTTTTCCCTAAGCTTTAAAATTATTTTTTATAAGAATTTTAATTGCTATAAAATCTTATAGTGCTTGTTTAGACTCTCATCTCATTCCAAGGTTAAAACTTGATGTATTTCCAAATACCAGAGGAATTTTTTCTCTTTCTTTTCTTTCTGGTATACTTCATCCATTATATTTTAACATTTGTACATGTTTTGGTATTTAAATTTTGGCTCATTATTGTTAACTATAAGTTTATTGACTTTGATAGTATCCAATCTCACACATTTTTGCTTCTTTATGATTCTGTTTGATGTAGTTTGTTTGTTGTAGTTTCAGTAAGCCTTTTGAAGATGTTATCTATCCACAAGGGGATCCTGATGCAGTTTGTATAAGTAAGAGAGATCTTCAGCTTCTACAGCCAGCAACATTTATTAATGACACTATAGTTGACTTTTATATTCAGTAAGTTTGACCTGGCTCCTTTCAAGTCTTTCTTATTCTGGACCTAGTTTTGAAGTTGTACGTATTCATGTTGCAGGATCTTAACATGTTTGACCTTATAAACTTTCATTTTGTCATCCATATGGATTCAGTGTTGGTTATGGCTATCTCTTGATTGTTTACAATCTTATACAACTCATGTAGTATAGTCCACAACAAAGCCCCCAATTTTTAGGAATCCAGTTTTTATTAGCAACAAGTATTTTATACCTTATAATTGGAAACATGATATGGGCATTGAGAAGTTAATTGGAGATTATGGAAACTGGAGAAGATATATATAATGACTCTGCTTAGAAGGTGACAATGCCTTGCAATCGTCATGGTTTTAGATCAGTAGATTTCAAAATTTGAATGCTGTAGATGAACCTATGATATTCTTTGCTGGAAAGAAATTGACTTCATATGGTCTTTGAGATTGGTAGGTTTCTAGTATCAGATAATAATTGTATTCTATTATTGATTGGAAAGGAGTAGCTGGTTTTTTAGGACTAAGGAGGAGAGGAAGTTCATTTCATAAAAGGAATTCAGTGAGGAATCTTTTTTTTTAATACTTAATATCAAAATGGAACAGTTAAAAGATATACATGCAATGAGGTCGTAGCTTCTAGTTCCTCTTTTATATCCGACTACTTCCACATAGTAAGAAATTCTGATTTTGGCTTATTGGCAGATACTTAAAAAGTAAAATTCAACCAGAGGAAAAGCATAGGTTCCACTTCTTCAATAGTTTTTTCTTTCGGAAACTTGCTGATCTAGACAAAGATCAACCAGGTGCTTGTGAAGGAAAGGAAGCATTTCAACGCGTTCTTAAATGGACTAGGAAAGTGAATGTTTTTGAGAAGGATTACATTTTCATTCCTGTAAACTACAGGTGAGAAAGTGTGTTACATTGTTTTTCGTGCAGATTGGAGAGTAATCCTATGATACCAACTTCTTAATATGAATTATTACTGCATCTTCTGCAGGCTGCACTGGAGTTTGATTGTCATCTGTCATTCGGGTGAAGTAGCTAATGTTGAAGGCAAGACCTTTTATGATTTGGATTTATGTCTTGTATGTACCATGGTTATTGCCATTTCAGTTGATTTCTCTAATTATCTTGCAGATGAGGAAATTGAAAGTTCACCCAAGGTTCCGTGCATCTTGCACATGGATTCAATTAGAGGGAGTCATAGAGGCCTCAAGAATCTTGTTCAAAGGTAGCTTTTGATAGCACAGCTTCATGATCAGTCGCCTTCTGGTCTATTATTTGCATCATAATCTTATCCATATTCTTTTTTTTATCCTGGCCGTGTATCCATATTATGTAGAGTCTTAGCGTATCTTCAACAAAAGCTGTTATGAATTTGTATATGCCTCTATTTTAGTCGTTAGATTACATTCAGTTGATGGGGAAAGTGAAATGTCCATCCAGAAAATGATAAAACAGATAAAAGTAAAGGTGAAGCCTGGTGTCATGAACTAACAGTCAAGGATGTACGGATGCTTGCATAAAATTTTACTACTTTATCAGTCTCAATCTGCAACCCTGTCCCATGTTTTGAATCCTCAAAAGGAGGCCATACTGGTCCACTGTGAAAAGTCAATACAGATAAGTTGGTGACTCTTTTACATTTCTCATGAAAAGAATTAAATATTTTCTTTTTTAATGCAGGGGTAGTTCCGTGAAGTGGTGGTTTTGTAATTTAATATGAATGTATCTGATAGTATTCCCTACTGAGCCAAGGTTTCTCAAAATAGCCCTAGAACAGAGGAAAAACCTGCTGATGGATTTGTGGCTTATGGTCACCTTGTAAGCTGTTATGTGAACTTCTGTATGAAAAAAATTCATATTCCTTAACTCATTGTAAAATTTTCTTTTGGTATAAATGATGCCTAAGGACTGGGGTGGAGGAGGGGGAGATTCAAAATCTGGCTGTAAGTTTTACTAACAAAATTTTTAATAAATAAAAAACATTTGCATAAGCTCACAACTTGAGTTGTTTGATCTATAATACATTATGGCATAACTATAGAATTCTTATAATCTGAATGATATGCTATAATTCTGAAGTATATGTCCTCATGCTGTTTGAGGCTAAGGATCACACCGATTGCCCTAATATTTAATATTGTCATGAAATGACAGATACCTATGTGAAGAGTGGAAAGAGAAGCATGGTGGGACAGCAGAAAATGTTTCTTTGAAATTTCTACATTTGCGATTTGTCGCACTGGAGGTATCCTTTTTTTTTATATATATAATATAAAAAAAATAAAAAATAAAAAAAACTAAAATCTATTATCAATTATTAAGGAACAAAAACTCTTTCTGCTGAAGATATCTATTTTTCCCATAAGGTAATCTTTTCGGCATAGTTGCCTAACACAGTACTAGAGTTCAGATTGTTGGAGGTCCTGGGGTTGAAACCTCTAATCTGTCTTTCCCACTGGTGTTGACCAGTACCCTGGTTGGCTTGCTTGCAAAAACATTTTAGACGCTTTAGTTTTATTTATTTTGATTGGAGGGAAGTTATGTATTGATTGTTCAGTGTATACAGTTAGTTTTAGTTGTTCTCTTTTATGGACATTGTTGTCTATCATTCCTTGTGCTGTTTTCTTTTCTTAATAAAGTTCTGCTTATTAGAGAAAAATAAATTATTGTTTGCTTGACTTTTTCTTTTCTGTCATATTGATTCAGCTGCCACAGCAGGAAAATTCATTTGACTGTGGTCTCTTTTTGCTTCATTATGTGGAACGTTTTCTGGAGGAAGCTCCTGTTGAGTTTAGCCCCTTTAAGAAGTTCAACTTTGTAAGTGATCTTATCTCCTTTCAGCATAGCCTCAAACTTAAAATGGTACATGTTCTGTTTCTGGATGATACAGTAACTTCTCTGTTAGTTCTTTGATTCTGTGTCCTTTCAGTCTCTATTAGTCATCCCTAAAGGAATTATTGGCATAAAGCTTTCACACAACCCCCCCACCCCCCAAAAGCATATTGTCAACGTCACATGCACCAAGCATATTATAGTTATATACTTATATATGTAGGCACGTGAACATTACCAATTTTAATCAAGATAAGTTGGTCAGATTCTTATTATGCCTTCCTGCAAGATTTTTGCATGTGGCATGCAGATATGGCTTAAGAATATTTGTTCTCTACAATTTCCTTGTGTTTTGGATGTGGAGGTAGGGAATCCACAGTTCTTGTACCCTGCTAAACTGGACTAGATAAAAATCTGTTCTTTGTTTACAATAGAAAAACTAACTGTTGAAATTTTTTTCATTGGAGAAAATCTACAGATGCATTTAACATGATGGTATCCTTTTTGTCCTTTATCTTGTATGTATAACTTTCTATCTACATGAAATTTCATTTAATATGCTACAAACATGTTATAATTTTTCAGCTAAACAAAAATTGGTTTCCTCCTGCGGACGCTTCTGTCAAACGGTTTCAGATTAAGAAGTTAATATGTAAAATCCTTGAGGATCATTCTCAGGAAGCTCTTGTAGATGATTGTATTGATAAATATCCTTCCTCTCAAGGGCCCGACAAAACACACAAGGAAGAAACTGGCATAAAGTTTCCTGAAGAGATGCCCAGGCTAACAAAAACATTTGATGTAAATTCCTCTAGTTCCAATGCATGTGGGATTAAAACGTCGTTGGAACCTTCTCCTCCTATACAGGTATGGTCTTTTAGAGAATCAGTATTGGTTTTGAAGGAGTAATATAAACCGAGCACTTGTCTCAGGTTGGTTTCTGATACATATTATCTGCAGATTGCTGCTCGTAATCTGAGCTTGATGTCACCAATAAAGGTAATCCTTTGTTTTCTTACTGATGAATCTAGAAGTTCCTTTGGTTATGGGTGTCTTGTTACTAGTTCGCTAGTTGGTAACATGTTGAGACTTGAAAAGACCTTTTTGTGGAACTTGGCTGAATATATTGTTGCGTGGCACTAGGAGGAGCATGCTTCACCAAAATTATAAGCTGTTCATATACGTGTTTGACCATGTTACATGCCATTTCTACTTCTGCACATGGTCGTACTTGTGCTTTGTACTTATTTTATTGATCTCAAGTCTTTAAGAACATAACGCTTACCAACACTGCCAAAGATAAGTGACATTCTCTGGGAAAGCTCAAATGCAGCAGTTTAATTGACATGCAAATGACATTGACCCAACTGGAAGTATAAAGAAAAGGATTTAATTATTTTGGTACAAGAGTATTTCGTGTAGAAACGACCACAATACATTGCGGAATAGCAACCTCCAAATTTTTTGATGTACAAACATGAAAGTGATAAACACACTCTGTTAGCGCCCAATAGTTTACCTGATGCTTTCTATGTTGCATAAGGTTCCCAAGAGTTCTCTTGATCATAATCAAGCATTAATGAGTAACACTGAACGGTGATATGGATTCACCAACAGTATTCTATTTGTTATCAAAGAAGAGTATCGTCTGATATGTGCATGCATGCTCTTGGAATTTGCTTTCCAGATTATGTCGTGTGCTCTATTGTTTAATCTTGTAGTTGGAGAGCCATGATATTGGTCTTAAACTGGTTGCAAATATTGCCTAACCAACAAAAATGTATGCACTTTATGTTGCTTGAAAACAGGAAGTTGAAGATACTGGGGATCAGATTGCCGATTCATCAGTCGACATGGAAGATCGTGAACAAGGCTTTGGATCTGATTCTGAATGCTATTTCTTTGAAGGATTGAGAATCTCGGAAACACCTTCGAAGCATGGATTCTCTAAGCATATTGGAGATTCTGTTGATGGGAACCCAATATCTCAGACATCTAGTGAAGATTGCTCGATTATGGAAAATGAGGCGTTTGACTATCCAAGGAAAACAGATACATCTGAATCTTCTTCAAGTGATGATTTCACAGCTTGTGTTGTACTGGATTCTGAAGAGGAAAACGACAATGAGATTCAATATTTATCTTCCACTCTAGAAGACCAACCTTCATTCCATCAAGTAACTGACTCAACTAAAATCATAAATCCTAAAGAGATTATGCCTTTGAGGAGGAAGGATCCAGTGTCAGATTCCTCCGGCCAACAGGCCTCAAAGCGGCTACGGCTCACTCGTCATGTAGATAGATGACGAGGACCTACTAGGAGCCTAATGAAAAACTTGCGTTTGTGAAGGTCATGCTGTAAATAGAGTAAGCAATATTTTACTGTGTTATTGATAATGCATAGCAAAAAGAAGTGTAAAGGGTAATAAGAGAATCGTACTCTACACTTGTATAGAGAGAGTTGGGGGGGAAGTAACTTTCTCTTTTATTTTTGTTCTTTTTTCTTGGGTCAAGAGGGAAAGTTACTTCTCAAAATGCAAATATAGCAAGTTTTGTATTCATATTAAAAACACTTGGACGAAAATATTACCCTCCTCGTACGTGAAAATGCGAATAAATTTTAAATTAATAACAATCCAACAGAACTCACAAGTAGTAACAGTAAGTACACAAGTTAAAATAATACTCAAAAGAGTACTAGTACATGATCAGAAAGAAACACACGACAAATTATATTACAACGATGTATTTAAATAGTGAAACAAATTAACTAAAACAAATATTTAAGAATATTCAAGGAAGGGTGGTTTTGTGGGGTGGAATGAGAGAAGGGAGGGGTGTGTCCTTGGGGAGGGTTGGGATGGAGGGCAATGTGGGCTTAGGTAGGTCAGCTGGGAGATGGGGAAGAGGTGGAATTTCAGGCAACTTTGGCAACTCAGGCTTTGGCAAAGTTGGAACATGGGGGTGCCGGTGGCAATTCGGGTTTCGGCAATGTTGGCAGCTCCGGCTTCGGCAAGGTTGGCAGTTCTGGCTTCGGCAGCTGGGGCAGCTTAGGCTTTGGCAAAGTGGGAAGTGGTGGAAGCTCGGGCTTTGGAAGCTGGGGCACTTGAGGGACGGAGTTAGTCTCCAGAAGAATGCGAACCCCTGCAACCATTGTTTTGGAGCTCATTGAGGACAAGGTAAAAACCAAAAATAGTGGAAAGACGAAGGCCGGGAGGCCATGAAAGGCCATATTGTGCAGCTAACTGATGATAAAAATGGATGTATAGGAGGAAGGAAAGCTGTAGTTGTTGCAATGGATATGAGTTGTGGTTTTACTTTGGGCAGTGAAACAAGTATTTCTAGATACACCTTGGATGGATTTTGAGGTCTCAGAGAGGGTTTGGTCAAAGGGTGTTTGGTGTTGTTAGGTCAACTTTTGAACTGCAAATACTTCCATTTCATAACTTCCACAACTATATGTGATTGATTGCTTGCTAAACTCAAGGGAGGTATAGTTCGGAAGTCTGAGTGTCGTATCCACAGAGAGCAGAATAAAGAAAATAACAAAGCTGAAAAAGAACAATTAAAATAGAGAAGTAGATTTAAGCAAGATTTGATTTAAAGAAATTTAATTGATTAAAAAACTAAGGCATTGGGGTTCCACTTTTAACATAAGCATGCAACTCTTATTAATTTGATCCACAAAACATTTTCCATTGTAATTGTTCAAAATAATGAAAGCTCTTTTTAATTTTGAAAGTATTCTAAGCATAACTTGTACCATTGACAACAAACTATCAAAAAATAATCTTCATCAAAATTCTATTAATCTTTAGTAATTATCTCATCTTTTAAAAGCATGAAAGTTTTTACTACACAATGGGAAAAACATGATTGAACCCATGAAGTAGATTATCAAACATTCATCAATTAATTAAAAAGAAAACTACAAATTCCATTTGAACAAAAACTACAAATTCACATTAAAGCTTAAGTTTGGATCAAACTAATAAAAATTACATACTCATATTAAAAGCTTTCTCCCTAGCCTTAGCTAGGGAGTTAGTTCCCCATAAAAACTAAAACAGAAATTAAAACTATAAAGATGGAGGAAGGAGAGAAAGCTCAAGAAGTTGCGGAGCTTGATGTGTTTTTGAAGCTGCAGCAACATCCCAATTTATAGGCTGAGAGGGAGTAACATCACGATGGATTCCAACACCACCATTCCTATTTTAATTCAATGCCTAACCAGGGTCGTCCCTGAGATTTTGAGGGCCTTGTGCTAAACTTAAATTGTGGCCTAACATAATCTAATATAAAAATATTTATAACTAAAAGTCATCATCAATAAATTATGTAATGACAAAAACATACCTTATTATCCAAAAATCATTCACCTTGTATTTGTTATCTTTATTTAAAGAATTAAAACTATTACAAGAGTTTTTTTTCTCAAAAGAAAAAAAAACACCCAGTACAATACTTCTTGAATTTTTAGAAGACAAATGATCAATCAAATGTTCATAATCAAGTTTTTCTAGAAGTTCACTTCTAATTGAAATCAAAGCTAGTCTGTTCAATCTTTCTTGTGACAAAAATTGTCAAATGATTGAAAAAATAAACCAAAGAGATATTGATGAATGATGTGATTACTTACCAGAAAATCAGAGTTTAAGATAAAGAAGAAGCCATTAAATTTTTTTATTTTTTTATTTTTTTTGAGTGAAAGAAAGTACTTTTTCAAGGCCTTGTGCAGTGGCACTACTTGCACCAACCCACTGCCGCCCTATGCCTAACTCCCACTTGCCTATGTTGGTGCGGCTGGCCATAATTCCTTGCTGATTCTTTTTCTATTTTTTTTTCTTTCCTTGTGGCAGCTGCACTTGGAAGACACCTCAACAAGCAAATGGATTTAATTTATTCTTTCTTGCTGCCATTTGCCCACCAATATTTCCCCTCATTTGTGTTTCTCCTCTAGTGCTGGGGGCACCTCCATATCTTCCTCATTGTTTATACAATTCATTCTTTTGGGTGGGATCTGTAAGCATATTGGAGATGCTGTTGATGGGAACCCAATTTCTCAGACATCTAGTGAAGATCGCTCGATTAATGAAAATGAGGCATTTGACATCCAAGGAAAACAGATACATCAGAATCTTCTTCAAGTGATGATTTCACAGCTTGTGTTGTGCTGGATTCTGAAGAGGAAAACGACAATGAGGTTCAATATTTATCTTCCACTCTAGAATACCAACCTTCATTCCATCAAGTAACTGACTCAACTAAAATCATAAATCCTAAAGAGATTATGCCTTTGAGGAGGAAGGATCCAGTGTCAGATTCCTCCGACCAACAGGCTTCAAAGGGGCTACGGCTCACTCTTCGTGTAGATAGACGACGAGGGCCTACTAGGAGCCTCATGAAAAACTTGCATTTGTGAAGGTCATGTTGTAAATAGAGCAAAAGAAGTGTAAAGGGTAATAAGAGAATCGTACTGTACACTTGTATAGAGAGAACAGCTTGTAAAGAGTATGACGGGTGACTATTCATATTAAAAACACTTGGACGAAAATATTACCCTCCTCATACATGAAAATGCGAATAAATTTTAAATTAATAACAATCCAACAGAACTCACAAGTAGTAACAATAAGTACACAAGTTAAAATAATACTCAGAAGAGTACTAGTACATGATCAGAAAGAAACACACGACAAATGATATTACAACGATGTATTTAACTAGTGAAACAAATTAACTAAAACAAATATTTAAGAATATTCAAGGAAGGGTGGTTTTTTGGGGTGGAATGAGAGAAGGGAGGGGTGTGTCCATGGGGAGGGTTGGGATGGAGGGCAATGTGGGCTTAGGTAGGTCAGCTGGGAGATGGGGAAGAGATGGAATTTCAGGCAACTTTGGCAACTCAGGCTTTGGCAAAGTTGGAACATGGGGTACCGTAGGCAATTCAGGTTTCGGCAATGTTGGCAGCTCCGGCTTTGGCAAGGTCGGCAGTTCGGGCTTCGGCAACTGTGGCAGCTCCGGCTTTGGCAACTGGGGCAGCTCAGGCTTTGGCAACTGGGGCAGCTCAGGCTTTGGCAACTGTGGCAGCTCCGGCTTTGGCAACTGGGGCAGCTCAGGCTTTGGCAAAGTTGGGAAAGTGGGGAGTGGTGGAAGCTCAGGCTTTGGAAGCTGGGGCACTTGAGGGAAGGAGTTTGTCTCCAGAAGAATGCGAGCCCCCGCAACCATTGTTTTGGAGCTCATAGACGACAAGGTAAAAACCAAAAGTAGTGGCAAGACGAAGGCCGGGAGGCCATGAAAGGCCATATTTTGCAGCTAACTGATGATAATATATGGATGTATAGGAGGAAGGAAATCTGTAGTTGTTGCAATGGATATGAGTTGTGGTTTTGCTTTGGGCAGGGAAACAAGTATTTATAGATACAACTTGGATGGGTTTTGAGGTCTCGGAGAGGGTTTGGTCAAAGGGTGTTGTTTGGTGTTGTTAGTTCAACTTCTGAACTGCAAATACTTCCATTCATAACTTCCACAACTATATGTACTGCATGGACATCTATTAAGTCGTGGGAAGATATAATAGCAAATTGAAGGAGCAAGTATTCCAACCAACTTTGTTCAAAGCCCGCTCGTTTCATATTTTATGTTATCTTTTATCCTCAAATGCACACAAGTCATTTTCCCCTCAACGTAGAGTAGAGGTAATAGTTTGTTCAATCAATACTAACTCGTGGTCTAATGATTCCAACGGTGGTAGAAGAGGTTCCGAGCTCAAACTCTATCCAAATTATTAAGAAAAAATATTGTTCAATAACTTCTAAGAGAACCAAATTTCATGGCAACTCATGTAATATTCTCTATGGATTGGACAAATTATGTGTAGAATATGCATGGAGTGCACTTATCAAAGTACTTCTTACATTGACAACTTAGCCTCTTTTCTCATGAAAATTGGTCCATTGTTGGTTTTCCTTCGTTTTTTGACATTCTTTTTCATTTTTTTTCTAGGGTCATGAATCAAATTCCTTCCAACATCCTTGTTCATTTGGGGGTTCACAGTGCAATATTTTTAGTTCTCAGGGTTTAGAGTGCTAAGAAATTGATAATTTTTCAACGTAGCATATCTTTCCTAAAATGTGAAAATTAAAAAAATAAAGATTTTTTTAAATATTAAGATCTTCTTCTTAGAATTGATACTTTAGATGTCTTATTGATGTCTTTGATTATACAGTTGAAGTTTATTCAACGAAGTTTCTCTTTGATAAAAAAAAAATTTTTTTCTTTTTCTTCTTTCCTACTTTTTTTTTTTTTTTTTTTTTTTTTTTTTTTTTTTTTTTATTTTTATTTAAGGCAAAAAATTGAGTTTTAATTCCAGCTATTTAAAAATAAATAATAAAAAAAGAAGAAGAAGAAGAAGAAGCCAGGTGACAAATTTGAGTTGGAACTATGACCAGTTGACGTGGTATTACTGCGTCAAATAATAATTATTCCTCTAATTCACACGTGTGTGGGACAGCTAACTTGTATTCGTCTGTCTACTCCATCTCCGAAAAAACCATCTGAAACTCCGTGAACATAGAGAAATAGCGAGAGAGAAAAAGAGAATGGGTGACGATAACGTGAAGGCTGAGGCTTTGGAGATACTCGGAATGTTCCAAGTCCTTCCGAGATTGGTTGTCTTCGATCTTGATTACACTCTCTGGCCTTTCTATTGGTACGTCCTTTTCTCTTTTTTCCCACTACAACCTGTTTGGTTCCCGAGAAAACTAAAAAAAATTATGTTTTCCCCAAGGAAGCAGCGAAATGCTCCATTCTGTTCTCTTTTTTTATTAGTTTATGTATAACCCAGATGACCAATGAATAAGTTTAGTTGAATTTTCCCCTATAATTTGCTTTTCCTGTCATCTTTGAAATTTTCTTAAGACTCTTGTGTGTGTATCTTTGAAAGTTTTTTTATACCTAATCTTCATATTGTAATATATATTTTAATTTTTCTGGTGGATAAAATTAGTTTTGAGTTTTAACTACAGCTGCTTGATTATAACATTGGAAGTGAACACCCATAGCATTGAGCCCGTGCATGTTCTCTATGGGTCAATGAGTTTCCCAGTTTAATGTTTAGTGTTATTTTGTGAGAAAATGCATTGACACCCAACCCAAGTGTAGGAATTGGTCTAGGCAACAGCAGTGGGGTGAGATTTTGGAGGGTCTAGAGGCTACCCCCATTTGTAGCCTATAGCTAGCTATCCATGGACACAAAGAAAAGAAAAGAGAATCTTTGAATTGAGAAATATGCCTAACATATTAGTACTGTTTAACATGTTCGCTTGCAACAAATTGTTTACAAATTTATGTTCAGCCTCGACTTACATCTGTGTTCTTTTTGCAGTGAATGCCGCTCCAAACGTGAAATGCCATCGCTTTATCCCCATGCTAGAGGTATATTGTATGCACTGAAGGAAAAAGGAATTGATCTTGCCATTGCTTCTAGGTCCCCAACTGCAGATATAGCAAAGACATTTGTTGACAAATTAAGCATCAAGTCAATGTTTGTAGCCCAGGTGATACAGCGGAGCACTTTTCTTTTTCTTGGTGTTTTCCCTCCTTCGGACGATATCTTTTCTATACTCCTTTTTTTCATTAATGTTTCAATTGGGATTAAGAGAACTGGCCAAAGGCATGCTGACTGCAAATCTAGTAATTGAATTTTACTTTTAATTTTGATTTTCTGCTTATACAGGAGATCTTTTCGAGCTGGACACACAAGACAGATCATTTCCAGAGAATTCATACAAGGACTGGGGTCCCCTTCAACTCAATGCTTTTCTTTGATGATGAGAACAGGAACATCCAAGCGGTAAGATTATGCCTGCCTTTTCACCATAGTCATCGTCTCCTTTTGGCATCTTGAAATGAATATGAATCAAATTTACAAATACATGACTTTTCCCAAAAGATTTGAAGTGAAGAAAAATGAAGAAAAAATGTTTGAATTATGAACTTGTTAGTGCTTCAAATTTTTATACTTGTGGAGGTTTTATATTGGTATGGTAGCACAATGTGTAAAGGAAAAAATCATCCTGTCATTGGGTAAGGTGAAGCTAAACTTCTGTGCATTCAAGAGAAGTGATTTGGGGTTAGTTTTTTAAGTTTTAACAACACACATGCAGACTTTCTGCAGCCCACATAGGTAAAGCTGAAAAAGGAGATTACAGGTCTAATCATAGGCAATTATGTCGACACACGGGCTGCTGTGAAACCAAATGAGGCATTTGTGCTGCAGAAATAAGCCCACCCTTTTCCCCTGCCACTTTTGCTTCTTATTATCAGAAACCACTGTTTATCTGTAGTGTGACAAAGATTGTTCCATGCCAAGAGATTTTGTATTCATAATATTCCTGGCCTTGGTGTTCATATATCTTCAATTTATATGAGACTTGAATCTTGCACCCATTTATCAACACTTTGTGATGGTATTGACAGGTTTCAAATATGGGCGTCACAAGCATTTTGGTAGGTAATGGGGTAACTGTTGGAGCATTGAGGCAGGGTCTTACAAAATACTCTGAAAATGTGAATACATCTGAGAAGAACAAGCAGAAATGGCGCACAAAGTTCTCCAAAAATTCGAGTTCATCTGAGCAGAATGAAAAGAATTGAATCTTCCATAGATGTTGAATCATGTACAACTTCAAAAGTATTGATTTGTTCTTGTATTGTCAGGGATTATCGTGTGACAAGCACATCCCGGTTATGATAACGATTTGTTGTATCAATTATCAAGAAATTCTCTAGACACTCCCCTGTAGCATCTGCCTCATCTCTAGACACTCAAGACGATGGTCAAGAAACTGTGATGTCATCCTAAAGTAGTATACATATTTATTCGTTTACATATACACATAAGAACAATAAACAACTCCAGGGCTTAAATATCCCGTTCGAGTTTAGTTAGGTATTCTAAAAAGGGATTTGGAGATTGCCACAAATAGTTCAAACGTGCTCGAAAAGTGAAACAATAATCTACAATTCTGCATGGGCAACTGTTGTAACATGAAGAGAAGTGCTCGGGGAGCTTTTGAAGCAGGAGAGTAAGAGCTTAGAAGTGAAAACATCACCTGCTTTCGGGGGTTCCTTTTACGCATCTATTCAAGGCTTAATTCATGGTTTTAGCCGCCTTTTCTTTGTGGAAAAGGCCTTTTTTTATTAAAAGAAACGGAGACAAAATGGTGAAATGATCATGAAACATGCTAAGGAGAAGCCTTTGTTGCAAGCAAAGGCCCCCAATTGATCTCTCTATGAGCTGAATCTGTAAAAGACGAGATTTCAATTTCAAAACCAGGAAGAATTTTACTGATTGCGTTTGAAAACACGTGATCCAGGATTTGGAATTGAAGAATTTAATTTCAGGTACATTATTTATTCTTGCATGCCGGAAGGAAAAGGATAAAGTTGGCACCATAGCAAAGCTCATAAGTTCTTTACAGACACAGCTCAGAGAATATAAATGGACTCGTACAACCACACAATTAACAATGACTAGGCTCCTATATTCCCAAAAACAAAAAGAGGGGCTGGCCTATTGCAAGCTTTGTGGTAACTCATACAACATACAGCAGAATATTACAAAATATTTGTCTGCCCTTCCTTGCCAATAGGTTCAAGCTCAAAGAGGTCCCGAACCTTTTTTCCAAATTTCGAGTAACAGAACTTAAACTTCCTGCTATTCTGGCCACTGTACACAAAAGAAAGCTATTACAGTCAAATTTCCAACAAACTATTGATACATGAGAATTTATTCATCTTAAGAATTTAATTGTGGCATGATTACTCCTCTTCTCATGAATGAAATCACCTTATCCAACATAAAGGATGATGGATTTATGTGCTAGTTCCAGATTCTAGTAGCCCTCTACATTATAGTGTTATTAGCACACTTCCTCTGCGCTAAAACAATGTATGAAGTCCCTCATCACATCGATTACATCAGCTTCATTATGCAGTCAGCATGATCAACGGCTGTGGGAAATCCCTATACAATATGCATCCTATATCTAGCAAGTCGCCTATGCTTATATCAGTTTCATGTTCAGCAAATTCGCAAAGTGCTTCACTACATTGTAGCACTTACTAAAATATGGTTCAATGAGAGGCTGAGAGTGTGAAACAGAACACACCACTCAAGGATACTGGAAAGAGCTCTGCTCTCTCTTCCCTTAAGTTAAGGAAGAACTTTCTCTCAACGTCAAAGCACAATCTCTTAAACACAGAGATTTTGATCCTGCCATGACCCAATACAGAATATGCATGCTAAGGGAGGGAGGGAAGGGGGGAGCGGCAGTGAAAAACAACTATATTAGCTAAAAATGTCTTTTATAATATATGAAAAACAAGAAAAAAATCATATGTTTACATTTTAAAACACATCATGGGTTTCTGAATTACCTTGTACGCCAGTTAAAACTGCATTTCTTCTCTTGACTACAACTGCCGCTGATTCACCTCTTTCAGTGGTGATCTTCCAGCACTAGTGTCAAGTTTAGTTGCTGAGGCAGAGAAAGAAGCGTTTGGATTCTCTTCGCTAAAATCATAGAGCTCATCATCCACTGTCAAATTCATTGCTGGTCCCACGTCTACCTTAGACCTTTGCAACATTGTTTCTAAAAAATTCATCATCTTCACATCACCACAAGTGAACTCACCAATATGATCACAGAATCCTTCCATGTGAACTAAAAGTTCCTCCCTTTCTTTTGATAGCTTTATGGTGTCTTGAAGGAGAACCCCTTGTTCAAACTCAAGCTGCTTGACTATGCCTTCCAGTCTCCTGTGTTCACCCATCAGTTTATCATTTTCCACTTTGTTGGCTTCCAATAAAGCTTGAAGTTCCTCTTCTTGTTGTTTTTGAGTAAACAAGGCTTCCTTCTGATGGATCAATCTTTGGCCCAAACCAGATACTTCCTTCTCCAAATCAACAATTTTTTTGTTCTTCTCTTCAATCACTAGCTCTGTCATGTGTTCGGCATTCTTTAAAGCTTCAGTCGTAAGCAGATTTTCTACGACTTCTGAAAAAGACAATACAAATGCACTTGTCAAGTCTTCCTCTAACAACGATGCCAATACTTGGAGATTTTTTATGTTCTGGTCTTTCTCATTTATAACCTTGAAAAGCCTCTCTTTCTCTTGTCCAACAGATTTCTCTGCATCTATGCCTGCAAGAATTGCTGCCTCCGCTTCTCTTTTCATGGACTCTCGCTCCATCCATGTGATATCTTTTTGGAGATTTACCATGCAGCTATCCTTCTCCTTCACATTTTTAATAAGGTTCTCTTTGTCTTGTGTTAAGGCTTCCACTTCCACTCTCTTTGCTGCAACTGTAGCTTCTAGAAGGACAATCTGCTGCTGTAGAACTTCAACTTTATTGTTTTGCTCCTTGATAATGGTGATAAGGCTTTCTTTCTCATGCTCAAGGACTTCTTCATTCTCAGATTGTGCAAGAAGTGAATTCTCCATTTGTCTACATTTTTCTTGATTTTCTTCACAGCACACTTTCAAGCTTTCAGCACTAGACTCCAAATTCTGTAACTCATATTTTAATTGACTTACTTCACGAATTTTCTTAGCCAGCTCAAGATTTGTCTTTTCTAAAGCCTCAGAAACATCTCTTTTCTCACCTTCCATCTGCAGAAATTTCTCTTCCATGTAAAGTTGATGTGCAGATGATTCCTCAAGCATCATTTTATGTTGTTGAATCTCTTCCTCCATGATAACCTGCTGTTGTTCAGTGAGTTCCAAGGACCTTACCCTCTTCATTAATTCTTTGACTTTCTCATGTTCTTGTTCAAGCTGAAGATGAACATTTCTTAAATCACTGCTCTTCATCTCCAACGGTGTTGTAAGTAGAGAGATCTTGTCATCCATACTGTTGCACAGCTGGATTTCAGTTTTTGCATCAGATCTTTTGGAGTAAGCCTCTGAGAATTCTGATTTATAGATCGTAAGTACTACTGAAATCTCTTCTTTTAGAACCTCAATCATCGAATGGTAGCTTTCTAGCTCCATTTGAAGCTCCTGTATCTGCTTCTCTTTACCCTTCAATTCAGAGTTATGTCTACTTATATCTCCTTTCAACTTTTCTATTTGGAAACTCAATTCAGATTCTTTAGCTTTCAGAATTGTGGAGCAGTTACCATGTACCTGCTCTAAGCCCCTAAGCTTGTTGCGTAGCTTTGTTAGTGCAGTTGACCCATAATTTCTGATTTGAGCTTCTTGTAGTTCTTTTAGAGATTCTCTCAATTCCTGATTCTCTTGCTCAAGGTGAACAATTCGAAATTCCATTTCTTTTGTGAATGGTTCTTTTGTTGACAGTGAGTTTCTTAGCTTTGCAATCTCTTCATCCCTTTGAACTGTCAAGCTTTCAAATTTTGACCTTTCTTGTTCACACTGCACAAAGACATTCTCATAACGTGATTTGAAGTCGGATACTTCAATCTCCAAAAACTTCCTCCTGCTTTCTTCATGAGCTAAAACTTGGTTGCACATCTCTAAACGTTTTTGAACACCTTCAAGAATTCTAGTTTGGGAATCCAAGCTTGTCTGCAATAAAGAGATCTCTTCAACCAGTGCTGATTTTTCCCTCTCCCACTCCTCTTTACTCAACTGGAACTGATCTTGGAGCCTTCTATGTGCTTCTTCAAGATGTCTAAACTGTTCTTTCTTCCATTTCAATTGATCATGAGCATTTCTATTTTCCTCCTCTAGTTCCAATATGATATCATCTCTCTGTCTCAGTTCTTTGGCTTCTTGAGCCTTCTGCTCTGCCTCGAAACAGTTCCTCTCTGAAGTTGATAAGAGTCTTTTAAGGCCCTCAATCTCTTTAGTACTGGCACAAAAATTCTGCTCCAACTCTTTGTTTCTTTCTGTTACTTCATCTAAGACAAATGCCAACTCCTTATTTTCTCCTTCCAATTTGTGCAATTTGTTCTCACTATCAACTTGAAGTTTTTCATGCAAAGAAGTCAAATGCCTGAAAGACGATTCTTTTTCACGCAAACAGGATTGAAGGGTTTCCGAAACCTTCTTTGCTTGAGAAATTTCCTCAAGCTTGACAATTAGTTCTTGAGCTTGTTTCTCAGTCTCCTGCTTAGCTTCTTGATACTTGATCAACTGCTCACTGTGAGCTTTCTTCAAAGCTTCAGAAAGTTCGGTCTTAACCTGGACTTCAGTCTTGAGCCTCTCGATCTGTGCTTTGACATCATCTAATTCTTTATATACGTCCCCCATTTCCCTTTGATTGTCAACTTGTGAGAATCCCTGCTGCAGTAAAATTTGAAGCATGAAGAAACATGTCAATGAGAGCATTTAAATATACAAAACTCAGAAGACACATGAGAAGTAAAAAAGCAGATTCAAGTAATTAAGCCTAAGAATTCTATGAGTTTTATGTCCATTTTACAATCCCACATGTCCTTAGTATGGGATTACTTGTTTGTAAATGAATCATTAGGCACACTGTTTCCCTGCAAGCTGCACGCAGGTTTTGCAGAAGCAATTCCTACCAATGAGTTCACATCATTTGGTATCAAAGCATACACCAGACCTAGTATGGGATTAGGCATAATATGGTTATGACTCTATGGGAACCTGAGGGGTTGCGTGATGCAGGAGCATCCATCCTAGCCAAAAAGGGCTAAATTTTAGCTGTAATAAATTATTAAGTTAATTATTTTGCTATCTTTACTAGGATTTAGTTTAATTTCCTTTGTCAGTTACGGTTTCTTAATAAACTAAGAATAGGAATGCTAGGCTGATGTACTCTAGTATAAATAGGCTATTAAGAGGCTCTTGTATTCAGTTTTTATCAATATAATTTCAGACTTTATTCTATAGAGTTTCTATTGGGATTTTGCCCTAGAACTCAATTATCTTCGTTCCAACTTCAATTCTACAGCCTTATCCTTCTATTCTCTGTGTTTGTGGGTTGTTTGAGTCGCTGGACAGCCGCTTATAGCCGCTGCCCTGCATCATTGCTACCATTCGAAAGTTATATGTGCAAAGTCACTCAACTGGGAACAATGGGCAATCATGGATGAATATTGCACGCGGTGAAGTATGTTATATGTGCCTCTGCAATCTCACCTAAGTATGGAAATTAGTTGCTAGAACTTTTGTGCACCTTCACCTTGCAAGTCAGTTTTGCATAGGCAAACTCTACCCCTGAGTTCATTCAGACTTTCCAATATAAATTATGCAAAAACTTTAAAGTAAAAATAAACCTACTGCAAATACACAAACCCGGATAAAAAACACTAGTAGATCTACCCAAATCCACAAATTGGGTTCCCAAACAAATCTATATCAGAAACAAGTTGAGGGCAATGGAGCAATAGAACAAAACCAAATTAGGATTTTTTTTATCAAAGCAGTTGACTGAGTACCCAAATTTCTACTGATTTATAGAATGTATGTATGAATATAAGGGCAAAGGCAAACAAGCCGAAGCTCGTTATTCTAGATTCAATTTTCTTTATTGAAAGATTTGGCCAAGAAGAAACCCTAGAGCAGGGAAAAAAAAGGGCTTTTAACAAGAAAGTAGAATCTGGACTTCATTGAAATGATATGCAAGAAATTGTTGAAGAAAGCGAGAGATACCTGTGAGTCGCAGAGTCGGAGACGAACCACAAGAGGTTTTCAAATTTGAGTTGAGCGGGAAGCAAGCTGTGTTCTTCTATAGGTTTTCAAATCTGAGTAGAGGGCCAAAATGGGGAATTTGCTTTTTACGTCTTCTCCCCACATTTCTCACTCCTCAGCCTCATAAAGTTGCTTGATTTTTGTTTTTATCTTTTCCTAAGTTTGAAATAATAAACATTTTGGGTTCATAAAAATTGCGATTCCGCGCCTGCGAGAAGCTTTTTTCAAAAAAATTTAAATTTATTTTAGAATTGAAAAAGATAATGGGTAGTTGTATTCCATAAAATAGGATCCATTATCTTATTTTTCTTTTAATTTTAATTTTTTTAATATGAAAATGTGTGAATTTACCATATTACTCTCATTTAATTAATAATTTCAATTCTTAATATTTGCATTAATCAAGGACATTTTTTAGTATTTTGAATGTTTCACAATTCTCTTTCTTTTGCTATATATATATATATATATATATATATAAAATAATTACCATTTTGGTAAGAAAATAATGAAACTTCTTTTGGTGAATAAACAAAGCACTATCCTCCACACAAGAAATTAAAGGATTAATTGGTGAATTACTCCTTGAACTTGTACCTAAGTTTTAATTAGCCCCCTAGTCTTTTTTTTTAAGAAAATTAAGGATATGAACTTCTTCTATTTTCACCAATTTCCCCCCGCCATCTAAATCATCAATATTTCATCTAATTTTCTGTTAAATAATTAATTATTTATTATAATATTTTTTTAAAAAATAAAAAAAAGAAAGAAAAAAAAAAAAAAAAAAAAAAAAAAACCCCTCCCAATAACCATCACCTTTCTTCGCCAACATCGCTGCCACACCTCTCCCCAAAATCGCATCACCAGACCTCTTACCCAACCCCAGACCCAAGGCCACCCTCTTCCCCACCGCCACCTCCCCTCTTAGCAGCCCACCCTCCTACAACCACCACACACAATCTCCCTCTCTCCTCCTCTCTCTTTCCCCAACAAATTTACTCTACACACCCAATCGCCACAACCAACCATTCATCTCACTGACACAGAACAACTTCTCCCCATCCCTCAACTCAACCAGTCCAATGCCATCACAGCAGCCAATGATCCACCCCCTTCCCCACCTGCAACCCACCCCCACATCCAAAAAACCAAAAAGAAAACTTTATCCCCATCCACAAACCCAAACCCATTCGCACTGTCCTCCTCCTCCAATTGTTGCTTCTTCGCGCTCGGAGGTCGAGTCCCACGTAGGAGCAGAGGTTGGTCTTCCATTCGCACCATCCTCCTCCTCCAGCAGAAGCGGACTAGCGCTTGAAATAGGAGCAGAGGCTAAATGGCCAATTTGCCCTCATATTTAACGGCAAATTAAATGAAATGTTGATGATTTAGACGGTTGGGGGGAAACTGGCCAAAAAAAAGAAGTTTGTATCATTAATTTTCTAAAAAAAAGGACAAGGGCTAATTGAAACATAGGTACAAGTTCAGAGGGTATTTCACCAATTAACCCAAAACTAAAACATAATTATAGGTCTACTACAAAAATTAATTAATAAGTAAATTTCACTTTATTACCCAGAAATTTACCGAGTTTCTTTTACAACCTATATTTTTTTTGTCAACCTCGTACCCATTGTTTGGGTTACCTACCATTTTCATACCTCCATTACATTGTATGTCGTCTTTCGTTAACCCATAATGTGTTGTGTCGGTCTTGTATTTTGAAGGTTCTAGGCGGCCTTATATATGTGTGTGTGTGTGTGATTTTTTTTCCGTTAAGTTTAAAAAGTATTATATGAACTAAAATTCACAATTGTAACATAAAAGAAACAATCAATATCTAATTTACACAACAACTCTATAACATGCATCAAAACATCACTCGTCTTAAAATTTTCGATTCAAAAGTAACAATTAGCTTTACATAATCAAGTTTTTCTACCATGTCTTTTGTCAATTTCCTTATTGATTCAACTAGGTTCATTGATTTAAGTTATAAGTTTAAAAAATAATTGGGTCTTTATTGAGTTTCCTCTTTTTAATTTTGAATTGAGTAATTGAGGAAGATTTTTAATTTTTTTTTACAATATGTGGGCCTTTATTGAATTTTTCTTCTTTTTAATTTTGAATTGAATGTTTAGGTAAATTAATTTTTTTTAAAATATATTTACCATAATTAGTTTGGGCTTAACATAATATTTATATAATATAGTTTTTTTAAATAATAGGTATGTATCAATGTTTTGAAAGGCGAGGCATTTTAGTCGCGTTATGTGAGGCGTAAGCCTTTTGAACATTAATGTATTTTAATAAGAAAAATTTATGAATAATACTATACTCATATGTGCTCTTGATGCATACAAACACACTTTGTTGGCCATACAACTTAAACTTCCGTATCTCGCGGTTTGTACAATCTCCTTGCTACCATTTTATGACATAAATACATATTCAATGTCCATTCGGGCAATTTTTGTCCATCACTTCATTATGAGTGACGAGGAAATTTCCATAACATGCTCCCATTTCATCACACAAAACAAATGGCAACATGGGATGCCTTCATTTTCATACTTCTGATAGTTGCACTCTATTCGAACATCTTTCCCACCAAGGTACACACAACTCCAATTATTTTGCGGTTCACCATATTTCACTAAAATATACAACTGTCCTCCGAAATTATGAATTATTTTTTCATGAATGAGTGATGACGAAGCATTGATCTCGTTACATACCAAGAAAAAGCACCTGTGAGTGTAAATTTGGGAAGCATGTTGCTCAAGACTTTTCAGTGTTGTTGTAAGCACTCTCTTTGACTATTTTGGTCAAAATCATCCTTCCTTGAGATATTCCTCATTCGTGCTATGACCCTATCAATTGCTGGAATGCATTCAAACAACTTAACGTCTTTTCTCAAGTAATCTTTCACAAACTTGTTCATACACTCCACGCATTGAGTAGTGCACATACCACTGAAAAACTTGGGTCTAAGGCGTGATTTCTCCCACGCATCTCGTTTTGCATACATCATTTGCAACCATTCCTTTTGTTTATGTGTAGTAACTCTGTCCTTCAAAAACTTTCATTTCTTTTCAAACTCATTGACTGTAATTGATTCCCAAAGATATGCTTGAAATGATTTTACCAATTCTTCATCCTTAAAGTTATTCTGTGTATTCCTTGCCACGTGCCATAAGCACAACCTATGATTGCACATGGGCAATACATATTTAATTGCTTTGTGTACATCGCCTCATCCTCATCCGTCAGTATTGATGTAGGCTTCTTGGCTTTCATGGAGGATACGAATGTCTCCAATAATTACTTTTATGTTCCAAAGGTCTCGTCAAACAATATGGCACAACCAACACTCGCCCGGTGGTTGTTTGAACCAACAAATAACACTAGAGGCTTGTCATACATATTGGTTTTGTATATACTGTCGAATATGAGGATGTCTCTAGAGGCAACATAATCCAAAAGTGAAGTAGAGTCTCTCCAAAACAAGTTAGCAAGCCTATTCTCCTCGTCTACACTGAACTTACAAAAAAATTCAAGATCCACTGATGCTTTCGCTTTCATGTAGGTGTGTGCAGCTTCAGTGTCGTCTTCTAATAATATTTCCCTACGTGAAGCATCCAACTTCTTCCTTAAGGATCCAAGTCCTTAGCTCATGCATTGATGGATGCTTAAATCCTACACCATATGCTGCAATCCCTTCCACCGCAGGTAGCCAAAATGGATCATTTACAATACTAAATGGGAGTGCTCTAGAGAAGAAAAAACGTCTAATCTTTTGACTAACTTCATTTTTTTTCTTCTTGTTTGTATGCTGAATTTAATGTACTTTGCCAAGCTTCTAAAGTGACAAATCTATCCATTGGTCCTTTTGATTTAGGTTGTGCTCTAAGAGCCTCATCAACTACAACACTCCTAGTACCGGGGATTCCATACTCTTCATCCAATGAAGTTTCCATACTCTGAGCCCCTCCTCATGGACCATCTCTAATCTCTCTAAGAATTTCATTTTTCTTTCTTTTTTCAAGCTGGAAATATTTCAAAGTTGTGACGCACTCTTTTTTCACATGCTCAGGAACTTTCTTACATAGTTGCATACCATGATGAGTTTGACCCAAATGATGCTTAAGTCTAGAAATTCCTCCACTGCATATTTGATTACAAAATGTGCATCTGAAGTATTTTTTTCCCCTCTATTCCTTTTGCATACTTCCACACAAGATCTTTTCGATTCATAGCTATAAAACAACACCGTTAATATTTCTAAGATACAAGTATGATGCATGTATGTCAAATTTCTACTATATCACATAAATTAATTAGATAACTAATATATTGAAAAAAATATATATGAAACTTCAAATTATAGTTGCGAAGAATTAGAGAGAAAAATAAAATGGCTTATTTGCAGTCGAAAGATGAAGAGAATTCTTGAAATTGATGGAGATTATCTGGTAAGGGTAGAAATTAGGATTGTACTACACAATATATATATATATATATAAGTCCATGTGTTAATATATTAATTTAGAAAGAAAAAAAAAGGTAAGTGGAATAAAGCTAGAGCTGGCTGGAGTTTATCTATATATATAAAGCAAAAGGCAGAAAATAGTGAAACATTCAAAATACTAGAAAATTCCCTTGGTTAATGCAAACATTAATAATTGAAATAATTAATTAAATGAGGATAACATGGTAAATTCATATTTTAAATATTTTAAAAAATTTTAAAATTAAAAGAAAAATTAGATAATGGACCCTATTTTTTATGGAACACAACTACCCATTATCTTTTTTAATTCTAAAATAAATTTAAAACTTTCTACAAAAAATGCATCTCGCAGGCGTGGAAGCACGTAAGAAAGAGGCTAGTTTATTATAAAGCAAAAGGCAGAGAATGGTGAAACATTCAAAATACCAGAAAATGTCATTGATTAATTCAAACATTAAGAATTAAAATTATTAATTAAATGAGGATAATATGATAAATTTAATTTTCTTCATATTAAAAAATATAAAATTAAAAGAAAAATCAGATAATAGGTCATACTTTTATGGAACATAACTACCCATGTTATCTTTTCTTAATTCTAAAAATAAAATAAAAAAGAAAAAAGAAAACCAGTTTATTATAAAGCAAAAGACAGAGAATAATGAAACATTCAAAGTACCAGAAAATTCCATTGGTTAATGCAAACATTAAGAATTGAAATTATTAATTAAATGAGGATAATATGATAATTTCACAATTTTTCATATTAAAAAATTAAAAATAAAAGAGAAATCAGATAATGGATTTTATTTTTATAGAACACAATTATCTATTATCTTTTTTAATTCTATAATAAATTTTATTTTTATATATAAAAAAAAAAAAAAAAAAATATCGCAAACGCTGAAGTGCATGCAGAGAGGCTAGTTACAATAAAAGTAAGAAAAAAAACAGAGACTTGCGTTTGTTTTATTTCAAAACACTCCAAGTGAAACGACGTCGTTTCATTTAAATTTTTTTTAAAACGCTGCAGTCGGAACGACGTCGTTTCATTTCAATAAACCTATATTTTAAAAAAAAACACGCAAGTCGTCTTCCTCGCAGAGTCGCAGCCAATTTGCAGACACGCAAAATTTCCTCCGGTTCAGAAGCGTCCAGATCTGTCGCGCCTTGCTCCGCCTCGCTCCGCCTGGCCACGCTTTGCAACGCCTCCTCACGCCTTCCCCGCGCTAAACGTGCTACTCGCGAAACAGCCGACCGCCTCGGGCGATTTCCTGCCGCCTCGCTCCGACGTGCTCGCCGACGCGCGCGAAGGCATGCCTTTGAAAACACTGCTTGTGATATATCTTGGATGATGGTGAGTGAAATGACTGAGTCACTTTTTTCTTTTTCTTGGGATTGATTCTAGAGTAATAGAATATTAAATGTTTCGGTTTGAACATTATGCTTGATTGGTTATTTACTGTGCATATTTTAATTATTGAAGCTTACGCCTTTGTTTTCCTTGGCCTTTGAAAGCATTGAGTGTCAGAATTGGCTTTAACTTTGTACCTGGATGATCATATGTATATATATCTTACTCCTTTGTTTGCATTATATATATATATATATATATCTCTCTCTCTCTCTCTCTCTCTCACAGAATTTATGGTATTCTTGGATGATCATATGCTTGTTTGATAAATTTGATTTGTTCTATTTTGGGACTGTAAATATTAATTAGCATTGTAATGGTGATGGTGGGAAAACAGGTTCTGGATATCGCATAGTTTTTGCCAGTGTAGGCTTTTCTTCATTTATTTTAACATTTGGCTCTCCACGAGGGTTCATTTGGCTGTACATCTTGATGGATAAGGAAGACAATGTTACTGTTGATCATGAAGAGGCTTCACAGTATGCATTTGCTGTGTGCCTTGAAGAAGACATGGAAGAAGATGTCGAGGATGATGAAGAGGATGAAGAAGACGGGGAAGTGGATGAAGAGGATGAGGATGAGGATGAGAATACTTTCAGTTTCAAAGATGGGGTTAATCCCTTGGATTTTGTGGAAGACGATGCTTTTGGTGACCAAGTTTATGAGCAGTTTGTGGGCATGGGTTATGAGGCTCTAGCTGAAAGAAAGAGAAAAGCACTTGAGGATAGTCGGCCTGAAGGTTCTGTTAAGAAGGCCAGGCATGAGGATGTTACTGGAGCAAGCATGGAGGAAATAATGGAGGCCATGAATTATGGTATGCAAAGGAGAACAAGGAAGCCCAAGAAAAAAGGTAGACGGAAAGGATCAAAGAAGAAACTTACTCCTGAGATTACTCGAAGGCTTGGTGAAGCTACTCTTCACTATGTACATGGACGTTATGAAGAGGCCATACCCATCTTGGCAGAAATTGTTAAGCAGGCACCAGATTTGTCCGAGACGTATCATACACTTGGACTTGTCCATGATAATCTTGGTAATGAATTGAAAGCCTTGAATTGCTTCACAATTGCTGCACTTTTAGCACCAAAAAATCCAGCTCTTTGGGAACTGCTCTTTGGCTGGTTCAATAGACGAGGCGACACTCATAAAGCCATTTATTGTCTTTCAAGAGCAATATCAGCAGATCCTAAAAATATTGACCTGAAATTGGGTCGTGCTTCACTCTATGTTAAGCTTGGGGATTATCATAAAGCTGCTGCATCGTATGAACAGATAGTACAAGCCTGTCCTGATAATGTTGAAGCACTCAAGACAGGAGCTGTGATGTATGACAGAAGTGGTCAGCATGAGCATTCTATTCATATTCTGGAGGCTTATCTCAAAGATCATCCAACCGAAGCTGATCCTAGTGTCATTGATCTGCTAGCTTCCATACTTATGGAAAATAATGCACATAATGAAGCAATTCAGCATATTGAGCATGCACAACTCGTATTCTGTTCAAATAAAGAGATGCCTTTGACAATGAAAATTAAAGCAGGAATCTGCCATGCTTACCTCGGAAATATGGAGAAGGCAGAAACTCTCTTTAGTGCTCTTGAACAGCAGAGTGCAGATCAGGCTGACTTGATTGCTAAAGTTGCAGACTCATTTATGAGTCTTGGGCATTATAGTTCTGCATTGAAGTATTATTTAATGTTGAAAGGAAACACCAAATATAATAAAGGCTTTTTACATATGAAAATTGCTCAATGTCATTTGTCCTTGAATGACAGAGTACAGGCAATTTTGTGGTTCTATGAAGCTGTAAAGACACTTGAAGATAATATTGAGACCCGATTAACATTGGCTTCTATTCTTCTTGAGGAAGCCAGAGAAGATGAAGCCATTTTGTTGCTATCTCCCCCAAAAATCTAGATCGCTTTGAAGCCCAAACAAATAAATCGGAACCATGGTGGTGTAATGGAAAAGTGAAACTGAAGCTTTGCTACATTTACAGAGCTAAAGGGATGCTCAAGGAATTTGTCGATGCAATCTATCCTTTGGTACATGAGTCGTTACGTATCGAATCTCTTCAGCAAAAGGTGAAAGTGAAAAAGAGGCTCACAAAAAGTGTTCTGTTAGAAAGAGTGAAAGTCCTGGATGATCACCAAACAGATAACCTATTATGCAGATCTAGACCAGTAGCTCCTGCATCAGATCTGCTGAAAGCTGCCAGAGCGAAGAAGTTGCTTCAAAAGAAGGCAAAAGTAAAGGAAGAAAAGAGAGCTGAGGCAATGGCTGCTGGAGTTGACTGGCAAAGTGATGATTCAGGTGATGATCCTCCAGAAGAAATACACCAAGAACCTCCCCTGCCAGATCTTCTCAAGGATAAAGAGAATCATGGCCTTATAATAGATTTGTGCAAGTCACTGGCTTCCTTGCATAGATATTGCGAAGCATTGGAGATTATAAATCTTGCTTTGAAATCGACTCGCAACATGTGTTCTATTGCAGAGGAACTCCGGTCTCTTGGAGCTCAAATTGCATACAACACTCCGGATCCTGAGCATGGGGTTGACTGTGTAAAATACATTGCAGACCAGCATCCATACAGCAATGCTGCCTGGAACTGCTATTACAAAGTAATTACCAGATTAGATGACTGGTATGCGAGGCATTATAAGTTTCTACGTGGAAAGCGAGACAAACTCAAAGACTGTGCACCTCCGAGTATCATTTCTGGGCATCATTTTACTAAAAAGAGCCGTCATCAAGATGCTGCAAGAGAATACCTTGAAGCTTATAAATTATTGCCAGAGAATCCCCTGATTAATCTGTGTGTTGGTACTGCCTTAATCAACTTGGCCCTTGGACACAGACTTCAGAATAGGCACCAGTGTGTTGCACAAGGCTTAGCATTCCTCCACAAAAATTTGCAGCTTTGTGAATTCAGCCAAGAGGCTTTTTTCAACATAGCCAGGGCGTACCATCACGTCGGTCTTGTGACACTGGCAGCTTGGCACTATGACAAAGTTCTTGCAATGCATGTGAAGGATTACCCCATCCCAAAACTTCCCCATGAAAAGCCAGAGTCTGTTGAAAATCGATTACCGGGTTACTGTGACCTTCGCAGAGAAGCAGCTTTTAATTTGCATCTTATATACAAAAAGAGTGGAGCAGTTGATCTCGCTCGACAGGTCTTGAGAGATCACTGCACTTTCTGAGTAAGCAACTGATATTAAAACATCAAATCCAGTTACTCTTTTATTTCTGTACTTATTAAGTATATGGTTGATTCTCTAATAAATAGCAGGAAATCTTTTTCTCTGTTGCAGATAATCATGTTCCTGATCTCTGATATTGTGACTGAAGCGAATGAGAGGGTGGCCTCCTACTCCCTAGTCTGGTTCTCTTGAAAATGCCTGATTATTGTTTGTATCAGCAGTTCATTTTGGCGTAATACAGCCAAAGAAAGCGAGGGAAACACTAAAGAGAAAGGCTTGTGATGAACTCAGCAATTTGCCTGTCACATTATTGAAAGCCAGTGCTAAATCCTTTTTTCTAATCAGATGCTAAAGCCTTATGTAAGTTCAAAACAAGGGCCAACTCGTTTTTTTCATTACTTCACGAAAGTAATATACATCACACACAAATGGTGAAGCACTTGATCAAGTCTTTTGATAGATAACAGACCAGGTTCTAAGCATTGTTTCAAACCGTTTGGGTGAAAATTTAGAAATACAAACGGTTGAGATTTAGAGCTTGTAAGTAAATGGTATGAATATAAATGCTACAAATTTTTTTGAACCATTAATAAGATGAATTTTTGGTTGAATAGGTGATATAGATTGATGCTATAATGACAGTAAAACAATACAGAGGTATATGTAGTAATGTTTCTTGATAATGTTTTCGTGCATGATCACTATTTTGAAGTGTCAATCAGAGTACTTTATTATTATCTTGGTCAATCGTTCATGATTTCTATCATATATTTCACACCTACTCACATGGTCAATTAACCGTAATGTTACTCTGACCATAGTGATCAGTCATTTAGGTAACTCTATAACCGTGAGCTTATATTATAGGGGGTTTTTTTTCGGGGAGGGGGAGTGGGGGTGGTGTGGTGGGTGTGTGGTAGACTTGTTGTGGGATAGAATGCATTGTTGGGCTTCATTGTGGGGTTCCGTTTCTAAAGAGTTTAGTAACATTTCATTTTTCCTTTTGTGCAGATTGGGGAGATGGATGTTTGTTAGTGATGAGTAGGTACCTATGGTTTTTAGTGCTACGAAAGTGTAATATGAGCTTTAGAGCGTATTCTTAACTTTGTTTATGTTTTTTATTTGTTGTTCTCTAGTTTGTGATGGATAAGTGAAGATGTGTTGTGTTTCTAGACTTATGATTGCATAATTGCATGAAAAACCTTTTAACTTATGAATTTAAATCTAAACTTTTAGCTAATTTCTTCTCTCTGTAGCTAATTTTGAAACTTTGGAGTCTTGATTTCTGACAAGGTGTACCTATAACATTGAGGTGATGTGACAAGTGTTCTACATACAAGCCTTCCAGGGTTCATCAGGTTGGGTCTGCAGAAGGTGTGTTTTAAGAGTGGTAGGTTGCATACATTCGTATTGCCTTATTATCTTATTCATGATTTTCTCACACATTGATTGGAATTTTTAAACTTTTTCTGCCAAAATTGGATGCAGGCTCATTACTTTCTGTGGATCATTAACTTTGTTGGTTATTGGAACAATAAGCCCTTTTTTATGCTTGCCTTGTGTGCAAGTTAGGAAGCTTGTATTCTACATTAAGTTCATGGAGCAAAGGTTTTCGCTTATCCAGCAGAGGAGTGCTTGTCTTCATAATCTCATAAACCAGGTTCTCTATGTTTGTGATTGCTATAGAAATGAAAACAAAGTAAAATTATATTGAAATTTGATATGTTTTTTGAAAAAACAAAAATTTGGAATTGAAATGATGTTGGACCTGTTGTTTGAAGACAGCCTGATGCCTTGGCTAACGAGGAGCTTCGGAATCTCAGCGCTTCCACGGACCTTATAAAGATGGATTAGTTAAAAATATAGAATAAAATAAAGAAATGCAATATGAAGTAACATAATAAATATTAAAAAAAGGATAAATTTTTTTCAAATTTTTTTTTGGTTGAATAGGTTATGATAGTAAAACATACCAACGTATATGTAGTTATGTTTCTTGATAATGTTTTCGTCTATGATCATTAATTCAGATATTATATTTGAATCTAAGACCTCAGGTGCATGGGTAAATACTTTTCTCAGATACATGGGTAATGGTTGTAATGATACAAATCCTTCTTCACCTTTTTTTTTTACACCTTTTTTTTTTTTTTTTTTTTTTTTTTTTTTTAATAAAAGCAATATTGGGGAGGAGGAATTTAAGGCAGGATCACGTATTCATAGATAAACTCTCTTAACTATTTGAACTACAAATCAATTATAAAAATAAAATTGAACTGAGTAATGTGTAACATTGCAATTCAAAGCGTATTTTGCCATGACATTAAAAAAAAAAGGGGCTCTATCGCCTTATATTGGCATTAGACATGGACTATGAAAATTGAAGATCAGAAACATGCTCAAAAGCAAAACATCAGGAAAAAAAGGGACACCCACAATGTGAAATTGGCTGATTCATTTGTGATCAGGATTGAATTGCCCAATTCTACTGACATTGACAATGACATTTGAACCTTTTGAGAGATCTCAGTTACTCACTCATTTTCTGGAGATCAGGAGTCAAGCTTTTTGGTATTTTTTGGTTTTGGTGGTGATAGTTGTTGAATAAAAAAAATATAAGTTTGGTAATTTGCAATTGCCATCTTATCTTTATCTTTCAACTTGACTATTAATATATGTCATTAATTTTTTTTTTTCCAGTAATGTATGTAAAGTTCAAGGGTATACAAATATACAATTTAAAAAGGCTTACGCTATAAATTGACAATTATGATATAGTGCAAACCCGATATAACCCAAAATAATAATAATAATAATAATAATAATTGAACTTCTAAAAAATTCAACATCTAACAGTCAGACCAACTAGAGAATCTAGCATTTCACCACTCCAGTGGATGAGGCAACAAAACACCTTAGCTAAGCAAATGCTTTCAATACCTTTTTTATCCCCAATTTTTCTTACCGTGGCATTGGATAAAAACACTATCAACTGACAAGGCTGATATTTCGTACCTCTAATTCCTTAATATAAAGTATAGATTATCTGTACCTAAATCTTAATTAAGTTATTGGGGGACATTAATAATTTTGTCATGGCCAAACGCAAACAACTCCATTAATAAACCTCTGTTTATGGCAGAAACCAATCCATCAATTTAAAACACCTTATGGAGATTTTTATCTAAACAAATGAATAACAGCCTGGATTTCTTATGTTCGGTACATTGGAAAATGAATAACATGCCTTTTCACAACAACTATACAAACAAATAAGCTCCTACAAAGTAACTAGTTCTGAGGCCACTCACTAGCAGAATCAAATACTGAAACAAAAGTAGGGTTCATATGAATCTCTCTGTGTCTACGGTACGGTATGATCCCGTACCATTAGTGTCTTAATCTCTTTCCACAATAAGCAAGTGTTCAAGTTCTTCCCTTCGCCGCTCCAAGTCCTGTGATTGTTGCAAACAGGTGAATGTGAGCAAACTTCTGTAATAGATTTGACTTACGGACAATTGACAAACACAAATTAACCCAACTCATAAACGGACTATCTAGAAAGACCAAAGACTCATAAATAGCAGAAATCTTATAGCGAGCAAGCCTTTAAGGTCACAGCTAAAGCTATTTTTCCTTGTAGTAGGAACCATATACAAGCAAGTATGATAAGCAAAAGGAACATCCAGTACCACACGTCACTTCTGGAAATCCAGGAATTTGAAAGCTTACCTCAAGATCCTTTATCGCTTGCTCCCTTGAAATTTCTGTCTTCTGCCGAGCCCGTTTCAGGAAGCCAATGCATAGAATTCCCTTAAAAAATCAAATATTGAAGATTAGTAGATAGAACTTTGACCAATGTACTTAGCAGCTCCTACTGCTAGTTGACCATAATTCATGAACCAGAAATATCGCGATAACATTCTTATAATTAGGTTATTGCTACCTACCGCAATACACAACAAATTCCCTGAAGTAATTCTGTGAGGGTTATCAATAATTACTGTGATCCTCTAGTAATTGGCTAATTTCCATTAAAAACGTCTGGAATTAATAATTCTTTTCGTTTTTCTTATTGTAGTGTTGATGTTGAATATTAAAAGATTTTCTGATATTTTGGTGTGTAATGTTTTGCCACTCCCAAGCGGCCCTCAACACAAGACGGGAATTTTTAATCATGCTCTTGAGACAGCAATCTTTAACCTCAGCTACAAGAAGACATTTAAACATGCATAGACACACACACATGTCCAGAATTCTTATAGGATTCTTCTACTGAGACCTACCGCAATAATATAGACCCCACCACAAGCAAGGAGCATATAGCTTGCTATGTTCTGAAGAAGAACAAGCGTCTTCCTTGTACCAGTCTTATCAGGAAAAGCTCTTGTCATGACCGCAACACTGGTACAAACAATCACGACTTCAGAAACCATATAAAATTTATGCTGGTGTGCAATAGATATGAAAAGTTGCTTCAGTCAAAGTCAAGCATAAAATTTAATTTCCATCCCATCATTATTCTTTGTCACAGGCCTCATAGCTACAATTATACTGTTATAAGGCTACGGTTTGGAACTGAGTTGCGCTCTACAATCTCAAGGTGCAGAGAAATACTCTAGGAAACTGAAACAAAATATTTTGAGTATATTTGAAGACTTACAAGATCTGCAGCATACCCCTACCAACCCAATACTCCAATACCTGCAAACAGTTAACTGAATACTGAAATTAGATCACAGAAGCAAAATTCTGAATACTGAATAATAACTCCAACATTGCCAGAAATTTTGAGTTACCGTAAAACAGTAAATTGTTGATCTTTCCTAAACAGAGTAAGAATTAGAGAAATGGAGGCAGAAATTCATCACGATTGCACTTAGCAGCAAAGGTTTGAATGTTATCAAGTGCCTGTCTTACTGTTGGTACTCTCAGGTTCTTTTTCATTTTTATTATTTCAATCCTTTTGGTTTGGGAATTATAATCGCATCTTAGCAAAACCCCTACTGTGGGTTGTTGGGGAGAAAGGGGGTCCCTGATCATCACAAAGATCACGTAACCTATTTGAGGAATCATAAAATCTAATAATAAGTTTTTATTCCATGTGGATTAAGTTCATTTCGTATTTTCCTTGGGAAGATTTGATCCTTGATAGAAGAATTAGTCTGTTTCTATCAGGAGCATAATGAAGCACTAAAGTTACAAAGATTTCATAAACAACATTTGAGGTAACTGGAGTGGCCTTTGGAACACTGACCTATAATCAGTTCAAGGCATCCACAAAGGAGATGTCTTCTTACACTATGTTTGGTTCTTGTACAGCAAGAGAAAATGAGAGAGAGAGAGAGAGAGAGAGAGAGAGAGAGAGAGAGAGAGAGAGAAACAGTTTTTAGAAAGTTGTAATGTTTTCTTGTGCTTAGTTGCATGGAGTAAATAAGGGGAAATATGACAAGAAACTACAAAATTTGGTATCTTTTCTTTTGGTAAGCCAACTTCCCCTTGTAATTGCGCATAAGTTTTAGTTTTTTTTTTAATCCTTCTTTTTTTGCTCATTCCCATTATATAAAGCCAACAATAGAAAGTATGGAGATCTAAAACCTTTTCTTTTCTTCCTTTGTCCACTTCTACACCAAACATAGTTTTTCTTTGTAAAACAAAATTATTTTCCCCACCCATTCAGTCCAAAGCGCGTATCATTTGACAACACCTACATCTCCTATGGTGAAAGTTTCATATTCTACTCCTCTAAGCAATATTTCCTCCTTTCTTTTTCCTAGAAACAAGTTATGGTTACGATCACTCTAACCGAGATCACATTCAGAGATTTCCACAATTAAAGGAAAGAAATTGAACATTTCAATCACATTTTTACTCTCGACTCTGACTCTTCTAACTAAAGCATAGAAACCGCACAATTTTTCGTAATAAATTTGTTGTGTTAAGGTTAAAATCAGCTATCAAAATTGCTTAAAAATTAATTTCTAAGAATCGAAATTTTCCTATGATAAAATGTGTTAGGGCTTAAGAATAGTGAAAAGTGAAAACGAACCTTCCAGAACTTGATAAAGAAAGCCCATTCGGTCTCGGCCACAACCACCACAATCGCAATCAAAACAGCATAACACCGAAATATCCCGTCGAAAACCTACAATTCAACGACACAAACAATCAAATCATCCAATCTACAACTCCATAAATATGTACACATATATGTATAGAGACATAGAGAGAGGGGTAGAGAGAGAGTACATCAGATCCATTCTTGAAAGATTCAATGGCAGAGAAGACATTGACGACGATGCAGAGAACGGCAGTGAGAGCAGTGACGACGCTGAAGCATCTGCAGCACACCAAGAAAGGGTCGGCTTTCATTCTCAGTCTGGTGTTACTCGAAGTTGGAGATGTTCGCCGTCCGCTCCCTTCTACATCCGCCTCTCCATTGTTTATCGACATTTTCTCGCGCTTTCTCGGCTCCGAGATAATTTTCAGCTAATTTATTCAGTGAGAAAATCTCATATTCTGCAACGCATAGATTCTGTTTCGCTCATGGCTTTGGCTCCCCTCTGTTTTTCGTTTGTTCATTGAAGCGGGATTCTTTGACCTCCTTTGAAGGAACTGAAAGCCGAAAGGACCAGCTACGTGTTCACCAAAAAAAAACCAAGGGCCCAGCCACGTGGTGGCACGATGGATATTTTAGAAGCTTTTCTACTGTACCAAACTTGTCTTTACCTAATAGTCAATGTAGATTAGCAAAGCGGGATATTTGTTGATCTATGATTTTTTCCTTTCATGAGATGAAATCTTTTGTTAACAGAGCTTTATGTCGGCCTACAGTGGTTGAAGAGAATCCCAAATTGGGTACTTCTTAATGAATGGTTGGATTCGAGCAATAAAAAAATTTCTATTTAAACTCCGCACTTCTTGTTTACCTCATATTCTAAGTTCATTCTAAGTTCTAATTCAAATTTTCACAATTTCTAAAGAAACTTTGCTATTTTTCTAAATTACCCCTAAATACACATCCAACTTTAAAAAAAAATAAATAAATAAAACAAAAATAAAACCCCCATCAACCTCGCATCCCATACCCCACTATCTTAACCTTCATTTATTTGTGTACGGTGTGGATTCATCTACGTGGTCATTCCATAAATAGAATATGTTTTTGTTATCACTCACTTTGCCCAAATAAGGGCAGCACTAATCAAGCTCTTTGCTTGAATCAACATCACACGTCTTACAATTTGTGCTTGAGTCTTTTGGCTTTAGCCTTGAACAGTTGAAAGGTCAAATTCAGCGAGAGAAACTTCAAACTCTAGTGCATAAAATTATTGAACTCTTTCAAGTCGTCGAAAAGTCTATACACTCCCAACCCAATCTAGAAAAATTTTCACTCTATATTGATGTTATGTTTTTCATTTGTTTTGATCTTTTATGACCAAATAACTTGTGAACTAAATTAAAAATAGTTGTATTGATAACAAATAGAATTACAGCAAGGCTTTGATCACATCATCCTCAATAATTTTGAGAGGAGTCCCAAACTAAGAAATAATCTCACATAACATACCTCAACTGACGACCCACAAGCCACTATTTGCATACCGTGTTTAGGGTTTGTGAGGAGAAGATGAGAGTGTAATAGGTTTTTTGGATTGAAAGATGAGTAATCTAGCAATAGGGTGTAGAGGAGTTTGTGTTTTTCTAAAACTTAATATGAAGAGTGGTGGGGTATGTGTATAATTAGGATTAAGTATTAAGTTGGATGACCTTTTTTGTCTTTTTACACAATAATAAAACTTACGAGCTTAATGATTTAAGTATTGGGGTGGCACGATGCATATTTTAGAAGCTTTTCTACTGTACCAAACTTGTCTTTACCTAATAATCAATGTACATTAGCAAAGCGGGATATTTGTTAATCTATGAATTTTTCTTTGGGAGATTCACTATTATACTAAATATAGGAGCTCAATTATACAAAAGCCCTACATGAAATGAACTTTAGAAACACACCCAAAATTCATTTACAATATAACAAAAAAACTTTTAACTTTTTTAAAATTACAAAACTGATATTGATTTCTTAAAACAAACCCAACCCCAAAACCTCATTAAAAAAACCCAAAACACTTAATAGGGCATCAAAGTAATTTAATAATTAAAATTAAATTCAATAGGGTAAATTGTCATTTTTTGGGTTTTTTTGGATTTGTTTATAAAAATTAAATGGTGTATGGTTTATCTATAATATTAATGCTAAGAATAGATACATGACTAAATATATCTTTTTCTTTCATGAGATGAAAATTTTTTATTAACAGAGCTTTATGTCGGCCTACAGTGGTTGAAGATAATCCCAAATTGACTACTTCTGAATGAATGGTTGGATTCGACAAAATAATTTCTATTTAAACACCAACCCTCAGGCAGGAGAATTGACTGATTTTGCCTTGGGCATTACCTAGGTTGGTGGCATCCATGTCTTATCCGAGCTGCTGAAGCGCGCTGGAAATGTGTTGGCGGGCCTAGCCCCCTCCTGTCCGGGCTGGGGCTCTGCGCTGGAGATGCTGTTATCCATAGCCAACTAGCCTTCCCTTTCCAACTTTTTAGCACCTTGTCCCACTTGTGAAGATGTCATTTTGGATGTATTTGTAGTAGAACTTTTACATCATTCAGTCGGCTGTGACTTTGACGACCACCCCCACACACCAACCCCCCAAAAAAACAACCATGTACAACTGCCCACCGCAACACTTTTCCGACAATTGAAGATGTAAAAGCGGTTTGCATTTCTTTTTACACCTCCACACTGCAGTTGCACTAAGATAATAAGAAGACAATTTAATGAAATTGAACTCAATATGAGAATAAGTAGAGGATACAAGTGCTCCAACTCACAGGCAAAGGACAACTATTGCACTTTCTAAAGTTCAAAAAATTCATTCAAATTACATATTATTATGTGGCTTACTGAAATTTAATCCTTAATTTGTTGGAAAATGATATTTATGGCAATATCCAAACCCAAATAATTCATTCAAATGAGCTATGATTGGTGAATTATTCTAGCTACCTTTCTTTTTTAACCTTCCACTTCTATATTTTCTTTCTCGTTTTGCAATATTGTATGATGATTGCGACAACTCATTTTCAACGATCATTCTCATAAAATATTTACCAAATTAAAAAATTATTTAGTCCTTTAAATAATAGTGTGATACTTTATGACATGTTCACTAATCCGTAATCGGAATCAAAATAAGGAGTTGAATTCCTATTATGGATACTCATGTGTTTACTTCACATGGATGAATGAAAATGCGAGTTGTACCCACACAAAATTAGGAGTAATTCCTGATTTTTGAGGAATTGGACTCTTGGATGGGATGTAGTATTCTAATTCCTCAAATTTTAACTCATTAGGAATCCATCTTTTTTACTTAATATATCCTCACACAATTTTAAAAATTCCAAATTTGCCATCTATTTTAACCCAACAACGAGGGCATTTTAGTAATAAATTTGGTTTCAATTCCAATTCATGGGGATTTAGTAAACAACTTATAAGAAATCAATACCACTCCTACCTCAATTTTATATGATTTATGTAACAACCCAGTCCTTAATTAATATTTAATTATTAATTTATTCCAATAAAAGACAATTATACCCCTAGAATATTTTATTAGGTTTAAAGTTATTTTTGACCGGGAAGGAATTTGGGGATTTTGGTGGTACCATTGCGTAGAGCTCAACGATATGAGTTCGTAGACATGCGGCATGCCCAATTCCGAGTTGAAACGAAGGAGAAAAGGTCTAGAAACGAAAAGGATGTAAAGGGAATTTTAAAATTTCGTATTGCTACAGTACCCGCTACAGTACCCCGAACTCTTTTTATTTTTCTCTCGGGTTAATTACTGTAGACGTCCTCGAACTATGGCCACATTTTCAATTGGGTCCGTGAACTAAATTTTGAGGCAACGAACTCCTTCAATTAGACAATCAGTTGCAATTAGGTCATGCCATCGAATTATGTCAAATTATCCGTCAAAATGAGGGGTAAAAACGTCTTTTCGAGTCAAAAGACTCTCCTTCGAATCTGAACACTCACCTTAAACCCTTCGCTTCGACCCCCAACTGAATAATTGAAGAACTGAGAAGGGGCTGCGAGGGAAGGAAAAATGTCGGAGAGTTCGACAGATTCAAATTGCAGCCGTCATTACTGCAAGTGCGGGTCAGAAATCAAACACTGGACTTCATGGACGGATTTGAATCCTAGAAGAAGATTTGAGGCATGTTGCAATAATCGGGTCAGTTTTTGTTTGAATTGCAGAACAGTAATTGGTGTTTCGTTTTTTCGAATGGTTGGAGAATGAAATTGGTGTTTTGTTGGGTTTGAAATTGGTGTTTCGTTGGGTTTGAAATTGGTGTTTCGTTTTGTTTGAATTGCAGAACAGTAAGAGGGGGTTGCATTTTTTCGCATGGGTGGAGAATGAAAGATGCCCACGAGGAAAGGAAATCTTGCCTGGGTTACTTAGAAGACTAAGAGGAATGAAGGACGAATTGAGAGCAACGACTGAGAATTTCAAATTGATGGAAGAAGAGAAGAATAAATTAGAGCAAAAATTGAGAGAAGAGGAAGAAGAAATCAAGATTTTGAAAAAACAGAATATGGGAATAGGTCAACAAGTTGTTGTACTAAAAGGGGAAATTTTGAGTTATCAACAAAGACAAAGGTGGTTCCGGGTTGTTGTTCTGTTGTGTTTTATGATTGTGATATTGTTAATCAATATGGATGATTTGGTAGTGTAGAAATGGCAGGAAATGGGCATAATGTTGTATATACTCTTGAATAGCTTTTGATGGCATGGGCATAGTGTAGAAATGGGCGGAATTGGTAGTGCAGAAATGGGCAAAAACCTGGGCATAAGGTTATTTTGTGCCTCTTTGGCAGTGTATCAGATGTTTTGCTATAGAAGCTGATTTTGTGCTGCATTGGCAGTGTATACCAAATGAACAGGGGCACATTACATACAATCCAAAAGGCTTCAATTACTAATTAACATTCACCAACTGCACATTACATACAATCCAAAATACACCTAAACATTACATAGAATAGGCAAAAGAGCCTTCAAAATAACATTACCAAAATGGCATACTTTAGTCTATAATTGTTCACCCAAAATACACATCCACATAGTAAGTAATTACGTGTCCAAAAATAGGTCTTAAAAGTCCACAAAATATGTCTTCACAGTCTATACTTGTCCTCCTCTTTTGACACTATGTTTGAATCTTCCTCTATAGGGTGTGGTTTGTTGAGTAAGTGAAGAGGATGATGGTTGCAAGGGCACTTGTTGTGAGTATGTCATTGGCATATTAGCCCTTCCTTGACTGATATCACTTACCACCTAAGATAAAAACCACAAACAACATATATTACTATATAGGCAAACATAAAAAATCTGAGTTGGGCAAGAATAATAGGCAACTAACTGGTTGAAAAGATGACATCCTTGCAGGTGGATTCCATAAGCATCTTCCTCTTCCTCTGCCCCTCTTAACTTGAGTTTGAGTTGGGGTAGCTTTTTTTGGATTGGGACAGTGTCAGTTTGGGCCGGGGCAGCATTAGTTTGGGCTGGGGCAATATCATTTTGGCCTACATTCCCATTGTCAGCTGCTTGAACTTCATTTTGGCCAACTTTCTCATTTTGGGCTGCCTTAGCCTACACAACATACAAGCACAGCTATAAAAAATCACAACCACAGCTGACCACAACCCAAATAATTAAAATTCATATGAAAACCCAAATAATTAAACAACCTATCTTCTACATCCTCTTCGATTGTGGCCTTCTTTACCACATGCCCCACATCTAATTTTAATGAAGACTCTTCTAAGTTTTGCTGCTGGAGTAGTGTAACCTGGAGGCAAAGGGTTTGGTGGGTTTGGGGCTGGTACTTGAACCTCAGCAGCCTCCTTTGTCCTCAATATCTTGGGTCTTCCTGGTTGACGCTTACGAAATGGAGGTCTAATTGGAGGCAAGCCACCCTTAACCCATTGATCCATAGAAGGGATGAGGTGAACTATTGGTCAATATGACCTCATGTATGTGTCTGGCTTATAACACTCATGCACATATTCAATAGGGTTTTCATCTCTGTGGAATATAGATGAAATAGCATGTGCACAGGGTATGCCACATAAATCCCATCTCCTACAACTACAAGACATTGCTGCAAGATCTATAACAAACTCCCCACCATACATGTGACTGACTTGATACATTTTCTCCCCAGCCAATCTAAGAATGCATTGAAAAGCTCCCATCTTGTTCTTCTCAATTATTTTGAATATCCTTGGGCCAACATGGTGTTTCCATTTACCACAAGCAGCCCTTCGATTAGCCATCCTAAGCATCATATACATTCGAATACTTTCCAAACATGTCAAAATGGAATTATCTCTGGCATCAATTATAACTGCATTAAAGCTCTCACAAAGGTTGTTTAGCAGAAGATCACACTTATACCTTGGATGGAAATGAGATCTAGTCCAATTATTGGGTGGTCTCTGCACCAACCATTTCCAAGCTTCCAAGTCATCTTCCTTCATCTTCTCCATTTCTGCTTCCCACCAAGGAATAGTAGTGGCTCTAGCAGCTTCCCATAACATGTGTTTAAGAGTGAGACCAAGATGTGTTGCTCTGAAATTATTGTACAAGTGCCGGACGCACATCCTATGCTCTGCAGTTGGTAGTACATGTGCAATGGCAAGTATGAGCCCCTTTTGCTTATCACTTATGAAAGCCCAGTTTAAACCATTTGTAATACCTAAATCTTCAATAAATAAAGACAGAAACCAAATCCACAAGTCCATGTTTTCAATCTCAGCTACAACATATGCAATTAGGAAAAGACCATTATTACCATCAACTCCTACAACAGTCAATATTTGCCTAAGATAAGAACCTTTCAAATGGCAAGCATAAACCCCAATTATAGGCTTGCACCCTACTAAAAACCCTTTTTTACAAGCAGCTAGACACTAATCCTTTGAAATATTGCTTCACCCTGGGCCAGATCACACTTAATTTTCACTGTACTACCTTTGTTGGTATTCTTCAACTACTCTGCATAGTCCCACAAACGTGCATATTGCTGTATGTAGTTTCCTTCAATTTGTGCTTTAGCCAATCTCTTTGCCCTATACACTTGAGTTTTGGACACCCTTACATGATAGGACTCCAAAACTTTTCCTTGAAAAGCTTTTAGATTCCAATATGTGTTTCTCTTAATCTTGCTAGAAAATCTCTCACAAATCTATTTAGGATTAGCAAACTTCAGTTTCTCCACCCTCTCACATGTGTGTTCTAAGCTCAACTTCTTAATTGCAAATGTTTGCACATCCTGGTTTATCTGTGAAGCATAAAGCACAAATGGACATTTGAATCCTCCTTTGCAAATTGCCTTTACTCTTGTCTTGTCATTTTTTTCAAAGAACAGTTTCCTTCCATGAATGATGGAATATTCCCTGAGTGCCTCTTTAAGAACCTGTCTGTTTTCAAATTGCATCCTAAGCTGAAACTCAGGATTCTTTAAGTCCACCTCCCTTCTATACTGCTTAAACCGAGGCAGTTTTTTTTTCCTTCTCACCTTACTTCTCCCTTCATTATCTCCATCCATATCATCCCTATCACCCTCACTTTCAGTATCAAAATTTGAGGTGTGCTCACGATATGATGACACCTCTCTAGGAGCTTGAAAAGCAGGCCCCTCATTGCTATCATTCATAATGTCCTCTGCCCCATTATGAATAGGCACTTCAACTGTCTTAAACCCAAATTCTTCTTCACTGAACTTGTAATCACTATCAACAAATTCTCCATAATCTTTTTCACTGTCTACAACCTCAGCTGCATCTTTATCTTCAACATCAACATTATCTTCCACCCCAGTTTCATCTTGCATCCTAGTTTCATATTCCACCCCAGTTTCATCTTCCACCTCATTGTCTGCACCATCCAAACCTTGGCACCTAAAAAATGCTTCACTCCAAATTGTATTACAATTGCCCACTTCAGTATAGTACAACACAACAATCCTATTACATGGCATTTGGCCCAGCATGTCAACCAGTTTAGCATCAGAGCTGATAAGTTCAAGCCCACCTACACCATGGGTTCCACCCTTCCTATACCATATTTCCATATTTGGTTTGGGATTGGAAATGTCTACACTGTAACCAAGCCCTTTCCCTACCTTTCTTAAGTCCACCAATGACAAAATCCTCTACAGCATTATCCAAGTAACAAACTTTTCTATTTTTATACTCCATACTTTCCAACACACCCCCATGGTGAAGTTCTAAACTACAATTTTCATGGTTACCTGCACAGTAAACAAGGGTCAAAACAATGCTAAAACACAAACACCTACTTTGGAATCATAAAATCAGACAAAACCATGTTTTAATTCAATGTTTTGCACCAAAACCAAAATGTACAGTACACAGTTTGTTCAGTTTTTTAATTGCTATGGAATAACTTCAATCCATTTGGTGTGAGGCATGGATAGAAGACAAGAAGGGATAAAAAAAACCCTAAGTGTTGCAGTCAAGGACAGTATAAAGCAAAGCGTGTAAGGAATCTTTAAAACCTATGGACCACATAGATGAAAACAAAACCAACTGATACGTATTCAAACAAGCATAATCACTTACTGTATTTAGGAGCAACACCACCCCAACGGAAGTCAAACTCTTCCATCACTATCAGCCAAAAGGACGAAAAACCCAACTATCCCCAAAATGAAACCCTAACCTTTAACTGTACCCTCGATCAACCCCAAATTTCGAAGCTTACACAGAAAATTTCTCGCTCACTCAGTCACTGCTTCAGCAAATTTAACTCCAATGGCTACCTCAGAAGGGATAGCTCACTGTATGCAACTCTAATAGCTGCTTCAGAAGGGATAGTTCACGTGCTTTCCCCTTTCTTCAACGCTAAATTGGATTTGTTTTGTTCTAAACGACGAAAATTTGAAGATACCCAGAACAACAAGAGCACGTGACACTCACATGGTCAATCTCGACGGATTCTATTACGGTAGGACCTAATTGCAACTGATTGTCTAATTAAAGGAGTTCGTTGCCTCAAAATTTAGTTCACGGACCCAATTGAAAATGTGGCCTTAGTTCGAGGACGTCTACAGTAATTAACCCTTTTCGCTCCTTCTTCCTCCCTGAGCAGCTTCAACCATTTTTCTTCTTGGTTTTTCAACAGTCACTGTAGCAACAGTGACTGTTCGACTTCCAAGCCACAAAATCGACGTTATCGTTCACCGTATGGCCACGCCACCTTCACGAAAAGTGTTCATCTTGTCCTCCTCTATAAAACCCACCTAAGATCTGATCCGATTGGCTAATGATGAGCTCGAATCGAAGCTAAGAAATGGTTAGGCTTTTTCCGGCGGTATTTTTGCATTTTCCGGCGACCCCGACCACGGAATCTGTCGAGTAAGGTATGTAAATTCATCTACTCTTCGTGCTCTATCCATTTTATGTAGGTATTGAAGATCGATTTTGAAGTTTTACAGATTGTCCCGTATACCCATATTATGCCGACGGTTTCGGCTTCGTTCCGGCTAGTTCCAGTTGGTTTTTGGCCTTGGTCCAAGAACAAAAATGGTTCCAAATAGGGTGTTTTACCTAGGGTAGGAGTTTGGGCTAAAGGTTTGGAGTTTTTCCAATTGTCTGAAATTGATCAAGCCACCCACTCGCTGCCAGTGCGTGTAGCGGTGCATGGGCAGCATGGTGAAGCCATATTCAGTCCTAAAATAATTTCTTAGTCTTCACGAGCGCGTAGGAATTCACGGATCTTAATTCGGGCAACATTTGAACCCCAAACGGATATCGCCTATTGCGCGACTTCTGGGTTCAATACATTTGAGCTGTTGGATCGTAGCAAATTTTCAGATATGTTAATCTAGATATTCTCAGGATCGTTTAGAATCTGACGAATTGTAAAACGGAGTCCCGGATACTCCAAAAACGTCAATCCTAAGGTTAGGTTTACAGTAACCATCCAATCGTGTAATCGTGAGCAATCTGACCGTCCGATAGAGATTGAACTTTCGGGACATGTGTCCTAGGCTTATTGGGACCTTTAGGGACTCCTGGATTTGTGATAGGTGGTAGTGGACCCCACACGGGTCCCGTGGACCTAGTTGGGAAGACTGACCACTTTGTGGACTGAGAGTCTACCGAGGTAGTTTATCCTTTGAGAAGTATTAGAACGATCTTATACTTGAGAATTTAATGTTATGTTAAATGTTTTGTTATGTTTGGTTTATGAATTTACATTATAGCGTTTTATGTTGATATTGGATATTATTTTGGTATTGGAAGGTTATGAATTATTGGAAGTTATTTATTTATTGTGTTCAGATGTGAAGAGTATGAGTATTTAATTATCTGTTCATTTATCACCTGCTTATATATTCAGTGGTTGAAAAGGAAGAATTATAGCTTTTGGTTTTTAACAGATTTTGGTATATATATATATATATATATATATATATGGATATATATTTTAAGTTAGTTGAGAACCAATTTATTGAAAGTTTATATAAATGACGGGTTATGGTTTTCAAACCCACCGTGAGGGTACCCCCCCAGTTGCCTTGAGACAGTTTGTTATTTATGATAATGCCCCACGAGTTTCGGGGACGCCTGAACCGTGTGGTGCGAGGATTGCGGCTCAGGTTGACTAATGGTCCCCTGAGACCTGCGAGGAATGCAGCTCGGATGGACTTGGTGTCTCCAAGACCTGCGATGATTGCGGTTCAGATTGAAGTGTTATCTCTGAGACCTGCGAGGAATGCGGCTCGGTTAACTTTATGTTTCCGAGACATGCGAAGATGGAATTGACGGATTATTATTGGAATTGACGGTATTAAAGGAATTGATGGATCATATATGGGGGTACGCCTAGGTGGAGAGAATTTAAGATATGAGATGCTTTTAAACTAAATTGAGGATTTTATATAGTTACCATTATTTTCTTAAGCATCACATTTGTTTTACAAGCGATAGATGGAAATATATATATATAGATTCTAATCAAGTTATTGATATATATAAATATATTTATTTATTTACGTGAGTTTGATACAAGGGTGTTCGGAACTTATAAATTTTTAACTTATTTTATTTTATTTTATTATGTTCATTTATCTCTATCTTGCGTTATTTTATATAGTATTAAATATCTTAAGTTTTTCTAGCATATTTTGCCCCATGAATCTTAGAGTTATCTGGACCGTGGGAGCGAGGGTTGCGGACCAGGTTGACCAGATATCTCCTGAGTCCAACGAGAATTATAGGTCAGGACGTGTCACCATTGGTGTCACGAGGAATTGATGGTTATGGTTTTGCAAGCATGATTACTTGATATAAATGCTTTTATTCCTTCATTTAAATATAGATATTGCCATGTGAGTAATACCAAGAAGCTTGGAACAGGAAATGAGAACTAGAGTGGTTTTGCAACGAAAGAACTACGTGTTGCTTGATCCCTCAGTAAGGGTATGTAGGCAGCCTATGGTTACAAGGTGCAGTCATGAGTTAGAATGTTTGAGTTTACCAATGCATTATTGTTGTTCTGAAAGTTGAGATGAATTTTATTAGCATATTGATTTGTTTGATTTGTTGCGACCTGATACCTGAATGTTATGATGCTTGATTCCTTTTCGAATAATTCGATACATACTGGCAGTTGTGATATATATTTAAACATATATGCTTATTTACAGGTGGAAATTTTTTTGGGAAATGTTCAGTTTATAGGGGAGGCTCTGCCGAATTTTCGGTAGAAGTCGCATTTGAATTTCATTTAATTTCAGTTAAAAGGGCAATTTGGTCTTTTGTGCCTAACATTATCCAAGTGTCGAACACTCACAAGGTTCGGCTTGGATTCTAAAGTGGAATTTGGGTCGGGTCCTGTTAATTTAGTAAACAACTTCAATTGGAATCCGGATCCTAACTTTCCTCAATCCAACTTTTCCTCAATTCAATTCCTCCTCATCCGATTATGGGTAAACATGTCATAGTTAGGGAAAAAAAAGAGTAAACATGCCCTCAATGTTTAATTGAAACAATCGTTTGGTTGAATGTCGTTTAACCTCTTATATGTTGAAAGAGAACTAAATACAAATCTGAGATGAAAAAAGTTGTGGTGTTTATATTAGTCAATTTGTTGGGCATGAAATAAATAAATAGAAGGCTTAATTATGTACATGCCCCCTGTGCTTTCCAACTTATCTCAAATTACCACCTGTGGTGGAAAACGTCTCAAAGTACCCCCCAACGTGCAAAAAACTGTCTCACGTTACCCTTTCCGTCAATTTTTTTGAAGTTCCGTTACGAATGTTACTGTTCATCTCCCCCAAAATTCCAGAACAGTAGCCCCTCCCCTTTGTTACTGTTCATCGCTTATTTACCCTCCAAAACTCAGAAATTTCTCCTAACCAACACAACTAGCAGCAAGAACAACTCGAGAGGTTGAAAAATCATACCTGGATCGAAGAAAATGGTGCTCGGAATCGCCCGAACGAGCAATGGAGATTTTGGGTAAAAACCGGCCAATTTCTTGCTTTTTTCGGTGATCCAGACGACGGTTGGCAGCGGCTGAGATGTGAGGGTGGTAGAGGACAACGTGCTGGTTCTTTTGATATCCATGTCGTCGCTTGGGGTGGCCGGAGGAGGCGATGGCAGCCCAAAAACTGGTGCGATGAACAGTAACAAATGGGAGGAGCTGCTGTTCTGGAATTTTGGGGGAGATGAACAGTAACGTTCGTAACGGAACTTCAAAAAAACTGACGGAAAGGGTAACGTGAGACAGTTTTTTTGCACGTTGGGGGGTACTTTGAGACGTTTTCCCACCACAGGTGGTAATCTGAGATAAGTTGGAAAGCACAGGGGGCATGTACATAATTAAGCCTAAATAGAAATCTGTTCAATTAAAAAATTGAATAATGTCGAATAGGCCATTCACACAAATATTCACAAAATTACAGTCACACTTGTCTCTTTCGTTTCATGTGCATAATTCAATCAGCAGCTGAACAAACGCATCACCAGCTCCCCTGTCTAAAACGAAGAACACAACAACAGAGAGAATGGAAAAACCAGCCCAAAACACTGACGCCCAAAATGGGCAAGTTCAAGAAGCAACCAAGGCTTCCAGCGACGGTTCTGTTTGTGGGTACGATTCACTTCACCACCTCCTCAGCGAAAATCTCAAGCCCCATATTTTTCAGGTCACTTTTCTCAATTTTCTTTCTGTTGGGTTATTGTCATTTGGTGCTTTTGGTGATCGATTTGTGATCAGTTTGATTGGTTCTTTGTTGGGTTGCGTCCTTTTTTCATGAGACAGTTTGCTCTGGAGTCAACGGTTTAGTCTGAGTTTGTTTTCGTTTCCTTCAAGTCTGAAGATTTCATATTTGAATTCTTCACATATTTATTGGAATTTTGAGGTTGAAGGATTTGATTTTCAGATTTAGATGCTTAGAAAATGGACATTCGGATTGTACCCAGATAGGTTTTCATGCAATTTCCGTGAAAATCAGACCATTAAATCTCCCCATGTTAATTGGTTTTATTTGTTATTTTGCATTTATCAAACTCAGACATGTTATGCTATATTTTTAATGTATAATTAACTTTTCAGGAAGTCAACCGTATTCTTTTGGGTCTGAATCGCGGTAAGGCACTTGAAACAATCTCTCTCCCAGAATCTGCTAAAGCACTCTCTTCAGGACATAATTTTGACCTCCAGGTACGAAGTTACTTTAACTGTTGTGCAATGACCTGCGACTACCATTCACATCCCAGTAGTTCATAGTCAAGGGAGGTGTGATATACAGGGCTTCGGAAGTCCCTGTTAGTAGGCTCTTGGATGCCTGTAACCAAAAGTGTTTTTAAGAAAAATGTCTTTCTGAAAGGAAAGTCTTATTGAAATGAATTTTGGATTTTCATCCACTGTGTTTCAGTGAATTACAACAAAATTCTCCTTTTGTACAAGCCAACCGATGATTTCCCTTCAGTCAAAGAAGTTCACAACTGCATAACTGTAAACTAACTAATCTATCTCTCAGCTAGCTATTCAATCCAAACAACAGTGTAGACTTTCAGCTATTTACACACCGAATCACAGCACTCTAATCTTCCAGCTTCTTGCAGCATTTCTGTTCAACTAACCTAACCCCCTTCTCCTTGTCTCCTTCTGGGACAGCCTGATCTTAGAATCTCTTTGACAACTTTAAATGCTATATCTCTTATCCTTACGTGTTTTAATTAGTTTCTAGAGAGATGGAGTTCCACGAAGATTTTCTTGCATTCCAAACATCAAAAAAATCCTACTCAAAAATCAAGATAACCTTAAATGGGCTCCTTCGAACCTACTTACCTTATGTCCCATATATTCTTCACTCCCATTTTAGTTTAGCCACTCATTTAAGGTCTAATTAGCACATAGAAATTCTGAGTCTAACCATTAGAAAGTAAAAGTAGTATCATAGAATCCCATAGGAATTCTCCATTCCAGATTTGATTCAAGTGATCCATACAACTGCTGTAGAATTTCCAGAACACCACCAAAATGACATTGTCAATTCTTCCAATACCATGCTGCTTTTGTTATTCCCCACCACAAGTATAGCTCTAGATCTAGAATGTAAAACTAACGGTGGGTCCCATTGTGGAAGCTGCTTTGATTTTTGAAATTGTGACGGAACCTGTCTCTTTTGTTACCCAGATTATTGTGGTTTTTTGTTTTGCCTGGCTTTTCCTGTTTAGTGTAACTGAATTTTTATACCTGGGCATGTCTCCTATGGTATATCGTACAATCAATTGCTGCTATGCTGTTGACTAGTCTGAACTGTTGATCTTATATGTTCTTTCAGGCCTTCTGCTTTCTTGCTGACAAAGAGTTGTTGAGAGAACCTCGAATAGTTAGGGTTGGTCTCATTCAAAACTCTATAGCTCTTCCAACTACTGCTCACTTTTTGGACCAGAAGAGGGCTATTTTTGAGAAATTAAGGCCAATAATTGATGCTGCAGGTGCTGCAGGTGTCAATGTATTATGCTTGCAGGTTTGTTATGCTCTCCTTCCATGTCGTCTCTGTTTTATTGACTTTTGTCTGATATTTTCAAGCAAATCCATTAAAATTAAATCCAGGAAGCATGGACAATGCCATTTGCCTTTTGTACACGGGAGAAGAGGTGGTGTGAATTTGCAGAGCCTGTAGACGGGGAATCAACTCGATTCCTACAGGATTTTGCACGCATGTACAACATGGTCATTATAAGTCCAATTCTTGAGAGGGATGTCAACCATGGAGAGACTCTCTGGAACACTGCTGTCATAATTGGAAATAATGGTAACATAATTGGCAAGCATCGAAAGGTAAGTGAATTAGTTATCTGTTTTTAACTTATTTTGTACTTGCATACTTTTCTGTTGAAAGGCATATTGACAAATGATAATGGACAGAACCATATACCAAGAGTTGGCGACTTCAACGAGAGTACGTATTATATGGAAGGAAATACTGGACATCCAGTCTTTGAGACAGCTTATGGAAAAATTGCTATTAACATATGCTATGGAAGGCACCATCCTTTAAATTGGTTAGCATTTGGCTTGAATGGTGCAGAGATTGTTTTCAACCCTTCCGCCACTGTTGGTGAACTCAGCGAACCAATGTGGCCCATTGAGGTTAACTACTACCCATCTGTTTTATTTTTATGAGCCACTGCTTTGTGATATTCTCTCTTTTAACTTTGCAAACCCGTGTGTCCTCGACGAGGTTACTTTTTACTCATTCTTCATTCTATAACCCACTCTTTTGCAATAGACTCTCTCTCAGATTTTTTAAACTACTGATTTCAAAACGAATTGTGATACAACATAATGTCATACACAGAAAGGAAATATTTTTATGTTTAAGAGAACAGCCTGTTTTTCTTCAAGGGGAATTGCCCATGATTTCTTAGTTTAGCTGTAATTGTAATGCTATGAAGTCTCTAGGATATAAGCCATATGGACACTTGCACAAACTTAAACAAATTGTCAATTTACCATTTTTATCCTATGTTTCTTGGATGATCAAATATGAGCTGTTCTCCTGCTATGATCTTATAGACAGTTTATTTTCAGAACCTTGATGAACTGTTTTGTGTAGTCAAGTAACATGCCATTTGACTGTTCTGTTTTGCAGGCCCGTAATGCTGCAATTGCAAACAGTTACTTTGTTGGGTCAATCAACCGTGTAGGGACTGAAGTTTTTCCAAATCCATTTACTTCCGGTGATGGAAAGCCGGAACATGCAGATTTCGGGCATTTCTACGGATCCAGCCATTTTTCAGCCCCAGATGCCTCGTGCACTCCTTCTCTATCACGCCATAGCGATGGGTTGTTGATCTCAGACATGGACCTCAACCTGTGTAGGCAGATAAAAGACAAGTGGGGATTCCGAATGACTGCTCGTTATGAGCTGTATGCTGACTTGCTTGCTCAGTATTTGAAGCCGGATTTTGAGCCCCAAGTCATTTCTGATCCCTTGTTACACAAGAAGTCTCCCTAAGTTCTTTAGTTTCTAGTTGGTCTGCAGTCTGAACATGTAGTTAAAAAAGTAAATTTGTGTGCATCAATTTCTCAGCCGTTGAAAAATAAGCATTGGCTATCTGTAGATATTTACTTATTATTCAGTAAATATCATAAGAAAAAAAGAAAAAAAACAAAGGAAAACCAACATTCCCACGAAGTATTTTGAAGTATCTGTAGTTATTTCTCATAAAGTGACCATTTCGCCATTGTTTTTTAATATCAATTTCTTATAAATTCAAACCAAAAACTTACATTAGCTGACAAATAAAAATGTCCACAGCAAGTGTTGTGGTTGGAGTAATTACTCCCTTAGGCAAGGGTTCAGGTTCTAGCATCTGTGTCGACACCATACTCCTAAGTTTTTATGAAAATTAGCCAAAATTTTCCTCTTATTTTCACAAATGTTAGTTTTTATTAATACTTTCAATAATAGAAAAAAAAAACTCACCTAATTCTGCCCTTAATAAAATAAACCCTACATAAACCTAAAAGCAAAACCTTGTTAGGGTTATTCGTTTTATTAGTCTATGAATTTTGACCCGATTTGCATTTGAGTCTCAATTTTCGAAACGTTTCCATAATCCTTCAACTTTAGTTTCGTTAGGACAAATGATCTTGCCGTCAATTTTGTTAATTTTTTTTGTTAAATGCAGGGGTAAAATGGTATTTTTGTATTTTTTTTTTCCAATTTATGAATATTCCTTTCACCCAAAAAATAAATTAAAAATTAAAAAAATCATATTCCTATCCTTAGTCAAACTAAAAATTAAAAATTAGTTCTTATTCCTAAAAACTTGAACTGTTTTAAAAATATATATATATATTTTATTCATATTTTAATCAATTGAAAATTAAAAAAAATTAAAAAAAAACCATTTTACCCTTGTATTTAACAGAAAAGTTGACAAAATTGACGGTAGGACCATTTGTCATAACGAAACTGAAGTTGAAGGACCATGTGACCGATTTTGGAAATTAAGGGGCTCAAATGCAAATCGAGTCTAAGTTCAAGGACTAATGAAACGAATAACCCTAGATCTTATTATAAGCAAAATATTTTAAATAAAATTTGAGAATCTTTAAACGCAGGTTTGCGGAAGTATTGCATCATTAGTCAAACTACCTTTGAGTGCATAGATGTTTGAGCTCCAAGGTTTTCTTTAACAATTTTTTGGTTTTTGCACGATTTCAATATTGGTCATATTTGAAAATAATAATAATTGGCATGTCAGCAAAAAATATGGGGATAAATTCACATCCGAAATTGACTTCATAAGAATAGAAACAATGATAATAAATTTACTGTAATATAAAATCGAAGCACTTGGGATTTAACTCAACTATGGCTGAGATTTAGCTCAGCTTTGACACTTAAGTTTTGACACAACAGAAATCACATAAAGCTATGAGTTAATCTCATAAAGATAGTGTTCTAATGGATGTAGAATAGCCTACATATGCGAAGAAATTGATGAAATTTTCATTGTTACCTTAAGACCCCTTTCCATTTTGATAGAGAACATTACTGAAAACTAGAGTATATCTTCGTTTTCTACAATGAAAATATCTTAAATCCACAAGGAGAAACAACACTCTCAAAGTGAGATCTTTAGGATAGATTATAGGGTTAATTTTGCTTTACTATCCATAAGTTTCCAGAAATTATGACTTTACTACACAAAGTTTTTTTCGTCTCAACTTTGTACCCAAAATTTGATTTTTCTACCACTGTTATACCTTTGTTTGTTTGAGTGTTAAGTTATATGTTAAATGATGACGTGGCAATTAATAGCTCACCTAAACTCAAATATATTGTGCCACATCAGTTGATAAAAATAAATTATAAAAGATAACAAAAATTAAAGAATCAATTAACAATTGAAAAAAGTGAAGAAAAAAAATTAAAATCATTTAAAAAAAAACCTTTCTCCTCTCTTTGCAACTCACTACCCACTTTGGTATCAAACTCGACGAAGAGCAACGGAGCGACTAAGGGGATGATGGTGTTAGTGAAGAGGCCGAAGTATTGGCTGGCGAGGGTGTTGCAGGCAAGGTGGAGTTGAAGAGGCCGAAGCTTGGGCTTGAAGTGATTTCGGGGAGGACAGAGAAGACGCAAGAGGTGAAGGAGGTGAGGGAAGTGGAATTGGAGGTAGGTTTTGTTGGAAGTTAAACCAAGCCCACTTTAATATTTTTAATTGTTGTTGTAATACCCTTTAGGCTTCAGCAACTACTTTTGGTTTCTCAAGAAGATAAGTTGCCGCTTAGTGTTCTGAAGCTTCTAGGCTTCTCTCTTGTTTTTGTTGCTCATCCCTTTTTTATATTGGTGTTGCTGCTTCTTTGTATTTTGGCTCAGAACAATGAATAGAAGCTATCACTTCCTTTATGCTCCAGTTCATCTCTTTCTTATTCTCTCTTTAAATGTTTTGTGAGATTATGTGTTGGCTTGACTGCTGAGTTAATTTGTTGTTGGGTTGTGTTTCATTTTTTATTTATTTCCTACATCTGATATCAGAGCTTAGGCTCAAGAGGGATGGCAAACATAAATGAGTTTGTGCAGTGCTCAGTGGGTAAGTTTGATGGGCAGGGAAACTTCCAGTATTGGGATTCTCAGATGGAGTTTTTCTTCAAAGTTATGGAATACACAGATGTTATGATAAATGGGTTCACTGACCCAGGAGATCAAGCCACCCTTACACAGAACCAGAGAGAAGAGATGGTGAAAAATTGGAAGAAAGATAGCCGGGCCTTGATGTATATCTTTGTTGCAATTGATCCAGCAATCTATGAGAAGATTGCACATGTCTCTACATCTAAGGAGGCATGGGATGTGCTAATCAATAGCTATATTGGAAGAGATAAGGTAAAGAAGGTACGGTTGCAGACCTTGAGAGACAATTTGAACTTTTGAAGATGGAGAAAAAAGAAATCATCTCTGATTATTTCTCATGTACCTTGTAATTAGCAAATTAGATGAAAGCGAATGGTGAGGATTTGAAAGAGCTCCAGATTATGTAGAAAATTCTTTGAACCTTGACAGACAATTTGAAGGCAAAATTACAGCTATTGAGGAGACACATGATCAAAGTACCTTGACAGTGGATGATTTGCAAGGTTCATTGCAAGCTTATGAGCAAAGATTGAATGAGAAGTCAGTGATTGGGATTGACGAAGCATTGAAGGTCCAAAAAACTTGAAAAAGGAGAAGAATGACTCTAAGAACGAGGAGTCTAGCTATGAAGTAAGATCAAATGCAAAGAATCATAACTCAAATTACAAAATGGTTCATAATAGATTTGAAAACAAAAGAGGAAGAGGCCGAAGCAACACTTGGAGCAAAGCCCATGATAAATCCAATGTTCCATGTTTTAAGTGCTGGAAATATGGCCACTACAAAAATGAATGCAATTCTCAGAGATTTGAAAATAAGGGGCATCATGCTAAGGTTGCAAAGGATGATAAAGGAAATGAAGAGATTTGTTGTTGGCTTATAATGTTGTCAGTGACGATGAGAAAAACAAGTGGTTGCTGGATACTGGATACTGGATGCAGTAATCACATGTGTGGGCATAAGGACTTGTTCAGTGATTTGAATGAGTATGTGTAGTCTGTGATCATATTTCGTGATCAAACGAAGATTCTAGCTAAAAGAAAAGGAAGGATCACTATCAAGTTAAGGGATGGGTTGTTCAATTCCATATCTGATGTCTATTATGTTCCAAGTTTGCGCCACAATTTTTTGAGCCTCGAACAACTCTCAAAGAAAGGGTACGACATTTGGCTTCTCAATGGAGTTTGTACTATTAGTGATGCTAGTCATGAACTAATAGCTAAGGTAAAAATGATTCCAAACATGCTATTTGCATTATATCTCAATTATCATGAATTACCTTGCTTTAGTTCAATGATGGATGGTGATAATATGAGAATGTGAAGGTAAAAAGTCCCACATTGGAAAGTTGAGAAACCTAGCAAGAGCTTATAAGGAGTTGAGTTACTCCCCCCATTGCCAATTGGTTTTGGGGTGGAACCTCAATTTCCTTCATGGTATCAGAGCGGGTTGCCCCCGTCTGAAAGCTTAACGGCCACACGTGCTCCACGTCACCCAAAATGTGTTGTCCACATGTTACGCTTGAAAATTCACCACATGTGCGGGGGCATGTAAGAATGTGAAGGTAAAATGTCTCATATTGGAAAGTTAAGAAACCTAGGAAGAGCTTATAAGAAGTTGAGTTACTCCCCCCATCGCCAATTGGTTTTGGGGTGGAACCTCAATTTCCTTCAGATAATTGGTTATAGCATATGCGCTTTGGCCACTTAAATTTTAATAGTTTGAATTTCCTTGCTCGAAAAAATTTAGTTGCTAGTTTGCCTTCAATTTCTATTCCTAATGAAGTATGTGAGACTTGTTATATGGGTAAAAAAAAAACACAGGGAGAGTTTTCCTAAAGGAAAGGCTTTTAGAGCTAGAAGACCCCTTGAATTGATACACTTCAACTTGTGTAGTGTGAAAGTGGCCTCACATGGTGGTGGAAAATATTTCATCACATTTACTGATTATTTCAGCAGGAAAACTTGGGTGTATATTTTGAAAAACAAATAAGATGCTTGTGACATTTTCAAGAATTTTAAGGCCTAAGTTGAGAAACAAAGTGGTGAGAAGATAAAGATATTGAGAACTGATAAAGGCCAAGAATATATGGTTTGTGATGAATTTTTGGAGAAGAATGGGATATAACATCAATTGACAGCCAGGTATACACCTCAAAAAAATGGAGTGGCTGAGAGAAAAAATAGAACAATTATAGATATGGTGAGATGTATGCTGAAATTGAAGAATTTGCCTAAGTATTTTTCTGTAGAGGCTGTTGCTTGTGCTGTGTATATTTTCAATAGCTCTCCTAATATAAGTGTGGATAAAAGAACTCCCTATGAAATGTGGAGTGGGAAGAAGCCAAATATTCAACATCTTCGTGTGTTTTGATGCATTACTTATGCTCATGTCCTAGATCATATTAGAAAGAAACTTGATGATGCAAAGAGCACATCAGGTTATGCTTTTCACATTGGCTCTGGTGTTATCTCTTGGTCATCAAAGAAGCAATAAGTTCTGGCTCTTTCTTCTACATAAGCAGAGTACAATGCAACCACCTATTGTGCTACTCATGCAGTGTGGATGAGGGAATTTCTTGGTGTTTTGCATCAAGAAAAGAAAATTCCAACAACTATATTTTGTGATAACAAGTTAGCTATAACATTGTCAAAGAACCCAGTCTCCTATGGAAGGACCAAGCATATTCGTGAGAAAATGCATTATATTTGTGATTTGGGGAAAGATAAGGAAGTTGAAGTTCAATATTGTCCAACTGGAGAATAGATTGTAGACATATTTACAAAGGGTCTCAAGACAGATGTGTTTGTGAAGCTGAAGAAGATGATGGGAAAGATGAACTATGATGAGCTTGGTTTAAGGGAGACTGTTAGAAGTTAAACCAAACCCATTTTAATATTTTTAATTGTTGTTGTAAAACCCTTTAGGCTTCAGCAGCTACTTTTGGTTTCTTAAGAAGATAAGCTACCGCTTAGTGTTCTGAAGCTTCTAGGCTTCTCTCTCGTTTTTGTTGCTCAACCCCTCTTTATATTGGTGTTGCTGCTTTTTTGTATTTTGACTCAGAACAATGAATAGAAGCTATCACTTTCTTTATGCTCCAGTTCATCTCTCTCTTGTTCTTTCTTTAATTGTTGTGTGAGATTATGTGTTGGCTTGACTAGTGAGTTAATCTGCTGTTGGGTTGTGTTTCAATTTTTTGGGTACATCTTTGTTTGTCACGCATTACTTTCTGACTTAGCTTCCAGCTTTAAGTGAATGGTCATTCATCATCTTTCAAAAAATTGCAATTCAGTAGTGAGAGAGAAATGAGGAAGGAAGCTTGGAAGAGTTCAATTTTGGTAAGTTTGCGTACATCTCTTCCTATATCCTCCACCATCACCTGTGATTCATCATTCTCTTCTCCCTCCCATGTGATTCATCATTGTTTTTACTATCCCTTATAATTTCTTTCTTTCTCTTATTTGTAATGACAATTAATCATGTTCTCTTTAGTTTACCTCTATATAAAGATAAGTAGCAACAACATGTCTCTCTCTCTTACACTCCCTCTTTCTTCTCTTCCAACAAAAACACAAAATCTTAGTCGTCTAAAATCTTTCCCAATGTCTTCCTCACTCCCTAGTCCGAATTCCTCCCACTTCCTCAAACTTATAGAAACCAACTACCTCATATGGATATGGCAAATAAAACTCTTTCTTATTGGTCATGGCACATGGCACTTCGTTGATGGCTCTTTCCCTCAAACATCACAATTTCACCCTCCTTCATCTGAAAACAATGATACTACTACACCTAACCCTGACCATACTCTTTGGTTTCAACATGATCAACTTGAGGTGAGCTACATCACTAGCATTCTTTTCGAATCTATGCTCACTTACAGTGTGTTGTGAGTTCTCCAACTCATGGACATGCAAAAAGGCTCTCAATCTATTGATCAATACCATCGTCACACCAAACCCCTTGCTAAGTCTCTTGCTGCGATTGATAAGTCCGTCTTCAACAAAAACCTTGCTACTGTTGTACTGACAGGTTTGGGCCCCGACTACAAAATGCAGTAATGACCATTTTAAATTTTCTTCCTCTTCCTAAGTTTACCGACTTGTGTGCTCGTTTTCTTGCCTATGACGTTCCAAACCCTAGCATTGATAATCCCTCCTCAATTTCCTCCACCACTTTCATGGCTGCCAAATCCCAGCATTTCCCAAAAACATTGTGGTCATTCTCACCAAAGTTCTTGAAGTGATCTTAATTGCGGCCATGGCAATCTTGGTTGTCGTGGTTGTGGCTGGAACCAGTAGCTGTTGACAGGACCCGCCCCGGAATTTCCCCCGAAACCGGGGCGGACCCCGTTTTGGTGCCGACATCATACCGATGCCGGGCCCACTTACTAAAAACCCAAGACATCCTACCAAAATTTTGGCAGAGTCTCCCCTGTAAGATGCTCAAACCCAACAACATTCAACCTGCATAATTTACATAATATAATTCCCAACTGCCAGCATGCTTTCAACATACAACAATTCAAATAAAGTGGCCTCCGGCCTCAAGTAACAACCTAACATGGGCGATAACAGAGCATCTAACAGAATTTGATTACAACAACAGTAGAGTAGAAGGAATTTACACGAATCCTATCTACAGATGGAAATGTTTGGAGCTCGCAACTTGCTTGAGCGCTTCCAAAAGCCACTACTGCCTGGGGGGCGCAAAACAGAAATATGTGAGTGGACAAAAATAAAGTTTGCATTTAAAACAACATAGTAACCCCACCGTGTAAAAATAATGCTCAAGCATGCAGTTTCCACATCCATAAATCAAATACTCAAACATAAAATCTCAAAGTCCAATAACTCTCAAAAATCTCAAACCACAACTCCATTCCCACAAGTATGCAACTCTCACCAACCCATACATATGTATACATATATAAGTATATATATATCTATAATATAACGTATACTTCTCTCCATACTAATGTACCGGGGAAGACAATCCAACCGGGGGATTGTTGGCTGGTACGCAGGATTTTCGAACATGAACCCGCGTCCAGGGATGAGTAGTCCAACCGGGGGACAGAACTCCAAAGCTCACACGCCGGCACTGCCAACGACACGTGTAGCTCACAAATCTCATATCAAGTCCTACGCGCGCAGACAGTATCATCACCCCACCGGCACTGCCAACGACATGTGTGATGATACTAAGCAATATACATACTCTTCCCATACACCGGCACTGCCAACAACATGTATGGAAAGTGTCTCACACACCGGCACTGCCAACGACATGTGTGAGACCCGCAATCTCATGGCCTTCCCACCCCACCGGCACTGCCAACGACGTGTGTGGGAAGCCTAGTAACCAGGGAATGGTACTCACCTAACATACTCATACATCTCACAACCATCCCTCAAACTCATATCTTTCCACAATCTCACAACAACAACTCCTCGTACTCTATACATAGGCAATATAGATAGACATCCCAAAATCCATATAAACATATCCATAATACTCAAACATAGCCATACTCAAAATATATTGCCAATACGTATATGAATATCCAAATCCACCAACCAAATACTTAATAAATCACATTTACCATTTAAAAACATATGCACAAATCTTTTATCAATAAAACCATGCAAATGCTTGAAAACAAAGTCCACTCACAGGTAATCCCACGCTGCCCGGCCCCGAGAGGGTCCTGCTTGCTGCGAATGATCGACCGAAGTACCTATTTCGAGATACGAACTCTTGATTAATATAATACACTTCGAAACGGGAATTCACAAAAGAGAATACTTAAATCCCCAAGATCCCGGTGCGTGTACGTCCAATAGGATATCCTAAGGTCCGGTTACAGGTTTGGGAATCGCTTCCCATTCTACGGTTATCGCTAATCCCACAAACTTAGAATTATTGAATCGGAACATCCGGGGCTCCGATTCACGATCCACGAATTCCTATAGGATTCTAAGAGTACCTAAATCAACATACTTCAATTTGGAAACGATCCAACGGTTAGAACTTATCGAACCCGAATAACGCACAATATGCGAAATCCGTTCGATAGTCAAACGACATCCAAATTGAGATCCGTAAAAAAGATCTCTCAGGATAAAAGCAACTTCAACAGCCTTGCCCACGCGCCGCCACACGCGCCGGCAGCGCGTGGGTGTGTAGAGGAATTTCCGGCGACGGAAAATCTCCACACCAACGCTCACCCTTCCTACCCTAGCTTCTTCTCAAGGTCAGGATCACTTTATTCAACTACCACGAGGTCCAATTCGCACGGGAACTGGCCGGAATTTCAAATTGAAAACCGGCCAAAACCTAGGTTTCCAATTCGGTTCCCAACCTCAAAATCAATCCAAACCTAAACAACAGTCAGCTAGAATACGTAAAAAGGAGAAGAAAACTCACCAACTTTACCTGAAACAGACGGCGGAGGCGGCGGCGCAACGATCGGAAACTTCCGGTTCGAACCAGTCGATACCGTCGACGATTCTCGGCTTTCCGGCAAGGAAATTGGGTGGGTCTTTGATCGGGACTTCACGACGAGTCAAACGGGACCGGTCTCGAGGGCTGAGGTGACCGGAAGTGCGGCGGTGTGGGTTTTTCTGTTCGGATGAACAGTGAAACTCGGGAGGGGGAGGGTTCTGCGCGCTGGGGAGAATCGGGAGAGAGAGAGAGAGAGAGAGAGAGAGAGAAAGTGTGGGGGTAAAAGTGAAAAATCTGATTTTACCCCCAAACTCTTTTCAAATTAATTACGGTTCGCCACCGAACTTATTTTGATCGCCAAAACTTCATTAAATCTCCGATTCAAGCCTACCGCCTGTCTACGATTTCGTCTCAGTACCACCTACGCAACCAAACCACTCGTTGTCCCGAAATCCTTCCGGATAAGAAAATGACCAAAATTACTCTTAACCCAAGAGTAAATTAATAATTCTCTTAATTTAATTAAAATAGGACTAAATTTGGAGTCGGGGTGTTACAGCTGTAGCAGCCATAACACTAGCCCAACACTTCCACAAGCTCTGCTCATTGTTGGTTGTAGCAGGTGTCTCGCCCACAGTGTGTAAACTTATTTTTTGGACATGTTCACAAGGGCTTATTTTGAGAGGAGACACCGAGAGAATTATGTGCCCCTTCTTGAAGGTGAGCAGCCATGACTCATGCATCTTGAGGATCATTGACACTATTCATGGACATTTTTTTCTTAGCATCTCTACAGATGTAGGCAAATGTATCTTGCGGTCTAGTTTTGGATCTTTTCGCATTATTAATTTTGTTTAAGAGATTTCTCTATGAATTTGGTTTATGAGGTTTCTAAATTCTTTTACTCAATGTTGGGTAAATATCTTTGTTTATCTTGCATTACTTTCTCACTAAACCTCCAATTTTAGGTGAATGGTCATTCATCATCCTTAAAAAATTGCAATTCTATAGTGAAAGAGAAATAGAGGCGGAAGCTTGGAAGATTTCAATTTTAGTAAGTTTGGTACGTCTATTCTGATACCCTCCACCATCACTCGAGATTCATCATTGTTCTCTCTCTGCCTTGTGATTCATCATTGTTCTTACCGTCCCTTATAATTTTTTTTCTTCTCTTATTTGCTGTGACAATTAACCATGTTCTCTTTATTTTATCTCTAAATAAGAGAAGCAACAAAAATTAATGTTTCTTCACCACTTCAAACTTTTTGTTGCATCTTGTTTCTCTCCCTTTTGTTTCTCTCTCTCTCTCTCTCCTCTCTCTCTCTCTCTCTCTCACACACACACACACACACACACACCTCCTTTCTCTTATTTTCCACCAAAAATACAAAACCCTAGTGTCTAAAATCTTTCCCAATGTCTTCCTCCCTCCCTGGTCCCAACTCCTCGAACTTACAGAAACCAACTACCTCCTTTGGTTTCGATAAATAAAACCCTTTCTTATTTGTTATGGCTCATGGCACTTCGTTGATGGCTATTTCCCTCAAGTCTCACAATTTCTCATTCCCTCCTTTGACAACAATGATACTGCTACACCCAACCTTGACCATGCTCTTTGGCTTCAACAACATCAACTTGAGGTGAGTTACATCACTACCACTTTCTTCGAATCTGTACTTATAGTGTGTTTTTGAGTCCTCCAACTCATGGACATGCAAAAAGGCTCTCAATCTATTGATCAATACAATCGTCACACCAAACTCCTTGTCAACTCTCTTATTGCGATTGATGAGCTCGTCTGTAGCAAAGACCTTGTCATTGTTGTACTATGTGGTTTGGGCCCCAACTACAAAATGATGTAACGACCATTTTAAATTTTCTTCCTTTTCTTGACTTTATCGACTTGCGTGTTCATTTTCTTGCCTATGAGGTTCAAAACCCCAGCATTTACAATCTCTCCTCAATTCCCTCCATCACTTTCGTGGCTATCCAATCTCCCAACACTTCCCAAAAACATGGTGGTCTTTCTCACTGGAGCTCTAGAAGTGGTCTTAGTTGCGGTCGTGATAGTCTTATTTATGATGGTCGTGGCTATATCCAATTGATGTAGCAGCCACAACACTACCGCAACACTTTCACAAGCTCTGCATGTTGTTGGCCACAATAGGTGTTTGGCCCACAGTGTGTAAACTTCTTTTCTAGACTTGTTCACGATGGCTTATTTTGAGAGAAGACACTGAGAGAATTATGTGCCCTTTTTTTTACTGTGAGTAGCCATGAATGATGCGCCTTGAGGATCAGTGACACCATTCATGGACATTTTTTCTTGAGCATCTCTATTGACGTAGGCAAACATACTTTCGCGGTCCAATTTTAGATCTTTTTGCATTATTAATTTTGTTTAAGAGGTTTCTATATGAATTTGGTTTTGGAGGTTTCTAAATAATTCTACTCAATGTTGGGTACATCTTTGTTTGTCTTGCATTACTTTCTCACTCAGCCTCCAGCTTTAGGTGAATAGTCATTCATCATCTTTCAAAAATTGCAATTCTACAGTGAGAGAAAAATGGAAGTGGAAGCTTGAAAGATTTTAATTTTGGTAAGTTTGGGTACATCTCTCCCTATATCCTCCACCATTACCTGCGATTCATCACAACCCCCCCCCCCCCCCTCTCTCTCTCTCTCTCTCTCTCTCTCTCTCTCTCTCATAACCCCTCTCTTATTTTCCATCAAAACCACAAAACCCTAGCTATCCAAAATCTTTCATAATGTCCTCCTCCCAACCTAGTCCTAATTCCAATAACTTACATAAACGAACTACCTCATTTGGCTTCGGTAAGTAAAACCCTTTCTTATTGGTCATGGCTATGGCTCTCAATCTATTGATCACAACCATCGTAACACTAAACCCCTTGCTGACTCTTTTGAGATAGATGAACCCATCTTCAGCCAAGACCTTGTCATTATTGTACTCTGCAGTTTGGGCCCCGACTACAAAATGCTAGTAATGACCATTTTAAATTTTCTTCCTCTTCTTGAGTTTAATGAGTTGTGCGCCCGTTTTCTTCCCTATGAGGTTCTAATCTTCGGGATTGATAATGCCTCCTCAAGTCCCTCCACCATTCTAATGGTTGCCCAATCTCCCCAACTTTCCCAAAAATGTGGTGGTTTTTCTCACCCGAGTTCTGGTCGTGACTCTCTGTTACTCAAATCATTACTAGATTTGTTAAATGCTGGAAAGCTTGGACATATATATATATATATATATATTTGCTGATGTAGACTGGACAAAAAAGTAATAAAATATTATTTTCCTATGAAATAATTTTAACAAGTTAAGATCAAATATGTGACATAACATAAAAACAAAACAAACAAAAACCCACCTCCCACTCTCTTATGCCTCCACCATCACCACTCTCTCCATCTTCATCTTTCTCTGTCTGCTCCACACCAAAACTCTCAACCCACAATCTCTACTATGGCTCCTAACTTTATGTGATGTTATACCAATCATTTTGCTGAAAATTGGATATTCTATTGATTACTACTCCAATCAATAGATGCAGTATGTTGAATCCTTAAAAAATATAGTCTTTTGAGCTAACTGCAAAAAATGGTGGCACTATAATTTTTTGTCAAACACAATAATTGTGGGAGCATATATTTCGGCAACCAATAAAAAGATGACACATGGAAAAAGGAATATTCCTTAGGTAAACTAATTTACCTAATTAAATATTAGTTAGGGGATTATCTTTGATTTATGATAGGAATATCTCATCAATCAAGGATTTGATTTCCAGCAAATCTCTTTGATTAATTCCTATCATCTTTTTTTGGTAACAATAATCCTAATTAAATAGAATTAATCTTCAAACCCTAGCAAGCAAGGAGTCTATAAATAGATGGCTACATAAAATATTTGAGGTAATGCTAAACCCCTAGAGAAATCACTCACTCACTCACACACACCACACACACACACACACACACACACACACACACACCACACACACACACACACACACACACACACACACACCACACACACACACACACACTCTCTCTCTCTCTCTCTCTCTCTCTCCTCTCTCTCTCTCTCTCTCTCTCTCTCTCCGCCCTTCTCATAAAATATTTGAGGTAATGCTAAAACCCCTAGAGAAATCACTCACTCACTCACACACACACACACACACACACACACCACACACACACACACACTCTCTCTCTCTCTCTCCTCTCTCTCTCTCTCCTCTCCTCTCTCTCTCTCTCCGCCCTTCTCATTTATCTCTCGCCTCCCCTCTCATCTCTCTCTCCTCACATAGCTACGCCCCACCACACACAGCTAATGCCCCCTGGCTTTCCCCGTGAAAGAAAACTCTGACCTTTTTGTTATCTCTCTATCTTTCTCAAGATCATTTAACTGACTTAGGCATCGGAGGACCTTTAGCCAACACCCTTCAGTTGTGGTCCGTTGACCTAGATTTGTTTTACAGGAATCGAGGAAAAAGGAAGAGAATGAAGCTCAAAGGGTGGAAGAATCACACTCGAATATTCTCCCGTGAGAATTTTGTTCAAACATTTTAGTGCTTTCATTGATAGCAACAAAATATACTCAAATTGTTGCTCTCAAATTAAAGGAATCTGTTTCCTTCCATAAATCACTCAACCAAAGCCTTCCAAACAATCATGGTTGGACGCAAGCGCACAAGAAGCAAGACCTTCATGACCACTCAATTCGCGACAAGTCTGAGCTGTCACGACAGTGCGACGATGAGCCAACTGCAGTGTTCAGCTGTCGAGACCGTGGTTGCCATTGTTGTTCCAACCGCCTCCATATCACCTCTTTGCCCCCATTGCCGAGACCACTATTCCAGTGCGAACTGCAGAGCCTCCTTGCCATCCAACAACAAAGGTGGTCCAGCAATCAACTCCACCTTGTTGCCGTATATCCCCACAGTTGAAACAACAATTCCACCTCATGGCTCCGTGGCCGGAACCAACCTGCATCCATATGGCCTCACAACTGAATCCGCTAGTCACGACCATTTTGGCGCTGCCGCCAATTTTGGCTCTCTTGTGGAACAACTGCATCAATTCCCTTCTTTGTCATTCGCGCCTAACGTATGCTCCCGCGCACACCTCCAATGAAACCTTAGTTTGCAAGTAATTGGGCTCCACACAATTCTTTCCTCTTAATCCACTCAATCAAGCACACTCAAATAGTAAACGACCAAAACAACTTGGTCGGATAGCTTTTCAGGCAAATTGACTTGGTTTGAGACCTTGACCTTGGATCCAATGGTGAAGATAGAATGATGGACGAACTCATCGGCAGGCAGTTCGAGAGGTCCCAGGTAGGTCAAGTAGGAACCAGCTAGTGATAAGAAGGACAAGAACAATCTGCCCAGCACCCTGACATGTCACAAGCATACCCCAGTTCTTGCCCAAATAGATCAAATCTTCTTGTGAGGCTAGGTTCGAGGATCAATGTGCACGATAGGCTGTCAGTGTGGTCACATGGTTGAAACACTGGAAGAGCTCCAAAAGTTCTTAAAGGCCACCTCTTTACTTGATCAACAACTTGAAAAGCTCCTTGAAGAACACCAACCCAATTGCCTTATGGCTGATAATTGCTTTCCATGGACAACTGATCTTGCTGCCAAATTTGGAATTCCAAGGCTTGTTTTCCATGGAATAAATTTCATCTCTTTATGTCTTTCACAGCATTTGATCAAGACATGATTGAAGTCTGATTTTGAGCCTCTAGTAATTCCTGATTTACCAGATGAGATCAAGCTTGCAGGAACCTAGATACCAAATTTCCTCAAACAAGAAACCGAGTTGAGAAAATATTTAGAATCGACTGCATAAATAGAAAGGAGGAGTTATGGGGTGGCTGTTAATAGCTTCTATGAGCATGAGCCAACCTATGCTGACCATTATAGGAAGTTTTTGGGAATCAAGGCTTGGCATATTGGTCCCACATTTTTATGCAATAAGGACACTTATGCCCACCTAGATGAACATGAATGTTTGAAGTGGCTAAATTCCAAGACACCTAATTCAGTAGTTTTATGTGAGCTTTGGAAGTGTGATCAAATTTGATGATGCTCAGCTCCTTGAAATTGCATTGGGTCTTGAGGCTTCTGGGCAACAGTTCATTTGGGTTGTCAAGAAAGAAAAGAGTGATGAAGAAAATAAAGAGGATTGGTTTGCCTGAAGGGTTTGAGAAGAGAGTGAAAGGTAGAGGACTTGTTATAAGAGGGTGGGCTCCACAGGTGCCAATTCTTGAACACCAAGCAGTTGAAGGCTTTGTGACTCATTGTGGATGGAACTCAGTGATTGAAGCAGTGTCTGCTGGGATGCCACAGCTTTTTCTGATCAGTTTTATAATGAAAAGTTGGTGACTCAAATACTTGGGATTGGGATTGGGGTAGGTGTTCAAAAATGGGAAAGATTTGGAGGGGAAAAAGTAGGGAAGAGAAACATAGAAAAGGTAGTGACACATATTATGGTGGGGGAGAAAGCAGAGGAAATGAGAAACAGAGCCAAAAGGCTTGAGGAAATGGGTTTTTGTAAGTTTGGGTATCCGATTATGGCCTCTTTAAAGTTCATGTATGAATTTGTAACGACCCCTATAGTTCGGGGAGTTTTATATAGTTCATCCCAATTTAAATGAAGATAATATGGTGGCCAAATGAATGTGATTTAGCATGATATCACATTGTGGCAAGCGAACAATTGGTGGCTGTGATATTAGTTTAAATGAAGATGATTTAGCATGATGGTTGGTGGATAGGCGGTGGTGCCTACCTAAACTAAAGTTGGCAAACACGTAAATGTCAGTCCCATAATTTTTTTTGAGTAATTTTCACTTTACTATGGTAAAGTGTACCGACTTTTGGAGTCCGATACATCAAATTTTTTTTTCATCTCAATCGCATAAATAATATTTATTTTCATACCAATTTAATATGTCCATTAATGCCTCCGTTAAAACGTTGATGTGGTAATCAATGAATCCACATAGACACATATTGTGACATGTGGACTAGAAAAAAAAAGTAAATAGTTTTATTTAAATGTCTTTGCTTTTTATTTGTATACCTCAACCATATCATGTCATATCTTGAATTGTGTGCAAATCAGAAACAATAATGGATGTTGAATTGTATGCAAAAACGTAATAAAATATCAAAGGATCATATTAAATGTATTTTACAATCCAACGATTATTTTTGGATAAATTATATCTTCTCTGAATTTAAATATTTTTAGGTCTATTTGTTTGACAAAAAAAATAAAAATAAACCTAACACATACAAAATTAATTTTGTAAAGTTAACACAAAATAAAAATTTAACACAAAAACGAATTAAGACAAAAAAATCAATTATACATCTTTAGATTTACGTCTTCCTCAATGGAACAAAAACCACATTTACAACCCCCAGAGGTGTAAAGGGGATGTAAAAGTGGCTTTACACCCTTGAAAATACCCCCCCCACTATAGATGCTCTTATCCGACTACACATTCTCCCTCATCTCTACCTCCCTAAACCAAGATGGTGATCAACATGGTTTCAATTTTTCATGACCTTACAGATCTCGATAACTTGAGGGCATTTCAACATACCCAAAATCCAGGCAGGTCCTTAAAATACCTAAAATCCTCCTTAAGCGTGGTAGTGTTCCTTTTCAGACTTGCTGCTGCCACGTACGCCATGGAGGTTGCAAATAAGCTTGAGTGTGGTCGGCGTGTTGTGGGCCCAAGCCAATGAGAGTTGCTTGTTAACATAGTCGGCTGGGGTGTTGGGCACCACGTGAAAGAAGAAATTGAGGCAGGGGTTGCCGGTGGAGAGAAGGTGGTGGAATTATTCTCGGTCAAGCCCATTAGGAGTTTGTTGGCCATCGCTATGTCATTGAAATTTGAGACCATGAGGTCGACAAAGGGGTCGCCGGTAACGGTCTTAGGTTGGGATCAGGTACGGGTTGAGATTGGAGGAGTGGGGTCTGGGTGGGTTTGCTGAGCTCTGGAGGACCGAGAAGACTGGGAGCAGCCATTGTTGCGAGGTGTGAGAAATTGTGATCAAGTAAGCATGGTAGTAATGGGTTTGTTGGTATTTGATCAAATTTAATTGGGTCCAGCTCCAAAATGTTCAACTTGGGATCTAATCAGTTAATGATTTTTCAATATTTGGATAATAATGGGTTTGTGGTTAAGATCAGAAGGGAGGCTTGAGAATGGCGGCTATAGCTCTGCCTTTCTTGACATAGGGAACAGAGAAAGACGAGGGGATGGGCAGTAAGGAGAGGGAGTGTGTGGGCAGCATCGATGATAGGGTAGAAGTGAGTGGTGGTCATGAGTGGGTAGGGTAGGGGTTGGTGGCGTTAAGAATATGGTGGGGTGTTGGGCTTGGGGAAGAAGATGAGTTGGAGATGGATTTTTATTTATTGTAGGCTTATTTAATATAGTGCCCCCCTGAAATTTCTGTCAAATCTCACTTTAACACCCCCACCTCCACCCCCCCTAAAGTTAAAGTGACCCACTTTTATCCTTTGACCGAGGTTTGGTGATCCACTTTGCCCCCTATCGTTAACTCCATCCAAAACTCTGTTAAATTTGATGATGTGGCATGAGTGTTTTTGTAATTTCATACACATGAATCATTACACAATTGAGTACGTAGGTGACATGGCAAGTTGAGCCCACCTCCACATAGATAAACATATAATTAAATATTCTTATAATTAAAAATAACAAATTTAAATATATATTATAATAATTAAAAACTCTACCCAACACCCAATCACTCCCCCAGCCGCCACAATCCTTTCCAACCCATCCCTCCATCATCATTTGATCTCAAATCTCTCTGCCAGGGAGAAGCAAAGCAAAAGCAAAACAAATTACAGTAGAGATCAGTTCCCAAGCCACCCAACCCCTATCTTTTCCTCTCTCTCCATGTCTCTTTCTTTGTTTCTTCAAACCCCCCAGGTCAATATTTTAATTTAAAATCAAATACTCACTGCGTTTCTCCCATCCTCACCCCATCACCATCAACGATACCCACTGCACCACCTAACAACCCCATGGCCGCCAGAGAACTCGTTTGAATTTGTTTCGGCAAACTGGGTTTGCGTACGACATTGTCTTCTATGTGCGAAACGGGGAGAGAGAGAGAGAGAGAGAGAGAGAGAGAGAGAGAGAGAAAGCAACGACCCTAACCCAGATATGAATCTAGGTTCTTTGTGGAGAGAGAGAGAGAGTCTGAAGGACGAGATAGGGGAGGGGGAATTAGGATGGGGTCGGGAGGATGAGATGGCCTAGGTTTTTTTTTTTTGGTTACTTTTTCTTTTTTTTTGTTATTTTATTATTTTATATATTTTGATTTTAAATTTTTTAATTAATTTAAACAATGAAGAATTTTAATTAAGTTTTAAATCCATATGGTATCCACCTCACCCACTCAATTAGTTTAATGATTCATGTGTATAAAATTACAAAAACACTCTTGTCACGTCATCAAATTTAGCAAAGTTTCGTATGGAGTTGATGGCATGGGGCAAAGTGGGTCACCAAACCTCGGCCAAAGGATGAAAGTGGGCCACTTTAACTTTGGAGAGGTAAAGTGAGATTTGACTAAGTTTCAAGAGGCAATATAGTAAATAAGCCTATATTTTATTTAACTTTTCTTTTTCATATTTATTTAATTAAGAATGTTGTTCTATTATTTAGTTTGGGCCATTTAGGTTATTGAGAAGATATGGTGGGTTGTACTGTCACATCAGCGGTTTAACAGAGGGATTGACAGAAGCACTGACGGACATATTAAATTGGTGTGAAAATAAATATTATGTATGCGATGAGACAAAAAAAAAAAAAAAAAAAAATTTTATGTAGTGAAAGTGAAATTACCTTTTTTTTATTTCTGTTGAATGTGTGATAATAGACTAAATTCAAACACATTACACGAATGCTAGGACTCGAAACCATGACCTTACCTGGTGAGCAATTACTTCAATCCACTTCACTAGTTGGCCTATAGTATGAGCTTACACATTGATCTATAACCAACAATTATAAATTCATTTGACCAAGACAAAAAGTAAAAGATCCCTTTATCATATCCTAATTACTAAAGATTTTATTGAGTTTAACCTAAATTATCTAAAAATAAAAGACTTGGAGAAAACATTCAAAGTGGAATTATCCGAATTTGAATCCGAATCCAAATTGTAAAAGATGGTTAGGGTTAGGTTGACCTTCAAACACGGAACCCCTCCCCTCGAGATCATGTGTTCAATTCCCCTTACCCAAAATAGCTTGTATAAAAAATATATTTCAGAAAAAAAAATCATATGATAAAAAGAAAACAAGAATTATAAAATGTTGTTAATTTAATTTAATTTAATTTAAGGGTTAACTAGTGATTTGCCCTCATGAACTTGTACTTAATTTTCGATTTACCCTATATCCTTTAAAAAAAGAAAAAGAAAATTAAGGATACGAACCTCTTCTCTCTTTTTTTGGGCAAATTCCCCCTACCGTCTAAATCCGCAACATTTCATCCAATTTGCAATTAAATATGAGGGCAAAATGGTCATTTTGTACGTTAAAAATAAATATAAAATAAAACTAGAAAATTCAAATAATATTCTCTCTCTCTCTCTCTCTCTCTCCCTCCTCTCGTCTCTCTCTCTCTCTCTTTCTTTTTGCAGGTGCAGACTGGGTTTCTGTGGGTGGGGGGAAGGAGCAAGGATCTGTTGCCACCGTCGAGGAGGAGGGGAGGTATGGGTATGGGTCTGGAGGCAAGGGCTGGGGGATGGAATAGGTCTGGGTCTTGGGGGCAAGGGCTGGGGGTGGATCTCGCGTTGGGATGGTTCTCGACTGGGGAGAGAGAACAAAAATAATGGGGGGTACGGGGGTGTGGGGGTAGGGGAGAGGGATCTGTGGGGTAGGGGATTGATTTGGAGATGGATGATTGGTTTGAGGGTGGAGGGTGATGGTCAAATAGGGAATGGGAGGAGAAGAAAACCCAAGAAGGGTAGGGGCGGGCTGGGCTTAGGGGTAAAAGAACATAATGGGGAGGTGAGGGGAGGAGTCTATGGGGTAGGGGATTGACCTGGGAGTAGAGGGTGGTGGTCATGGGGGAATGGGAGGAGAAGAAAAACTTGGAGGAAAGGAGGGGTGGGCTGGGTTTGGGGGATGAAAAATACATAAAGGGGAGGTGGGGGGAAGGGTCTATGGGGGTGGGGGAATTGGTCCAAGAGTGGAGGATGGTGGTCATGGGGGAATATGAGGAGGAAGAGAGGAGATGGAAGGGGAAGGAGGACTGGGTTCTTTGGGTAAGGGGGAGGGAGGGGTTGGCTCTAGGTTTAGTCTTTTTCTTCAATTTTTTTCAAAAAAATAATTTTTAAAATTGATTTAACTGAAAATTAGATGAAATGTTGAGGATTTAAACGGTAAGGGAGAAATTTGTGAAAAAAAAAAGTTTACTTTCTTAATTTTCTAAAAAATAAAATAGGTGGTGAATTGAAAACTAAGTTCAAATTCAGGAGCAAATGACCGATTAACCTTTTAATTTAATTTAGTTCCAACTCCTGAACAAAAGTGTAAGCGAAAGGAGCCTTATCCCAAGTTTGGCCGGTTACATACATACATATCCTGTCTTCACTCTCTATCAACACAACGCGTTTCACTCTCTCCTCTCATCCAAAAATTTCCAGCGTCCACAACTCACAACAAAAACCAAACACCATCTCTCTCTCTCTCTCTCTCTTAATGGCTTCCATATCTGCTCCTACCCCAAGCCCTCACAAGCTTCACTTCTCCAACCCCAGACCATACCCTTCCTCCGTTGGGAAAAGACCATTTTACCCTTCTTCTTCCCCTTCCTCCCAAACCCGCTTCAGGTTTCCCGATTCGGCCCTCTGCCGATGCCAGAACCCCTCTTCTTCCTCCTCCTCCGAGTCAATTCAGTGGAGATGGGACTCTGCGCTCCAGGGCCTCATCCAAAATGCCATCGAACGCTTCGATTCCTACTTCAATTTTAAACCCCAAGGAGATTCCCAAAACGCACCGTTTGAGAGCGGTAACAGGGACGAACCTGATTGGGACTGGGATCGCTGGCGCCAGCATTTCCTTGAGGTCGAAGAACAAGAGCGCCTTCTCTCTCTTCTCAAGGTATCGCCTTTTTACATATTCCTTTTTGCATGTTTTTGTTTGAATATATAATATAGAAATGATGATGGGTTTGCTTATTTATGTGAATTTTGGGTTTATGAACAGTCACAGTTGGGTCGTGCTGTGTATACAGAGGACTTTGAGGATGCTGCTAGGCTCAAGGTTGCAATTGCCGCTGCAGCTACAAACGACGTCGTTGGCAGAGTCATTTTTCATCTCAATGTGCGCGTGTGTTTGTTTTTATTATTCCTCACTTCTCTGTTTAACAGAATTAGCATCTCTCTTTGGCTAGCACTCTAATTATGGTGTTTTTCTGCAATAAAAAAATAATTTCAGAGAGCTGTACAGGAAGAGCGATACCAGGACGCTGCATTTTTTCGAGATAATGCTGGTGCTGGATTGGTGAGGCTACTTAGAAAGGAATTAAGTTTTTGATTAATAATGTGAAAATGTATGTTTATTATTTCTTCCAGTGTGTTTTTGGCTGGTAGAATTTTGACTTGGTAGTGATAAAACTGTGCTTGGTTTAATTATATGTGGACTTCCGATTTTGGGTTCTAGGTGGGTTGGTGGGCTGGCCTTTCAAAAGATAAGAAGGATCCTCATGGTTTAATTATACGAGTAACTGCAGAGCATGGAAGATATGTCGCAAGGAGTTACAGTCCCCGGTAAGTTGCTTTGCTTTTCAGTTTAACTTAGGGACCTTTTTTTGTTTCTATTTTTAATTTTTATGGAACCCAACCCAGTAGAGCATTGTTAATCTCAACCAAGAACAAGTGGGAGAAGTTTAAGATTAAGAATTTGGCCCCTTGTTTTATCATTGTAAGAGCTAAAAGGTTAATCAGAAGAAATAGGACGATGCATGGGAGGTTATGAAGACAAACGGGGGATGCATATTAGCATAGGATAGGAGAATCCCAACTGACGAAGGTAATAAAATTACATTTTCAGCATCTTCTTGTCCTTCATTGTTTGTGGAGATCTGTTGGGGACAGGGATAACCACTTTTCCCTTTTCTTTTGTTAATGTGGGATGGCTAGTCAATATTCTGCCGACTTGCATCTCTAACCATTTTAATTCTAGTTTGTCTGAGCTGCTTGCATCTGTACTCGCCCAGAAAAAAAGAAGAAGAGGAGTCTCGTAAAAAGACATGTTACTGAATTGGACGTGGTAGTAGCAAGATAATGTTAAACATTCCCATTCATATCCCTACTCCTCCATCCCTTGAATTGAGATGGTACTAAGTGACTTCCTGTGTCAGTATTGGATACTATAAAAGGTCTGTCTAAGAACCTATGTATAAATAGATGGATCAGAGTGTGTTATGTTCTATCTGCAGCATTTGCATGTTTTATTTTTCATTGTAATTTTGTTTTGTTAAGACTCCTTTACCGTTTATGGTTTCTATTGGAAGTTTTATTTTGTATTTGAATTAATTTTTATCAAATGGACTTTGCCATTCTGCACGCTACTTGTGCATCCTGCCAAAGTTATATCTTTATGAATTTTCATATTTTTCAGGCAGCTTGCTACAGCTGCAGCTGGTGTACCATTGTTTGAGATATTTGTAACAGCAAATAAGAATGGCGAATACAGACAGCAGGTATCCTTGTAATCCCTAATTGTAGTATAATCTGATGCATCAGTACTAAATTTTAAATGAGCAGTGATAGGCTTGCATTTTCTAGTGAATGCTTGTGACTGTTTTGATCTTAATTGGACTTTTGCAAACTTTCTTATTGATACAAATTGAAATGCTAAAGTACTTCATATTCTAATGCCATGAATTTCAGGCTGTGTTTTTAAAGCGAGGAGGAGTTTTTGAGGATTCTTCACCAGTTAGCTCCAAAGCATTGGATGCCACTAGCAGCTTGAATTCTTTAGATTCAACTGAAGAAAAAAGTGATCTACTTGTTGCAGGCAGTGAAGATGCTGAAGATGGTGATGATGGGGATGATGACTCTGATCTTTCTGAGGGACTTTCTGGTTTTCAGAGTATCTTGAGAGATATGATTCCTAATGTGAAGGTCAAGGTTTTGAAAGTGACATCACCAGGGAAGGTAGACAGGGATCTAATATCGAAAGTGATTGAACAGATTATTGAGGAAGATGATGAAGATAAGGATAGTGAAATAGAGAGTTTAGAAGCTGAAGATGATGAACAGGTTGAGGATGACGAAGAGACAGATGTGATTGAACTGGATGCTGATCCTGGAATTATTCAAAGTACAGAGCGACGTGAAATTGCAGTTAAAGTAGTTGTTGGTGGTCCTGGGCAGAAAATATCAAGCAGGCCCCCTACGAAAAATTTGCTCCGAGTACCTGCTAAAATAGAGAAGAAGGGACGTTTATCATTTTCCTTTACTGTTGAGAAAGATATTGACCAACAGGATTCCCAAGAAAAGGAACGGTCATCAGTAGATAAAAAAGCTAAACTTGGAGGTCAACGTAGCATTGACAATGTTATGTTTGATCTCGCTAAGTTCATTGGTAAAGAGAAGATACCATTGAAGGTTTGCTGACTTTTCACTGTAGAATGATAACAACCTGTAGTTTACCAAATCCACCACTGTTCAACACTAAATTTCTTTCTGTTCACTTTTTCGACATCAGGTACTCAAGGATGTTGGCGAGTTAATAAATCTTGCTCTTAGCCAGGTTAACAACCATCAACCACTGTCAGGATCAACCACTTTCAATCGCATTGAAATGCCTGATTCTCCAGATCCTTTAATGGTGAGTTTCTGCAAAATTTTCACTTTATGATGCTATAAAGAGGAAGAAAGTAAGTGCACAAAGCTCTTCCCCAACCCATTACTCATTCCAAAATCTTACCCTTTTTTCCATTTCCCAATTCAAAGCGACAAGAAGAAGAAAAGGAGTTGATGAGAGTTGTCTTTCTGTGGACACTGACTTATGCCCTTGATCACTGTCTTGTCTTGGAATCCCAACCATTTTCATGCAACCCAGCATGGCACAAGGAATCCCCTCTTCAAAGGAAATCTCCGCAACCATCTTTCAAGTAGTGCCAAATTTTTTATTATATAAAATTCCTTGCTCCTCGCCCGTAACCTCTTTTCTTATCACTCTAGATGCAGCCCTAATCAGATGATCCTTTCCCCTTTTCATAATTGTGGGAATTTTTTTGTATGCAATTCTCTTTTTTCTGACTGGAGGACTGTTGTTCTTTGAGGGGTTCATTGCCACTCTTTCTTGTATTGTACTTTTGTTAGTTTGTAGACTTTAAATTCAGTGGATGTATTGTCCTCTGCACCTTGAACTTAGTAAACGGAATCTTACATTAGAGTTTTCTTATAGTTATTCATTCTTTTTTTTTGGTTCCAAAAACTTTAAATGCATTTGCTTTACTTAATGACAGACTCTTCCGCCAGCTTAGATTTAATGTACTGAGAATAGGTTGATTTTGTCAGGACTTTACATTGGTGCACATGGGCTCTACACCTCAGAAGTGATTCACCTTAGACGTAAATTTGGTCAATGGAAAGAGGATGGTGGTACTCAGGAGCCTTCAAACCTTGAGTTTTATGAATATGTAGAAGCCTTAAAACTTACTGGGGATCCTTATGTACCTGCTGGCCAGGTAATTTTAAGGATGTGATTATTGCGTAGCTTCATAACAGTTCATTGAAATATAATCTCATGGGATATTTGCATGGAATCTGCTCGTAGTTATTTTTTCATATTTTTTTCTGAAACAAATTATCAAGACTTGGTTGACTGGAAGCCAAACTTAGGTCATCCATAGTGCTCCTCTGAACTTCGGAATGAACATTTGGGCCCCACAACACTTTTCAATGAATAACTATGGGCTCCCTAAACCACCTCCTTACACAAAATTTAGGAAGGAACTGAAAAAACACAACTTCAACCATGCTCCTTACCCACCTCCTAAAATAGGGAGACCTCTAGGAGCTCCTAAATCTGGATAGAGAGAAAGGACTCCTAGTGGCTCCCTATAATTAAAAATTAAAACATTTGTTACTCTCTAAACTATGGAGTATGGTTGGAGTTGAAATTTTATAGAGAACTCATGAAATAGCTTTCAAGTGTTTTTAGCTAAATTAGGGAGCATGATTGTAGATGCTCTTACCTAGTTTTTCTCTAAACCTTAATGGCAAATTATCAATTCGCTTCTGCAGGTGGCATTTCGTGCAAAGATTGGGAAAAGATATCAGCTTCCTCATAAAGGGATCATACCCGAAGAATTTGGAGTGGTATATTCTTAACTTGTTAGATCAAATTTTTTCTGATCACTTATTATTATTTTCAGGCACATTTTTGTTTTTCTTGGGAAGAGTTTCTTTTATTGACTTTTTTTTAAACTCAGGTTGCTCGATATAAAGGGCAGGGGAGACTTGCTGAGCCAGGGTTTCGCAATCCTCGATGGGTTGATGGTGAACTTGTTATTCTTGATGGAAAGGTTTAATATTTTTCTGCTTTATCTTTTGTTTCAGTGTGTCTTAATCTTAAACAATACTTCATTCACCATCTTCAGAATGATAGTGACTACATAATATACCTTTATTAAACTATTGCAGTACATTAAGGGTGGACCTGTTGTTGGATTTGTTTATTGGGCTCCGGAGTATCATTTCTTGGTGTTCTTCAATCGACTGAGGCTTCAACAGTAGATTTCCATTGTACATAATGCTCAAGTTTGTTGATATTTTTTGTTCAAAATTTTGTAGGGTAAGTTCCTTTTCATCTGAAATTATCTATGTAAATTGTACAATATTGCAAATGTTGCTGTTAAATTTCATTTTCTCATTTAAAAAATAAATAAATGTTGCTGTTAAATTTTCTGCTATACTCTGCAATTAGTCATGCATGTCTTGTTTTGGGAGGTGATCCAATCCCTCCTAAAATTTGCTTGCAGTTTGCTAGATTCCAGTGGCAATTTTTTTTTCTACAATGAATCATTTTAGATTGAGTTGAAAATTAACCTTTTCATACCTGATGTGCATATCGTAAGGTGGGTGTTGGATATGATTATAGTGGAGTTGTAGCACTCATAAATTTTTAGTTATCAGATTAACTTTAGAGGTTGTTGTAAGTACATAGAAAAATTGAGGATGAGAGATGATAAAACATAAAAGGGGATATCAAGGCACCAAGCCTTCATGGGAGTAAACCATTCTGCAAAACTTTATTTTAATTCATCAAAATATGAGTGGCTTTCCTTATTTGTAGGATTTGCAAGCCATACGAAGAAGGGAAGGGGGAGAGGGTGGAGTAGAAAGGAAGAGAGGAAAATTTATTTTCTTTCCTTTTGTAAAATCTAATGCACAGATGCATTAGTGGCCTTCAACCCTATCAGGCATGATCTTTTAAGGGAGTGGGTGTTTATGTGTTTATCTTGTAGACATCAGTTTTCCAGTTTCTAATCATCATTAGAATGTTTTCCTTTGTGGTTTTATTGTTCTAAGATGTTAATTATTAAATATAAAATTATTTAATTATTCCTCTGATGAAGTTTTCCTTTTCTGTCTGTTGTTGTCTAGTTTTGCAGATATTTATTAGATATCTATCTGATGGGCTACATATCCAATGCTCACTCAACTGACTGGCGCACTTGCAAGCATGTTGACTCAAAAGTAACTACTCAAGCTTTGGAATGCAATAGAATAGATAAAGCCCTTCTGTTGACCTGTTTCCAGAAAATGGTTTTCTGTCAATGTATGTATTTAACATCTACCATACCATCAATGTTTTATTTCAGTTATTATAAATTAAAGTTATTGCTTTGAGCAGTCTATTTCTTATAGCCTGTTCTTGAGTAGTCTTCATTCTGTAGAAGCAGTTAGCACTTGTGAAATACATGAACTATAGATGTGAGAATTTGATTCCTGTGGATATTGGTTGGGCTCATTCAATGTGAATAATAGAAATCAAATGCAATATAACTATCTCAGTTTCTCTTCTCATAATGAAAGGATTACATTTACAATGTTTGCACTTCTTTTTTGTTGGGTTTTATTATTGGTTCTGTTTTTCGGCTATCAAATTTGTTCATGATGAAACATTGAGATTACCATGTTTCTTTCTCTTTGTTTTCCTTCCTAGGTGTTTTTTTCCCTCTTTTTTTCAAGGTTTTGGGTAAAGGTTTGAGCAAGGGAAGTTGTAGACTAGAAGCCCGTTACTGACTTTGCAGTTTGCCTGGTGATTTGCAAGATTTTGTTCTCATCAATACCCTAAATCCTTATGCTTTCTGTAGAAACCAGTGTTTTAGCTCCACTAAGGTAACACCTTACCATAGATGCATGCCTTGATAGAACCACTCTTTCGATGCAGTTGAAGAAGTGATATGTTGTTGCTTGACCATCACTCCAACACTAATGTTGATTTAAGGCCACCTTTGATTCCAAGGATTGAATTAGATAGGATAATTGAAGGAAGAAATGGAGATCAACTTCTAAATTTTGTCCAAGTTGAAGATAAAAGATGGATTAGCCACAAAGGAAACTTATCCCTTTCAATCCCAACAAAATAAGCTTGTTTGATAACCATTTTATTTTCAGATTTTAGTTTTTAGTTTTTGTTCTCTTGTTTTTTTAAACTAAAAACATGTTTCATAACAATTTTTCGTTTTTTGTTTTCGAAAATATGAAAAATCAGCTTTCAAAATAAGGGTGATATTTGAAAACAACTTTAAATGTTTATATTTTTCAGTTTTCATTTTTTGCCCTCTTTTCTAATTCATCAATTCTACGTCGCCACGCATGCATGGTAATCCAATTCCAAAAAATTCGGGCTGCTTGACTTCTGTGTTCGGCCTCGAGACCTCTAGATTTAAAATTTACAAAAACATTCATCTTAACTCCAAAAAACCTTCATCGAAAAATGCTACATATTCTTCGTATCATGCATTTTTATTCTATGACCTCAAATCCACAATTCGACCCTAAGAAAAATATCATTTTTAAATTCCACATGAATAGGTATTACTTCAAAGTTTCATTATAACTGAACTCGAGTGAAAATTGAAATTATGATATGAGATTCATATCGCCAGATTGAGCAAGTGGACCCCACCTATTACCCTCTAGCACCCGACATTGACTACCAGACTCTTCTCCAACTCTTGCACAATCACACATTCGCACTCTCGCACTCCCGCATCTGCACCATCTCGCGCATTATTGCACTTGCATCGTCGCACTCTCACACCTACACATACACTTGAGGTCTGATCTTATAAATATAAGATCAGGTATTGAAGATCTTCATGTAGATGTCAAGATCTAGTAGAATCAAAACCGACCCAAACCAAATCGATTTGGTTTGGTTCAAATGTTTTGAGCATTTTAATGAAAATCAAAATTGGACCGTTTCCACCGCTAGCAACAAACATAAAGGGTTTTTTTTAATTATTTTTTTAATAAATTTTTTAGCGCAAATATTTAACTTTCAATCGCCTACAAAAACAACTTTTTTGATTATATAGAAGACTCTTGATTTTGCAACTATTAATAAGGTAATTAGGGAATTTAACTATAAATTTAAACCACCATAATTTTTCTTTTTTTCTACATTTCTTCTTCTCATTTGAAGAAAACAAAAATCAAGGCTAGGCTCCATTTTATTTTTTATACTGATAATTAACAAGAGGTATTGTAATTTACTAATAAAGTTATCAACTTAATATAATTTTTTATATTTTAATTTTCAATATTTCTTCAACAGCTACCTTTTTAATGTAAATGTTCTTATTTGGCTAAATTATTGAAATGCCCCCTGTAACTCAATTTCAGTCTCAGTTTCCCCCCTGAAACTCTAAGTGTCTCACTTCCCCCCCCTGAAACTCCATATATTTTCTCACTTTGCCGAGATTCCATCTAGCCCTAACAGAAGTTGTCAAATTTGCACACGTGAGGCCCATGTGCGGTTTTTCTAGGTTCTTATGTCCCTAGCAAAACAGAGCCACAGTCTCTCTGTTCTATGTGGAACCTCAAGAACCTCACTGATTTCATGAACCGAAAACCAGCCATTGTGATACAATTCCGAAAAAATGACTGACACACCATTGAGCATCAACACGTCTTGGGATCGAGTGATATTGTTTGTAAACCCCATCATATTAGTCCTCAACATCGTCCTATCATTGAAACTCACCAAATCGCTCCACAAAAGCCCAAAGGGCACCACATGGCGATGAAAGATGGAGGATTGCTCACTCAAGTTCCCAACTCGGTTCATCAAGACTTGGTCAAATGGAGCAAACACAGTCATCATGGTCTGGTACTTGAAGAAAAATCCATGAAATTGCATTTCAAGAAGCGAAGCCATAACGGGGCACCCTTTCGAACTCAGCGCATTCCAAGAACCTGTCAATTCAGAAAATTATCAACAACCCATCATCGAAAATTAAAGAAAACGGTGATGGGGACGTTGTTGAGTGAGACTTTGGGGTCGTAGGCCAAAGTGGTGACGGAGAGAGAGCGGTCAGAGAGTAAAGTTGAGATCTTGGCGCTGAAAGGTAGGGACTTGAGGGATCGAAGAGAGAAATAAATGCGGATGATGTAGAATTGCAGGAGGTTCAGCAATGGCTTACCGAAGTGAGAGAATGCAGTGTCGGTGAGGGCGAAGATGGTGAGAGAAAAAGATTAGGAGAGGAGGAGGGTTTGAGAGGCGAGGTCGAGGGTCAGAGCCATGGAGGTGTAGTCGAAATCTGAAAGGATTTCAGCGGCATTGATGAGGGTTTTGGTGGGGAGGGCGGAGTTGGGCTGCCGCCATTGTCTAAGGTTGTTCTTCGTTTCTTGGAGTTTGGAGAGGGGTTTGGTTTTGCAAATGAGTCTGGGTGTAGTTGCAGATTCAGAGAGTATCTGAATTTGTAAGGGAAGGTTATTTTTTGGCGGGTTAAGATTTGACAACTTCTGTTAGGCTGGATGGAATCTAGGTGTAGGGGGTTTTTTGTTCCAGCAGCCTGACGAATGGGCCTGGGCTACTGTGAGAAGACAACGAGCAAAATCCCCCAAATGCCTGAGTTCGATAAACAAGCTCCCAAGAGAGTTTTTAGAAAATCTAATGAGATTTTAAAAGAACACTCTCAGGATCACTTCACTAACACCCAAATAAGCATGAGGATTTCATTAATGGCTTAGCTTGAGGAGCATGTGGCATGGGAGCTAAGCTTTCACAAGTTTAGCAATTTGAGAGAGAGAAAACAGCGTGGGTTTCTTACAGAAGAAATATCAGTGCGAGCCCTATCCTAAGAAGAAGAAAGATGAACAGAAGAGAGGTTTGGGTGGCTTGAGAAAATTCCAGATTTGCTTGACAAAGCTTGGTCAAGGTCTGGATCGTTTTGTTGTGGATGTCTTTTCTGGGTAGCAAAAGTCTCCTTTTATAGGCGTTAGGAGCTCTAATTTCATCTGGTTTTCTTCTTCCTTTTTCCTTGGCAGCTCCTACTTAGCCCTATTTTGATGAATTTCTCCATCCAAGGAGCATGGGTAAGGAACCCTTTATGGTTCCAACGGTTTGACGCAGCTGGGCTTTCCCATAGAGGGGAAGGCGCCACCTGCTTTCCTTATGTTTTCTCCAAGGCAGAGCTTACGGAGGAAAATGGGAGAGATGGAGCCTTTTGTCCGATGGACACTTCCCTCACCCCCATGGATTTCCTGGTCTTGCCATGGCTCCCTTATGACCATTGTTTGGAATTCAAACGGGAATAGGACTTGACGCCAGATTTTTGTAAGTTGCTGGGCTTGGGCTTGTACATATGGTATTGGGTCCTCTGGCTTTGTTGCTTCTATCGTTTGGCAGGCTTTCGTCAAGCTGCTGGAAAGGCTTTCCCTTTAATTCTATTGATGTGGGCTGGGCTAAATATCTTGGTAGGTTCTTTGGTGTCTTCCTAGAGCATGGGTCAATTTTTCTCCTCTCTCTCATGCTAACCCATATGCTTGGGTTCTAGGAACGGGCTTGAGTTCCAAAGCCCCCAAGTGGGTTTGAAACCTACGTTCCTTGAACCCTCAATGGGCCCCGTGATTGCTTGTCACCTTCCATACCACAACCTTCTCAGTAAGCCCCGGTTAATTTTGTGGCTTGGGCCCACTTAAGCTCGTGACGTAGCTTGGTATTAGAATGCGCGTGATTTCTATGCTCGTGCTTGGGGTTTTATTATGCCATGATAGGCTAGAGTCGGGCCAAGTAGCACCGAATGAGCATGTGAGCGTGATTTAGTAATATCGGTATGTCCTTGGCTCCTTCTGCACGTGCTTGTTTAGCATGATTCGTGGCTTGTAGCTTGTGTTGGCGGCTCTTATAAATTTCCTTTTATCCCGATTGAGCTTATTTTGCATCCAATTACCCATATTGGGCTAAGGATTAATTTGGGCTTAGCCCCTTGGATTTTTGGGCCTCAACATTAGCCCCCTTGATTATTGGTGCCATGAGAAGCTTTGAGATGGGTCAAATAATCAAACCTGGCCCAAAAGAAAAGTCAAATCCAGGCTGCTGACGTGACCTTCCCGTTTCCCGCGTGTGTGCTGCCATGATTATTTTTCCAGCGGTCTCTTGCATTCTCCAGGTACGCTTCCATCAATCCTGTTTTATTTTATTTTATTCTTCTTTCCTTTTCTTCTCTTCCTTCTGTGCACGCGAGCCTACACAGGTCTAGGGAATCCTTGGGAAACGAGAAATCTCAGTGAGGCCTCATCCACAACCGCTGGTTGGTTACGTTCAGGAAACCGCTCGCAACCATCGGGGAAAAGCCACAATTCTTCTTTAAAATTCCTCAAATTTCTTCAATTCGCTCTTCAATCCGTCCAAAACCAAGCTTAGCAGAGTCACTTGGCAAAGTGTGGAGCAATTTTCTGTGGTGGAATCGCAAGGCAGTTCCCTCCTCTTTCGACTTCGGCAAGCTGCTGGAAGAATCCATCGATAGCAGTGGTAAAGCATCGTTCCCCCATTTTTTGTTTTCTACTTCTTGTTACTCTGGGCACATGCATCTATACACACCACACACATACATACGCATATATGTGCATGTGGAGGCACCCTTTATATTTTTTGAGAATTCCTCATGAACAGGGCACCTTTCTCGGTCTGGGTTTTCATCTAATTTTCCCAAACCCTAGGCTCGAATTTCGGGCATAGACCATTGATTTGGGATTTTTAAGCGTGCTCGAGGCGATATCTTGCCTTGATTAACCACAAAACCTCTTAAATGGTGTCGACGCATGGTGGAAGGAACGGGGAACAGCCACTCCATGGCTTCCTTCTATATTTTATCCCTGTGATTCGTTCCTCTCATTTTTTTTTAGCACCAGATAATCTTATCCCCTCTCATAGGAAAGATTTGCATGATGATATTGAATTGGTCCCCCTTTTTTTTGATATGGTCTTGGCATGATATTACAGAGATGTGCGTGCGTTCAACAATTCGTGAAGGTGCTGGAAACTTATGCATTTTTGTTCTTTCTTCCTTTCTTGCAGGTGTCCGTGACTTAGTAGGCCTGCCATGGCGTCCACTAACCCTTCCGCCGATCATGCTAGACCACCTCTACTCCATGGATGACGATCTTAAAACAGAAGGGCCGCTCCTGTTGCTTGAAGATGCCCTTAAAAATCCCGTTGTTGGTGATGAGCCATCCCCGGAGACTGCTCCTGTAATTAATCCTGCCTCCATATCCAGATGCTGCATTGAAAAGGGCCTCTTTCCAGCCGTTCCCCTATTCTTCCAGTATCCTTGCAGTATCAGTAAAGGTTTGGTCAGAATGGGTCGATCGTGAACTGCGGGATCCATCCACATGCAACATCCTGCGCAGAGCACAAGTCCTTGATGCCATCTTCCTTTCCAAATTGTGGGACATCCATATCGAAGCGAAGATGCTTCGTCACGTGGTCCGGAGGTGGAGCACCGCTACTCACACCTTTGTGTGCTCATGGGGGGAATTTACCCCTACCCTTGAAGATGTGGCGAATATCTCTCGCCTTCCCTGTCTGTGGCGACCGTAGTCCTTTCGGCATCGCCCTCACTCCAGAAGAAATAGATAGCCTTGCAGTCTTGCGAAGAGGCGCTCCCACCTTTCCCAGCACTTCACTCCGGTTTAGCAACTGGATACAATATTTTGGGGGACGCAAACAGACAGAGTCCCTGCCGGTTGGCTGCCTTTATAGCTCTGTGGCTTGGGGCGGTTCGTGCTCTGTGACTTTTCTCAGGATTTGCCTTCATGAGCGTGTATTTCCTTTGGCTTTGGCCATAGCCCGAGGCGATACGATCCCCTTAGCCCCCATGTTCCTGGGACATCTATACCATCTTCTTAATCGAACCCCAGCTTCTGGAAAAGAGTGCATCAGGAACCATGGGTGTGGAGACCCTCCTAAATTTTGGTTTCTTGCAGGTGTTCTTGTGGGAGCGTCTCAAAGGGTTGGATGTGTATTCACTCCCTCACTCGCACGCTATAAAGTTGGTTGACTGGGGCAATGGTTCCTTTATGCCAAACAATCTTCCATTAGTTTGCAGGTGGTTCAAGAGAATGCAGAGGAAAGGCCAGAATTTCTTAAAGCTGCTAGACAATGTCGAGAATTTTGTCTTTCGCCCTTACGGCACCTCAGCAGAGACCTTCACTTTCGTGCCCTTCTATACTGACGCCAGTGATACGGTTGAGGTTCCAGCAACCGTGTCGCAGAGTAACCAGTTTCGGAAGCATGCTTTGTTGAATGTTGCTCCCATCCCCTTACCTACTCTTGGAGACCACTGTGCAGAGGTTTCCGTGACCTACTCTCCACACCGAGTCAGGAGGCAGTTCGGGCTTGACCAAGGGGTACCCAGCAGTCCTAACCATGATGACCTTTTTTGCTTTACACAGGATCTTCTGGAGCAATGACCACATACCAGCCCAGTTTGCAGGCCCCTCGTTCTAGCAAGCAAGGCGAGGGTTGGTGGCTTCTCTAGAGGCTACCAAGCTTACTGGAACCGCTGTCTCTCTTCCTTTCGTGAGTTCCAATCCTTTCCCGGGGACAGACTGCCTCCTACAACGGCTCGTCTTGTGGGCTTGGTTTCGGAAGAGAAAGCCATCCCTCTTAGCCAGAAACGCAACTTGCCCTTCATTTCCAAGTGTGGTGACATCGTTGGAGAATTTCCTAAGACGAAGCCAAAGTCGGGGGTACAAAGTCCTGGCGGCTCCGGGAAAAGTGCAACGCCAGCGTCAGGCAAAAGGAAGCGAGAGGGGGGAGCGAAATGTGAGTGAGAAGCAGACTGCCGGTAACACCCAAAAGGTTCATTCGAAGGTAGCCCCGAGTGGCCCTCCTCGAACCAAAGAAGCAACTCCCCCGAAACAGCCACAGTCTTCGAAACCTGCTGCATCCCGGGAGCCGGGGTCGTGCTGGCAAAGTGCTAGAACTACCCCTCTCCGCCGTAAGTGTTCTCCACTTCCAGTACTTCTTCATGCCCCTCTCTTTGCTTTGCGTGCATGATATGTGGGTAGATACTTATTATTATATACACATTTTTTTTATAGGGAGAAAATGGGACGACCCCCGAAGAGAGAAGAGAAGGACACACCCCCGTATCTCCTCAGTGACCCCTAAACGTCGAAGCGTGCGCATTCTACATGCAAAGATTTCGGAACACGCACCAGTACTGTTGAAGCTGCCGGAACCCCACCTGTAGTGACCGTTGACGATGATATGATAATCGGACACCCCCGAATCGATCCGAGCTAATGTTTCCGAGAGCAAGAGCAAGTGACGATGCTAGTGAAGATTCACAGGGACTTCAATGAGGGGTTGCAGTGAGGATGCACTCGCGCTTATTCCAGCGACTGGCCAGGAGGACAAGGTGGCTCAGATGCCCGCTCTTCGAGTCCACTGGTAGCAGTACACGCCGTTTTAGCGCTGAGCAGGTACATGACGCTTTTACGTTTTTTGTCCCCTCTCTTCCTTCGCCATACTCGGACACTCACACGTGTCATTGCGGCCATTACAGTGCGACCCAAACCCTGCTGCGGCCGCTGCTGATCCTGCACCGGGAACCCCAAAAAAAAAAAAAAAAAAAAAAAAAAAAAAAAAAAAAAAAAAAAAAAAAAAAAAAAAAAAAAAAAAAAAAAAAAAAAAAAAAAAAAAAAAAAAAAAAAAAAAAAAAAAAAAAAAAAAAAAAAAAAAAAAAAAAAAAAAAAAAAAAAAAAAAAAAAAAAAAAAAAAAAAAAAAAAAAAAAAAAAAAAAAAAAAAAAAAAAAAAAAAAAAAAAAAAAAAAAAAAAAAAAAAAAAAAAAAAAAAAAAAAAAAAAAAAAAAAAAAAAAAAAAAAAAAAAAAAAAAAAAAAAAAAAAAAAAAAAAAAAAAAAAAAAAAAAAAAAAAAAAAAAAAAAAAAAAAAAAAAAAAAAAAAAAAAAAAAAAAAAAAAAAAAAAAAAAAAAAAAAAAAAATAACTATTTGAAATAAAATTTATTATGGTTCATTAAAACTTAACTAGGTCCAATCTACATGTCTTGGTATTTAATTTTTTCCTAAACCAAAGCATTACCTTTGAATGTATTTAGAAATCCTAAGGCTTTAATCTCAATGCATTTATTTTTCGAGAACTAGATTTTTGAGCCATATTTGTTCGACACTAGTTTTGGGAAGTTCTTTTGCACCATGACGGCAAGCTCGCTCTTGCGAACGGATTGGAAATCGCAGTTGTATCGAAGAAGTTATGAGCGTTAGAGTGCCAATGTGTTTTTAGTTTTGAAAAATTGCTGAAAACCCTAAAACACTTTATCTCTCTCTCTCTCTCTCTCTCTCTCTCTCTTAATCGCACCATCGACTTTTCAACTTCCCAGTGACATTACGTCACCATCCGGCCACTAACTGTCGAAGCAAATATGCAAGCTCAACTAGACACCTTGCGCCAAGACATGTACAAAATGCAAAAGCACAACAACATCCTCTCGACTAAGCTGAATAATACTCAGAGGCAGCAATCCTATTCTGCCATCTTGAGCAAGGCCTTGAGCAGACCATGTAGGTTCAGCAAGAACACTCCCTCCAAAGCGTGTACACCCTTAACCAATGCTCTAAGGGCAAGGGCTTGGCAACTGCCGAACCTGTTAACTCTGAATTTCGGCATATGATGAGGGCTCGTTAGGAAAAGCCGATCAAAATTAACATCAAGCTCAATGATCCTCGTATGTTGGTTCTTGGCCCTAAGGATAAAATCAGTCACGCTCATACATAACGTGGTGTTGAAGAAATGAGGGACTCTGAGTATTTGCCAACTGATACCGAAGCAATAGAGTCATACCAATCAATAGGAACACATTGCTAATGACACGAGCATCACCTCTCGAAACGTTCTAACGGTACAACCCGTTGAAAAGAGGGCTCCACCAGGGCCAAGGAAAGCCAGAGAGTGACCTATAACGTCCGATAGCGCACAACGGTAAAAAGGCTCAACAACCTCTGCCAAGATCACCTTGTCGTTTGGCAGACGATGAGCTCCCAAGTGCTGATCTCGCCATTTGTCACCTCTTCCAAAAGATAAAAAAAACTTGAGGAAGACAAGTCCCATTCCTAACAGCCTGCCTGGAGCAAGCCTTGGCCAGGCCCGTTCACCATGTTGAACACCATGTACGAGACCGTTCTCCTCAATAAAACCAACATGATTCTGAAGCCATCTAATCAGAAGGCTTTTAGCAAATATGCGTGTATTCTGTCGATATCATTAGCACAACGATCAGGATACATAATCTATCATATCTTGGCTCAAAATTGTGGAACGCTTGATACAAGAGGGCAAGCTGGTGCAATATGCAACCACCAACCCCAGCCACCAACCCTCTCCAAAGCACAAAAGCCTAATAGGCATATCGACATGATCATGACCATTAGTGATGGCCCCACCTTTGTCGGCACGAGCAAGAACTCTATAAAAAATTGTGTGCATGCCGTTTAGTACCCAAAAGTCCCTGGTACCGAATTCGAGTGCAACTACAAGATGCAGAATACAAACACTACTCCCTAGTGAAGGCCTCATCATCTACAGTATCTGTACAACAGTCATCTCTGTACTCATCCGTAAGTTCGATGGCGTGGAACACCCAGTATACTATGTTAGCAAGGCCTTCAAGACATAAAGCTTTAAAACCATGATTTGAAAAAGTTGGCCTTAGTATTAATCTTCTCAACGTCTTAATCTTGTGAAGAATATAGGTCATGGTGTATCACAAATAGAATATGCTCGTATCATTGGTAGTCTCATGTATCTTACGAACTGCATAAAGCCTGATATAGCTTACTATGTTAATAGATTAAGCAAATATACTAGTAATCGTGGAAGGGATCATTGGAAAGCTATAGTCAGAGTTCTAATATTTAAGATACACCAAAAATGTTGGACTGCATTATACAAGATATCCAACTATACTTGAAGGATATAGTAATTCTAATTGGATATCTGATACTAAAGACTCCAATTCTACAAGTGGATATGTCTTTACAATTGGAGGTGCAGCTATATCATGGAGATCTACTAAGCAAACTGTTATAGCTAGATCTACTATGGAATCTGAGTTCATAGCATTAGATAAAGCTGGTGAGGAAGTTGAATGGCTACATAATTTCTTAGAAGATATTCCATGTTGTATACATTGTGATAGTCAATCTACAATTGCAAGGGCACAAAACAATATGTACAACGGCAAGTCTCGACATATACGTTGAAGACACAACACCGTTAAGCAACTACTCTCCAGTGATATAATTACCATTGACTACATAAAATCAAGAGATAATTTGGTTGATTCGTTTACTAAAGGTTTGAACGAAGAGCAAGTTTATAGATCATCGAGGGGAATGGGGTTAAAGCCCATGTCAAATGAGTCATCATAGTCGAAACCCAACCTAGTTGGCAAGAGATCCCAAGATCTAGGTTCAAAAGGGACAACTAAATTATGATAACTCAAAAATAACATTGCAGAGATAATACTCTCCTACCCATATCCTATGATGATACAGTGTTGCATGAAATGTGTTTAGGTTAAGCTATGCTTTTAATGATTCCTATACCTTGATTATCTGAGTAAGATATGAGAGGATGTTACCAATAGGAAGTCACCTATATCAGTGTGAAATGGGGCCGTTTCCATGAGAATTTTCAAGGCTAAATTCTCTAAAGCACTTATGAAACCAGGAGTTGCTCAAGGCCAAAACGAGCACAACCGATCGAACCAGATATGTCTAAAAGGGTATTGTGTGAGTATTATTGTCTGGGTTTACACGAACAACTAAACAGTTCAAGACATCACGTTCACTGATTAGCCAAGTGAATCTGACAGTACTTCACTATGGAAGGTTCAAAGCCAAAAGCTATATTCTTCTAATAGGAACTTTCTCTAAGTTTGCATTATCATTTGCATATTGTTGAAACTAATTTCCATTCATGTGGGGGATTGTGAGAAATTTAATATTATTTTATCTAATATTAATTTTCTATTTGAATGGAAATTAATAAAATCCATTGGGTTAAAGACATGACCCATGGGTTAAAGACATCTTCAATTGGGGGGTGACAACTCTTCAAACCAAGGGATGCATTATTTGGGATGACAACTTTTCAGACCAACAGATGCATTGTTTGCCTTCTAAGATTGGGATACCTTTTTGGAAAGGGTATTTCATCATCTATAAATAGAGCAATTCTCCTACAGTTTTATTCATTTAATTAATTCTCTACATACAGACTTTCATATATAAAGAGCATTAGAGTTTGCATAAAAAGAGGGTCCTACATAATTTGGTTCAAAGTTCCTTGTGAATTGCAGTGCTTCTTTCATAAGGAGGGGAGTTGTTGTACCCTTGGGTTAGAAATCCTAAGGCTTTAATCTCAATGCATTTATTTTTCGAGAACTAGATTTTTGAGCCATATTTGTTCGACGCTAGTTTTGGGAAGTTCTTTTGCACCATGATGTCGAGCTCGCTCTTGTGAACGGATTGGAAATCGCAGTTGTATCGAAGAAGTTATGAGCGTTAGAGTGCCAAGGTGTTTTTAGTTTTGAAAAATTGCTGAAAACCCTAAAACACTTTAGCTCTCTCTCTCTCTCTCTCTCTCTCTCTCTCTCTCTCTCTCTCTCTTACACCATCGACTTTTCAACTTCCCAGCGACATTATGTCACCATCCGGCCAGTTATCTCTCTTACACCATCGACTTTTCAACTTCCTAGCGACATTATGTCACCATCCGGCCACTAACTGTTGAAGCAAATATGAAAGCTCAACTAGACACCTTGCGCCAAGACATGGCCAAAATGAAAAAGCACAACAACATCCTCTCGACTAAGCTGAATAATAATCAGAGGCAGTAATCCTATTATGCCGAACCCGCTCTTTTAGGGTAGCAAATTGTGCTCCTTCTTGAAGACTAACCTTACCATGGTCACCGAGTTAATTCTGAATTTCGGCATATGATGAGGGCTCGTTAGGAAGAACCAATCAAAATTAACATCAAGCTCAATGATCCTCGTATGCAGGTTCTTGGCCCTAAGGATAAAATCAGTCATGCCCATACAGAACGTGGTGTCGAATAAATGATGGACTCTGAGTATTTGCCAATTGATACTGAAGCAACAGAGTCATACTGATCAGTAGGAACACATTGCCAATGACATGGGCATCACTTCGCGAAACGTTTTGACGGTACAACCCCCTGACAAGAGGGCTTCACCAGGGCCAATGAGAGCCAGAGAGAGACCCATAACGTCCGATAACGCACAACGTTAAAGAGGCTCAACAACCCCTGCCAAGGTCACCTTGCCGTTCGGCAGAGGATGAGCTCCCAAGTGCTGATCTCACCATTTGTCTCCTCTTCCAGAAGATAAAAAAACTTGAGAAAGACAAGTCCCATTCCTAACAGCCTGCCTGGAGCAAGCCTCGGCCAGGCCTGTTTACCATGTTGAACTTCTGCCGGTATCATCAGCACAACGACCAGGATATCTAATCTTTCATATCTTGGCTTAAAATCATGGAATGCTTGATACAAGAGGGCAAGATGGTGCAATATGCCAACCACCAACCCCAGCTACTAACCCCCTCCACAACAAAAGCTTAATAGGCAAATCAACATGATCAGGACCATCAGTGATGGCCCCACCTTTGCCGGCACGAGCAAGAACTCTATAAAAAATGGCGTGCATGCCGTTCAGTACCCAAAGGTCCCTGGTATCGAATTCGAGTGCAACTATAAGATACAGAAAACAAACAAGGAACCAATCACCCTCCCCAAAGAAGAGGAGAAGGGCATCATTTTCCCTCATGAAGATCCCATGATCATTAGGGCAGAAACCCTCTATCTCTGCCACGACGCTGCAAATGCCTAACCACAAGGGCACCAATCGGTCAGAGGACCCAAGAGATGAATCTTTTACTCCTCATGCCCAACTGGTGGAGGATTTGGAATCGATAACCCTCCACTAATCTGCATCCGCACCTATCTTTCTGATGTTCTTTGGGCTGATTTCATCAAATTCCTCAAAGATAATTCGGAAGTCTTTGTGCGGTCTTACGGAAATATACTTGGCATTTCACCGGATGTTTACTACTAAAAGTATGAGGCCATGAAGACCAAAGTAGACAAGCTTCGCATGTTCGGCTTCATCAGAAATGTGGATTACCCTACATGGCTGGCCAATTCTGTAATGGTCAAGAAGACATCTAGACTATACCAATCTCAACAAGACTTGCCCTAAGGATAGCTTTCTATTCCCCATGATCAATCAGTTAGTGGATGCCATATAAGGCCCTGAGCTCCTTAACTTCATGGATACTTATTCAGAGTATAATTACATTTTCATGCACGTTGCCAATGATAAGCATACGACATTCATCACTGACAATGGGCTCTATTGCTACAATGCCATGCTCTTCAACCTAAAGGACTCAAGAGCCACCTACTAGCGATTGGTAAACCAGATCTTTGCCCAACATATCAACCACAAATGGAAGTCTTTGTGGATGACATGTTGGTCAAAAGAAAAACTGCCGATTTGCACCTTCATAACCTCTCGATGATGTTCAACATACTAAAGTACTAAAAGATGCACCGCAACCCAATGAAGTGCTCCTTCGTTTATCTTTTGACAAAGTCTTGGGCTTCATGATTAGCCAATGAGGTATTGAGCCTAACCCAGAAAAATTAATGAACATGCAAGTGCCAAAGATACAAAAGCATATCGAGGGCAACAAAGAGCAGATCACTTGGACTGCTAAATGCAAGGCAGCTTTCCAAATCTTGAAGGATTACATGAGCAAGGCACCACTACTATCTAAACTACTCCCTGGTGAAGGCCCCATCATCTACCTCTCAATATATGTACAACAGTCATCTCTATACTCATCCGTAAGTTCGATGGCGTGGAACACTCAATATACTATGTTAGCAAGGCCTTCAAGACATGAAGCTTCAAAACCATGATTTGAAAAAGTTGGCCCTAGCATTGATCTTCTCAGCGCCTAAGCTTTGACCACACTTCAAGGTGCACACCATCACGATGCTTACAAATCAGCCTTTGCGCCAAGTATTGTAGAAGCCAAAAACCTCAGGATGCCTGATCAAGTGGGCTATTGAACTTGATGAGTTTTATATATTTTGATGTCAAAAATGGATAAAAATTAGAAGTGAGCTTACCTTTGGTCACCTAGGCCCTATGGCAGGAACATAATGGATCTGCAAAGAGAGATAGACGAATAGCAAGGTAACCTCATAGCGTGTTTGTGTCGTTGTCGTTCAGTAAGGTGGTCATTAATGGATTGTCAGTTTAGGTGTCATTGCAATGCGAATGTTTGGAGAAGCACATATTGGTTGTTACTTAGACATCTATGCATGCATGAAAGGGGAATTAATTGAGGCGTGTGACATGTGGCATGAAGAGGCATGCGCCTATTGGCATAATGATCCCGCCCTTGAGTGAACCCTGACCTTGTGGTTGAACCATTTTATAAGAGGGGGTGGCTCAAATTTGATAAGTATGGGTTTTTTTGTTAATTTTAAATTGTCTTCACAAAATTATTTCGTTAATTTTTCATCCAAACATTACTAGTGTCGTATAAGAAACTACTTCAAATGAAAAAGTCAGCCTTCAATGATTAGATACACGTGCAATCTAATCTTTGAGATTAACTTTATCATTTGCATAATTTTTTTTTGATGATATTATGTAATTTTAAGACGGAAAATTAATTAGAGAATTTTTATGAAAACAATTTGAAACCTCAAAGAATATTAGTGTAAAAACACGAAAAACACTTGAAACCTAAAGTATGGTAGTGTAAGTTGTCCATGTACTTAACTCTAATTTATATGATATTGTCAAGTCATCAATATAATGAAAATTGGCCACCAAAATGTGGTGGGTTTATAAGCAGATGGCCTCCAAACTGTGACAAGCGATGTATTTAGAAGGGGTAAGTGTTTTTGCTTTAACAAATGTAAAGCTAGCTAGAGATTAACACTCCAAAAGGTGCTTTAATCCAACATTAATTGATAATGTTGGTCACGATGCAATGGCGAAGTTAGAAGTTATTTTGTGGGGGCCAGTACTATAAATTTAAGATTATATAGAGTTATATTTTAACTAATATTGTAGCTGATGCTTAAAAAATAATGAGATTTTCATGGAGTTTTGGGGGGCCACAGCCATGACAGGCCTACATGTGGCTCCGCCCCTGCTCTGATGTGTTGTGTATTTACTGGGTAGTGAGCTTGTTACTTCGGCCAATTAAAAAAAAGGGAATTACTAAAATAGCATATTAAAAAAGGAAGGAAAATTATTCATTAATTTTAATTGATAATGTTGGTCATGATGCAATGGCGGAGCTAGAAGTTATTCTGTGGGGGCCAGTACTATAAATTCAAGATTATATAGAGTTATATTTTAACTAATATTGTAGCTGATGCTTAAAAAATAATGAGATTTTCATGGAGTTTTGGGGGGCCACAGCCATGACAGGCTTACATGTGGCTCCGCCCCTGCCCTAATGTGTTGTGTATTTATTGGGTAGTAAGCTTGTTACTTTGGCCAATTAAAAAAAAAATGGAATTACTAAAATAGCATATTAAAAAAAGGAAGGAAAATTATTCACTAATTTTAGTATTAGTCTATAAAAAATACAAAATGAAAGGAATTTAAAAAAGAGGGAACCTGTCAGACAACCGTGCGACCACCCCAGACAGTGAAAACTGACTGAGAACGATCCTCTACGGTCATGATGATCACAAGGACCATTAGAATGTTAATCACGCTCTGATCACACGGTCATGATCCACCAACCAGGTTAGGATTCCTGTCTCCTTAGAAATCAAGGATACAGAGGTACGATTACTATAGAACAGATCCTGTCCAAGTAAGGTCGTGACCTGCTAGCCGCGCTCAGGCCATATAAAGCCCTTTGTTATTCTCTAAATTGTCGATGTGGGACAAAAAGCACTTGGTGCCTCTCGCTTTCAACGCGAGCAAGAAAAGATATTTACATTTTGATGAATATTGAAAAACCTCTTTCCCTACCTTTATTAATGCGTACATTTATAGCCATAATTATTCTGGAAGTTTTCTATAGGTTAAAATATGATCGATTGTTCTGTGAAGTTTATATTTTTCAACTATCCATTTAGCCTCTTGAAATTCATGGCCATACTCGTAAGAGGAATGCATATCCACCACATACTTGTACGTTTCAATTAGATTTCTCTGAAACTGAGCATGCTTTGTAGTCTTTGATGAGGTCTTGCAATCCTGGGCTTCCAACCACTCCAACCATTTTCGACCTATCACTTGGCACATTCCTTCTTTTCCATTTGGCCTTTTCTAATACCAGTTTACAAAGACATAGCAAGGCAAAAAAAAACCAGTCATATTGCATGGTTTTTAATTTGAGTATTTTATATATATAAAAAAACCCAAGAATATTAATTCCTCATATATGATTTAGGGTTTAGGATAACTTTTGGATTTGTATTACAAAGTCTTTGGTGTCATGGTCACGTGGTTATATGGTGTTAAAATTATGATGTGTGTATCTATATATAAGTACTATACTCTAAGGTCCAATACATAAATAATGTTATCTACTTGTATTATAGTACATGAATTAGCAACACCACATGACAGTGTAACGGTCTCACCTTAAAATTTGTCAAAGTAAAGTGGATATTTGACCATAGTTTCAGAGGGTACTACAGTAAATAAGCATTTTTATTATGTTTTAAAATATAATTTTCATATAATTTTAAGTAAATTTTTATTGTTTCTTGTTTACACGTCGGTATAAAATTTTATTCCACATTTGCCACGTCATTAATTTAATACAATACCAAACGTTGAACTTGACGGAATGGGTAAATTGGTCAATTTCTATAACGTTGAGGTGTAAATTGATGAAAATGAATTTCATGACCCACCTCTATGGGCTATAATGTCATTAGCCCCCCAAAAAAAAACCTTAAAAATAAAAATACTACTTAACTTAAAAACAACATTAATCAATGGGGGTCTAGCCTAATGGAAAAGGGTCTTGACTTGCAGACCAGATGTCTCAGGTTCAAACCCCCATGACATCATTGGGGTGTGTGTGAGGAATCCCCCTCCCCTCTAAGTTAGAGTCTAACTGTTAGACTATCGTACTTAAAAAAAAAAAAAAAAAAAAAAAAAAAAAACATTAACAAAGAGCTTCAACAATTCATTTTAGGGTTAAATAAAGGGTTAAAAACTACACTTAACGAAATTCCTATAAATTGTAAATTTTGGGAAACACAATGACCAATTTGACTAAATTTTTTTCTCTGTGATCAAATTGAATTTTTGTGTAAAATCCAGTGACAAAAAAAATAGTATAACATTAACAAGGTCTTTGGCTATGTGGATGGATATCATCAACATCAAGTGACCAATCATCCTTAGTTGGCCACACACAAATGAGAATTGGGGGCTGTGTCTTCCCTCATTCTCCTCCGAGTCTTCAACAATTTTTTTTTGGGTATAACATTTCTAGGTAGGGCTAAATGGTGCTGGGAGGTTTGCACTTGCATACAATATGACATGCGGCCTGCTTGCTCAACGTAGCATGTCCCAGATCATAGTTTCAATTTCGACCTTGTTCAATTAAAATGGAACTTCAAAGAAAACCTATTAATGTGGAACTTGGAAATGAATGTTTGAGGTCAAAATATGAATTTGAGGTCATGAAATGAAGGTGCATTTTACAAAGAATTCGTAGTTTTTTTCGGTGATTTTTTCAAAATTACAATGACTCTTTGGTGAATTTTTCCTTGACCGTTGATAGTGAAACAAGCAGCACAAACCATATATAAAAAAATGTACACCAATATTTTCATTGCTTCAGCACTTCTCTGAGATAATAAATAAGTACTCATTTAGTTTTTACATGATGGCAAAGTTTGCAACTTATTGCTCAAATTTGACAAGAGATGCACGACCAAAACAGAAAAAACGAGATTACACAAAAATCATACAGATGAGCATTACTTACATGATTAAACACAATCGAAGAGATTCATGTCACCTGTTTTTTCACACCCAGACTCTTCATGACATATATAGTTGCCGACAGGACAAGGAATCACACAACTATTAGGACTTGAAGTGGTTAAGAAACACACAGCGCTTTGGATGTCACAGTTAGCTTTTATGGCGATAATCCACTGGAACTTGTGGTATTAGCATACTATCAGACCTCATATCCAGGGTTCACTTTCTGTTGCACATTGCCATAACTCTCTAACTCTTCCATGTCCTCACAACTTCCCAAAAACAAAGGCAGCCTTTGATGCAGCTTCACTGGCTGAATTGAAAGAATTCTATTTTTACCATCAGAGCCTTTGCCCGCAGCTTGCTCCACCAGAAAGCTGAGTGGGTTGGCCTCGTACACGAGACGAAGATGGTCTCTTGGATTCATTGTAACTCCACCATACAGTAGTGTTCGATGAAAATCAGCTACCAGAGAACAGATATAACGGGCAGAGTACTTTTTGGGATACCTGCCTTTTCCTTGTCTCACAGTGTCTATGTAGAGTCTTAATCCGTCGGGCCAGTCAAAATATCGAGCATCATTTACAGAATATATTTGTCCTGGAAAATAAAGAGCCACCATAAGTGCAAACTAAATGGTTCTATGTTGCATTCCGCAATATCTCTTTTTTCTGAAACAAACATGCAGACCCTCTCATGAAATTGACTTCTTTGGCTATTTATTACCAAGTTATAGTAGTATTTGTAGGGAGATGCTTATTCTGATAAATAACAGTCAATAATCAACCGCCCAATTTATTGTCAATGTGTAATAGTCATTGTACAGGTTAGGTAATTTCATGATTTTTCTGAATAAATCCATTTTTTATTTTGTCTGTTAGAAATTTATATAAATCTTCAAATCAAATCTACTAAATTGAAGTATATTATTATTTCAGTGTTACCTCGAGAAGGAATTTTTAAGCTTGGGTGTGTGAGAATGAAATCTCCCGTGGAATGATCCAATGTAAATGCATGTGTTCCTGAACCAAAGCTGGTGCAGAATATCGTGGCTGATGAATAAAGAACATAACCAGAAGCTACAAGCCTAGTTCCGGTCTGGAGTGAATTCAGCAAAGCCTTCTCCTCTGTTGGTAGATGATCCAGTTCCTCAAGGCGTCGATAAATCCCAAAAATCGTCCCAGTGGGAATGGATGCGTCAATATTTCTCGAACCATCTAGAGGATCTGTTACCACCACAAATGGGCCATCATCACGTATCCAGGTTGGAGTGTCATCTTCTTCCGATGCCATGACAGCTACCTTCCCAGAACTTCTAAGTGACGACAAGATGATTTCATTCTATAATAAACAAGAAAGGTCAGTTAATCAGAAATGTTCTTTCTTTATTCATGATGACAACCCAATGTGAATACTTACAAAGGGAGAGATGATCAGTGCTATATTCCCTGCAGTTTATTTGAATTTTTTCTTTTAGTTAACCCTTAACACCCTACCCCAAAGATGGGAAATCCACAAAACCTTGATGGAGAACAGATTTGATCCTAGAGCATTTCTTTTTTATGTTTTATTTTTGGTCTGGCTTAAGCAGTTCATTTGAAAGCCATAGGTGTTATTCTAAAAACATTATTTGAATTGAAATGCCCATGTCATAGGTTATCAGATATAGGTAGTTGAATCATCTTCAGTTTGTAAAAAGAGAAGAAAAAAAAAGGTTCTATGATCTGGGTTCAATGAAGAACACACAGCATATTTCAGTCCTATCTTCTAAAGAGGTCAAGCACAAGAGAAGTTAAACATTAGTTGCATTTTTTTTACTCAATTCAATGAACAGTTAAGTAAAGCCCGATTTGGTTGAAAAATTCTCTCTTATCTCTTATCTCTTCTCATACATGTTTGAGGACAATAATTATCTAGTTCAGGCTACTTAAACTCAAAAGGAGTTAATTTCAACTCAATCAATTTGAATCACATTCACTGAAATTATATCTACATTACAATCAGTCCAAGAACTCTACTGAGAGTATGCATATATACTGCATTACAACAATCAATTCCCCAAACATGAACAAAACAAACATTCCAACCAACTACATAGTTTCTTCTTCCCCAACTTACTATGACTATCAAACATTATAAATCACTAAATACCAAAGCACATTATAAACAAAGACAATTATATCTTCTGGGTTTCAAAGAAAACAGCCTAAACTCACCGAAACAATATCAAGCGGTTTCGGTGCATCCCTGCCTGACCCACCGGCCGAACCACCGGCACCGGCAGCAAAACCCGTATGCTTCCCAAGGGTAGAATTGAAAGGAGAGGCCACAAGAGCTGCGATTTTCTTGCAGGCGTACTGTAAGTGATGGATTAAAAGCACAAGATCATCGCCCACATCGACACCTCCGCCGCCAACATACTCAATCAGAGTGCGGGCCTCATTATCACCACCACCACCACTGCCTGAAGAACCCACAAGTTGTGACCCAGCAATGAACCCAGAAAGAGTTGCCATTCTTGGCCTGTGAAAGATGGGTCTCGGAGGAAACTGGTTTCTTGGCGGGAAATGGGGGTGATTTGGAGGGAAGATTGGAGCAGGGCACAGGGATGGTGGTCTTATGGTTGTGGGTAATAATGGCATGTTATTATATGTGTGGATTTTTTGGGGCTTCATAAGTCTAGAGTCATTTTTGGAGATGATTTGGGGTTTCAAGGAAAAGAGAGAGGTGCCGGGATAAGGGGCTCTTGGTTTTAAAAGCTTGTCCAAGCCAAAACAAATAACAAGAAGGCTAAATTATTGAAATGCCCCTGTAACTCAATTTTAGTCTCAATTTTCTCCCAGAAACTCTAAGAGGGGTGTATTTAATTGAGATTTTAAAAAATTATTTTGGGATAAATAAGTCTTGTGGTATTCAATTAAGACTTTTAAATAATCTAAACAAGTCTTGTGGTATTCCATTAAGACTATTAGGATTTTTTAAAGAGAGTGTCAAAATCTTGTGGTATTCAATCAAGACTTTAAACAAGTAACAAAAAGTCTTATGGTATTCAAAAACTTGTTAATTTTGAAGGATTTTTTCAAATGCGAAATTGTGTGAGACTTTTTAGTGAGATATATCCCTACCTCAAATCCCACCATAACCCACGAGACTATTTTTTTTTTTCACATGAGATTGTTTTTTGTGCTCATCCACTTTGCCTTCTCTCAAAGCCAACTTCAACACCAAAGCTTCACTGCCACCAGCCATCTCTGCAACTCTACTTGCAAACCCACTTCACCTTCTCTACTATATACCTGCAAACCCACTTTACCTTCTCTGCATATAGCCATGATTCATGTTGTTTACTCATAGGAGGTTTGGGAGAATTTCAAGGGAAGTAACTTTTCGTCTTTTCTTTCCTTTTCCCTTTTTTTCCTGGGGAATAGAATACATTTCAGCGAAAGCACCTATGCATGTCAACTTTCTTTATGCAATTTTTTTTTTGGAGCTTTGAGATTCAATGAAACTATCCATTAGACGAACAAGACTAGAAATTCACACACAAGATGACCAACGAGAATACTTTTTTTTTGTTCTTGTTGCCTCGGTCAACATGGATAGAAGAGAAAAAGAAGGTAGTAGGGAATAGAAGAGAAAATACTACCACCCAAAAAACATAGGGCATAAACTTCACTTGCATAGAACCACATGATATCTCATAACAGTAACAGTTCATAAGGTAACACAAGCAAGTTCCTTTTATACTATTTGACTGGAGTTACTAGTTGCGCAGCAGGCCAGCGTTAAGATGGTAAAACCAGCAACCTCCCCTGTTCTTAGTTCACTATATTTGTCGGGCTAGGTATTTAAAAAGTTTCAAATTTTGGTTTGGGCTATGGCCCTATTTAGTCAGACCTAGATATAAATCTTATGATATAAATCCATATAGTCCTTTCAAATCTTATAAAATCTTATGATATAATCTTTAAAATCCAAAAGTTAAAAATCTTGATTATACAAAATTATCAATAAAATCTTATAAGTCATTACATTCTGATTAAATCTGCTGGATTTTTTTATTTTTAAATAGTCTTTTAAAATCTCAATTGAATACAAGTGTCTCACTTTCCCCCCTGAAACTCCAAATATTGTCTCACTTTGCCTAGTGTTGAGGCCCAAAAATCCAAGGGGCTAAGCCCAAATTAATCCTTAGCCCAATATGGGTAATTGGATGCAAAATAAGCTCAATCGGGATAAAAGGAAATTTATAAGAGCCGCCAACACAAGCTACAAGCCACGAATCATGCTAAACAAGCACGTGCAGAAGGAGCCAAGGACATACCGATATTACTAAATCACGCTCACATGCTCATTATTATACGGTTGTCTTCACACTTGTCACCTGTCTGAAACACATCTACATCCCGACTCAGGCATAAAAACCCCAAGCTCGGCCAAACACAAGATACGCGCATTATTCCCTACCATACCAAACTAACAAGTCACTTACAAGGTCTAAAGTGGCCACCAGCCACAAATTACACACCTAAAATATGATATAATAGATTGCAAGGGTTGTATTGCTTAAGTGGATCTGGAAAGTCAATCACATGCTTCATAGGTCACGAGACACCATACCACTCAGTGGCTCGCACCACATCATACAAGCTGGATGTCAGGCAGACACGTCTATGTTCCAAACACCGCTATTGTGGCGCGCTGTGGAATACGGGCAGGGCTGGCAAGGGACATCAATCTCGTTGCACTGGAAACAAACACAAGGCATGACTAGTGAGTATTTGACCACTCGCAGATTATATAGAGACATAACTGTGAACCCAGTGCGTTCTTACAATGAAAGACATCACTACGATGACGCGAAAGACGCGTAACATCTCAGCCCCTCCCACGCAGAAGAATCCAGTGCGACCGAGCTTTCCAGCACGTGGTTGATTTCTGACATCCTGCGCATCTTAGAAGCACTAACAACAAACTCACATAGACATAAGTGGGCCATCCCAGAGGCACCCCATGAACTGCCTGACGCGATTAGAACGCCCAAACCGGCACCTGAACCAACATAGGATACTGGTCGGCAAAACTTCCTAGTCCCGTTTGATAGTCTCACTCAATCATGTCTCACTAAGTGGAGACCCGGCAGTACAAACATCTAGACCCAGAATGTTATAAATCCCACGAGTGGGGTCACAGGACAACGTAATCCGAGAATGGCACAAAAGTCCTCAACAGCAGCGCCCGATATAGCACGCCGTATCACACCAACTGACTCTGACCATGATAAAGCACGAGAAACTATCAAGATAATACAGGGTACCAGCTATCGCCCACCAGCTAGGTATCACACACATGTGACAACAACCAAGTAGCGTCCTGTGCGCATAACCGTGATAAACCAAATCTCAGTGCCTCGGTTTTCTGACCCAGTGGCTCGCCACGGATGGATGAAATGCATCAGCAGAATACAGGATGGCGGCGAATGTAAAATCAGCGCGCGCGAGCCAGATATAACGTCGATCAAAATCTCTCGGCAGCACATATCCATGCGGAGTGAGGAAAAGAGTCATAACGGGCGTGGTCTCAACCGTGTGTTCGTACCCAATAGTGCCGAGCTAGCGGCCTCTTGTAGCCACGAGGGATCTGTCTGATACTATAATCTCTTACACTAGCCAACGACGTCGACACTAGTTCTGTCGCGTGTGCCAGAACTCTTGTCATTTGTAGTCCATACGCAGTTGGGGTACCGCTACGGGCGTAGCTAAGTGTGCACCCTATACAGTAGTTCCATGTCAGCCGAACACCTGACGTTGGCACTATATGTTGTCGCCAAGTGGCAGAGCGATCTGGGAGGGTGATATAGTGAGAGAGAAGTGGGGGGGCACGGGGCCACTACGAAGTGCGGACCGGGCACGCTGTCACACCCCATGTGGGTAGGAGCTGTCCGGGGCGAGGCCCATGGGGCTACCCCCGGGACGACCGCGCCGAGGCGTCACGCTCGCAATAGTATCTGGTTGTGGGGATCTCTAAATTTCACTCCGTGCTACACTACACTGCTTGCCTGTACCGTGGGCGCAAACAAATTATGAAGCACAAGGAGAGATATGGTGTCGACAATCATAGAGCCGCAACTAAGCGGGAGTACTATCACGGGAGACATCGTTGGGGGTCAGCGTTGGGCGTTCGAGAGTCCGGTGTCGGCTGAGGACCACGGATCATTGAATCCAGGTAAGATGCTTAGTGTACCTACAGAAAGAAGAAAACCGCAGTACTAGGAGCTACAGTGAGCTAGGGCACGATAATGGCGAACAAGTCGTGAGCTGTTGGTGGTCACGGCTGGTGTGTGCGGGCATGCTGCGGGCTCACTGAGTAGCGTGTTGGCGTATGTTTGTCAAGAGTGAATGTTATGCGTTGCTCGCCATCAAGCGGACGATTAGGTCAGTCGAACCCTATCTAGCTTATGCGGGGCGAGGAATCGTGGGCGGTAGAAGGTTTCACGGACAGGGGGCACACCCGATATGCGGGTTGACGGATGACACACATACACTACCCTTACCCCGTAAATCACCAATCCCGGTCAGACAATGTAGTCTTCTATTACCGTCGCAAAGTATGTGTGTCACTAAGGGTCATCACAGCGCTGGAAAGTAATGCCCGTCATCTAACACTCAACGGACATAAACTCGCTGTTCGTGAGCCGATTTCGGGCCGACTCACCCGTCAGCATCAGCGCCCTCGTGTGTAGTGTGTGTGGGCATATCCCATACCACCCATAAGTGCACGCACGCTGGGGGTGCGTAAGGGGCTGTGGGAGTAAATACACATACCATGCGGGAACCACAGGACGACAGCGTGATGTCGGTATACGACGATTCGTCCAGGCTTGGGCATCGTTTTCATGATTATGGCATTACGGACAATAGTTCCGGGACAGGATCGTGAGCTCATTGCTTCGCACACGTCCATGGCATCATTTGGACTGAAGACTACGTCGCTGTCAGTCACCCGTTCGCATGATGGTGGTGCTGGTGGGTTCGTCGCGAGGTCTGGGGCAGTTGGAATCGGACAGGTATGGTGTGCTGGCGTCATAGGGATCAAGGCCGGGATTGTGGCGTGTTATCGCAGCATGTAACTGGCGTGCGCCACTGCGGGTTGTGCCTGTCGGTGAAACACAAAATGTTGCACTTGACATAGGACCGGGCGGTCAGTCTATCGATGGGTGTGACATAACACCAATCCCAGGGAAGGTAAAAGAAAGGAACAGACAGTGCTGACCGAAGGGGAGGATGGGAGGGCAGAGAGATACCTGAGGAACAGTAAAACCGGTGGGGTGGGGTGGTGGGGGGCGGAACACACGCCAGGGAAGCGGTAGTAACATAACAACTCGCTTCGCACGGGGTGAAGTGTCAGAGAATGAGAGTGTGAAGAACACGTATGAAGAGTCGCTAGCATGTAGAGGGGGAGACACACACGCCTATTCTAATAATTACAAAAAAGCATCATGCAGATTAGAATATAGAAAGGGCTCAGGCAAGTACTGAAATCGGAGGAGGTGTAGAAAGGTGCGTGCGATAGAGCATAGTGTGCGGATACACAGGTGGGGGAGTGACAACATGAGTTACACTACGAAGAGGCGGTTGAAGCAGAGGGAGCGGGACAGCCGGATAAGGATATAACTATACTGACGTACAAAATGGCAAATTGTCTCCATATGGCCGCAGACGGAGTCGCGGGGCCCGACCCAAAACCACATGTGGGAATGCGTGACTATTACAAGACTAGAACCATCGAGAAAGATACGGTACCAAACTACCACACCGACACAATCTGTAGGCGGAGAGAGTGGCGATGTTCGTGGTGGGGGCTGAAATGTGACATGAACCACAGCTCTAACCAAGTGGTCCCAACGCCCGACGGACGACCACGACGTACGAACACCTCAGGGGCAACACCTGAAGCTGCATGATCACAGACGGGGGGATGCGAACCACGCCGTGAAATGCTCATGGCTTGGGGTTCCTCGGTATTGACCAAATAGCATTGATGTTATGCACTGACTACGTGCTATCTAACCGTAGTGTGGCCTGCGTCAGACTGCAAGGAGGGACCCCGGTTGTGTTGATAGCCCGCAATGAAAGTGCCACTCCTTGAGTGGAAGAGTGTGGGGGTTGCTTCGGAAGACGGTTACGATGCCGTTGAATGTGTCGGCAAAACCGAGCGGGGGCTCAATAGTGGTCTACTCGCTCTAGCACTCCCTCGTCCTACGCGCAGCCTCGCCGGGTGTGTACCGGCAGTCTCAGTGCGCACAGCGTGCCGCGCGTGTACGCGACGGGGGCGGGTACCGCAAGGCGCAAGCAGACCGCACTACCTAAACCAAAAAGAGGCAGGAAACGTGGGAGAAAAAACGATGTGGTAACAGGAGAAGGAGGTGGACGAACCTGGGACATTCAATGTGAAAGGCGATATGGAGAGATGGGAGCTAATGGAGATGCATTGAAACTGCGGAGACACAAAGACGCTGGATGCGACAATCAGTACTGACCAGTCTGCAAGAAGGTAAATGACAATGCAGGTTTAGCAGGAAATTATATAGCAAAAGAAAAAAAGGGAAAAAGGAAAGAAAAGACAAAAGTGTAATTTAAAGAAATTATCCAAAACAGCCTGGATAAAAAAAGAACTGGATATATGCAGAGAAGGGTAAGGTGTTTGCAGGTATATAGTAGAAGAAGGGGTTTGAAGTTGGTGGTTTGCAGAGTAGAGATTGCTGGGGGTGGCATGAAGTGGCAGTGAAGCTTTGGTTGGCTTTGAGAGAAAGAAGAGAAAAGGAGGGCAAAGAAAGTGGGGGGGGCAGACAAAAAAAAAAAAAAAAAAAAAAAAAAAACAATCTCATCCATCTATCCATTTGTAAAAAAAAAAAAAAAAAAAAAAAAAAAAAATCTCGTGGGTTATGGTGGGATTTGAGGTAGGGATATATCTCACTAAAAAGTCTCACACAATTTCGCATTTGAAAAAATCCTTCAAAATTAACAAGTTTTTGAATACCATAAGACTTTTTGTTACTTGTTTAAAGTCTTGATTGAATACCACAAGATTTTGACACTCTCTTTAAAAAATCCTAATAGTCTTAATGGAATACCACAAGACTTGTTTAGATTATTTAAAAGTCTTAATTGAATACCACAAGACTTATTTATCCCAAAATAATTTTTTAAAATCTCAATTAAATACACCCCTCTTAGAGTTTCTGGGAGAAAATTGAGACTAAAATTGAGTTACAGGGGCATTTCAATAATTTAGCCTTCTTGTTATTGTTTTGGCTTGGACAAGCTTTTAAAACCAAGAGCCCCTTATCCCGGCACCTCTCTCTTTTCCTTGAAACCCCAAATCATCTCCAAAAATGACTCTAGACTTATGAAGCCCCAAAAAATCCACACATATAATAACATGCCATTATTACCCACAACCATAAGACCACCATCCCTGTGCCCTGCTCCAATCTTCCCTCCAAATCACCCCCATTTCCCGCCAAGAAACCAGTTTCCTCCGAGACCCATCTTTCACAGGCCAAGAATGGCAACTCTTTCTGGGTTCATTGCTGGGTCACAACTTGTGGGTTCTTCAGGCAGTGGTGGTGGTGGTGATAATGAGGCCCGCACTCTGATTGAGTATGTTGGCGGCGGAGGTGTCGATGTGGGCGATGATCTTGTGCTTTTAATCCATCACTTACAGTACGCCTGCAAGAAAATCGCAGCTCTTGTGGCCTCTCCTTTCAATTCTACCCTTGGGAAGCATACGGGTTTTGCTGCCGGTGCCGGTGGTTCGGCCGGTGGGTCAGGCAGGGATGCACCGAAACCGCTTGATATTGTTTCGGTGAGTTTAGGCTGTTTTCTTTGAAACCCAGAAGATATAATTGTCTTTGTTTATAATGTGCTTTGGTATTTAGTGATTTATAATGTTTGATAGTCATAGTAAGTTGGGGAAGAAGAAACTATGTAGTTGGTTGGAATGTTTGTTTTGTTCATGTTTGGGGAATTGATTGTTGTAATGCAGTATATATGCATACTCTCAGTAGAGTTCTTGGACTGATTGTAATGTAGATATAATTTCAGTGAATGTGATTCAAATTGATTGAGTTGAAATTAACTCCTTTTGAGTTTAAGTAGCCTGAACTAGATAATTATTGTCCTCAAACATGTATGAGAAGAGATAAGAGATAAGAGAGAATTTTTCAACCAAATCGGGCTTTACTTAACTGTTCATTGAATTGAGTAAAAAAAATGCAACTAATGTTTAACTTCTCTTGTGCTTGACCTCTTTAGAAGATAGGACTGAAATATGCTGTGTGTTCTTCATTGAACCCAGATCATAGAACCTTTTTTTTCTTCTCTTTTTACAAACTGAAGATGATTCAACTACCTATATCTGATAACCTATGACATGGGCATTTCAATTCAAATAATGTTTTTAGAATAACACCTATGGCTTTCAAATGAACTGCTTAAGCCAGACCAAAAATAAAACATAAAAAAGAAATGCTCTAGGATCAAATCTGTTCTCCATCAAGGTTTTGTGGATTTCCCATCTTTGGGGTAGGGTGTTAAGGGTTAACTAAAAGAAAAAATTCAAATAAACTGCAGGGAATATAGCACTGATCATCTCTCCCTTTGTAAGTATTCACATTGGGTTGTCATCATGAATAAAGAAAGAACATTTCTGATTAACTGACCTTTCTTGTTTATTATAGAATGAAATCATCTTGTCGTCACTTAGAAGTTCTGGGAAGGTAGCTGTCATGGCATCGGAAGAAGATGACACTCCAACCTGGATACGTGATGATGGCCCATTTGTGGTGGTAACAGATCCTCTAGATGGTTCGAGAAATATTGACGCATCCATTCCCACTGGGACGATTTTTGGGATTTATCGACGCCTTGAGGAACTGGATCATCTACCAACAGAGGAGAAGGCTTTGCTGAATTCACTCCAGACCGGAACTAGGCTTGTAGCTTCTGGTTATGTTCTTTATTCATCAGCCACGATATTCTGCACCAGCTTTGGTTCAGGAACACATGCATTTACATTGGATCATTCCACGGGAGATTTCATTCTCACACACCCAAGCTTAAAAATTCCTTCTCGAGGTAACACTGAAATAATAATATACTTCAATTTAGTAGATTTGATTTGAAGATTTATATAAATTTCTAACAGACAAAATAAAAAATGGATTTATTCAGAAAAATCATGAAATTACCTAACCTGTACAATGACTATTACACATTGACAATAAATTGGGCGGTTGATTATTGACTGTTATTTATCAGAATAAGCATCTCCCTACAAATACTACTATAACTTGGTAATAAATAGCCAAAGAAGTCAATTTCATGAGAGGGTCTGCATGTTTGTTTCAGAAAAAAGAGATATTGCGGAATGCAACATAGAACCATTTAGTTTGCACTTATGGTGGCTCTTTATTTTCCAGGACAAATATATTCTGTAAATGATGCTCGATATTTTGACTGGCCCGACGGATTAAGACTCTACATAGACACTGTGAGACAAGGAAAAGGCAGGTATCCCAAAAAGTACTCTGCCCGTTATATCTGTTCTCTGGTAGCTGATTTTCATCGAACACTACTGTATGGTGGAGTTACAATGAATCCAAGAGACCATCTTCGTCTCGTGTACGAGGCCAACCCACTCAGCTTTCTGGTGGAGCAAGCTGCGGGCAAAGGCTCTGATGGTAAAAATAGAATTCTTTCAATTCAGCCAGTGAAGCTGCATCAAAGGCTGCCTTTGTTTTTGGGAAGTTGTGAGGACATGGAAGAGTTAGAGAGTTATGGCAATGTGCAACAGAAAGTGAACCCTGGATATGAGGTCTGATAGTATGCTAATACCACAAGTTCCAGTGGATTATCGCCATAAAAGCTAACTGTGACATCCAAAGCGCTGTGTGTTTCTTAACCACTTCAAGTCCTAATAGTTGTGTGATTCCTTGTCCTGTCGGCAACTATATATGTCATGAAGAGTCTGGGTGTGAAAAAACAGGTGACATGAATCTCTTCGATTGTGTTTAATCATGTAAGTAATGCTCATCTGTATGATTTTTGTGTAATCTCGTTTTTTCTGTTTTGGTCGTGCATCTCTTGTCAAATTTGAGCAATAAGTTGCAAACTTTGCCATCATGTAAAAACTAAATGAGTACTTATTTATTATCTCAGAGAAGTGCTGAAGCAATGAAAAATATTGGTGTACATTTTTTTATATATGGTTTGTGCTGCTTGTTTCACTATCAACGGTCAAGGAAAAATTCACCAAAGAGTCATTGTAATTTTGAAAAAATCACCGAAAAAAACTACGAATTCTTTGTAAAATGCACCTTCATTTCATGACCTCAAATTCATATTTTGACCTCAAACATTCATTTCCAAGTTCCACATTAATAGGTTTTCTTTGAAGTTCCATTTTAATTGAACAAGGTCGAAATTGAAACTATGATCTGGGACATGCTACGTTGAGCAAGCAGGCCGCATGTCATATTGTATGCAAGTGCAAACCTCCCAGCACCATTTAGCCCTACCTAGAAATGTTATACCCAAAAAAAAATTGTTGAAGACTCGGAGGAGAATGAGGGAAGACACAGCCCCCAATTCTCATTTGTGTGTGGCCAACTAAGGATGATTGGTCACTTGATGTTGATGATATCCATCCACATAGCCAAAGACCTTGTTAATGTTATACTATTTTTTTTGTCACTGGATTTTACACAAAAATTCAATTTGATCACAGAGAAAAAAATTTAGTCAAATTGGTCATTGTGTTTCCCAAAATTTACAATTTATAGGAATTTCGTTAAGTGTAGTTTTTAACCCTTTATTTAACCCTAAATGATTGAAGCTCTGTTGTTAATGTTTTTTTTTTTTTTTTTTTTTTTTTTTTTTTTTTACAAGCGATAGTCTAACAGTTAGACTCTAACTTAGAGGGGAGGGGGATTCCTCACACACACCCCAATGATGTCATGGGGGTTTGAACCTGAGACATCTGGTCTGCAAGTCAAGACCCTTTTCCATTAGGCTAGACCCCCATTGATTAATGTTGTTTTTAAGTTAAGTAGTATTTTTATTTTTAAGGTTTTTTTTTGGGGGGCTAATGACATTATAGCCCATAGAGGTGGGTCATGAAATTCATTTTCATCAATTTACACCTCAACGTTATAGAAATTGACCAATTTACCCATTCCGTCAAGTTCAACGTTTGGTATTGTATTAAATTAATGACGTGGCAAATGTGGAATAAAATTTTATACCGACGTGTAAACAAGAAACAATAAAAATTTACTTAAAATTATATGAAAATTATATTTTAAAACATAATAAAAATGCTTATTTACTGTAGTACCCTCTGAAACTATGGTCAAATATCCACTTTACTTTGACAAATTTTAAGGTGAGACCGTTACACTGTCATGTGGTGTTGCTAATTCATGTACTATAATACAAGTAGATAACATTATTTATGTATTGGACCTTAGAGTATAGTACTTATATATAGATACACACATCATAATTTTAACACCATATAACCACGTGACCATGACACCAAAGACTTTGTAATACAAATCCAAAAGTTATCCTAAACCCTAAATCATATATGAGGAATTAATATTCTTGGGTTTTTTTATATATATAAAATACTCAAATTAAAAACCATGCAATATGACTGGTTTTTTTTTGCCTTGCTATGTCTTTGTAAACTGGTATTAGAAAAGGCCAAATGGAAAAGAAGGAATGTGCCAAGTGATAGGTCGAAAATGGTTGGAGTGGTTGGAAGCCCAGGATTGCAAGACCTCATCAAAGACTACAAAGCATGCTCAGTTTCAGAGAAATCTAATTGAAACGTACAAGTATGTGGTGGATATGCATTCCTCTTACGAGTATGGCCATGAATTTCAAGAGGCTAAATGGATAGTTGAAAAATATAAACTTCACAGAACAATCGATCATATTTTAACCTATAGAAAACTTCCAGAATAATTATGGCTATAAATGTACGCATTAATAAAGGTAGGGAAAGAGGTTTTTCAATATTCATCAAAATGTAAATATCTTTTCTTGCTCGCGTTGAAAGCGAGAGGCACCAAGTGCTTTTTGTCCCACATCGACAATTTAGAGAATAACAAAGGGCTTTATATGGCCTGAGCGCGGCTAGCAGGTCACGACCTTACTTGGACAGGATCTGTTCTATAGTAATCGTACCTCTGTATCCTTGATTTCTAAGGAGACAGGAATCCTAACCTGGTTGGTGGATCATGACCGTGTGATCAGAGCGTGATTAACATTCTAATGGTCCTTGTGATCATCATGACCGTAGAGGATCGTTCTCAGTCAGTTTTCACTGTCTGGGGTGGTCGCACGGTTGTCTGACAGGTTCCCTCTTTTTTAAATTCCTTTCATTTTGTATTTTTTATAGACTAATACTAAAATTAGTGAATAATTTTCCTTCCTTTTTTAATATGCTATTTTAGTAATTCCATTTTTTTTTAATTGGCCAAAGTAACAAGCTTACTACCCAATAAATACACAACACATTAGGGCAGGGGCGGAGCCACATGTAAGCCTGTCATGGCTGTGGCCCCCCAAAACTCCATGAAAATCTCATTATTTTTTAAGCATCAGCTACAATATTAGTTAAAATATAACTCTATATAATCTTGAATTTATAGTACTGGCCCCCACAGAATAACTTCTAGCTCCGCCATTGCATCATGACCAACATTATCAATTAAAATTAATGAATAATTTTCCTTCCTTTTTTAATATGCTATTTTAGTAATTCCCTTTTTTTTAATTGGCCGAAGTAACAAGCTCACTACCCAGTAAATACACAACACATCAGAGCAGGGGCGGAGCCACATGTAGGCCTGTCATGGCTGTGGCCCCCCAAAACTCCATGAAAATCTCATTATTTTTTAAGCATCAGCTACAATATTAGTTAAAATATAACTCTATATAATCTTAAATTTATAGTACTGGCCCCCACAAAATAACTTCTAACTTCGCCATTGCATCGTGACCAACATTATCAATTAATGTTGGATTAAAGCACCTTTTGGAGTGTTAATCTCTAGCTAGCTTTACATTTGTTAAAGCAAAAACACTTACCCCTTCTAAATACATCGCTTGTCACAGTTTGGAGGCCATCTGCTTATAAACCCACCACATTTTGGTGGCCAATTTTCATTATATTGATGACTTGACAATATCATATAAATTAGAGTTAAGTACATGGACAACTTACACTACCATACTTTAGGTTTCAAGTGTTTTTCGTGTTTTTACACTAATATTCTTTGAGGTTTCAAATTGTTTTCATAAAAATTCTCTAATTAATTTTCCGTCTTAAAATTACATAATATCATCAAAAAAAAATTATGCAAATGATAAAGTTAATCTCAAAGATTAGATTGCACGTGTATCTAATCATTGAAGGCTGACTTTTTCATTTGAAGTAGTTTCTTATACGACACTAGTAATGTTTGGATGAAAAATTAACGAAATAATTTTGTGAAGACAATTTAAAATTAACAAAAAAACCCATACTTATCAAATTTGAGCCACCCCCTCTTATAAAATGGTTCAACCACAAGGTCAGGGTTCACTCAAGGGCGGGATCATTATGCCAATAGGCGCATGCCTCTTCATGCCACATGTCACACGCCTCAATTAATTCCCCTTTCATGCATGCATAGATGTCTAAGTAACAACCAATATGTGCTTCTCCAAACATTCGCATTGCAATGACACCTAAACTGACAATCCATTAATGACCACCTTACTGAACGACAACGACACAAACACGCTATGAGGTTACCTTGCTATTCGTCTATCTCTCTTTGCAGATCCATTATGTTCCTGCCATAGGGCCTAGGTGACCAAAGGTAAGCTCACTTCTAATTTTTATCCATTTTTGACATCAAAATATATAAAACTCATCAAGTTCAATAGCCCACTTGATCAGGCATCCTGAGGTTTTTGGCTTCTACAATACTTGGCGCAAAGGCTGATTTGTAAGCATCGTGATGGTGTGCACCTTGAAGTGTGGTCAAAGCTTAGGCGCTGAGAAGATCAATGCTAGGGCCAACTTTTTCAAATCATGGTTTTGAAGCTTCATGTCTTGAAGGCCTTGCTAACATAGTATATTGAGTGTTCCACGCCATCGAACTTACGGATGAGTATAGAGATGACTGTTGTACATATATTGAGAGGTAGATGATGGGGCCTTCACCAGGGAGTAGTTTAGATAGTAGTGGTGCCTTGCTCATGTAATCCTTCAAGATTTGGAAAGCTGCCTTGCATTTAGCAGTCCAAGTGATCTGCTCTTTGTTGCCCTCGATATGCTTTTGTATCTTTGGCACTTGCATGTTCATTAATTTTTCTGGGTTAGGCTCAATACCTCATTGGCTAATCATGAAGCCCAAGACTTTGTCAAAAGATAAACGAAGGAGCACTTCATTGGGTTGCGGTGCATCTTTTAGTACTTTAGTATGTTGAACATCATCGAGAGGTTATGAAGGTGCAAATCGGCAGTTTTTCTTTTGACCAACATGTCATCCACAAAGACTTCCATTTGTGGTTGATATGTTGGGCAAAGATCTGGTTTACCAATCGCTAGTAGGTGGCTCTTGAGTCCTTTAGGTTGAAGAGCATGGCATTGTAGCAATAGAGCCCATTGTCAGTGATGAATGTCGTATGCTTATCATTGGCAACGTGCATGAAAATGTAATTATACTCTGAATAAGTATCCATGAAGTTAAGGAGCTCAGGGCCTTATATGGCATCCACTAACTGATTGATCATGGGGAATAGAAAGCTATCCTTAGGGCAAGTCTTGTTGAGATTGGTATAGTCTAGATGTCTTCTTGACCATTACAGAATTGGCCAGCCATGTAGGGTAATCCACATTTCTGATGAAGCCGAACATGCGAAGCTTGTCTACTTTGGTCTTCATGGCCTCATACTTTTAGTAGTAAACATCCGGTGAAATGCCAAGTATATTTCCGTAAGACCGCACAAAGACTTCCGAATTATCTTTGAGGAATTTGATGAAATCAGCCCAAAGAACATCAGAAAGATAGGTGCGGATGCAGATTAGTGGAGGGTTATCGATTCCAAATCCTCCACCAGTTGGGCATGAGGAGTAAAAGATTCATCTCTTGGGTCCTCTGACCGATTGGTGCCCTTGTGGTTAGGCATTTGCAGCGTCGTGGCAGAGATAGAGGGTTTCTGCCCTAATGATCATGGGATCTTCATGAGGGAAAATGATGCCCTTCTCCTCTTCTTTGGGGAGGGTGATTGGTTCCTTGTTTGTTTTCTGTATCTTATAGTTGCACTCGAATTCGATACCAGGGACCTTTGGGTACTGAACGGCATGCACGCCATTTTTTATAGAGTTCTTGCTCGTGCCGGCAAAGGTGGGGCCATCACTGATGGTCCTGATCATGTTGATTTGCCTATTAAGCTTTTGTTGTGGAGGGGGTTAGTAGCTGGGGTTGGTGGTTGGCATATTGCACCATCTTGCCCTCTTGTATCAAGCATTCCATGATTTTAAGCCAAGATATGAAAGATTAGATATCCTGGTCGTTGTGCTGATGATACCGGCAGAAGTTCAACATGGTAAACAGGCCTGGCCGAGGCTTGCTCCAGGCAGGCTGTTAGGAATGGGACTTGTCTTTCTCAAGTTTTTTTATCTTCTGGAAGAGGAGACAAATGGTGAGATCAGCACTTGGGAGCTCATCCTCTGCCGAACGGCAAGGTGACCTTGGCAGGGGTTGTTGAGCCTCTTTAACGTTGTGCGTTATCGGACGTTATGGGTCTCTCTCTGGCTCTCATTGGCCCTGGTGAAGCCCTCTTGTCAGGGGGTTGTACCGTCAAAACGTTTCGCGAAGTGATGCCCATGTCATTGGCAATGTGTTCCTACTGATCAGTATGACTCTGTTGCTTCAGTATCAATTGGCAAATACTCAGAGTCCATCATTTATTCGACACCACGTTCTGTATGGGCATGACTGATTTTATCCTTAGGGCCAAGAACCTGCATACGAGGATCATTGAGCTTGATGTTAATTTTGATTGGTTCTTCCTAACGAGCCCTCATCATATGCCGAAATTCAGAATTAACTCGGTGACCATGGTAAGGTTAGTCTTCAAGAAGGAGCACAATTTGCTACCCTAAAAGAGCGGGTTCGGCATAATAGGATTACTGCCTCTGATTATTATTCAGCTTAGTCGAGAGGATGTTGTTGTGCTTTTTCATTTTGGCCATGTCTTGGCGCAAGGTGTCTAGTTGAGCTTTCATATTTGCTTCAACAGTTAGTGGCCGGATGGTGACATAATGTCGCTAGGAAGTTGAAAAGTCGATGGTGTAAGAGAGATAACTGGCCGGATGGTGACATAATGTCGCTGGGAAGTTGAAAAGTCGATGGTGTAAGAGAGAGAGAGAGAGAGAGAGAGAGAGAGAGAGAGAGAGAGAGAGCTAAAGTGTTTTAGGGTTTTCAGCAATTTTTCAAAACTAAAAACACCTTGGCACTCTAACGCTCATAACTTCTTCGATACAACTGCGATTTCCAATCCGTTCACAAGAGCGAGCTCGACATCATGGTGCAAAAGAACTTCCCAAAACTAGCGTCGAACAAATATGGCTCAAAAATCTAGTTCTCGAAAAATAAATGCATTGAGATTAAAGCCTTAGGATTTCTAACCCAAGGGTACAACAACTCCCCTCCTTATGAAAGAAGCACTGCAATTCACAAGGAACTTTGAACCAAATTATGTAGGACCCTCTTTTTATGCAAACTCTAATGCTCTTTATATATGAAAGTCTGTATGTAGAGAATTAATTAAATGAATAAAACTGTAGGAGAATTGCTCTATTTATAGATGATGAAATACCCTTTCCAAAAAGGTATCCCAATCTTAGAAGGCAAACAATGCATCTGTTGGTCTGAAAAGTTGTCATCCCAAATAATGCATCCCTTGGTTTGAAGAGTTGTCACCCCCCAATTGAAGATGTCTTTAACCCATGGGTCATGTCTTTAACCCAATGGATTTTATTAATTTCCATTCAAATAGAAAATTAATATTAGATAAAATAATATTAAATTTCTCACAATCCCCCACATGAATGGAAATTAGTTTCAACAATATGCAAATGATAATGCAAACTTAGAGAAAGTTCCTATTAGAAGAATATAGCTTTTGGCTTTGAACCTTCCATAGTGAAGTACTGTCAGATTCACTTGGCTAATCAGTGAACGTGATGTCTTGAACTGTTTAGTTGTTCGTGTAAACCCAGACAATAATACTCACACAATACCCTTTTAGACATATCTGGTTCGATCGGTTGTGCTCGTTTTGGCCTTGAGCAACTCCTGGTTTCATAAGTGCTTTAGAGAATTTAGCCTTGAAAATTCTCATGGAAACGGCCCCATTTCACACTGATATAGGTGACTTCCTATTGGTAACATCCTCTCATATCTTACTCAGATAATCAAGGTATAGGAATCATTAAAAGCATAGCTTAACCTAAACACATTTCATGCAACACTGTATCATCATAGGATATGGGTAGGAGAGTATTATCTCTGCAATGTTATTTTTGAGTTATCATAATTTAGTTGTCCCTTTTGAACCTAGATCTTGGGATCTCTTGCCAACTAGGTTGGGTTTCGACTATGATGACTCATTTGACATGGGCTTTAACCCCATTCCCCTCGATGATCTATAAACTTGCTCTTCGTTCAAACCTTTAGTAAACGAATCAACCAAATTATCTCTTGATTTTATGTAGTCAATGGTAATTATATCACTGGAGAGTAGTTGCTTAACGGTGTTGTGTCTTCAACGTATATGTCGAGACTTGCCGTTGTACATATTGTTTTGTGCCCTTGCAATTGTAGATTGACTATCACAATGTATACAACATGGAATATCTTCTAAGAAATTATGTAGCCATTCAACTTCCTCACCAGCTTTATCTAATGCTATGAACTCAGATTCCATAGTAGATCTAGCTATAACAGTTTGCTTAGTAGATCTCCATGATATAGCTGCACCTCCAATTGTAAAGACATATCCACTTGTAGAATTGGAGTCTTTAGTATCAGATATCCAATTAGAATTACTATATCCTTCAAGTATAGTTGGATATCTTGTATAATGCAGTCCAACATTTTTGGTGTATCTTAAATATTAGAACTCTGACTATAGCTTTCCAATGATCCCTTCCACGATTACTAGTATATTTGCTTAATCTATTAACATAGTAAGCTATATCAGGCTTTATGCAGTTCGTAAGATACATGAGACTACCAATGATACGAGCATATTCTATTTGTGATACACCATGACCTATATTCTTCACAAGATTAAGACGTTGAGAAGATTAATACTAAGGCCAACTTTTTCAAATCATGGTTTTAAAGCTTTATGTCTTGAAGGCCTTGCTAACATAGTATACTGGGTGTTCCACGCCATCGAACTTACGGATGAGTACAGAGATGACTGTTGTACAGATACTGTAGATGATGAGGCCTTCACTAGGGAGTAGTGTTTGTATTCTGCATCTTGTAGTTGCACTCGAATTCGGTACCAGGGACTTTTGGGTACTAAACGGCATGCACACAATTTTTTATAGAGTTCTTGCTCGTGCCGACAAAGGTGGGGCCATCACTAATGGTCATGATCATGTCGATATGCCTATTAGGCTTTTGTGCTTTGGAGAGGGTTGGTGGCTGGGGTTGGTGGTTGCATATTGCACCAGCTTGCCCTCTTGTATCAAGCGTTCCACAATTTTGAGCCAAGATATGATAGATTATGTATCCTGATCGTTGTGCTAATGATATCGACAGAATACACGCATATTTGCTAAAAGCCTTCTGATTAGATGGCTTCAGAATCATGTTGGTTTTATTGAGGAGAACGGTCTCGTACATGGTGTTCAACATGGTGAACGGGCCTGGCCAAGGCTTGCTCCAGGCAGGCTGTTAGGAATGGGACTTGTCTTCCTCAAGTTTTTTTTATCTTTTGGAAGAGGTGACAAATGGCGAGATCAGCACTTGGGAGCTCATCGTCTGCCAAACGACAAGGTGATCTTGGCAGAGGTTGTTGAGCCTTTTTACCGTTGTGCGCTATCGGACGTTATAGGTCACTCTCTGGCTTTCCTTGGCCCTGGTGGAGCCCTCTTTTCAACGGGTTGTACCGTTAGAACGTTTCGAGAGGTGATGCTCGTGTCATTAGCAATGTGTTCCTATTGATTGGTATGACTCTATTGCTTCGGTATCAGTTGGCAAATACTCAGAGTCCCTCATTTCTTCAACACCACGTTATGTATGAGCGTGACTGATTTTATCCTTAGGGCCAAGAACCAACATACGAGGATCATTGAGCTTGATGTTAATTTTGATCGGCTTTTCCTAACGAGCCCTCATCATATGCCGAAATTCAGAGTTAACAGGTTCGGCAGTTGCCAAGCCCTTGCCCTTAGAGCATTGGTTAAGGGTGTACACGCTTTGGAGGGAGTGTTCTTGCTGAACCTACATGGTCTGCTCAAGGCCTTGCTCAAGATGGCAGAATAGGATTGCTGCCTCTGAGTATTATTCAGCTTAGTCGAGAGGATGTTGTTGTGCTTTTGCATTTTGTACATGTCTTGGCGCAAGGTGTCTAGTTGAGCTTGCATATTTGCTTCGACAGTTAGTGGCCGGATGGTGACGTAATGTCACTGGGAAGTTGAAAAGTCGATGGTGCGATTAAGAGAGAGAGAGAGAGAGAGAGAGAGAGAGATAAAGTGTTTTAGGGTTTTCAGCAATTTTTCAAAACTAAAAACACATTGGCACTCTAACGCTCATAACTTCTTCGATACAACTGCGATTTCCAATCCGTTCGCAAGAGCGAGCTTGCCGTCATGGTGCAAAAGAACTTCCCAAAACTAGTGTCGAACAAATATGGCTCAAAAATCTAGTTCTCGAAAAATAAATGCATTGAGATTAAAGCCTTAGGATTTCTAAATACATTCAAAGGTAATGCTTTGGTTTAGGAAAAAATTAAATACCAAGACATGTAGATTGGACCTAGTTAAGTTTTAATGAACCATAATAAATTTTATTTCAAATAGTTAAACTGAACATTATTTTCTTGTCAAACTAAAAATCGTCCTAAACAGTTTCCTCGAAACAAAAACAAAAAAAAATACAATTCTGGCAGAAAGTCGTGCGCAACTCTTCAAAATCCAACGACTCTCCTTCGGAAAAATACATAAAATCGAAGATCAATGGTTAAGGTAATCATCAATACCAAGTGGAGGTTGATACGGAAAAGTCTACTTTCATTCATTTTGAAGTTTGAGGACTCAAACGAGGACTATGATTGTTTATTTAATTTTAATTAAATAAACAATCCATCGGTGTTAGATCATCAAATCACTTTGGACCCAAAAAAAACATCACCAAAACACCCATCACTCCCAAGAAAAAATGAAATGATGCTGGAAGGTGTTAAAATGATGTTTGTGTATCAAGCACCAAAGTCGGTAGTAGGCTCAACAAGTTCAGATCAGAGCATCACGCCAAAAATAAATAATAAAATGAAGGGAATCCTAATGGAAAGCTTCAACTTGGTCCTTGAAGTGTTGTAGTAGGCTCTCCATGCTCATTACTGTCACATCACCCTTATCTCTAACCCTTACGCTAACCTGAAACCATAAGAGGATGGATCAGAGATTAACTTCTTACTAGAAGACTTCATGGCAGAGTTTAACTTACAACAAAGGACCATGGGCAGCATAAACAAAAATTACAAAATTACGAAGAAAAAAAATAGGACCTGTCCATTTTGAACTTCCTCCCCACCCACAACTAAAATGTAGTTGTACTGTGCGATCTGAGCTTGTCGTACCTGCAAAAACAAGAGGATTATCAGTAAACAAACACAAGGCTGGTTTGCTTCAGATGTTATATCTCGGTTCAGCAAAGAAATCGACAACGCTGAAGCCATATTCATAACGTAAATGAATGGGGTGTTGCCCTCACTATGTGTCATGCAAGAGACACAAAATCCCTAAGCTCATCAGGATGGTGTTGTACAGTGCACTCAAAATTACTACATGGAAATAGAATAAAAGAACCATGCACTACTTTTCCTTAACTAGTTTATCTCAAGTTCCAGAATTTGGAAATATTTTGGCATAATCAAGTTGACTGATAATAGGAATTGCATCACATCTTAATTACGTAATTATTATATTAATATATGCAACACTACAGACTGCAGCATGAGCATTGAACCTCCCCTGTGACAGTAAACCACATATTTGACGCCATCGAACCACAAGTGTGAAATCAAATCCTGCATTTACCCAAGTTATGAATACTCACCTTTTTCTGAATTGTTTTATCACTTGTGTCAACATCGACATAATAACCAGCCTGATGGATCTGATCCCGTACCTACAAAAATGCAAATGCAGTTTTTATCTGAGCTTAAAGATATTGTACTCCATTAAGCATTTTGTACAACTCATAACATCAATAATTAAAAATATATTTTCAGTTCATCAGTTTCCTAAATTATCAACAGAAGACGAACCAAACAATACCAAAAACAAAAAACAAAACAAAACAAAACCCTAATCTAACCAAAGAGGGGTTGGGTTGGATCAGTTTCCTTCACCGGTAACCAAGTGAATTTGTGCATCTGAATAAAGTGTACTTCAGTACCGAAACCTAATATCAAACTAACTAGATTTTACTTCAAAAATATTTAAAGAAAGTAGATATGATAGAGAGGCGACGAAATCTGGAGAAAGAGGCAAGACTTTAGCCATGAATCCATGATCTAAATCTTCATTCTCCACAGACAAAATTATGTCACAGTTTGGTTGTTTACTAACTGTATCTCAGACACAACCAAAAATGTCAAAAATAGAACTAAAACAATGTAAGCCACTCTAGCTTGGCAAGCAGTTGGCCACCAATAGAGAGGCTACTGAAGAAATATGGTGATTGGCTCGCAAGATGAACAACCTGATATAAAAAAAACTTGATGGCTCATAGCCTTACACGATACACAAGCTACACTCAAGCAAAACAGTTGATCCAAAGACGGGAAAAGTAAAATTTTTTTTAAAAAAAGCCAACCTGCAGAGCATAAGGCAGGGCTGTGTGCGACACAGGGCAAACAATTGCCTGACGTGGACTAAGCCAGAAGGGCCATTTCCCTTTGTAGTGTTCCAACAGTACAGCAAGCATACGCTCAACAGAACCTAATACAGCTCTGTGTATCATAACAGGCCTCTCCATCTTGCCGTCTTCACCCTCTGCTGAGTAATACAGCTTAAAGCGGTCGGGAAGTTGAAAATCAAGCTACAACCACAGCATTTTTCCAAATGGTAACAGCAACAAAATGAAATGTCAAGAGATCATGAAACGAAAAATAGTGATCATCATATACCTGTAATGTTGCCAACTGATGATCTCTGCTCAATGCATCAGATACAGTGATATCTATCTTCGGTCCATAAAATGCACCATCCCCTTCATTCACCTGCGCAACATGACTAGCGATGTAACCACACTCCAGACACAATCTAGAAATTCAGGAGGCCTTACTGTAGTGCTTTAAAAAGTACAAATAATCAACCAAAACAACACCAATCACAGAATTTGACCATTCTACCTTCACCAAGTGAATGAGTAGAGAAGAAACTGGGTTAGCCACTCCAATCCAATCCATCTGGCTCAGTGTTCCAGCTAAGCCAATTATGAAAACTGTACTGACTGAGCTATTCAAGTTTTTAACCCACTTAGCTAAAAAATAAATACGCTAGAAGCCGTTGGGGAGTTGGCCCAAGTGGTAAGGGTGGGTGGGGGAATCAGTTAGGATGTCATAGGTTTCCAATGTGACCAAAAAGGAAAATCAAAAACAAAAAGCATGCAACTACACTAGTTTTCCACATGAATTTTATTATCATTAGCTGCCAAAGGAAGCATAAGCTAGATGCTTATGTGCAATTAGAGTATCAAGTAAAAGTACCTCCCAGGGCTTGCCGAACTCAATTAAAGCTTCTTTAAGAGCAGCCTCAGCCTTCTTCCATGTTGCCAAGTCTCCCATGTGGCTTTCTGGCATCTACAACATAAACGTACGAGGAAGAATAAATATGAATTTCCCCTACTTCATAGACAAGAGATAGATACACACAATTATAACTCATAGCATTATGCAGTACCAAAATAATTAGATGTAACCCATACCCAATGAGTTAAAATGTAAAATCAGACTATCAATACTATGTGATGATAAAATAAAATTAAAAATCCAAATCCAAACATCACACTCAAAATAGAAGCTAAATCTACAACAAGACTGATAAGATATTCCCTTGGAAGTATTCGTTGTCTATTTTAGATTGAAAATAAACAGAAGAAATATATAATCAAACTTCCAGCTTAGGCTGATAACTTGTGAGGAAGAACAATGACACTTTTCTACCGAAAAGTACAAAGAAAAACTAGATGTTCAGCTCTTCAATCATAGGGATCCAGAACCTTACTGTTGAAAGCTTCAGCTTAAAAGTGAATCCAAATATATTATAGGTATACTCAATAAACTCTAAGACACCCCTCACTTCATCTTTTACCTGAAACACAGAGACATTAAAATACTATAAGCAAAACGAAACCGCAAAAATACAAAAACAAAAGTAAAATGTTAGGAGCTATGTGAGTAAAGTTTAACTCACTTGGGACTCCCTGCAGAAGATATGAGCGTCATCCTGTACCAAAAAGAACGTCAATAATGCTGGGAACTGGTAATAATACTCTAACTATACAAACCTACAACATTAACATCATCTAAAGTATCATGGTGGAGAGATTTGGTGGAGACAGATTGTAGGCATCTAACCATACAAACCTATGCAAAATGCTCAATTGTAGGCATTAACCTTGGGAATGGCTCAGGTGGCTGGGGTGGCATGGGAAAATTATGTGTCTTGTAATGACATCATGAGGGATAGGATTAATTGCTTTGGAGGAAGGAAGGAAGGAAGAGGGGCGTAGTTCTAGGTTATTGCGCTTTGATGGCAGTATTTTGGGTTGTGTGGGGGGAGAGATGAGTTATGCGATCGAGTTCATTTTCGGCATCTACTTCCTCAGAGTTTAAGGGGATCTTCTTCCAGCTTATTCTTCTAGATTGGAAGGCAGTTGCTTTATAGTGCTATTTTGGCTTTGTTCTTTTCCTTGTCTGTAATTATAGTGGCCCTCTTGGCCACGGTTTCTGTTATATATGTAATCTGCTTTTGTTTCAATAAAATTTCGTTTCTTTTCAACAACAAAAAAATATATCTAAAGTAAATGCCAGGAACCCAAAAAAATAAACAAAGTATACCTGCTGGAATCTCCTGACACGTGTTAATCCAGTGAGTGCGCCACTGGCCTCATTCCGATGTAACACCCCAAAATCAGCCATTCGTAGAGGTAGTTCTTTGCATAAATATCAAACGGACACATAAGTAACAAGTTCAAGTCCTTAACAGCAAAGGATGGTCTATCACAGTTTTACCAAGGTCAAGAAAATATTGAGCAATTCAAGTGAATAATACGCTCAAGAAAGAAAGAAAAAATACCTTTATAAGAACGGTTCCTATGCTGAAACATTACACAGTGCCCTGGGCAGTTCATTGGTTTCAATCCGAAGTCCTGTTTCTCAATCTGCAATGGAACTTGACTTCGTCATATAAAAGGATACAAAATCAAGATAAACTTAGCCCGGTTCATTTACACCACATGACTATTAGATGATGATCTCAATCAATCATCTGCATTGAATTTCATACTATGATTTCCATATTGTTTTACTGTTTTAGCAACAGAGCCTTCTTCTTCATGACATTATCCAATATTTAGTATCATTCATATACACAGAACTAATAATAAATAAATAAACATTTTCAAATCTATGTTTTGACCTTATTTTTATGTTTATCCATCAATCTGTCTTCCCACTACTTGATCCCTCACATGTAAGATTACTTTTAAGCATACAGTTGCTTCAACATAAACAAACACGATGGTATCAAGCCATATAAAAACTAACCTCCACCGAAAACATATTGTCTTTGTATTTTTCAGCATGACCAGATGTTTCCCAGAGTTTCATGTTGTACAAGTTTGGTGATATAACCTACCAAAGCAAAGAAAACAATGAGCATATTATTTAAGATTAATAGGGTGATGCAACAACTGAACATTGACTACCAACCTCTTCGTATCCCCTATCTCTATACTGATGTTTTATGAACTCCATTAATTTATTATAAATCCGAGCCCCTTTAGGGAGGAAGAAGCAGCTTCCTGGGCTGCAATTGAAGAGTGGAAATAATCAAATGAAAATCATTCACTCTTGGTCACTTAAAAAAATTAAGAAATACGAACTCAATACATACCTAACTGGGTCGAAAAAGAAAAGTTCCTGATTTTTACCCAGCACTCTGTGGTCATATTTTTTTGCTTCTTCTAGCTTATGGATATGTTCCTGCAGAAAAAAGGTATGTATTTGTAAGAAAATAAGTAATTTAATAAGTATAATAATCTGACCATTACAAATTTACATGTTAACTTATGTTGAACAGGGTATGAAAAGTTCATGTCCTCGACATCATTGCTTTAATAAAATTACACCAACTTGTAATGCTTGAAACCATTGCACTTCAAGCAGCACCATTTATTTTCAGTTAACATATCTCACAAACACACCCAAACAGCTAATAACTATAAAGATAGGTGTCCACTTTCTATCAAATGTCGTGAGAGAACAGCACCACTTCTAACTGCGACATATATACTACTAGAGCTGTCAGGTTCAAGTGTGTGTGTGTGTGTTTTTTTTAAAGGGGTTCATGTTTAACAGATGACAGCAAATATTTTCAGTACCAACGCACCAAGGGATTTGGTTATTTTTATGAGTTTGCACTGATATTTTTTTATACCCAGAAATCCACCAATCCATAAAGGGAACAGCTATGCACACTTTTCCTTTTGATATCAGTTAAAGGAATTAGTGCAACAATTTGTACAAGGAACTTTAAATTTAACAAACACTCAGAAACACAGCAATAGTAGCTGATACAAGAAAAAAGATAAAAAAGACCAAAACCAAAGTTACAGAACGTCAAAAACATAATGTCACCTGCAAACGTTTTTTATCAGGATAAGATATTCCATAAACTCTCTGCAAACTTTCACGATCTTTGTTACCCCTCCAGTAGGCTGCAGAAGCCTGGGATTGCAAATTCATGAGTTGAATACAGACACTCAATACATTAATAACAAGAGATGAAAGAAAATCTTACAAACTACGGCTCTAACACACATAGAACACATACCTTCAAACATTTAAATGCTTTGACAAATGATGTATTTGGTATGTGGGGTCCACGACACAAGTCAACCAAAGGGCCACATCTATATACAGTTATAGTTTTGTCCGCTGGAAGGCCATTGATGATTTCAACCTAAGCAAAAATAAATCTTAAATCAATTTTGAATGCATGTATGAGAAGTAGTTTTAAAAAGAAAATCATTCTATTGATTAGAAACTAAACTAAGCACCTTTCCTTACCTTGAATTTATTATCACAAAACATCTCAAGGGCTTGTTCCCTTGATACTTCAATGCGTTCAAAAGGTTGTTTCCCCTGGGGAAATATAGTACAACTAACCAGTCAAGGATTCATAACAAGAAATGAAGGATCAACAGTCTCCTCCATACAACAAGTTTACATGAATTCTATTACAAGAAAACAAACAATACCTTAACAGCCTTCTCTGTCCATGATTCAATTTGCTTAAAGTGCTCATCATTCAAGCCAAAATCTCCATAAAATGCATCATAGTAGAAACCCTGATTGAATTCAATCATTCCATAAGGGAACCAAATGAGAAACCACAAAAACACATAGCAAAAACCACGAAATATATTTTAGACGACCATAAAAAGAAAACATCTTCTCAAAACTGGGATCACAAAATTTTAACTATCCTAGTAGTTGAATTGCACGTGAAGGAAACCACATACGCAAACAAAATTCCATGCAACATATTGGTCAACCAAAGGAGACAAAATATACAGAAAACATATAAAATATTATATTTAAATTAACAACTAGTACGATTATTTAAAAACCTCTTTGCTAGTGGCACACATATCGTGTCTTGTTTCAATTCTGGCACACGGACCGATGCAGAGTTTGCATCCGTACTCGACCTCAAGTGCCTGCACGGTATGGAAACTTGTTAAGCATCCGATCCAAATCAAATCAATACAGTAAACCAAAACCAAACCAAAAATCTCAGTAATAACTCTTGGTACCTACCTGTCCAAGAATGTGGGAGCTAGAATGCCAGAAAGTGTGGCGTACATCCTCATTGTTGTCGAATGAGTCCAATGTGAAGAGCCTCAGCTCAGCATCGCCCTCCAAAGGCCTGTTCATGTCCCATAGAACCCCATTGACCTCAGAAATCAAAGCGTTGGAAGCCAAACTCTTTGAAATCTCACTTGCAATTTCAAATGGGGAAGTTATCCACTTCTTGCCCTCCTTCACCTTCCCGTCCGGCAATGTAATCCTAAAAAATCCTCACTTTAGGAGTTGCTTGGTACTCACGTTAAAGGGTTTAGGGTTTAGGGTTTAGGGTTTATGGTTTACCTGATAGGATCAGAAGAGGGGAGAGACTGTCGAGCAGCACGTTGTTCTGCCTGGATGGACTCAAAGAGTTCAATGCGTTTGGGAATGACAGCCTCGAGGTAGGCTTCATCTTTGGCCTGGACCACCATGGCCGTTCACCTTTGCTTTTGCTCGAGTGGGAGGAGGAGGAGCAGAGAGATGAGTAGCGGGTCCTTCACCTATAGAATGAGATATCAGAAATTGTTCATGTTTGATTCATACGGCATCGATATGCATCCGATACGGCATCGATACGTATCCGATACGGCATTGATACGTATCTGATACTCCATCGATACGGTCACGATACGTCAAGGGGTAATTTTGACGGCAACCAAAAGAGAAGAAGAAGAAGGAAGAAGAAAAGAACTTACTTGCGCTTGCAGCTGCTGCGAATCTTCAGTTGCAGACAGGTGCTGTGCGAAGAAGACGCGGCTAACCAGTGAAGAAGATGACGTTAGGTGCCCTAATCACAATACGCACGGTTTTAGTTGCATGTTATACCTTTTTAAGTTTGATGCATTCATTTGGGCCCAGCCCAAGAACTGAAACAAGTCATATAATTTTACATATATATGTTTATATATTTATGTTATTTTAGCCAAGCAAATAGGTAAATGTGTTAGCCAAGCCAAAAAAAAAGAACTCTATCTCTAACTGGTTGCCCAGCCAGCCATGGCCTACACTCACCAATTGGTGGCTGGGCAAGAATACCCCCACCACTTGCTCGATGAAATACCTTAGTGAAGAACAGCGGCCGATCAAGGAATTTTTCAACGGAAGTGCAATTCTTAAAAGCTAAAAGCTCCACAAAAAAATAAAAAATAAAAAATATGCATCCGACTTACTTTGTATTAGCGTACTCAAGAAGAAAAAAAAAACACAGGACTCTTGTGATGCACACACACTTTGAGTGATGTTAAATTGGTTTTTTATAAAGAGAATTTTCAATCCCACTTAAATAAGGAATTTACAAAACCCAATTGAATAAGAGAAGTTTCAATTAAAACCTAGGTAGGAATTATATAAGCCCCTTAGAATAGAAGCCCACGAATGCCCAGTTTCCCCTTTTTTAATCTTTTTGTTTTTTTTTAAAACCCTTATTTAAATTGGCTTATCCATGACCATGAACAAATGGCCCACAAATGACTAGGTTTGTTTTCTTTAAACCCTTATCCACGAATGGCTAGGTTTTATTTTTTTTAAAGCAGCGCCTGGTCCAAAACGACGTCGTTTTGGCCAGGCAGTTTTTTTTTAAAAAGAGAAGTCGCGCGCTGTGTGCACAGCACCCTTCATTTGCACATTTCATCGAACACCTTCCGTGCATGAGCAGAGGTGCAACTTCAGCAGCTTCTATGGAGTTTTCCGGCGACCGGAGGTGCAGTTGCACCTCCTTGCGCCTGCACAGGTCCGCCACTGAAGAAGGCATAGCAGCACCTTTCTTGCGAAGAGTTTTCTTTTCTGAGTTGCAGAGGAGGCATTGTGTGCCTGGCAAAGAAGACAATGTCTGGCTTGTCTCGGTGCCTTTATAAACGAAACACACCGTTTTGTGATTAGCCTCCTTTAGTGAAACGGTGGGTTTAGTGTTCAACAGTCGGCTGCCTCTTGTCATTGTCGATGGGTTTAATGGGCTAGTTTTGGTTTTATCTGTTTTATGAGGTTCGGCTTCATGGTAATGGGTGAATTATTTGAAAACTTTATCCTATGGGCCAATATAATATAATAGAAGATTATCTAACAAACAAAAAAACTATTTTAACAGTCAATATAAATATATAGAAATTTATATATATTTAACTAATGTTTTAATTCGATAATGCAACGATAATTAAGGAATTTAAAACTTCTAATCTAACCTTTGCATGGTAAAATTTTAAATTTAAACAGTGTTAATTTGTATTGTATTGTATTGTATTGTATTGCATTTACTTGTGATTTTTTTTTAAATATATTTTTAAAGTTTTTATTTATGTATAGAGATGCATTTAAGGCAAGGCTCATTACATTCCCATGAATATATGTATCTTTTTGTGTTTATTAATGAATTCACTCGTAATCTTGAGTTTAATATGTAAGTTTTGCCCAGCAGACTTTCAAATCCTTGATCTGCCACTGAGTGCCGTACTCGTATCCTACCTTTTTGGAGATTTTCTGTATCAGTATATTATATCGTATCGTATTTATGTACCCGTATCTGTATCAAGCTGTATAATCATAAAGTAGGACAAAATCCAAGAATTTGTCTGGGGTATGTGTGAGTGAGAGGAACGAAGAAAGAATCACAACCACATCCAATTACACTACTAAAAAAAGGCTCAAAAGAGACTGAGTGATATCAGTCCCTTTTGGCTTCTTTAAGGACTGAAAACAGTATCTATTGTAGTATTAAGGACTAATATATATATATATATATATCAGTGTCTTTTAAAGGGCCCTCTATTTATAATATGTCACCGATTATTAAAATCAGTGCCTAATTTTTGTAATGAGTCCCACATTCCTAGCACCCAATACACGTACATCAATTCCAAATGCATCCGTAACTAACTACAGTTCATGCAACCCATGATACAATTAATTAACGAAAGCCCCCCACAGTAATTAACGAAAGCCCCCCACAGTTGTCTAGCTAGTATAGTTCATGCAACCCATGATTTTAATACAGACAAAATCACAGGTGCCAATAAAAGAGAAAATCAGTAACAAATCAAATGCACAAGAACAGAACAGAACAGTAGAATACCTTCCCTCTTATTTCTCTCCCCTTTTTCTTTCAAAGCTTCTCTTTCCTATACTAGCAACAATAACATCAAAACCAAAAATACAGCAACAGCAAAACAAAAATAGTCTAAATATCAAATACCGACAAATTAAACCAGTCCAAAAACACCAAATCAGAAACACCCAAACATCGAAAGCTTAGGGATTTTCATACCTTAGATTAAAGCCCAGAGAAGCAGAGAGATCTGAGTGAGATTGAGAGAGAGGAGGGAGGAGGTGGATCGAGAGTTGAGAGAGAGAACGAGATAGGGTTGATAGAGTGAGGAGTGAGAGTGCGAGTGAGAGCGAGAGCGAGACTTGCTTGCCTGAAGAAAGAAAAGAAAGAATGGTGCAGACAATCTAGTGTATATGTATAAAGTCTTTAGTTGGCACTGTCTTTGTGTTGGTTCGTGCCTTACTGGAAATGATGGAGGGATTTAGGCACGGTTTTCAGTTTTTCCGTGCTTTATTCTCTACTTTATTCAATTAGTCATGAAAATTATTAATCCGTATCCAATAACATTTTATAGGGACTGTTTCTATTATCAGTCTCTAATAGCATTCTATAGAGACTGTTTTTATCAATCAGTGTTAACCAAGATGTAAATAGCACTGAATGGGGCACTAATACATGGATTATATTCATTGATAAAAGACCAAATACAACCTTAATATGGCAATGAAGGTAGTGGTAACACTCCTAGACCGATTTGTTAATACAAAAATAATTTTACATCTGCGGGTATGTTTGTGTGAAAGATGATATTTTCTCTGATTTCGAAGGTCAAAATTTTCTGCTGGAAGGAGTAGTCATTATTTTGTTTCATGGGATTAGACTCTCTCACAAAGAAATAATGATTCTGATACATTTACAATGTTGCTGCTGGAAGAGCTACAATGTTGCTTCAAAGTGAACCTTTTCACTACCGAGCTGCCAGAGCACATATGAGCTGTTGGGTACTAGCACCAAATTCTTGTCAACTTCAAAAGTGCAGGTTACTAAACTAAAGCTAAATCACCTCCACAACAAACAAGAACAACCAAATAGCTCCACATGCAGAAAATCCATATAATTTCTTCTTCTTTTTTCCTCACACATGATATCATTTATCTCTCAACCAAACGAGTTGTGGACAGGACCAGCAGGAGGAAAGGCCTGTATTTTATGATCCAATCATTCACCCAGATCTCTGAGAGGCTTTATCACTCAGGGGAAGAAAATCACTGATTGTTGTGTAATGCATGAAAAGAGAAAAGACTACTTCCTACATCCATTTTTTGTCATGAAATACTAGAACTTGGGTTCACAGCTGTATTGTTCCAACCATAGTTTTGGAGAACCATTTCTGAGTAAACCACCAGAATATTTCAACAAGGAGCTGCATGCAATCACTATAACATCCAGAGAAATAATCAACACCATGCAATATGACGAAAGTTATCAAGACAGGTTTCATACCTCTGAGCAACCTCTTTTCAACAAGTGTATCGAATTTTCTTTTCAAAGCATCTCTCTTTCCGTTTTTCACGGAACTTAACAAGAGATGCAGTTCTTCGTGAAAGTTTTGAATTTTGTGAGATGTCGCCTATACCCTAGAGCGTAATTTTGAAAAGGCATCAACAATTAGAGAAATATTAACCCCAGTGTTGGGGAAAACAAGTGCAAGTTGATTTATACAGGAATACCCCGCTATTGCTTTCTAGCAGAGACTCAGAACTGGGGAAACTGCTGGATATATCACGCCCTCCCAATAGCAAAAGCACTGCTTGCACCTGTAATTAATATTCCAGAAAATCAGGCATTATTACCCCAAAAGAAACCAAGCAGCAGATTTATACAGGGTGAAGTATAGGCACTAAAGCTTGCACCATGTTTAAACCATTCCTCTGTGCAACTCACACATGAATAGACAAAAAGCAGAGCGAGTCAATCACTACGCAACTTTCCCATTTTTGTGAGAAAGAAAAATGCAAGTCAACGGCAAATGTATTTTTACAGATCCAATTAACAGTGTGCCTTTGGAAATAACTTATCTTCTTTTACCAATTATTAGAGTAATTCGGATATCTATGCTATAGTGATTAGAAGACAGAAATGCCATTTTCGACTGTTTTTTAGGTCCCCTAAAGATGGTATCTTGCTCAGGGATTAATCCATCAAAATGGCCACGTCAAAGACTACAGTCCGAAACATAATTAAATAGTACAGTAATTTTTTATTATATATCTTTTGGTTAGGCCTCTAATATTCTCTATCATTACTTAACCATTGACCTTCTGGCATAATAACAATTTTAAACTCATTCCTTTTGCCAGCTGTTTGGCCAGGATAGTATCACCCAGGTCCTAAACTTGGGAATGAATTCTCAAGTTTTCCGATTGAAAAAAATAAACAAGAACCATATCATCACATCTAAATGATTAAATGGTGCACCTTATTGCGCAATGTAACTTGCACAGAAGAAACAGCCTTTTGGTAATGCTTCCAACATGTACATATGAAAACAAGAAAGAAAGGAATTGCTGATAATTTCCAGAACTATAACGTGGACTGATCTAGCTGAAAGGGCTTAAATCTACTCATTTACTTCCCATAACTGACGGGCAACTAATTTCTATGATACTGGGACACTAGTATTAAACTATAATTTGAGAATGAACTCAAAAGGGACCAAAATTATTGAATCATCAACGGATTTCAAACTTGTCTAACCTGCTATGGAAAATTCTGTTGCTATCCAAGCCTAAGTTTTTCACCAGAAGGGAAGTCCTCACAAGTCTGCCTCTAATTAGCTATTGTTGCTAGCTAGTACGTGATTTATTCGACAAAAGAGTTCTACAAGCAAATATATACATTCAAGAAAAGAGAGAGAGATTCCTTTTGTTTTTCAATTTATAATCCTTGATTTTCCTCATGTTTCCCGGGAACCAAACAGAGAGAAACGAACCAAACGGACTCAAAATGAAATTAGCAGAAAGACGGAAAGCCAACCTTATCGGGGGTAGCCGCGGGAAAAACGTGGACCTCGCCCTCGAAGGCGATGGTGAGCTCACTGGTCCGAGAAGGCAGAGCCGAATTGCAGCGACTCATAGTTACTCCAGAGCTCATCCGAGCTTGGTCCCCTCCATTCATGGCCGCTTTAGCACCACCTCCTTCGTCATAGTCGCCTTCCAACTCTGCCGGTACATGCACCAGTTGATCTTCCCCCTCGTAAGCCCTCGCTTGCAGTGGCTGAGCGTTCACCGTCTCCATTTCTAAAGCATCACTCTTCTTCGCTCAGTTCTTTTTTCTGCAAATTTTCTTGCTTTGCCAAAGAGAAATAGATTGAACCCCTTTTGACCAAGATTTGACTCCGAATTTAAACGTTAAGCCCCAGATAAACGTGTTTAGAAAGTCATAATCACTATGACGCAAAAATGGAAAAATAATGTTCATAAAAAAAATGGAAAATTAATATTAAAAAAACATTTGTTTTCTAACTCTATAGATCCGACTCAATTTAGCACAATTTAGTAGTAGGAGTGGGCACGGTCCAGATTGTATGGGTTTTACTCTAAAATTGTTCTTCCAATCAATTTCAATAAAACTATTTGGTTCGGTTTCGTTCCACCAGTTTGGGCAATCCTTAAATCCTTTGGACATAAGCCCAATTATTTTTTCTTTTGCATTATCTTAGTCCATTTGCAACACAAATTTTCATTTTCTAGTGTATCAACCTATCCTAAAATTCAAAGTTCAATAACTAATAGAACTACTCTTCAAATTCAACATCCTTATTTAGTTATTATCCAATAAGAGGACTACAAAATAAAATGAATTAAAAACAAAAATAAAAAAAGATGGTCTGGTTCGATTTAGGTCATTTTGCAAAAGGTCCAAACCAAACCATTATAATCAATTTCAATTTCAAAACTTTTTGACTTTTTTCTTGATCAAAACCAAACCAAACCGCCCAATATGATTTGAATTGACCGGGAGAACTTTGGAAGAAAAAAACGTTCAGCACTGTCTTAAGATTGTTGGTAAAATATAAAGATAATTGCTATATTTACAAAATTTCAAAAATAAAACTTCACTATATATTTGAAATAAATACAAGAAACTAATGACAAGGTAAATGTTAAGATGAAATTGCTATATTTACTTTAAAGATGACTAAGTCTAGAACTTGGTTCTCCTTAAGACGAAATTGCCTCCTCACAGGTGCTTTTAGGATTTGTTTGGCAAACGTTTCCCAAGATACAACGATCAACTTCTTGTTGAAGTAGCACTAGAATCCCCAAGAAAAGCAAACTCAAACTTATGTATGAATTCTCTCTTACTAACTCACTATATTTCTAAAAATATAATGCTATGAATGCTCTAAAAACTACTATTGTTGGATGACAATTGGATGAATGAAATGTTGTAGGACCTTCTTTATTTATAAGCAACATGGCCTCTGTTCAGAGAAGATGTGACTGAAAAATATCAACAAATGTGTCTTTTCATGTTGCAACCATAAGCCAAGAAGTGCAATGTTTCAATTATTATGAAACAATGCAACTTAAGCCAAGAAGTGCAATGTTTCAATTTCTATGAAACAATGCAACTTTGCACATAAAGTATTATTATTTTATTCACAAACAAAATAAATAATATTGTATTTTTCCTCAGTTAAGAACATGACTATTCCCAATAGATACATACCAATTCATAAAAGTTATGTACTTAAAGTCACGAGTCCCACAATTTAATTTTCATTCAATTATTAAAAAATTGACTAAATATATATATATTATAATTTTATAACAATTCCCCACATGAATGGAAATTAGTTAAAGCAAATGTACAATGCAGACACTTGAGAGACTTCTGTTGAAAAGGCACCACATCAAGATAGGTAACTTTTGGCCTTGAACCTTCCATAGTGAAGTAAAATCGAATTTACTAACTAATCAGTGAACATGATGTCTTGAACTGTTCAGCCGTCGTGTAAATCAAAACAACATTACTCACATAATACCTTTTCATACACATTTGGTTCTAGGTTGTATACTTTAGGCCATGGACCACTCCTGGTGTTCATCAGTACTTTAGATAATTGAGCCTTGCAATTCTCATAGAAACGGCCTCATTTTGTACTGATATAGGTGACTTCCTATAAAAAGTATCCTGCTGTACTCCACTTGGTTTTCCAAGTCACATGAATCATTAAAAGCTTAACTCAACCATACACGATGCAGGGGATGGAATCCCCACAATGCTCGCACTTCAGTCACACATAACTTAGTTGTCCCTTTAAACCTAGGTCTTGGGATGTCCAGTTAGCTAGGTTGGGAGTCCATAACGGCAACTATTTAGATATAGGCTTTAGCCCCATTCCCCTCGAGAATTTGTTAACGAACTCTATCATCAAACCTTTTGTAAACGGATCTGCTAAATTATCTCTTGACCTTATATAGTCATTAGTAATTATGCCACTTGAGAGCAGTTGTCTTATGGTATTATGTCTTCAACGTATGTGTCGAGACTTACCATTATACATATTATTTTGTTATGACTTATTAATTGTGCCAACTGAGTAACCTTCTAATACTCAGTTAGACACCCCCACATTTGAGGTCCTTATAGGAAAGTCTCTAACCTTCTCATACCTTGCATAAGAGAAATTTAAACTCTTGTGAACATCAAAGCCTTTCTCCACAAAAACGTGGTGCTTATGAACCAATCTAGAAAACTTTCATTTTCTCTACTAGGAAATAGAATTCCAAATGCAACTTAAGTCGAGAAATACAATGTTTCAATTTCTATGAAACAATGCAACTTTTCTCAATGTTTCAATTTCTATGAAACAATGTAACTTTTCACCTAAAGTATTATTATTTTATTCACAAACAAAATAAATAATATTTTATTCACAAACAAAATAAATAATATTTTATTTTTCCTCGGTTAAGAACATGACTATTCCAAATGGATACATACCAATTCATAAAAGTCATGTACTTAAAGTCACGAGTTCCACAATTTAATTTCCATTCAATTATTAAAAAATTAAATATATATATAATAATTTTCTAACTGAAAGTACTGGCAATAGTATTGCAGCCATATTCAACATGGATGATAGAATGCAAATGCTACGATGATACTCTCTCTCTCTCTCTCTCTCTCTCTCTCTCTCTCTCTCTCTCTCTCTGTTCTTCCTTATATGTTCCATTGACAACGACGATGTCATGTGTGCGATTCTCACAGTGTTTGGTTGCATTGATAACTCTCAGGCCAAGCGGTCTCACATCATCGAGCTCTTGCGTAGTTACATCATTTCTTTTTGTTTTTTTAATTTTTATTTTTCATGAATTTTTATGATGATATTTTCTCAATTATATGTGCATTTTCGTGTTTGTACTTGCTTTTTTCTTTTTTCTTTATGTGTGAGAATTGTTCGCATGCGTTATATGTAGGTTAAGGCATCAAGGGTCTGATTGAAGTGAGTTGCATTGCAATGGAATTTGCTATGTTGCTCAACAACGATTGGCTATTATAGACCATGCTTCAGGAGATCAACCAGTTTACAATGAAGACAATATTGTTGTTATCACTGTACTCTCTCACTTTCTCTCTCTCTCTCTCTCAAATCGAATCTCATGAGCTCTTTTGGGAATTTGTTCATATTGTAGGGGTGTTTTTGTTCCAGCAGCCTGACGAATGGGCTTGGGTTGTCGTAAGAAGACAACGAACAAAAATTCCCCAAAAACCTGAGTTCGAAACCAAGCTCCCAAAAGGGTTTTTATAAAATCTGATGAGACTTTAGAAAAACACTCTTAGGTTCATCTCACTAACACCAAATAAGCATGATAAATCGATTAATGGCTTAGCATGAGGAGCTTGTGGCATGGGAGCAAAACCATCATGAGTTTAGCATGAACAGAGAGAGATAAGCGTGAGTATCTTACAATGAACAAAGGGTTAAAGTGGAACAAAGGAAGATTAGACAGATTTCTTTCCTAAGGGAAGAGGAAAACAAACGAAGGAGAGAATTGGGTGGCTTGAGTAAAATTCCCAATTTGTTTGACAAAGCGTGGTCAAGCCTTAGATGGGTTATTTTGCTAGGTAGAAGAAGCATGGAGGAATATGGCTCGAAATTGCTGGGTTTTGGAAGCAAGAGAGGAAGCTTGCTCTCTGGATGTGGATTGAGTGAATTTCCAGTTGCTTGACAAAGCTTGGTCAAGCTCTAGATGGGTTAGGCTGTGGATGGTTTTCTGGGTAGATGAGGCTCTCTTTTATAGGCTTGAAGAATCCTAATTTCATCTAACTTTTCCTTTTCCTTTTCATCGTTTCTTCCTACTTGATCTAATTTGGTGAAATTCTCCTATCCAATGAGCATGGGTAAGGAACCCTTTGTGGTTCCAATAGTTTGATGCAGCTGGACCTTCCCATAAGAGGGGAGGCGCCACCTGCCTTCTCTCATGGTTTTCAAGATGGAGCTTGCAGAGGAAAAAGAGATGGGAGGAGTTCTTTGTTCGATGGGTATTCGTCTCTCACACATGGATTTTCACTGGTTCCTGCCATGGTTCCTTGTTTGACCGTCTTGGAATCCTAGCAAGGATGGAGCATGATGCCAGATTTTTTATAAGGCTTTGGGCTGGGCTTGTATGTACAGTGTTGGGTTATCAGCGTGTTATCTCCAGCATCAAATGGGTTTTCGTCAAGCTGCTGGAAGTGTTTTTGACAAAGTGTTTGGGTGCTCTAATTAACATAAGGTTTTCTAAACAAGATATTGTATTCTTTCTAAGGCATTGGGTTATGTTCTCTCTCTTTCTCATGCTAGCCCATGTGTTTGGGCTCAAGAAATGGGCTTGAGTTTTGGGGTTCCCAAGCAGCCCAAAACTTCCATTTCTTGGCTCATCAATGGGCCTCATGAAAACTTATTACCATCCATACCGCAACCCACTCAAGCAAGCCCCGGGCATTTGTGTGGCTTGGGCCCACTTAAGCTTGTAGCGTGGTTGGGTGTGAAATAATAATTTCATGCTTGGCATGGCATGTCAATCGGCGTGTTTTAATTTTATCGTCCTTGAATAGAGGCATGATGCTTGATGGGGTAATTAGCATGGGCTCGTAGAGTTAGTGCTTATTTCAACTCTTAGCGTGAGAGATTGCATATTTATTTGGCATGGCATGTGGTCATGGCTTGTGCAAGCATGAATGAGGAATTTTGCATGCTTTGAACCGAGTCTTTTTCTTAATAAGGCATTATGTTGGGCCAAAAATTTATTTGGGCCCAACCCTGGATTTTTGGGCCTCAACACATATCATTTTGTTGATTGATCTGGTTTTTGTTTTGTGTTGGGGTTCTGATCAGATTCGAGTTTGATGTGTGTATTGCGTTGTTGTTTGGTTCAAAAGCAAGTGTGAGATCTTCAAATTTGATTTGTTAGTCACATGGAGGTGGTTCTGCTCTTGCGTTGTTGTCTAGTTGTTTTTGGTTTTGAGTTTTGTTTTGAATTTAGGGAGGTGGTTCTACTTATGTTTGTTTGTGAGGTAAAATACCTCTAGGCAGAGCTGGGCCAAAGAACGATGACTAAGTTGAGCTCGGCCCATGTGGTCGGGCTGAGCCCGGTGTTAGTGGTTGAGCTAGGCTAGGTTGCTCTGGAGTTCTATTTTGAGGGGGACTAGGTCGTCTGAGATGATATAAAAGGATGAGGCCACCCTTCGTCAAAGGTATGCAATTCTAAGCACTATAATTTATTAGGCAATTTGCTCTCAAACACTTGACTGACTTAAGCATCGAAGGGCCCTTGGCAGGCACCACACGGTTATCACGCACAGTTGGCTTTTCTGTTTTGCAGGTTCTGAAGGATGATTTGGTTGGTCACATGACCTAGTCCGGAAGAATTGCCCAACCTCGATTTCGAAGATGTCATCTTCTGTTGAACCAATTTTAGGCATCAACAATGTTTGTTATAGGTTCATTAATGATTATTTTTTCGTTTCTATAGAACTGGTCTTCCTAGAAACTGTTGTGCAGTTTTCGTTTTATGTACATTTGTTTAGTGATCATTTGAATTTTAGTATGAATGTGTGAAGTATATGAACTTATACAATTTTATCAAGAATGCATGTCTTTTGATTGTTTTAGTATTTTAATCATGGTTTTGCCTTTTGGTACCTCACTTATTAATAGGGACAGTTTTGCCCAAATTATGCACTACAATTTCCATTTATGTAAAATTGGTTATGCATGTGTGATCATTGGTTTTTAGTATGAATTTATACAATTCTTTCCGATTTTGGTATGTCATCATAATTTTATTTGTTCTACATTGTGGTTTTTTTTTCTTCCAATTTGGTTAAAAAGCAACCTTCAGGTATGAAACTTTCAAATCCGATTAGCTATATCTGCTTTTGCGTTGCTATTAAGTAATTGTAGAAAGGAATGAATTAGCCTAGTAACTAGTCTAGCAATCGATACCAAGTGTTGGTAGAACAATAATCTGAAAAGATAACTTATAAGTAGTCAACTGGATATCTTGGAATAAAGAGAGTTGATTGCATTCAACGAGATCAAGTATTAATGTGTGAAATTAGTTTATGAGAGAAAGTTATGTTGATTGTCGATCCTTTGAGCTTTGGGTTTTGCTTCTATTCATAGGCTCCTTGGTTCTTGAAATTGCACGCTTGGTAAAGAGCTGGTCGGGTCTGCGTCAGTTTTTTATATGCAGTTTTTTTTTCTGTTTGAATCAGTACATTGATTTCTGTACCGTCGATGGTGGCCCTATCTGTGTTCTTTAGGATGTGCTTAATTTCTCTGTTGCTTATTTCTACTTGACTAGAAGTTTGAGGATGATATGGTGTAGAGACTCGGTGGGTGATGTTGTACTTCTTCATGAGTGCTTCAAAATTTTATTGAGCCTAAATCTATGGGCCGCCTGATATTGAGCCTAAATCTATGGGTATTTAATTCTCCAATTTCGAACGGCCTAAGGCCCATTTTGATTATAAAAAAATCTATAAATAGACTTTATTTCCATTAAAAAAATAGGTCCAAACACCAAAAAAAAAAAAAAAAAAATTTAAGTAAGTTTTTCCCAAATTTGCTTTGAAAATAAAAATAAAAAACTAAAATTTAAAAATCAGTAAAAAATATAATTATTTTTTTAGTGGGTAAAAAATAGAATTTTAAATGGAACGTACATACTTGTATATATATATAAAAGGGGGCCAATTGGCACAGAAGGAAGGGCTATATTCCAGATTTCTGACCCGTTTAATAAACGAACCGTATTTGTGTTGGAGTTCTTGTTTAACACCCTCCACACGACACGACCCGTCGTCACCCCTTTAACATTGCGAGTCACGTGCAAACGCACACACCGAATTCCCCAATGCGCAGTGCGCACCCTATCCTGCCTCAGCGCAGCTTTAGCCCCAAAACCCCCCAGTTTCTGCAACTCAACACCAAAGTCTCCGGCTTCCTTGGGAGCCAATTGAGAGAAAATCATAAATACATCTTCAGATTCTAGAGAGAGAAAAATCGTACCGGGCTGAATCTATCTATCTATATGTATATATAAAGAGAGTGCGAGAGCGAAAATATTTGTAGTGAGAGAAAGTATTATGGGAAGCACCTTTCTCTCTCTACCAGCGAAGCGTTCCCTATCAACAATGTCTTCCGACCCCAACTTCGAAAACGGCTCCTCCAAGCGATCCAGGCCCCCTCCGCCTCCCCTCAGCGTACCTCCCGGCCACGTGGCCTTCCGTATGCTCTGCCACGCGTCGCGCATCGGTGGCGTCATCGGAAAGTCAGGTAGCGTGATCAAGCAGCTACAGCAGGCCACCGGGGCCAAGATCCGAATCGAAGAAGCCCAAGTCGAGTCGCCGGACCGGGTAGTGGTGGTCGTCGCTCCGAGCGCAATCCGTTCCAAGATTTGGCTGAGAACTCCAGGCCTCGAAAATGTTAATGTTGGTGGTGGTGGTGGGGAAGAGGAGATTGAAGTTTCGAAGGCGCAGGAGGCGCTTCTGAGAGTGTTCGAGAGGATTCTTGAGGTGGCGGCGGAGACCGGGGCGATTCCGGCGGATGTTGGGGTGGTTTCGTGCCGGTTTCTGGCGGAGGCAGCGCAGGTCGGGTCGGTGATAGGGAAGGGCGGTAAGGTGGTGGAGAAGATTAGGAAAGAGACTGGTTGTAAAATTAGGGTTTTGAATGAGAAATTGCCGGCTTGTGCATTTTCTACGGACGAGATGGTCGAGGTGAGGTTGTGTCTTTGCTTTTTCGAGATTTCAATTACGTTTTGGATGTAAATTAGATAAGTTGTGTGTGTGTGTTGAGCTGGTTTGAGTTTGGGTTTTACTTCAAAGGCCTGCATTTGCATTCACTTGTTGGTATTTGTGTATGATGTAGTGAATTTGCACCATTTAGCTTATGTCAAAATCCCAAATTGATGGGCTAAGTTTAGACTTTTAAACTAATTTAGTAAATTCTATTTAGAGTTATGTGGAAACTTAAACTTGTTGTGTATAATTAGTAGTTTAGCATGATTGTAGATTAAATGTGCTTGATTTCTTTGCTAATAGGACCAAAACTTTTGAGTAGCATGATATGGGTGCTAGGCTGTAGCTATGCTGAGTTACTTAAGTTGTTTGGGATTTTCAGGTTATTCTCGAGTTTTCAGTAAAAAAAAAGAGAATTTTGATTATTTTCTAACTTAAGTTGTTATGGGACTTTTAGGTTATTCTCAAGTTAAATTAGATTAGATTATATAAGGAACAGTAGTTTATGTCACTGGTGATGATTCAAGAGCTAGCGAGGAACTGTATTCAGGCAGACTGGCAGCTTGCTTCTGATGATTGTTTTGAACTAGTACTTGATACAAAGAATACATGAAGTAGAATTCTTTGTGCTTTTGAAAAGAAACCATCACTGTTATTGAATACCAGCTGAGCTGAATATCCACATCTTATTGAGAGAGAGAGAGATATATATATATATATATATATTATAATTTTATTAAACATTATTTGAGATAAGGGAAAGACCATTTGGTGGAATACTTGTTTTCATCCAAAGTGATAGCAAGACCTTGGTTTAGGTAATGTAATTTCTGGAAATAAAAATTTTGGTCAGAAATTCATTTGGAGATCTTCATGAGGGCAAACATTCATTTTCACAATTTGGCACATAAATATAAAATCAGTTTGGATTAAGTGGTGCCACTGGCATTTCAGGATCGTGGATATTTAGAATTATAATCTGTATTTGGGAACCTATGAGATAATAGTCACCTTTGTTCTCTGATTTTATCATATAGAATGCAGGTAACAAGCGCAGGATTAGTTACGAGGAAGTGGATCTTTAGAATACATTTGTGATTAATTTTAGAAGATTCTAAGGTTGTACCATGTCTTCATATAATTAGGATTTTGGTGACTGCTTTTCAAAAAATGAATTATAAAGTAGGGCTTTAAAAGCCCTAGTGAACTCTGAACTTGAAATGGCTAACAATATTTGTGAGATAATGATACTAAGTTGGCAGTTTTCGGCAATTACTTTGATCTCCTGCCAAGCACTCTGCTAAGTTGGGCTAGTTGGGTTGCCATTTGCATACTTTATTTTCACCGCCTCGCAAGCCTGTTGATTAATATCAATTTTTGAATATTGTAGAAGTCACTGGATCGAATTAGGTACCAAATAGGAGGAAAGAACTTGGTAGCTGATACAAGGTCATCCTTTTCCCTTTCAGGAGGTTCTTAAAAATTTATTCTTTTGTAGCTTCAACTTCTGACTTCACTTGCCTTTCAGGTTTGTTGTAACAGAAAATAGAACACAAAGTATTCCTTGTATTGTGTTTATATTAAGGCCTATTGATTCACTGTTTGCCTCCATTTATTGTATGTCAGTAATAAAAAAAGAATATTTATTTATTTCTCCCCTTGAATATGATTCAATCGTGTGGCAGATAGAAGGGGATATTTTTTCTGTAAAGAAAGCACTTATTGCTGTATCTGGCCGTCTTCAAGATTGTACACTAGTTGACAAGACACGGATGACTGGAAGCAGGCCTCTGGAGGCAGTTCCTTATGAGTCTTTACCTGATCTCCATTTAGATCATCTTTCACAGAGGAACTCAATGCTTACCTCTTTGCCAAGCAGCTCCATGAGTTATGCTTCAGGAGTTCGTCCACCATCAATCGAGGCTGAAAGGATCCCCACACTAGAAACAAAAATGGTACAGCAGGAAGTTACTTTCAAGATTCTTTGTGCCAATGATAGGGTTGGGGGTGTAATTGGAAAGGGGGGTGCCATTGTCAGGGCCCTTCAGAATGAGACAGGTGCTGCAATAAGTATTGGACCATCTGTGGCTGAGTGTGATGAACGATTAATTACTGTTGCTGCATCGGAGGTTTGTCATTCTAATTTTTTTCCCCTTTTTTCTATATCCGTCAATACAGGCATATTTGTTAGTAATAAGTTTTTTAATGTTGGCTTCATCTTCTATAGAGTCCTGAATCACGGTACTCGGCAGCACAAAAGGGTATTGTTCTTGTTTTCTCAAGGTCCGTAGAAGCAGGCATTGAAAAAGGGCGAGACTCAAGCTCAAATAAAGGGTCATCTCTTACTGCACGGCTTGTAGTCCCATCAAACCAAGTTGGTTGTTTGCTGGGAAAAGGGGGTGTAATAGTTTCAGAGATTCGGAAGGTAACTGGTACTGGTATACGAATAATAGGCGGTGACCAGGTCCCAAAGTGCGCCTTAGAGAATGATGAAGTTGTACAGGTGTGGTTTTATCACATTCTTCAAGGAAAACATTGTAATTATATTTCATTTAGTCCCACGTGCAAAAAATCCGATACATTCCGTTTTGTTTCCCATTCCAGTCTTTCGCGACGCTTCAGGTTTACTTCTTTTGTTAGGTCTCAACTTCTTCGCAATGATCTTCCCAGTAGTTCATATAGGAGCTATAGCCGTTTCATTCCTATTCGTTGTTATGATGTTCCATATTCCGTTTCATTCCTATTTCATCTAGTCCCATTTAGTGAAATTGGGTATATTTGGCGACCTAAAGTTGATATGAACTTGCAAACTTCTCTTATATTTAGTTATAATTTGTTCCACAGATTTCAGGAGATTTTTCAAGTGTGCAAGATGCTTTGTACAATATTACTGGTAGATTACGAGATAACCTTTTCTCCAGCACAGTAAATAATTCTGGAAGAAGGAGCAGTTCATCCATGCTAACCGATACCAGTCCTTATGGAAGACTAAGGGATCCTACTCCTATTGGATTTCAGCCATCATCATCAGTTGGTGTTAATCATGGTCTCAGTCGACATACAACTCTAACTCAAAGTATGGATCATCTTGGACTTTCTCATAGTTTAGATCATCCTTCCTCCTCACCAAGGCCATGGGCATCGCAGGTAAGGCTCTCTCTCTCTCTCTCTCTCTCTCTCTCTCTCTCTCTCTCGTTTTTGTTGTTGTTGCTGTTGTTGATGTTGATATATTGATGGGATTGCAGATGGTAGCTTCAAGGGGCATCACTGATACTGGCAGGGGTTTGACTTCGCTAAAAAGTGGCACAGAACTTGGCAGGTTAGAAAATTATGAGATCTGGCTAAGCTGCTAAACTGTAATTGGGTCTGAAAATCAAATGGATGCCATGTTAAAGCATGAGTATAGCAACTGATGATTGTCATGCACAGCCTCTGTTTCATAATTAATTGAAATATCCTTGACTGTCTTGTAAAAGGTAACCATAGACTAGGTAACTCTGTCATATTATTCTTTCTCAGACCTCACATTGTCACTTAACTAAAATACCCACTTTATTTGGTTTTAAATTGAAACTGAAAAGGTATGGAATCATGTATTCAAAGTTTCTAGTAGGATGCATTTGTCATTTTTTATTTATTTTTAACTCCATCCTTTGGCATTGGCAGTGGAAACAAATCTGCTATTGTGACGAATACAACTGTAGAGATCATAGTTCCTGAAAATGTTATTGGCTCTGTGTACGGGGAGAATGGTTCCAATTTGGCTCGTCTAAGACAGGTATATTTCATAATTTTTCCAAAGTATTGCTTCTTTGATATTATTTTAATCAAACTGTGGTCTTTGTGCATGGTGCCTTAGCTAGCGTCCCCTTTATCAAGTTTCTTGCTTGTTGGATTTCAAACCTGAAAATTACCGCTTTGGCTTTATTAACTTTGAGGGCTGCCCATGTGTACTAAAATTTATGATCAGTATATTATTCCCAAGAAAGAATTGTAGAAAATTGCAGAGGAGCGAATTGAAGTGGCTGGGAAGAACACAGTTACTTCTCTAGAGAAGAATTGTTTTTGTTCTCTGTCACTGTCTATGTCTTTGTCTCTGTCTCCCTTGTTTTCTCTCTTTTCTTGGGGGAGGGGGCAGTTGTGTTGTTATGAAGTTATCTCTCAAGGGACTGTTAAAGAACGGGGTTGCTGTGTGCCTTTGAGCGGAGTATCTTTGTAGTGAACCCCGTGAACTTTGAGGATATCACAGTTGCTACTGTTTCAAACTTATGTAGTCTGGTTGTCTGTATATCAATTTAAACTTATCCTCTTTCGCACTTTTTCCCTCCTTAAATCAGATTTCTGGTGCCAAGGTCATAGTGCATGAGCCTCGTCCTGGAACAACCGACAGGATTATTGTCATATCTGGGACACCTGATGAAACCCAGGCAGCACAGAGCCTCTTACATGCATTCATTCTTACGGGACCATCATGACCAATAGTTGGTCTCAAGACACGTTTGCAAGAGATGACTCCCAGGCCGTCACTTGGTCATCGGCTTTTGCTTTTGTCAAATATTGTACACTAAAGTAGGAAGATTCAGGGTTCCTATATTGCCAATCACGAGCTAAGGAAAGGTAAATTTTGTTCTATTGGCTTAGCAATATGTTTCATAGTGTGTTAGAGTCATTGTTCCCTGCTTTATCGTGTATTCTTCAAGTGGAAAACGTTTGACAACAGAGCCTTGCTACCATTGTCACATCCTTGTCTAAAATCTCAGGGTACAGTTTTTTGGCGACTTTATTTCAAGATAAAGAATTGCTTTTGTTAACTTAAGATTTTTCAATGAATTTACTCTTGTATCCTTTACTTTTTCTTCCCATTTCACTTATTTTTTCTTCTTTTCAATTTGGTCTTTCTAGCTTGATTCGGTTCAGATTAGAAAAACTGAAGGGTGGCCAAAGGCCCAAAGGATCAAGCAACAATAAACGTAATCAACAAAACTGAACCAAATGGGAGGCAAAGAATGTAAGAGGCAGAAAGTGAAAGTGATTGCCAAGAGAACACTAGAATTTTGGCCTAGCATAAATTTTGAAAAGAAAAAAAACATAAGAGATTGAAATTAACGTAATCAACATGCATATCTTCAAAGTTGGGTTTTTTTTATTTTTTTTGGGTCAAAATATTACTTTATTCCAAAGCAAAACGAGGGGAGGAAACACCCCTGAATACAAGAACTGAGCCAAGATAGAATTCAAGACTGGAGGACCAGGAAGACCATCCGCCACTAAAATTCTTGCCAGAGACGGTGGCTCAGCTTGAAGCTAAGATGGTAAGAGTCTATTGGGATAATCTGTTGTGACGTGGCCCACTAACGACTCCTGATCACTTTAATTAAATGTTAACACATATTAATAATTATTTTAAGTTTTAGTTTAACCATGGTTCCCAATGATTTAGGGAGAATGGAACTCGGTCCTTTAATCATTACTTTCAATTCAAATCTGTTACAGAGAATTGTTTAATAAAAATAATAATTTAACCAAACCACACCAAAGTAAATCATTGATTCGTTCAGTAATTATTAATCGGTACAGGGATTTTTCGGATCAAATATCCAACCCTAGTCATGTGTGTTTCAATTTCCTTCATCGCTGAAAAATCCAACCCTAGTTGAAAGGACCCGCCCATAATTCCTTAGAATCCGGGACGAATCCCGTCTTATTTCCGACATCTTACCGATGTCAGGCCCACTTACGAAGAATCGAGACTTTTGGCCGAAATTTAGGCAAAATCTCCCCTGTAAATTGGACATTTCCCAAATTTCTCAACCTATTAAAAACACATTTAAAATCACCAACCGACAACATGCACAAGATAAATTCATGCAATTCACATAGATGGCCTCCAACCTCACAATCATCCCCTAGTACAGGCGATATCGGAGAAATTTTAAAGATTCATACCAGCATCAAACATCCATCCAAACAGGTTTTAGACTCAACAAGACCACAAACACCTTATAACCTTAACAAATCGGTAATACTGAAATATAACCAATCATTTAATCTTACCTCGACTGGGCTTCAGGCTCCCCGACATAATTCAAACGAAGCTTAATAAAACTAATAAATAGGATATGATCCTAGTGACCAAAGTAAAGTTCAAAATCCAAAACACCGTATCTTACACAAAGTCACATAATCCTTTATAAATAATATTAATGGCACTAATGATGATAGTAACGATGATAGTAATAATAACAATAATATTAAAAATAACAAAATATAAATAGGAAGTCTCGTGTCACAGGAAACAGGCCGAGACCAACCGATAACCCGTTTTTATAACCTCATATATATTATAAAAATAATATCAACTTCCTTAATCCAATTTTCCCAAATTTGTATTCCTGGTATAGAAAATAAGCTCACAATACTCTATAAAGGCCCAAAATAATTCAAATAGCAATCAAAATTGTTTACACTTGTCTTCTATAAAATACTAAAACAATAGACTTTCGTATATAACCCGATATTACCCAAATCATATACTTTAATAATAATCATAATAATATTAATTAAAGATAAATAATAACCTTTAGAGATCCCATATCCTCATTCTCCATATTAAAACCATTTTCAATCCAAAACTCATTATGCAAGAAATTCCAAATTAGAAGAACGAAATACACTTAAAAACAAACATCCATTTATTTACTAAAAATCATAGCCGAGCCCAAGGCTTACTTTCACAACCCACCAATCCAAAATCCCAAGCTCACCCATTCCATAACTTCAATTGTCAATATAATACCCAAGAATTTCATAAGATACTATAAAACAAACTCCTAATCCCAACATAATTAGAACTCAAATAACCGTCAAGACTCGTTTACATGGTCGTTCTAATACTTCTCTCGAAGGGTGAAACTACCTCGGAAGACTCACGGTCAACCGAGGAGTCAAACTACACAATCTTGGTCAACCGGACCCCTGGGGCCCACGACCTCCGATTTCCAATTCGAAAGTTCCTACGGGTTCAACAAGGTTTAAAATACACGTCTTGAAAGTTTGGTCCGCATCGAAAGGTCGGATCGCTCGCGATCGGAGTGTTATCATTTAATGCAAACTTTAAGTTATTGAATCGGAACATCCGAGGCTCCTATTCATGATCCGCAAAATCCTACACGATCCTAGAAATTTTTAGATCAACATATATTGAAATGAAGTCGATCCAACGGTCTGAACCTATTGAACTTGGATAACCACTAATATGCGATATCCAATCGACGATCAAACGATAACCAAATTCATATCCGAGCATACCGTCGTGCTCGAGACGACATGAGGATTATTTTAGGACCCTAAGACCGGCCAAAAAGTGTCCCACGCACCGCCACACGCGCCTGCAACGCTTGGGTGTCCGAAGCGATTCTGGCGATAAGAAAATCTCCAAACCGCCGGTCAAGACTTATACCTACATGATCAACATATAGATTGGAGCAACTTTTGTTCTTAAACCTACCCCAAAAACTCACCGAAAGTGGCCAGAATCGGAGGCCGAAACTGGCCAAAACTTCCATTGCTTATTTAACCACCAAAATGCAAAAGCCAACATAAAATATATATATATATATATATATATATATGTATACTACATGTTGACTCAAAAGTAACTCAAACCACAATTTAATAATCCAATGAAACCAATGAAACCAACAAAAAAAAAATCCAGTGAAACCAAAACTCATGCCCTAGTAGTTAACTTTCTGTTATAAGGTAGTTTACTTGTTGTATTTCCTTTTCTCTCTTGGGAGGTATCAATGGCCTCCTTGTGATTTACTTGTCTTGCTCTGCGGAACTCCCTTGTTTTCTGTTTGTTGTTGCCTTTGCCTTTTCGGGCTTTCCAACAAAGTATTTTCAGACCAAAAAAAAATAAAAAATGAAACAGTCCTGAAAACTAAAAAAGTAAAGGCATGTGGGAGTAGGTGCAGGTCATCACCTTTTTCTTTGTCCATGGATTGAGTGGCTGAACACGTACAACAGGCTTGTGTATTTGACGGCAAAAGGGTTATTGTCAGAGTAAAGTTGTATCTTTAGGGTTTTGCTTGAAAAATTGATAAATAAAAAATTAAAAGATTCTCGATTGCAGCAAAAAGCTGACGGAGTTAAAAAGCTAACAGAGTTAAAAATTACTGCAATTTTAAGGTTAAAAATAAATTATTACACGTGTCTTATTTTTATTGGTGGGTACACCAGCTAGCTGGTGTACCGGGTACCTACAAAAATTTCTCCTTGGAGAGAGGTAAAGCTGTTCTCTTTCTCTAGACAGTATTAAATTTCTAATTTGGGGTTTCATTTGTTTGTGTTTTTTTTGCTGGGAACAAAGAAAATTGTGGGGTTTAAATAGAAAATCTATTTTAGTTCTTTATTTTATTTTTTTTTCAGTTTGGGATGTATTTAATGGTAGTTTGGGAAGGTAGTGGGGTTTTCTTAGAAATTGTGAAAATTTTAATTAAAAGTTAGGGTGAACTTAGAACATGGGGTGAACTAAGAGAAGTGTGGGGTTTAAATAGAAAATCTCTATATTAAAGCATAGCAGCAGATAAGTATTTATAGCTTTAAAGATAATGTTTTTGTTATAAAAAAAAATGGCATTTTTAATTAACTGAAGAATTCACGGTTGGAACCACCTTGGGTGTTGTCAATTTTGTATGGTTCATAAAGTTTAAAGCTTGGCAAGGATTGGGTTTTGCTAGTTCTTGGAGTTCTTTTCCTAGTTTCAGCTTCTTTTATAAATTCTAGTTTCCCCCATTCCCCCTACCCCGCAAAACCCAGAATCAGCACCCCGTCCCCCGATTTCTTCTCCCACATTCTGATTTCTTCTGCCCCCATATCCCAACCACCAACCCCCACCCACAGATCCATCCCCCGTCCTCCCAACCCACAATTGCAGAAACCATAATCCCCTCTCCCCCCTCTCCTCATGATTTATTTCTCCCCCATTCAAGCTCTTTGAAGAACCAGAGAAAAAAAATGAATTTGTAATTCAACAGTGAAGTATACACCTAACATGGTACTTTTTTAACAGAGATTTGGATGGAAATTGTCAAAAGCTAACGGCAAGGGTGAAGTTGGCGAATAAATTTAATACAAGGGCTAAATTGGCTAAAAAATTAATTGAGGGTGGAGTTTCGACAAGCATGATAGTTCAAGGGGGTATTCGGCAGTTTACCCTTTTTTAATGTGCATTTAAACTCAACACATTACAAGAATTAATAATCCTTCTTCTTCTTTTTTGTTTGAAATTTTTTACTTCTATTCTTGCACAAAAAATAAAAAGCATAAGACTGAATCACCCCTCCCTCTTCCCCTTCGTAGCACACCTCTCGTCGAGGTGGTCGTTCATGCAAAAACAATTAAATAAAGAGGGTAATTGAGTAAATTTGGTTAAACAAATATCCAAAGAAGATTCATATTCCAATAACATTCTTTTTAAATCAAATAAAACTTTCTTTCTCTTTCCCATGATTATTTTCATGTAATACCTACTAATTTATTCATCTCTTTTAAGATGTAACAAAAAAATGCACTGAGATATTTTCCACCTCTTAGATGAAAATACCAAGTACAATTAGCACAAAATCGAAGAGCACACAACCAATGTATCTTTGAAGAAACATCAGCAGCATGGTTTGTGCTTGTTAGATCAAGCAGCAGCAGCAGTAGCAGCAGGAGTAGCAGCAGCAGGAGCAGGAGCAGCAGCAGCAGCATCGGTAGCGCAAGCAAGAGGCTGTGCCACGCGATTAATTGTCGGCTTGACATTAGAACACACAGAGGTAATAGGGCCTTTGTCTCCAGTGTACTTGAGATCAATGTCACTCAATTCCACATTCTCACATGGCAGGCCTGGGCTGCACGCAAGCTTCACAGCAACTGGGTCGGTACAGGTGCCCTTGATGTTCTTGAAGCTAACATTACTGATCTTAACTTTGGAAGGAGCCTACACAAAACCATTCATTAATTGATTAATTTAAATCTTTTTAAAGATTAAGTAAAGGATGACTTGATTAACAAGGAACATATATATGATGTGAATAAATTGTTATAGATAGATACCCCTTTTTTGCATTCGTTCCATGGGCAGTACTCTTGGTCAATGAGGATAGGGTTACCAACATTAACCATGGTAATATCCTCAAAGTGAATATCCGAGGCAGTGCCATCTTTTGGGGAAGCAGGCCATGTTTTGATCCTCACACCATTCGTTGTATTAGTCAAGGTGCATTTCTTAATATTGATGCCAGACACGGGTTCTTCCTCTGGGTACCTTCCAAGGCTTCCAATGGCTATGCCGTGGCCTGGCCCGCAAGTAACGTTGGTCACAGTGAGGTCCTTGGTACCGTCACCGATCGAAATACAATCATCCCCAGTTCCGATGGTTGTGTCAGTGATGTTGATCCCAGTTGAACGACCGATGTGAATTCCATCTGTGTTCATGCTTTCCTTAGGTGCTGAGATGGTAAATCCGTTGATTTCAACCTTCTCGCACTCCAAAAGATTGACGTGGAAATTTTTGCTATCTTTTGAAGTTACATCCAAAATTTTGGAATTGGTGAGTAAGTGGAACCTCAAATTCTGCATATATTAAGAAAACAAATCAAACACAAATATGTTGTTATTGTCAGGCTGTGAAACTGGATCACGTATCATCAAGTCAAGAATTGATCAATGAGCAAGATTTCCAAATGCTCCTATGTGACACAAGAAGATTTTCAAGTATATAAAACAACATGGTAGGATTAAATCATCTTACAATGTGTTTAGATTTGCATTGTGTATTTTTGTTGCAATCATTGTTTTTCCAAGACAGTGCTCCTTGGCCATCAAAAGTTCCACCACCTGACAAGGTGAGCCCGTTGACGTTGTCAAAACCAATCCAAGTGTCGTCCTTCGGGAGCTGGCTGCCATCTGCTGGAGCCTGCAATGTTCCTTGGAGTTGAAACTCAATAGCAGCCTTGCAAGGACCTTTAAAAGTTGTTCCTACAAACTTGAATGTTCCCTTTGGAACAACAATTTTACTTGGTGCTGTTGATGCACATGCATCTGTCCAAGCCTTCTCTAAAGCCTAATTAACATTACCCAAATTTAAAACTGTTAATGATTTAGTTTGGCAAACAATTGTAGAAACAAATTCTAATCAGAACCGATTATGAATACAAATGTTTTTGTTACCTGGGTAATATCAGAGTCTGGCTTTCCACCATATTTTTCACTTGTCACATCTAACGCAGCAGATTGAGCTTTAGCTGTGGATGCTAACAACAAGAACACAAACATTGGCAAGACATTTTTCAGTTTCAAACCCATCTTGAGACTTTGTTATTTCCTTTTTGTTTGGAGTATGATGAAACTCCATTGCTTTCAGCCCAATTTATACTCCCATCGGAAAGCTCATCACCATTAATATTTATTTGGCCAATTAAGAAGTTGAATGCAGGTCAACCATCCTATAATTAGTAATTAATTAAGCTGCTCAGCTTTTGCCCAAATTGGAAACTGAGCCAAGAGCCATTGTAGGTAATTCATGTTCTAAAGCTGAGCAGCTTAATTAATTACTAATTATAGGATGGTTGACCTACATTCAACTTCTTAATTGGCCAAATAAATATGAACGGTGATGAGCTTTCCGATGGGAGTATAAATTGGGCTGAAAGCAATGGAGTTTCATCATACTCCAAACAAAAAGGAAATAAAAAGTCTCAAGATGGGTTTGAAACTGAAAAATGTCTTGCCAATGTTTGTGTTCTTGTTGTTAGCATCCACAGCTAAAGCTCAATCTGCTGCGTTAGATGTGACAAGTGAAAAATATGGTGGAAAGCCAGACTCTGATATTACCCAGGTAACAAAAACATTTGTATTCATAATCGGTTCTGATTAGAATTTGTTTCTACAATTGTTTGCCAAACTAAATCATTAACAGTTTTAAATTTGGGTAATGTTAATTAGGCTTTAGAGAAGGCTTGGACAGATGCATGTGCATCAACAGCACCAAGTAAAATTGTTGTTCCAAAGGGAACATTCAAGTTTGTAGGAACAACTTTTAAAGGTCCTTGCAAGGCTGCTATTGAGTTTCAACTCCAAGGAACATTGCAGGCTCCAGCAGATGGCAGCCAGCTCCCGAAGGACGACACTTGGATTGGTTTCGACAACGTCAACGGGCTCACCTTGTCAGGTGGTGGAACTTTTGATGGCCAAGGAGCACTGTCTTGGAAAAACAATGATTGCAACAAAAATACACAATGCAAATCTAAACACATTGTAAGATGATTTAATCCTACCATGTTGTTTTATATACTTGAAAATCTTCTTGTGTCACATAGGAGCATTTGGAAATCTTGCTCATTGATCAATTCTTGACTTGATGATACGTGATCCAGTTTCACAGCCTGACAATAACAACATATTTGTGTTTGATTTGTTTTCTTAATATATGCAGAATTTGAGGTTCCACTTACTCACCAATTCCAAAATTTTGGATGTAACTTCAAAAGATAGCAAAAATTTCCACGTCAATCTTTTGAAGTGCGAGAAGGTTGAAATCAACGGATTTACCATCTCAGCACCTAAGGAAAGCATGAACACAGATGGAATTCACATCGGTCGTTCAACTGGGATCAACATCACTGACACAACCATCGGAACTGGGGATGATTGTATTTCGATCGGTGACGGTACCAAGGACCTCACTGTGACCAACGTTACTTGCGGGCCAGGCCACGGCATAGCCATTGGAAGCCTTGGAAGGTACCCAGAGGAAGAACCCGTGTCTGGCATCAATATTAAGAAATGCACCTTGACTAATACAACGAATGGTGTGAGGATCAAAACATGGCCTGCTTCCCCAAAAGATGGCACTGCCTCGGATATTCACTTTGAGGATATTACCATGGTTAATGTTGGTAACCCTATCCTCATTGACCAAGAGTACTGCCCATGGAACGAATGCAAAAAAGGGGTATCTATCTATAACAATTTATTCACATCATATATATGTTCCTTGTTAATCAAGTCATCCTTTACTTAATCTTTAAAAAGATTTAAATTAATCAATTAATGAATGGTTTTGTGTAGGCTCCTTCCAAAGTTAAGATCAGTAATGTTAGCTTCAAGAACATCAAGGGCACCTGTACCGACCCAGTTGCTGTGAAGCTTGCGTGCAGCCCAGGCCTGCCATGTGAGAATGTGGAATTGAGTGACATTGATCTCAAGTACACTGGAGACAAAGGCCCTATTACCTCTGTGTGTTCTAATGTCAAGCCGACAATTAATCGCGTGGCACAGCCTCTTGCTTGCGCTACCGATGCTGCTGCTGCTGCTCCTGCTGCTGCTGCTGCTACTGCTGCTGCTACTGCTGCTGCTGCTGCTGCTGCTTGATCTAACAAGCACAAACCATGCTGCTGATGTTTCTTCAAAGATACATTGGTTGTGTGCTCTTCGATTTTGTGCTAATTGTACTTGGTATTTTCATCTAAGAGGTGGAAAATATCTCAGTGCATTTTTTTGTTACATCTTAAAAGAGATGAATAAATTAGTAGGTATTACATGAAAATAATCATGGGAAAGAGAAAGAAAGTTTTATTTGATTTAAAAAGAATGTTATTGGAATATGAATCTTCTTTGGATATTTGTTTAACCAAATTTACTCAATTACCCTCTTTATTTAATTGTTTTTGCATGAACGACCACCTCGACGAGAGGTGTGCTACGAAGGGGAAGAGGGAGGGGTGATTCAGTCTTATGCTTTTTATTTTTTGTGCAAGAATAGAAGTAAAAAATTTCAAACAAAAAAGAAGAAGAAGGATTATTAATTCTTGTAATGTGTTGAGTTTAAATGCACATTAAAAAAGGGTAAGCTGCCGAATACCCCCTTGAACTATCATGCTTGTCGAAACTCCACCCTCAATTAATTTTTTAGCCAATTTAGCCCTTGTATTAAATTTATTCGCCAACTTCACCCTTGCCGTTAGCTTTTGACAATTTCCATCCAAATCTCTGTTAAAAAAGTACCATGTTAGGTGTATACTTCACTGTTGAATTACAAATTCATTTTTTTTCTCGGGTTCTTCAAAGAGCTTGAATGGGGGAGAAATAAATCATGGGGAGAGGGGGGAGAGGGGATTATGGTTTCTGTGATTGTGGGTTGGGAGGACGGGGGATGGATCTGTGGGTGGGGGTTGGTGGTTGGGATATGGGGGCAGAAGAAATCAGAATGTGGGAGAAGAAATCGGGGGACGGGGTGCTGATTCTGGGTTTTGCGGGGTAGGGGGAATGGGGGAAACTAGAATTTATAAAAGAAGCTGAAACTAGGAAAAGAACTCCAAGAACTAGCAAAACCCAATCCTTGCCAAGCTTTAAACTTTATGAACCATACAAAATTGACAACACCCAAGGTGGTTCCAACCGTGAATTCTTCAGTTAATTAAAAATGCCATTTTTTTTTATAACAAAAACATTATCTTTAAAGCTATAAATACTTATCTACTGGTATGCTTTAATATAGAGATTTTCTATTTAAACCCCACACTTCTCTTAGTTCACCCCATGTTCTAAGTTCACCCTAACTTTTAATTAAAATTTTCACAATTTCTAAGAAAACCCTACTACCTTCCCAAACTACCATTAAATACATCCCAAACTGAAAAAAAAAAATAGAAATAAAGAACTAAAATAGATTTTCTATTTAAACCCCACAATTTTCTTTGTTCCCAGCAAAAAAAACACAAACAAATGAAACCCCAAATTAGAAATTTAATACTTTCTAGAGAAAGAGAACAGCTTTACCTCTCTCCAATGAGAAATTTTTGTAGGTACCCGGTACACCAGCTAGCTGGTGTACCCACCAATAAAAATAAGACACGTGTAATAATTTATTTTTAACCTTAAAATTGCAGTAATTTTTAACTCTGTTAGCTTTTTAACTCCGTCAGCTTTTTGCTGCAATCGAGAGTCTTTTAATTTTTTATTTATCAATTTTTCAAGCAAAACCCTAAAGATACAACTTTACTCTGACAATAACCCTTTTGCCGTCAGATACACAAGCCTGTTGTACGTGTTCAGCCACTCAATCCATGGACAAAGAAAAAGGTGATGACCTGCACCTACCTCCCACTTTGCCTTTACTTTTTTAGTTTTCTTTTTTTTTTTTTTTTTTTTTTTTTTTTTTTTTTTTGAAAATACTTTGTTGGAAAGCCCGAAAAGGCAAAGGCAACAACAAACAGAAAACAAGGGAGTTCCGCAGAGCAATACAAGTAAATCACAAGGAGGCCATTGATACCTCCCAGGAGAGAAAGGAAATACAACAAGTAAACTACCTTATAACAGAAAGTTAACTACTGAGTTTGGTTTCATTTGTTGTTTTGGTTTTTTTTTGTTTTATTTTTTTTTTGTTGGTTTTTTTTATCATGTTTTTTTTTATTAATTGTGGTTTGAGTTACTTTTGAGTCAACATGTAGTATACATATATATATATATATATATATATATATATATATTATGTTGGCTTTGGTCCAGGTTACTTTTGAGTTACTGTTTCATGAGTGTTGGCTCATTGGATTATCATATTGGATTTGCTCCAGGTTCTTTGAACATTGGGGGTTGCCTCCCCAAACATCATATGCATTGGCTTTGCTCCAGCATCGTTTTTTAATTTTTTGCTCTTTTTTTTTTTTTTCTTTTTTTAAATTACTATTGCAACATATTTGTACAGTAGAAAAAAAAATCATATATTAGTGGTTTGTGCAGTTTTATTTGGATAAATATTTTCTTTCTTTTTACTGCTTCCTATAGTTATTATCATTAATATGTTATATTACCCTCTAATCTACTCAATTTATTGATTTTTTTTAAAAATTTATTTTTGTGTTATATGCTACGAAAATTATTTCTTCCTATAGTTATTCATTATCATCTCACAAAAATTATTTCTTTCGTTGAATGATGTAGTGATTGATCTCGGAAGTGATGAAGAAAACACCAAAAGCAACGATCAAGAAAAAAATCCAACATTTGGGAATCTTGAATAATCTTTCGATGAAAATTTGTATGGGAAGATTGTGTACACGAGCAAGAAGCTTATGATCTCTATAATGAGTATGGATGACAAATATGGAGTTGTAAGACAACTTAATTTTGTGTTCAAAAGAAGGTTTTAGAGAAGATAGTGACCCTTGTAAAGAGAAAGCAATTGATAGATTAGAGACCAGAATAGGGTGCAAAGCCAGAATTCGATTTTCATTAGAAGGTGATGTGTGGAAAGTTTCTACCTTTGATCCTGATCACAATTATAAGCTTGCAAGACCAGATGAAAGACAATTTTTGCAATCAAATCGTAAAATATCAGAATCTCGTAAGGGTGTGATTAAAACCATGGCGAGTTCAGGTATAAGAACTTCAAATACGTACTCATATTTAGCAGAAGAAGTACGTGGATCTCAAAATGTTGGATTTACAAAGAAAGATTGCTACAATTTTGTCAGTAGGGAAAAAATGAATCTACTTGACGCAGGCGATGCTAAAATTAAGCCTAGTGAATAAGAGAATTAATAGGTTTATATATTTGGATGTCAATGTTTCCAATCCAAAGATACAAAGCAAACCAGATAAAACAACTGCATTTCACCTTGAAGCTTAAAGAGAGTAGAAGTGTAAGTTTGATCAATGCTCAAACCCAAAATATCAGTGAATTACAGTTACAAAGAGTCTTTTCACACCAGATATCACAATTCAAGCTGTTTGGCAAAAGGTTAGATCTCAGAACCTGCAGATGATTTGACAGGCAAAGTCAAATCAAAATGTAGCTACAAAATATTTACCACCATGTAACCATACTGAACACTAGAAAGCCCAAACCATATTCAATCAGCCAACTTGACACCCCAAGAAAGGAAACTTACCTGTGACCCGAATTCCTACAAAACCGAATGAAGAAATGCATTGCCATAAGAAAATGCAAAGAGAAAAAATTGACTAAATGAATAAGAAGCAAAATTGACTAAAAGGCATGCAGAGCTTCAATGGCCGCAGCTCTGCTCAAATCAACAAGAGCAGACCCATTCTCCTTTGAATCCGAAAAGGTAAACCCAACAATTTGTTTCACCTTCCTCTAAAACCAAATCAACATAACAAGTACAGAAAATCAACAAAATACAAAAACACAACTGGACTAAATACACACACATACAAGAAGATGAGAAGACCAATAACCATACCACTATTGGAGCAAACCCCTAAGAATCCAAAACCAGTGCTCTCTCCAATCCCAAACCCAACATTTCCAAGCACACCCAAAACCCCATCAACTCCTCACCCAACCCTCACTCTCTCAACTTCTAACCACACCCACGTCCTCAACTTCCTCAAAACCCATATAAAAAAACCCACCATTTTGACCCCAATCTTCCTCAATTCTCTCTTTTGTTCAGATTGTGCTTTGGATTTTAACAAGGGAGAGTTTGATAAATTTGGAGAACAAAAAGAGAATTGTGAAATAAAAAATGGGTCGAGACATATTGTACCTGTTGGAGAGACAGAGTTAAATTGGCTTTCTGCAGAGAACCAAATCATGTTGTACCCGTAGATTCTGCAGAAAACCAAATCAATAGATGATTTGTGCTCCTGTTGGAGAGACATATGCAGAAAACCAATTTCGACCCATATGCATAAAATGATTTGTACAATTTCGACCCATATGCAACGAAAGCCTAATGGAAGGACAGAGTTAAGAGGCTGACAAAGTTAAAAAGCTAACGGAGTTAAAAGTTACTGTAATTTTAGAACTAAAAATAAATTATTACACGTGTCTTATTTTTATTGGTGGGTACACCAACCAGCTGGTGTACTGGGTACTTATAAAAATTTCTCCTCTCCAAGAACTGTAACTGGAATTCTAACACTTGGGTATTGTTGAGAGAGAGAGAGAGAGAGAGAGAGAGAGAGTTTGTAAACAGGAAGTTGGAAGGAGGTTTCTAAAACTTAATATAAAGAGTGGTAGGGTGTGTGAGGTGTATAGATGTACTAGGGTTAATTATTAAGTTGGATGACCTTTTTTTTCTTTTTACACAATAATAAAACTTAGATATTTTCTATTTAAACCTCATACTTCTCTTTGTTCACCCCATCGTCTAAGTTCACCCTAACTTCTAATTTATATTTTCACAATTTCTAAGAAAACCCCATTATCTTCCCAAACTACCCTTAAATAAACCCAAAGTTGAAAAAATAAAAAATAAAAGCGTCTTTCTATTTCAACACCACTATCTTCCTACTACAAACTATAGAAAAAAGCATATATCTAAACTAAATAATGGGGGAAAAGATGAAGAAGGCCCTTATTTTTTGAGAAGAAGATGAAGGTCCTAGACTAAATAAAGATTTCTAAATTAGAAATTAATAAGAAGATATTTATTTGCATTGTAGATAAGAAGGTGCAGCGTACCTTGGTAAGAACAAATTTCACTTACACAAAGATACAGTAATCATCTACTATTTACTTACACAAAGGTACAATAATCTTCTACTGTTTACAAATTTAAAGTGCATATGTTTTGTACCACAAAATGAATATTTTGAAGTGGAATATTCTTGTCTCTTATGCAGGCAAGAAGGTCACCAAAACCTTGAGAGCCCAAATCTGGTTTTAGATGGGGAAAAAACAGAAAAAGGAAAAAACACAAATTTGCCTGCAAAAATCAGCCCTCATATGCATAACCCCAAAGAAACAAAAATAAACTAACTCCAAGACATAACTCTTAATAAAATCGTTGCAATAATTTATACACAAAGCATACCTTTCTTTCCAATAAAGGGTTTAGGATTTAAGGTTTAGGGTTAAGTACCCATGTTTTTACTACGCTAGAGGATTTTGTATTTTTCTAAAACTTAATATAAAGAGTGGTGGGGTGTGTGTATAGATGCATTAGGTTTTAAGTATTAAGTTGAATGACTTTTTTTGTCTTTTTACACAATAATAAAACTTACAGCTTAATGATTTAAGTATTGGGGTGAACAAAGAGAAGTGCGGGACCATAACCAGCAGCTAGAACACATTGAGAGGATGAAGAAACATACTTACTTTGCAAAATTTGGTCACCAGAAACGTCCGAACGAACTCCGTGAAGTTATGGGTAAAACCGGCCGGATTTTCGTGAATTCCAGCTAGATACGGCGGCGGATGGGGCTGCGAAGGGTCGGGATGAGAAGGCGACGTCGCTTCTGTTCTTTTGGTACCAACCTTGTCGAGTTTGGTGGTCGGAGGTGGCGGCGATGGTGACAAAACTAAACGGATGAATAGTGTCGGGGAGGGGCCTATTTTGTGCGAATGGAGAGGGAGAGATCGTTAGGGGAGAGAGAGAGAAAGGAGGGAAAAATCAGATTTTTAATAACCCACTTCAAAATATTTACGATTATGCTATTGAGCTTCCGTAGCTCGTAACTTCTTCGTTTCAACTCCAATTTGAGCCCACTATATGTCTACGGACTCATCTCGACATGATCTATACAATAGTATCATACATTTCCCCAAAATCCTTCCGGGTTAAAAAGTGACCAAAATGCCCCTACCCTTAAGGGCAAATTTGTAAATTCATACTTAAATTAATTAATTAATTTAAATGGAGGATTTAATTAGGATCAGGGTGTTGCACTAGTCATGTGTGCTTCAATTTCCTTCATCCGAGCACAAATGAGTGAGCACATGAGATTTGGATTATGGATGTGCGTGGCTCTAAAACATTTTGTATGAGCAGTTAATTTGTACAATCAAGTTGGTTACATAAGCTAGACAAACAAGTTCCTACTTCTCTAGAAAAGGTAAGATAATTCAAGAGATGTCCAAAGTCTCTTGTCTGGTTGCATTACCAATCACACACTATGAAATTGAAAAAAAGTCATGCGGAAATCTTGTTGCATTCAAATCTCTTAAAAAGTCAGAGATGGAAAGTAATTACAAACAATTACCTGCTGGTGCCCTTTCACTCTGGTTTCAGTTTATCTCAACTTATTGAAACCAACACTTTGATAGTAAATAAAGGTAAGCGAGAGCAACTGCCAAGCATGGGTCTCAAAAGGATTTTACAGTCTTTCACACACAATACAACATGATATATAAGAGGACACGCAATCGAAAAAGTGCAGAAATCTTCTAACTCGTCCCAACTGCATCAGTTGCCTTGGGTGCTGCTGCTGCTGGGGTTGGTTTAAGTATGATTTCCACATTGTCATGGACTCCTTGCAGCAGTAGCTCACCTTCGTATGTGAGAAATTTCCGCTTCTTTGCCGCTCTTAGCGTCCCAACCAATGCTTCAAATATGTTTGCGCATCTATCATCATTAAATAGCACCCCGAATGTGACCTACAGAAAATAAACCAAGTTTCATAAGCAGTAGGAAAGCAAATATGAGATATAGAAATATTGAAGCGTAAGGTATTGCAAGAGGAAAAGGTTTGTTCAAAATAATTAAAAATCAAGGACAGAGGCATGGAGAAAACCAGACCAAAATAATGTCACAGCAGAAATCTCTCAGGCTAACCTTAAGAATACTACCAAATAATACATTCTATGTTATCAAAAACTGAAAACCATATTCTCCAACTTCCTTGATATATGTTTCACATTGAGTGTTGGTGTCGCGTGCGTGTGTGTGTGTGCGAGTGTGTGTATGTTTGCGCACACACAACCACGTACATGCCTGATTGAACTTTTGCAGCCACACTATGCCATCAAGTCTTTTATACTTTATGAGGCTATTGAACAAAAACATCACCACTTGGCAGGGCAAAGTGAAGCTTTTGGGTCCTTGACTGAAATAATAACTACTAGTTTCTCAAGTAAATGTAGGAGGAACCAAATTAGAATTCTAATGCACAGCTTCTTCCACTGGTCCCTTATCTAAGTTTCCTAGATGTAAGCCACATCAGCAGACCAGATAAGCCTGAAGATATATTAACTTCTGAACGAGCTGCATCGTAACGCAAGGATTTAACAACATATCAAACTCCTTTGGTATTGCAGAGGTAACTTTAAGTATGATAAACATGCATACACTATAATTGCTTGCTTTAATCCAGACCAGGTCCGTTGCTTTTTCTCTCTGTCCCTCTCATGTGGTAAATGGGAAGAAATTTGTACAACACAGGATGCAGAAACAAAGAGAACAATCTAATACAGTTCGTTTGATGTTCTACTAATCACAAAATCTAAAACCTAATATATGCTTATCTGTCACAGTTTTTCAACTTATAATAGAATTATCATATTGTTAACCTCTTTGTATTGAACCCTCGTCTTCAAAGTAACCAGGTTTACACATAGCAACATTCTTGTCCCAGAGAAAATAATCACTTCAGCGAGAATGACTTTGTTTCTAGTATTTTACCTCACAAAGGAAGCCCAAGAACAATTAAAATAAAATTGTAAAACCACTCCTACATGGAAATGGTCCTGAACTGAAAGCAATTGGAAAGGGAGAAAAAAAACTGCCATCTTCAACCGACAAGGATCAAGTATATCTACAAACTCCAACACAAGAACCAAACATCTTGAGATGAATCTCAAAGAAAGTCTTAATGCACAATGTGTATTAACAAGGCAATCTGATCAAAAACCCAAAAACTCAATCAATCAGGTCAAGCAAAACTGAATGAGCAGAAGTATTGATTTGATTGATGAACTTTGTTGTTATGATCAGTTACTTAGCCTAGATTCACCACGAAATTAGAAACTTGAAAAGAAAAAAACTGAACAGACTCCAATAACACAAATGGGCAGATCTTCCTCTATAAAAAAATCCAAAAGTCTACTAAAAGATTACAGATCCCCAATTGACATGGTCCGACCAATTTTAGATCCAGATAAAAATCACAGTAATCACCAAAGCCTTTATACTTGTATTTCTCAATTTGGGTCGAATTCTAAAGCATCATTACATATCAACACTGAGAAAAAAGAAGGGAAATTGTCTAACATTATCGCCAAAATAAACAAAACAGAGTCGGCAAGAGTGTGTTTTTCTGTGAGGTTACCTTGTAAGAACCATCGTCTTGGACCTTGCCAAGCCTTTGGATTTCTTCTTTCAGACGCTCGACCTCTTCTTCTACATTCATGGCTACACTTGTCGAATGTCTTCCCCGAGAAGTAGAGCCTTCTATGTGTTATGATGGGCTTCGAAAAAAGGAAACTTTAGCTAAAAGAGAATGTGAAGCGAAGTCAGAAAATAGGATGACAAAGGACCCGCCAAAGCAAAATTATGTGGTGTCATTTTTTATTTACGAGAAAAAGGAAAATTACAAAGCAAAAGCACGCGGGCACGCATGTCCAAAAATATCAAAATAAAAAGGAGAAGAACAAGCCAGAGGCAGACCATGCCTCCAAAAATTATGCGGTGTCATGTTTTTAGCATTTGGATGATTTTTCTACATATGGAATATTCAAGTAGAGGATTCGCATCCAATTGTTTAATCTATTTTTCAGATAAGGGAACAGTCTTGGGTAAATCTAATGTTAAAGATATGGTCCATATATGGCATCTGAAGGGAAAATAATGAGTAGGGATTTTCTAAAATCCCATGTAGCTATGAGAAAACTAATCATTTAGCTCATGCATATTTAATATACAAACATAATGAAGCGGAAGCAAGGAAATAGCTAAAGACACATGCTAGTCTCATCTTAAGTCCAAATCTTTATAGGTTTATGAATGTATGCACCATTGACACTAATATCACGTATTAAAAAGAATGTAGAAAGTGAACTTACCATTGGAGCAAATCTTGAATCCAAGAATGGTATTCAAGTATAGGGAATGATTCCTTAGGTGTTGATTCTCCACTTTGTTCTCAAAATAGGCACAATGAGGTTATGCCTCCCCAAAGAGTCTTCACCAAGGTAGAATGAGAATAAGAAAATAAGGAACTAAGAGGAGAAAATGGGTGCTAGCCTTTCCTTCCTCTAGGTGGCCGGCCAAGAGAGAGCAAGATAATATATGCTTGTTCTGTAGTACCTTGGTCATATTATATATGAACCCATACTTATTGATAAGCATATGAACCTTTCATTTCCTTTAAATTTCCTTTTGAAGACGTTCTCACTAGGTGAAGGCAATTCTCCTTTTGACTTTGAATGGGCTCCCACTTTTCCTTTTGAAATATAGCAATTTCTAAAATGCTTCTTCAATATACTATTTGTCTTGGATGTTATTCATCTTTTATGAATAATCTGGCTCCTTGATTGAAGTTCATACTTCATGATTTTATTATGATCAAGAAAAGTAGTTTTTAACTTTCACCATTGCTACATGGTTGGTGTATCACACAATTGATCAACTTCTTGGAGCTCTAAAATGTGGTGAGTTGATAAATGGGGTTGAATTGTCACTTTGTTTGATAATTCACTTGTGATTTCTTATCACTCATTTCACTTGTTTCTCAACAAGCATCTATTAACTTCTTTAATAGATTTGACATCCTTTAGGTGATTTAAGATGTCCCACAAGATTGTATATCAAACTATAAGGTTCTAAGCTTTACGTTTGAGAAACAATTTCAACTCTCATTATCGTTCAATTGGACCTTTCAATATTTGTCATCCTTAGGTCAAAGATTCAACGAATCATATCTCTAGAATATTCTCTCTTCCTACTAAGAGTAGAGATTCATTGTTGTACATTCACATGCCTTTGTGCACATACTAAGTATCCTAAGGAACACCTTTAAGTCACAACCTTTTGATACGACTGTATAGTGCTCTCAAAGACAAACAACCCATACACAAGACAACCGTGATGTCTCAAGTCTAAGGACTAATTTGCATTATCATAACTTAGAATTCTTTGTTTGACACTTGTAAGTAAGACTTCCATACAAGAATTCTTAAGTTGATCGCATTCAGTGAACTTCATCTCTATAGAGCACCTACACACCTATCTCAGTGTCTCTACACAAATGACTTGAGACTAGTCATCCTCCTAATTGAGCAGACATAGTGTGTACCAATCTTCGCAGTTCACTATTGTCCAATTGATGATTCTATGACTAGAAACTTTTAGGATACGATATTCCTATGATGGAAAGGTCTCTTGAATCTAACTTCTTTACATTGCTTTCCATTTATATCTTTATCCATGGACTTGTTACTTTGTGTACATTATGTATCTTAAAGTAACATTCACGCCCATTTTGTTTAGATTAATTATATTATATTCATAGAGTATTCCATTTTATATTGGCTTCTAGGGCATATATCTAATACCCTCACTATAGAATTTTGCATTAAAGATGCTTGTAAACAAGTTAGATTAAATACTAATTTGCATGTGTGTTTGGACCAAAAATGGAAAAAGCCCATTTAGGGATTTTTTTATTAATATTTGAATAGATTGGGCCTTAGTCATAATTGTAAAAAAGCTCAAGCCCAATATCAATATCAGCTTGATTGACCTTTTTTAGTTGACTTTCGAAAGAGACGTTGATTAATCTTTTAAACATACTATTGCTTGGATAAAGACGCGAAGCTTTAAACGAAAAACCAGGTCATGACTTCGACAACTGGAGAATCTCAGGCGATGAAGGAACTGCATTAAATGCGATTTGAACCACTTGTCTTGGCCAATAGCAACCATTGAGCAAATCCCAAGCAACCCAAAGATCGAAGCGCTTAAGTCCATATCTCTGCTTACAGCTCAATAACTAGCAGTTCTTTCCAAAATCTTACTAGTTACATGCCAACTCAAAGGATTAGAAACTCTATAAATCGATGGAGAAGTCATCAACAAAGAAAAAACTAAATTCAACTTTTCTTCTCATAAAATCACTTCAAACTCGATTAGCACTTGATCTCTTATGAACTTAAAACAACTCTCTTGCACCAAGATAACCAATTGACAACTCCTGATTGTTATATTTTTAGTTTATTGCACTACCAACACTTGGTATCGATTCCTAGTTGCTAGGCCTTGCTTATTTATCTGCACCAGTACTTTAAATTATCTTTTCACATACTATCATTTACTTTTAAGTTATAACCGCAATAAACTGCATGGAGAAATCTTCAGTTTAAGATTGTTTCTTGCTGTTTAAGTTATTTAAAATCATGATTGCAATAGGCTGAATAGAGAATTCTTCAGTCTAAAACAGTTATCTGTCGTGAGATAAACACTGACAATAAGTTGAATATAGAAATCTTCAACCCAAAGTCATGTTTCCCAATTAATTTTCTTATCCTGTCTTTATTTATCTTTCTGTATACACATTCCTACCTCCATAGGACTTAGAACAAGCCAACAAATGACAAGTAACTTCAGCCCGATTTGAGAACTGACTAGTCCGACAAGGGTAATTCCAGCCTGATTTGGGTTTGATTTCATGGTTTAATATTAGACCGGCGCACAAGATAGAATTATAAAGTCCTTAACTATTACAAGGCATAGAAAAGAACTAATCTGAGCCAATTCCCCATTCATATCACACTTGCTTGATTATAAATCAGATTAAAGCGCAAACACTCAAAGAATCCATCTTCACAAATAACAGATCTATTTCTGTTGGACTAAGCCAAAATCCAGTAGTGGCACACCTATGCAAACAACATACTAAATTGGATCAGGGCTTTTGACTAAGTCCTGAAAGCCAGCCCACACGATCAACGACCCAAAGAGGAAAGGTTAGAACATTGTTCTGCGTGCCCAGCTCAATACCTTTTCCTCTCTAGGTTGAACAGTGTGTGTTTTATTTTCACAAAGAAAGTGCTTAAAAGATCACATTATTGTATCACAATTCTAATAACGATGAGACCTACTTGCCCTACCTATAAATGAGGCTCTGCGGGAGTTGATTTCTTTGAATGACGACCTTTCGCCCAAAGTACAGGAATTGGAAGTGGATCATCTACTCCAATCATGATCTTCCTAGGGGTCTTAATGCCATAGACATCAAGGTTGATGCTTCCAAGGCCTCGTTTGGTTCATGGGGAAAGGAGGCTTGGGGATGAGAATTCAATTGTTTTCCCATGTTTGATAAGTCCAGGCATGAGGAATCATTGCCTTGCACATGAGAAAGTAGGGGGGAAAGTGAAGCCCTTCTTCCCCCTTGGGTTTTGTTTTCCTCATCATGGGAAAGTTTGGGAAAATGAGCCAACATTAATACATATTTTTCATGACCATATTGTCCCCATTAACAATGTAGAATTACAATATAGCATTAAATGCACTAATTTTTATTATTTTTTATATGGGTATAATTGGAAAATTAAACAAACTTTGTTTTACATTCCTACACAAACCAAACATGTGAAAGGAAATAAAGTGGTATTTCTTGGTTACTTTCTCATCCCTTAGGAAATGACATGGCAAATCTGTTCCGTGAACCAAACGGGGCTCAAGGGGACAAGGAAAATGCTTAGGATTACCACATTATTGTACTGTTCAGTGAAAGTTCTGTCATACCTGAAATTTTAGAGCATCTATCATGTATTGGATTAGGATTACAAAATGCAAAGGCATGCTAGCTCACTAGTTTATTTTTGTTAATCAATCTTTTACTTTGCAGCTTGAATATGGGAACTTTGGCACTTGACAATGAAAATGTAGGCTCAGATATTTACATTCTTTTTGGGTCTAAAGGAATCTGCCGAAGGAGTATTGGGTAAGAGTGTGTGTGTGCGCGCAGAGTTTTCCACATTTTGGTAAATTTGCAAACAACCACTCATTCTTAGTTTACAACGTTGCGCTTTATGGTATTCCAATGACCTGATTATAAAAAGGCAAAAAGTACCCAATGAGCAAAAATAGATCAGGAATGAAAAGGCAAAGAAACATACAACCTAAACTAGAATATCAGCATAGAAATCAAAATCTTTGACAAAATTATCACTTTTAAAAACTCGATTTTCGCAGGAATCAGTGCACGTATGGAACTGTTTTCCAGGAAAATACACATGGATGTCGACGTCATCAAAGTGAGGGCTCTTTGGACAGACACCAGAGATGATATACACATAGAGAACTCTTGTTAAGATCTAATTTACAAAAACTTGATATGCTGTGAATCCTAGCATTAAAAAGACATGTTACACCTTAATAAAGCAATCCACCGTTGCTCATATGATCCTCTCCACAATCAACGTTATTACTCCATCGTGAAGCTTCATTAATTTCCTTCAGGACACTGACACCTTCTCTTGCCAAGATTTTGATACTCCATGAAGACTCTAAATTTGTGTATCGGTCAGCAATTGGAATTCTTTGTGTTTATAGAAGCTGACAGAAAGCTTGACTGCTACTGACCTACCACCAAGTTCCAATAGTACTATCTGGGAGGCCTCTCCAGTGCAATCCAACCAAACTTCCCTTTCCGAAAATCCGACAGCACTCGAAATGCTGCTTGATGACTATCCCCATTAAACATGTGAACCGCAAGCTTCTGAACAAATCTACAATTTACAGAATTAGCAGAGATTAGAACAATTCAAAAGGACTACTTTTCATGCTTCAAAAATATTCCTTAGCCCCAGATTGCACTCTTTGGTGGTATTATATAGGATCACTTATATATATATATATATATATATATATATATATATACTTGGTTGTCAGAATCATGAGAGGAAAATATTCTTAAGCCAAATGAAACCATAGATTCAGAATAGAAACTCAATTGGCACCAAGATGATCCCTACGTTTTACCACAGTGACCATCCACATCCATCTTGTATCGGCTGTTAAGAGCCTTTACACCTGAGAAATTGAGAATGATTAGAGAAAGAAAAAGAGAGATTAGAGGTTGTCAATAGTCCCCATAAACTAACAGATTTTTGTGATCCTAACAAAAGTGGTACAAGGAATGGAATGTAGACCGAGTAATACTGTATTCCCCTTGTGCAGGGTGTGATCATTTAACAGGAATTTCCAAGGTAATGACAACATTGACAAGCACCGTTAGGCATTCAGATAGAAGATTGAGTTGACAAAGAAATGTGATACATACCCACTGATGGAAGCCTCGTTAGCATCTGGACAAGAACTGCAGCAATATCAGCAACACCATAGGATCTCTCTCCAATGTCATCACAAATAGCAAGCTTTATTGCTGCTGTCTGATCACTAATCCGCATTGGGAGAATACCAGGAGAGTCTAGCAATTCAAGATCTTTCCCAAAATGAACCCACCTTCCACAGGCACAAGAAGATACATATAAGGAAAAATTACATTGATGTCGTGTATAACAGGGAGACATAGTATGTTTGTGTCAATATATGGCAAACTTCAAAATTTCCTCAATCTATCATATTTCTAAGGCACTTGAAAAGCGATTACAATTCAAATTTACAACATATTTCAACAATTCTCTTTTAAAAAATTTCAAAATCTAATGAAAATTAGAGGATTTTAACTTCCAGCAAAAGTCATTTATCCCCAGTCCCAATTACATCTTAAATGAATATCGAAGTAAAGGGAGAAGAAATTTATACTTCAATTCTCTTGTAACTCCAGGTCTTGGAGCTGCTGCACACATTCGTCGCTTCAGCAAACGGTTAATCAAAGATGATTTCCCAACATTTGGATATCCAACTATACCAGCTCGTACCTGTTTGTATAAAGGAATTTTTATCAAACTCATAACTCTCAAATGAAGCATCAATTGATAGCTGCATTATATTCTTTGGATTAAATTAACATTAAAGTTCTCCATTTACTTCATTTATATAACAAAGAATTATTCATCTAGGGCATAGTTTGGCTTCCAAAGTACACCTAAAACCTCTACAACATGCTACAGAAAAAATTCATAAAATTCGATAAATTCCTAAAATAAATACTCATACCTCACACTGTGACAACTAAAGTCATGATATTTTCAATCAAGATCATTTATAAGATAAAATCATATATGAATATATGGTCCTCATTTACAGTTTGCAACACTAAGCAAGACAGAACATTACCTTAGTTCCTAATGGTTGTAAGTTTGTAAAATTGAAATGCCAAAACTAAATCTAGAAAGAACGGATAAGGAACCGACCGCACGTGGGAGAAGTCCTTTGGCTCTGCGTTTGACATTCACATCTGCTGCTAATGCTCTAGCTAACCGGCCTAGCTTCATGGCACCCTGTACTTGCCACGTTAAAGTAATCATATTCTGCTATGACGTTTTAAGTTAGGGAAAGCTGAAAGAGGATCTCTTATACAGGTGGGTACCATTCCAAGTTTGCCATTGGAAAAGACAACCTTCGTTCCCTCCCTTGCAAAATAAGTGGCCCAAGCATTCCGGTCTGCCGTGGATATCATGTCTTCTCTATTCAACACCAAAACTCTTTTCCTATTACCAAGCCATAAATCCATCTGTTCATAAGAAAACCAGATAAAAGTTAACACAAATAGCGTCCATTTTCACTTCCTCATCCTGGAGTGAAAGTGCATCGTTTTCAATCACAGCTCATGGTTATAAGCATAATATTTATCAACCCAGGAAATGAAAGAGCCCCAACCATAACTTCATGAAAGAGCTCTGACCTGTGGATGACTAGTTGACATAGGAATTCTTGCATCTCGAACCTCTATCACTACATCCATCAACTTGAGTTGGTTTTTGAGTTCCTTTTCCGTTTTAGCAATATGACCAGGGTACCACTATCCAATTTAGCCGAAACCATATAAGCATATTGCATTAGAAAAACTACAACTTCGAGAAATTTTTCTGAATAATTGAATTATGGGCACCTGAACAGGGCGCAGTTGCTTGGTCCAGTGATAAAGTTCAGTATCCAAATCACACCAATCATCATCCTCTCCTTGGAAACCATCGAGATTTCCATTTCCATTTTCGTACCAACTGGGACCTCTCCCACCACCAACAATCTGCGAAACGTTTCTTACACTTATCAACCCATTCAATTCAAAGTAAATAATACCCAGAACAAATTATGCGACAAGAATTACAAAAATCTCTCAAAACAACATAACCCTTTTGTGGGTCAAACATAATTTTGAATGAAAATGGAAACTACAAAAGATAGGTGTGATTATTGCCTGGATAGTGGGAGGTGGGGATGAGAGAGAAGCTGTAGCAGAGAGAGCTGTAGAAGATGGTGGTTTTAGATTGCTTCTGCAATGAAGAAAGTGAGTGTGGGCTGTGGAAGAGGTGGGCAGCCAGAGGCCTGCCACTTGAACAGCCATGGCCATTCGCTGGTGGTGTAGGTGGTGTGCCTGCAGCCTTGCACTGTTGCTCTTGCTCCTGGATAACAAACGGATTTACGAAGAAAATCAACCAAACGACATGTCGTCCCTTAACGCTTCCAGCTACAAAATTAAACGGTCGCCTAGTATTCTCTTTTTGAGAAAAAGCTTAATTATCAATATGCCCTAATGCTTTACCGAAAATCTCACTTTGCCTATTGCAGTTCAAATTGGGTCACTATGCCCTATGGCTCCGTTTGGTTCACGGAATGGATTTGAGGGGAAATCATTTCCCAAGGAATGGGAATGAAAGATTCATTTCCCACGTTTGGTAATGTCGGGAAAGTAACCGGGAGATTTCACTTTGTTTCATTTCCCAAGTTTGTTTTGAGTAGAAATGGAAAACAAAGTTTGTAATCTTTTTCAATTATACCCATATTAAAACAAATAAAAAAAATGTATTTAATGATACGTTGTAATTATAAATTGTTCATAGGGACAAAATAGTCATGAAAATTATGCATTGAATGTTGGCTCATTTTCCCAAACTTTCCCATAAGGAGAGAAAACAAAACCCAAGTTAAGAGAAGGGTTTCACTTTCCCCCCTACTTTCCCATGTGCTAGGCAACCATTTCTCATGCCTAGACTTACCAAACATGGGAAAACAATTGAATTCTCATTCCCAAGCCTCATTTTCCATGAACTAAACGGGGCCTATGTGCTCACATTTCGTGTCCCACATTACCCTCATCCGTCAATTTCATAACGAGAGGCATTAAGTTTGCTTAGGTGGCATGGGTAGTTTAGTAATTTCATCCACGTGGACAGGTATAAGTTAAGATGTGGTAGGCGTCGTGGCATTTTGTGGGACCCTTCATCAGATTGAGGCTTAATACTCGAAATTGAGTACTTGGGGCTGTGCAGTCGAGTTAGGGGTAAAAAAAATTGGAGATCTGGTGTAAAATATTGAAGCCTACGAATTTGGGAATCTCATCTACAGTTTTAAAATACTCAAAATTGGAGCGCGAATCTTTGAATGGGGTAGAAAAGGTAGGCCTTTTGTGTTTGAATATTGGTTAAGTTGAATCTGGAAAAAGAATTTGGGTATACTTTTACTCGAGATTGGGGCAATCATTGAATATTGCTTCGTGTTGGACTTTAAGGTTGCAGATTGAGTTGGTGCGACCATGATTGTGCTTAGAAAAGTTGGAGCCGTTCAACCCGTGTGTAAGTGGACCCAATCTTCACTACTTTGTCAAATTTCTGCATTGTGCTTTTAGATGTTTGTTATTGTATTACTGTAGTTTTTTCCTTTTAACTATTTGGTGGTCCTTCTATTATCAGTGGCCCTTATTTTTTCTTTATCTTTGGTCCTTCAATTGTTTGCTATGTTTGTGTAAATATGAATGGCTTTTATTTTGGTCTTTATTTAGTGTGTAGCATTGTTAGTATTCCATTCACTAAGGTAGTTAAGGCACTGTATTAATTTAGGCTTGGCATGTGGTAGATGAAAAAACAAGTGACCTTGTGACATTTACTTAAAAAAGGCTCAGGTGAGAGAGCATGGTCTTACTTGGGTGGTTCAGTAAGTTGGTTTGACTACATAAAGGCTGAGTATATGTGCATGTTAGAGTTGTGGACTATGCATAAAGATATTGGTTATGAGGATGGTGTGGCTTTTTATGGTGAAGAGGTTGGGACTGGGAAACTTATTGAAATCAAAACAAATGGAAATCTATTATACTATATGAATGGATTTCCTAAGAGTCTACTGACAGTGATTGTGATATATATATATATATATATATATATTGGGGATAAGGATGAGCAAGTGTAAAATGTGCATGAGGATGAGCAAGTGCAAAATGTGCATGAGGATGAGCAAGCGCAAAATCTGGATGAGCAAGTGTATAATGGGGATGAGCAAGTTTATAATGGGGATGAGGAAGTGTATAATGAGGATGAGGAAGTGGTAAGTGAGGATGAGGAAAGCGAGGATGATGAAACTAATGATCCAGATTTTGTAGATAGTGAATATGAACAATCTGAAACAGAGGAGGCCCTCTTGAAAAATGATGACAGGTGGTCTGATGGATATGTGGATCATAGTATAGTGGATAATTATCCAAATGTAGAGTAAGATGATCACTTAGGAAGTGGGACTACCTCACCTGCACTTACAAGCGCATATAGCTCTTCAAGTGAAGATGAATCAATTGCTAATTTGAGAAGAAGCCGAACCCACCTGATAGACACCGCTGGGAGAGGAAAAGCACTGCGTTAGAGAGAGAGAGAGAGAGAGAGAGTTGCGCAAGAGAGAGCGAGAGCTGTGTGCAACAGAGACAAAGCGAAGAGAGAGTGAGAGCTGAGCGACAGAGAGACAGAGCGAAGAGAGAGTGAGAGTTGAGCGACAGAGAGACAGCAAAGAAAGAGTGAGAGTTGTGCGATAGAGCGAGGAGAAAGCTGAGACAGAAAACTAAATTTGAGAAAAAATGTTATGTGTGCAATAAGTGGACAATACATATGTATTTATAGGGTATATTTGCAAAATGTGTGGGGAAAGATGGTATTTGCAGATAAAATTTGGAAAGTAGTGGCATTAAGAGCTATTTCCCCTTTTTATTTATTTTTATTTTATCAAACACTTGAATAGAAAAGTCATTTCAACATAGTGCCCTTTTTAGTCATTATACACAACTAATAACACTTTCACACAAAAATTTACAAAACACTCAGAAACCGATCATTTTTAACAAAAAAATTTACCAAATGCTAAACTCCTATATTTCACAACTGATTTTTCTCACAGCAAATCTGACAATGATTATTTTCCCAGCACAACAATGTCCAGTTTACCATTTTTGTCAACAAAGTAAAAAGACAATGGAGTAATATAAAAATAAATCAAAGTAAAAAGACAAGACATTTACTTAAATGTTTGGAATGGAACAAGGCAAGGCAAATAAGACAAAAGAAAATATAAAATAAAATAAAATAAGGCAATGGGTGGCCAGCTCGACCCGATGAACGAGCTCGAGCTAATCCTTTTCAAGCCTTGGCCCGACCTAAAAAAAGAAAAAGCCCGACAAGACCCAGCTCGAGCTAAAAAATTTAGGGCCGACTTGGCCCGTTGACAAACCTAAAATTAGTAATTTTATGTAGTCTACATTTGAAACCCCAATATTTCAGAATTCAGAATTTTTTGGAATCTCAAGATACATTCCAATTTCAATTCAACTTTTTTCAGAATTTTCGGATTTCGGAACTTTCGAATGTCGTAATTGATTTGGACTTGCCAAAATTACAAATTTTCATATCGGAATCGGATTTACCGATCCAACTTGCACACCCAGTAAGAGCATTTCCACCCATCCTTTTTTGCCAAAAGGGGGCCTATGCTCCAAAAACAGCTCCCACACAGGAAAAGTTGCCATGAGAATATGTGGGTCAACCAAACTGGGCAAGCCCGAAGGCAAGACTTGCTTGACCTACTGCATGGGCAAGCGTGACATCATGCTGACGTCAGCGACCAATTTAAATACAAAAAAAAATATATTTTAAAAATATAATTTTTTTTTTCTATAAATACCTAGTCATATTCTTAACTTCCCACACCAAAATCCATACAAATTTCTCTCCATATATCTCATATAATAGTGGTTGCCCTTCGTTTGCCATGACAATAGGTGGGAATGCACAAAAAAATTGCTAGGGCAGTCACTATTCATATGAATATTATTTGCCCTTACTTGCCCTTTGTCATGGCACAATGAGGTAGAAGTGCTCTAAGAACATTTACAACACACAGCCCCAGCTTGGGCAAGACGTGGGCTCCACCAACTCGGGCAAGGCCCAAGGCAAAACTAGTCCGTTCTCCTGCCTTAGCGCATGACATACACATGGGGACTGCGAGTGACGTACACATGGGGACTGCACGTGTTGCGCACGGCATTGGTAAAAAAAAATGTGAATTTTTGTGTTAGCCTTGCTTTCCCCCAACAGATAGAAGCCACATAGCGCTTTCTGGGGTGTCTGATCCATTCTTTGTGCTCCAATCCAACGGATGCCAATTTTTCTATAATAAAAATTGAAAATAAATTCGAAAAAATGTGAATAAAATACCAAAAAATTTTGAATTTTTTTGTTCTATAAATACATACCAATATTATTTACTTTCCACACTAGATCTTCATACAGATTCTTCTCCTTCCAATATTATTCACTATCCACACCAAATTTAATACTACTAAATTTTATTTGCGTAAAAATACAAATGGCCTCTTCCATCAAAGTCGAAGGCTCGTGGACAACCATGGAAGATGGTTGTGTGTGTGTGTGTGTGTGTGTGTGTGTGTGAGTGTTGGGTCCAAGTTGGTCATTGCCCGATCACGAGCAATGAGATGAAGTTCTCTTATATGTGGAGAAAAATTCATGAAGAATTTTGTGAAAGATCGAGTTCAGCTTGTATGGAAATGGCCTTGGCTAGTAGGTGAACATTTTTGTATAAGGAGTTAGGGAAATGAAGAGATGAATGGGCAAAAGCGAGGGACAACTTTCGAAGCGGTGAAAATCTTGGCAATGAAGTAACTTTTTTGTAATTTCCGTTTTATTAAATTTAATGTCATATTTTTTATTATATTTTCTTGCATTTTCAATTTATTTATTTTATTATAGATTATGCAAGCACAAATGTGGTTCGATGCCATTGGCCAGGGTATAAAATCTTTCAACAATCACCAATGTTAGGAGGTTATGAAGAATTGTTTATGAGATGTCACTCCACGATTCACCGACATCGAATTCGTCGTTGGACTCCCTGATGAATCAAGACTCACCAATTCAAAGGGAGTCAAGCCTATTGGAAGAAAGGCGGCAAATGCCAAGGCAAGAGAATCTGACAAGGCAAGAGATGAAGCATTGAGAATTGAGAGAGACATGAAAAGAGATGAGGCTGACAAGGCAAGAGATGAAGCATGTGCATGAGAAAAAGAGCATGCACACAACCAAGACATGAACAAGAAATATTGGGAAACCATGGCCTTGGATACGAGTCATATGTCCATTGAAACAAAGTCATTTTGGAAGCAAGAACAAAGGGATGTTATAAAAAGAAGGTTTTTCTGTGACGGTGGACCTAGCAACACAGATTAGTTAAATGATGAAAACCATTAGGTTTTATTGATAGAGTTGCCATTTCTTAATTAGTTGTATTGCTTGTCTTTTATTGAATAATATAGCTATTTATTTAAAACATTGCATATATCAAAACAAAGCATAATTCCCACTGCCATGGCAACTTGATCATTGTTTGCTTCCCACTCCCTTTCTTCTTCAGCAAGTTTGCACATTCTTTCGTCATTTTCTCGCTCGGCGCTCGCCAACAACCTTCTCGTGTAAGACATTGAAAGTAGAATGTGTTTTGTAAATTTTGATAAATGAAAGGACATAGAGGATATGGATGATTGCTGTGAGTTGAGGCTATAGTTTTATATAGGGATTTAGAAGATATAGATGACACGTGGTGCAATTGTAGCAATTGAAAATCTTATCTGAAATATGAGATGTGAATATATATATTAAGAATTTAAATTATTAATTAAATGAGAATAATATGGTAAATTCACATTTTTCATATTTAAAATATTTAAAATTAAAAACGAAATTAGATAATAAGTCCTACTTTTATGGAATATAATTACCCATGTTATATTTTTTTAATACTAAAAATAAAATAAAAAAGAAAAAAAACCATGCCAAGGGGCTAGTTTTATATTAAATATGGACATATGACAGTCAAAAATTTTATTTGAAATATGATATGTGAATTTTATAATAAATATGGACACGTAGTAACTTAAAATCTTATTTGAAAATTTTAAGTAAATTTAGGTTTTAGCAACAAAAAAAATTTCACTTTTGGAAAAAGCCAAAGCTTTTTCAAAACAGACAGAAAAACCTTTTAACTTTCAAATCAAAGACATGCAAATGTAAAGGATTCCTTAGGAAATTCAAAAATAAATAAGGGCAATTTTGTCTATTTTGGCTTCTTTTACAAAATTTCTCTCTCCTTTGTGTTTTTCCAAAGTCTTCCAAAATTTTATCCGAAATATGATATGTGAATTTTATAAAAAATATTAATACATAGCAATCGAAAATCTTATCAAAATTAATCATTTAAGTATAAAAAATAAAATTAATTTAAAGTAAACAGTAATTGCCCTATGCCATAGAAATGAGTGGAAACCCAACTTGTTTTTTACAAGGACAGACACTATTCACGTAAATAGTAACAGCGTTTGTCTCCCCCTTATCCTTTGCCATGGCAACTTGTCAAGTGGGCAACACAGTAATTCAGTGGCATATCTTGTAAATATGAAAATCTTGTAGGGTCGTTTTCCCAACCCAGTCATCCTCAACCTCTAACTCCTCTCGCACCACCTTGTCTTTGCCTCCCAAGGCAGATTGAATTCCCAAATTCACGGTCCTCACTCTTTGCTCTCAGACAACTTTATCTTTCTCTACAACCAAAATTAGGGTTTGTAATTCCCAATTAAGTGCCCGTTTTTTCAATAATTTTTTTTTTGTCTCTGATGATACCCTTTTGAATTGGGGGTGGGGTTGTGGGTATTCCTTTTTGTTTCAATTCTAGGTTTTAGTTTTTCAATTTCAACTAAAAATTCCCTTTTTCTATTTGGTTGTGGGGCTTTTCATTGTTCGTGAAAGTTTTGGTGGCTTTGAGCTGTAAATGTACTATTAGAAATGTCAGAATCCAATCACCAGAACTCAATGTATGGCTCAGGAGGAGCCCCGCAGAGTAACCAAGTTGAGGAACAAGAAGACGACGTTGAAGAGTCCATAGACAACCCTCACATACGCTTCGAAGATAGTAGCGCCATTCCTCCCAATCCACTGTACCTTACCAGCTCAGAATACCCTCCGCCGGCGGCCACGAACGGCGGCTCTGATCAGCTTACGCTGTCGTTTCAGGGCGAGGTTTACGTCTTCGACGAAGTTTCTCCTGATAAGGTAAAGTTCTTTCGCTTCTGGGTGGTGCTCAATTTGAGTGTAACTGTTTTTGGACTTTTGGTTCATTCTGTACTGGTTATTTCTGCTTTGTTTTCTTTGTTATAGTGGTGTTTAGTCTGATGGGTTTGGCTAGACCTTAAATTACTTGCTTTTCTTTGAGAAAATGGGTTTTGATTAGTTTGTGGGAATCATGCAGTTAAAGTAAGTTCTTTGATTGGTTCAATGTTTGCGTTCATAATTGGGTTTTTTATTTATTGTTTATGCATATGGGCAATCTGTGTTATGAATTAAAGTCTTTAGGTGTTAATGAGAGGGGTTGTCTGAGAGACTTGAGCATCTGTGGTTGTTTTTCACAGGTGCAGGCCGTACTACTACTTTTGGGCGGATATGAAATCCCTTCTGGCATTCCTTCAATGGGGCCGGTTCCTCTTAACCAGCAAGTGTGTACTTATATATATATATATATATATATTTATGTATAAATCATGCAAAAGTTTATTGGAATGTAGTCTTTCAGTTGGTGTTATTTTCGTTAACTTTGTTGCGATAATGACATCTCTTACAGGGTATGAATGACTTACCTGTAAAACCAATTCAACCGCAAAGAGCTGCATCTTTAAGTCGGTTTCGTGAGAAAAGAAAAGAACGTTGTTTTGATAAGAAAATCCGTTACACTGTGCGAAAAGAAGTTGCACTCAGGTACTACAAGATTATCTACTTGTTTATTCATTTTCCTTGGCCTTTCAGTTGAAAGTTCTCTATCATTCTCTGACAAAGACTCTATGCCACTTTTGTAAATGCATATCCTGATTTATAATGTTGTTTAGCATCCTTTTCATGATTCCTTATTCAAGTATACAGTTTCTGATAAGGCTGTTGTTTTTTTGTTTCTGAGACAAAGTATATTGGAGAATGTGAATTGATATAATCTGTAAATCAGATGATTAATCTTAGTTTAATCATGATATTGGTATCCCCACCATTAAGCATTACATATTATTTTAAAGATAGTAAGCTATTTTCCATAGCAGAATATTTGCTGCACATATTGATGTATGCATGCCTCCTGTTAAATTCATTTGAATAAATGTTGTACATGTTAATACAACCAAAACTGGAAATTGCTATCAACTAAAGATAAAAAAAATCATTCTGAAAAACTTCATTATGTACAGCCCGTGATATTTGCAAAGATAATGAAAGATGCTGATTCCCAGAATTCAGAAGAAACCGAAGCCCAAAGTGAAGTACAATAGACCAAATAAGGAATAGTTTTTCTTTAACGAGCTAGGTCTCAGAATAAATGCTGTGATACCATATTGAGAATAATGGGGAAAGAGATGCCTAAATTGTCACTCTAGATAGGGCCTAAACGGAGTACAACCCTACTCATAGTAGGATATGCTCATAGTAGGATATGATAACAGACCTTTCTTAGAATGAAATGTAAAGGTATATTATCTAGAAAAGTCTTTCTCAGCACACTGAAACTCCTGAAAGACATAGTTTTTTTTTATAACAATAACCCTCCGATTGGATGAGGGAAAATAACTCGGAATTTAGCTAAAGTCGGGAATTTAAGAGGAGAAATTGACAATTCCCTTGTTTGGCAACTTAAGCGCGGATTTTATTAAATATGACGCGTGGACAAAATCGTGTAAATTGGAGCATCAAATTCCCAAGTTTAATTTCCACCAAAATAGGTGTCATTTAACAATTTCCATAGTGCCATTTACAAAATTTGACATGCATAAATCCAAACACTGAAATCTTCAATTGCCAGAAATTGAAATGATGGAAATCTAAATTCCGTCATTTTAGAATTCTATGTAATTTTTAATTCCTTCATCCAAACGGAAGGTAATGGAAGATCACTTTAACTCCTTAGCCTTTTCTTTTTCTTCCCGCCTTGACTTTTTTGTTATTTCATAATCCTTTTCCTTCTAGCCATCTTTTAATATATTGTGCGTACGTATTTCAGAATGCAGCGTAAGAAGGGTCAGTTTACATCATCCAAGGCTAGTTGTGATGATGGGGGCCCTGCTTCATCTGGTGCAGCACAGGGCTCTGGACAAGATGAGAGCATGCAGGAAACTTCGTGAGTCCATCTTCATGCATCGTTACTTATATTTAGGACCATTAGATTTTTTATAGGACATAGGATTGCTGGCCATTAGATTGATTCTTTAAAGTGATTGTGCTTTATGTTGCACTCTACAATCATGTTGCATTGACATTGAGCTGTTTTTATACAGGTTTTGTACTCTAATTGTGCATTTGTTATTTCAAGAGAAATACTTATATTATCTGCATTCTGAAAATTTATGCATAATGTGTTTTCAGGTGCATGCACTGTGGGATAAGCTCAAAATCAACTCCAATGATGCGTCGTGGGCCAGCAGGTCCAAGGACTCTATGCAATGCATGTGGGCTCAAGTGGGCTAACAAGGTTTGAGAGATTATAAGTAATTTAATTTATGCTTTAACTCCCTTTTGGGTATTGATGGATATCTAAAAGAATTGTTTGCATTTTCATAACTGTCTGTGTATGCACATGTATGTATCTCATATAATACATACATATATATATATATATATATTTCCATGATCTCCGTTTCTGCATTCTTTTATTTTACTTTCCTTCCATATAACAAGTGTTTTGAGGGGTTTTGAGGATTTAATAGTAAGCTTTTCAATTTCTCCTCAACCTAATATTTCACTTTTAAATGTACAATGGATCAGTGCATCGTAATGTATTTCAGTCATTTATATCTAATCTACCACCTGCCTTGTTGAGGACCTTAACAGAGAATAACTCTTTTGTCTAAAAGTTCTTAATTGAACTAAGTAACCAATTCTTATCCTATAGATCTTCTTCCACAGTTATGACTAGAACACTTCAAGTGCGATATTTTTATTTTTATTTTTCTTTGCTTACTCCTTGTTGTGGATGTATGAATACACATATAATACACACACACACACACACACACACACATGTATATAGGAGTCCTGGCACACATGAATACAACATTCATGGTTTAACTGTTGGATGAAAATCCAAACGTTCAGTAGGATACACACAATTTTTTACCTACTCTGTCGTTGTCATTGTTATTTTTATCTTGAATTTTCATTCCCTGGTTTAGAGCATGGTAGATGTTTTATTAGAGTATTTAACTAGTTAAAGTTGGAGCATCCAGCCCAAAACCAATTGCAGAGACAGAGAATTGTATATATTGAGATGGAAGGCTTAGAATGATTGATGTGGGACTTTATGTTTTCAACATGCCCCTAACACTTGGCCATATTGAGCCAACACATACTGAGATGTAAGGCTTATAGTGCCAATGCGGAATTTGAATTCTCAACATAAAGTTGTGTGTCACAGATCGATATAATTACCAGGTTGTTGACCTGGGCGATGTGTGACTAGAGAAACTTTTTATATAGAATATGTCTGACAAGGTTTTTGAATCAGCATATTTTTCTCAATCATAATCTAAGACCATCCGATCCACTTTGCATCTGAGTTGTTTGTATCTGCGAAAACAGTACTTAAGAAGAACTTTATTAGAGAATATATATATCTGTCAGGCAAACTAGCATGCTGTGTTGCTAGACGGTGAATAAGGGTCGTTAATTAGATGAAATTACGTCTGAATGCGTGGCCCTTATTGACATTTTAGCAATAAACCAGGTTAGATATCTAGCAAAAGAAAAGTACTATGTGTATTGGAGTTAGCTTTGTTGGTGGTGGATACATCGCCCAGGGCAACAACCTATGAAAAATGATCAATTAGTAGGAAGTGATTGCTGGTGATTCTCGGTCATCTCTTAATGTATGCTCAACTTTTTGCAGGGAGTTCTAACAGGTGGTCATAAGGTTTCAAATATAGTCATGCAGGATCCTTCTGCAAAGGGAATTGAACAGGTAAACCACCTCAAGCACCCTGAAAAAAAAATTAAAAAATATTGTGATCTTTCTTATATCTGGCATTTTCCTCATGGGTTTTTATCACAGGGTGATGGCGAAGCTAAAGACTCAGTTGCTATAACCATGGGTGCCAACATCGCCCCTTCCTCTAATGGTGACAACTCAGCCATGACTGTGGACAGGAATTTATGAAGTCCGCAGCCTGGTTGTTTGCCATTTGCTGTATTACAAAGGGATGTCAAATAGATTCAAGTTTGTTATCGAGTGTACATATGCTTTAGGGACTTGGAGCTATGAACTAATAGATTTGAAACCCTGTTATTTAATGTGATTGTAGTCTGAGGACCAAATTTAGAACCTCATGTCGTTGTAGCATTTGCATTCTATCATCCATGTTGAATATGGCTGCAATACTATTGCCAGTTCTTTCCGTGTCTACAATATAATCAAGAAAGGTTATGGTGATAAATGCAACCTGATTTTGTGAAATTCGTACCACCAGACCAGAAAAGCGGGGATTAAAGCCTATTTTCAGAGGCATGGCCAAGCCATGGTAAATTTGCAGCTTGATAATTGGTGACTTTTCAACTACAGAACGTGTTACTTGGGCGCTTTTTAAATATCAAAGCGAGCCTTACGACATACCAGGTGGATAATTCAAAATTGAGTGACCAAGTTTGGCCAGTGAATCATCAGCTGCATAATTTGTTTGTCAAGGTCAACAGACGTCGTTTGTTGTGCTTCAGATTCATCCACCTTCTTCTATAGCTATGAATCAAAACTTGCATTTAATAAATAAATAAAGTGATAACAGAGAATGACCAATTAAAGAAGTAACAATGCTGAGCCTAGTAGCGTGGGCTGATAACCTCAATCGATGTGGGTAGCAAACAAAAGAAGGAAGTAACAATTTCAATTATCTTCCGAAGTTTCCCAAGTAAACAAAAATTGATATAAATAGGCTGATGTCACCAATTTTTCTCATCAGCGTATGAAAAATGATCAATTAGTAATTTCTTGAGATACAAGTTGCCATAATATATAGTTAGTGGTGCTATCTTAAGGCAATATATGAGGGCCCTTGTGATCTCATTTATTTGACCTTTCAAGGGATACCAATAAACTTCACACACTTCTCCTTCTCAAATGCAAGTCATCTGCAATAGAAATGAAACCAAGTAAACTTTTGCTTGCTAATTAAATTTGCAACTAATTACTTGGCTCCATCAAAGCAAAAGGTTTATACACCTTGACTGCAGGGCAAGCAGCCTTGGAGAGGTACGAACGATGATTTCGATTCTATTTCTTTGTTGAAATGCTGCATATACAGTTTAGTTTGATTTTCTTTTTCTTTTAGCACAGTGTCTTAAACAGAAAGTGGGGAGATAAAGCCCTAAAGAATTTCTTGCTAGCTGAATCCAATTCTTAGGGATCTGGATGCTACACAGAAAAGAAAAGAAAAAAAGTAGAAGCAATGTCATCCAAAGTCTGGTGAGTTGTGGTTTTAATTGTTAATTTGCTATAGCTTTCTTAGTGTGCTGAAACTTGATAGTGTATAAAGCAAGCAAGTTAATCAAATTACTGTGTCATTGTCGCTCAACGTTATGTAAAATTTTATGTGGCTGAAGCCAAAAAATTCATTTCTAAGGAAAGAAATCCGTGAATGGAGGCGAGAGTGTTAGGACAAGGATTCTTCCATTACCACCACATAACAAGAAAAAGAAAACTCACCCTAATATCTAGTTTGTGACAAAAATAAAAGATTAAATTATATCTCATTGAATTTCATGTGTTTGTTTATGCGTACCAATATATTTTTATGATCAGGTTTGTTTACACCGTAATCAACCAAGCATATCCAGCCTCAAAATGACTAGCACAAAGGCAGACACGCCTTCTCCCCTGCCGAAGGAAGATACTCTTCCGAGGTGCCAGACACCTGCTGAAGCTCTCGACTGCCGAAGATCCCAAACTACCAAACCTAATCTTCAAGACACGTGTCACCACCACGGCGATTTGCACAAAGTCCCACATCGAAACTTTGTACAAACCTCCCACTTTCACTTCCCTATAAATAGGGAATAGTACCCAAGTAAAAAGGGTAACTTCTCTATCACTTTTACTGTTACTCTACCAATTTTACCACCCTTAGCTAACTTAAGCATTGGAGAGCCTTCGGCGGGCACCACACCGGTGTCTGAAGCTTAACGATTGCTTCTCCTACTTTGTCTTCTACAGGCTTTTCCCTTACCGAAGGTCCTCACCTTCTCCATTGCTGAAGACAACCCTCTTTTCTCTAAGTTGACCTCCCAAAAAGAGTATCAACAGTTTGGCGCCGTCTGTGAGAAGCGACTACTGAATCTCATTTTTCTTTACCAGTTCAGTTGGCTCCTTCTCCCATCAAGCCCCGTCGCCTCTTCTACACCCCACACTCTGCTATGCCGACCAAGGATAGTCACGATACTCAGCACCATACCCCCCGCATGGGTACCTCCCAAAGAAAACCTTCGGCATATGTCAATCTCCAGCCAGAGGTAGAGCTCCTCCGCACCAGCGTCGCCAAGATGTCCAAGAAATACGAACATCTCATACCAAAAATGTCGAGCTGGAGCATGACTACCGCACGCTGAAGCGTAACTGGGAAATGACTCAGGCCCAGGGCTCCCAACGTGACTTCACCCAGGATGCTGAGCATATACCCAGCCAAACCAGCCGGTGCACTCCCGCCATAGTGCCCCAGTCTAATCTAGGCTCAGCAAGGGTAAAGGCCCTCTCCATCTGGAAACAACCAAGTCGCGGCTCCTTCACATCTCCCTGCCTAAGGATTAGCCCCATGAACCGGTGAAGGTTTACAAAGATTGTAGAGACTGTCTCTTGGACCGTCAGCAAGACCCTATTCCTATCCCCGTTAATCTCCAAGACCCAAGGGTGACACACCCATGCCCCTCACCAAAGCCTCAACATTCTGCCACACCAAGTACCTAGGGTGCCCAGCACCTCAAAAGGAAGGATAGCTACCAGCCTACCTTCAGCAGTAGCAAGCGGGGCAGACATGGCAACCACCACCAGCCCAGTGAAAGAAACCCTCCCAGGACAAGTGATCGTGCCCCACTCCCCTTCACACCCAAGCCTAGGTTGGTGGTGAAGCCCCCCCCCCCCCCGCGGAGACCGTCCAACAAGCCTATGCCAAACACAGGTGTCTTTTGCCACTTTCATCAGTTCAGTAGCCATGATACCAAATCTTGTGTTGCCTTGCCCAATATTATTCAAGGACTTATTCGTGAAGGGAAGCTGGATAAATATGTGCACAACCTCCCACCCCCACCTAACCCTCACCAAAGGCAGATCAACATGATCTCCACCATCAGTTGTGGTTCTACCATGGCTGGAACCTCCAACAACTCCATCAAACACTATGTCTGTTTTTCCTATGCGCACCAGGTCTTCAGCACTAAACACGAACGCCTGCCTAAGACGCAAAAATCAGGTTGGGCCCCCATCACCTTCTGTGAGGAGGAAGAACGCGGTGTCAACAAGGTTCACATTCCTTGCTTGTTTGAGAAGGGAGGAAAGAGATATATCATTCTTGAATAACGGGAGTATCTTATTGAAGGATCTCATTGCTTCTTGTGATGGAAAATCCAAACCTATTCGTAGTTACTCTTCTATAGAGCTCATGAGGGTAACCACCAACTTCGACCCTTCTTGCATCATACAACATTTTTCAGGTGAATTAGGTTACAATATGTACAGGGGTGTTCCAGATGACCGATGGATTATAGTTTTGCGGGTACAAGAGATGAAGCTAGGTCCCTGTCGAATTGTGACATTATCGTATCAATGCAGATCAGCAACCATAAGAATGTTTTGAAATTCTTGGCCAACCTCTGGTGCATAAATATGCAATAAACGGAGTTGTCAACCATCATAAGGTTTCAGTGCTCATGAATCGTTACCATGGAAAACTAGAGTCCGTACTGCAAAGCAGCTTGCAAATGCACTTACATATCTCCATACTGCCTTTCCCAAGCCATCATTAATAGGGATCTCACACCCAGATGTATATCTTGGACCATGACTTTATTCCCAAACTCTGCAACTTCTCACTCTCCAAAACCATTCGTCCTACGCAATCGCATGGCGAGGAAGACCTGTGAAAGGAACATTTGGGTGCCTTGATTTTTATTTTTTATTTTTTATCAAAGATAAACTTCATTAAATAAACTTCAACAGTACAGTCAAAGAAATCAACAAGACATCGAAAATAGAGGATACCTTGATCCTTCGTACAAGGTTTCTGTTTACATTTAAGAAAAGAATGATGTCTATAGCTTTGGCGTGCTTTTACTTATATTCTTGACGGGACGAAAAGCTTGGGATGAAAATCAGGCAAGAGAATATGCATAAATTATTTCATACGTGAAATCTCATGCCTGTGATGGCTAGATTGAGACAATTGTGGATTCTAAAGTATCCTTGAAGAGGTATAGGGCTAATGCTAAGGCACTATTTTGTACATGATGAGAGGAATGTGTAACAATGGCACTATTTTGTACTTAAGAAGATTGGGGTCTCTCTCTCGTACAGTGCTAATGTTAAGGCTTTCTATACGAGAATACGTATGTATAGATACATATGCATACACATGCATATATCAAAATCCTTGATGGCCAGTTGTGATAACTCATCCATCTTTTGTAGATATTCCATCAAATACAACACTCTATAGTGTTACTGGCTACCAGTTTGGTGGGGATTGATTGTTTTTCATCAAAAGCTCATCTTATGCTTAGCAAGGAGAAATGTAGGATACCTATTGCAAATACTTCGTGAAGCCACGTTGTCAATATTGCTACTGCAAGAGCAAGTTCTATGCGAAGAAAGTGATGAATGGTTTTTGTGTTTTTTTCAACGTTCGCCCAGCCAATTCAAGTCATATTGGTCGGTTTAGTTTGGTTTTGACCAAGGAAAAATTTAAGTAGTTTTCGAATTGAACCTAATTATAATGGTTTGGTTTGGAACTTTTGCAAAATTGCCTAAACCGAACTAGACCGTCTACTTGTATTTTTGTTTATTCATTTTATTTTGTAGTCCTCTCATTGGATAATAACTAAATAAGGATGTTGAATTTGAAGTGTACTTCTATTAGTTATTGAACTTTGAAGTTTTATAGCATTTTGAATTTTAGGATAGTATGATACGCTAGAAAATAAAAATTTGTGTTGCAAATGGACTAACAAAGAGGAGATAATGCAAAAGAAAAAAGAATTGGGCTTATGTCCAAAGGGTTTACGGATCACCCAAATTGGCGGAATGAACTCAAACTAAACAGTTTTATTGAAATTGATTCGGAGAACAATTTTAGAGTAAAAACCGATACAATCTAGACCGTGTCTACTCCTACTGCTAAATTGAGTCGGATCTTTAGAGTTGGAAAGTAAATGTTTTTCTTCTTTTTACCATTTTTGCGTCATAGTGATTATGACTTTCTAAACACGTTTATCTAGGGTCTTAACGTTTAAATTCGGAGTCAAATCTTGGTCAAAAGCGTTCAATCTATTTCTCTTTGGCAAAGCAAGAAAATTTGCGGAAAAAAGAACCGAGCGAAGAAGAGTGATGCTTTAGAAATGGAGATGGTGAACGCTCAGCTACTGCAAGCGAGGGCTTACGAGGGGGAAGATCAACTCGTGCATATACCGGCAGAGTTGGAAGGGGACTATGACGAAGGAGGTGGTGCTAAAGCGGCCATGAATGGAGGGGACCAAGCTCGGAGGAGCTCTGGAGTAACTATGAGTCGCTGCAATTCGGCTCTGCCTTCTCGGACCAGTGAGCTCACCATCGCCTTCGAGGGCGAGGTCCACGTTTTTCCCGCGGTTACTCCCGATAAGGTTGGCTTTCCGTCTTTCTGCTAATTTCATTTTGAGTCCGTTTGGTTCGTTTCTCTCTGTTTGGTTCCCGGGAAACATGAGGAAAATCAAGGATTATAAATTGAAAAACAAGAGGAATCTCTCTCTCTTTTCTTGAATGTATATATTTGCTTGTAGAACTCTTTTGTCGAATAAATAACATACTAGCTAGCAACAATAGCTAATTAGAGGCAGACTTGTGAGGACTTCCATTCTGGTGCAAAACTTAGTCTTGGATAGCACATAATTTTCCATAGCAGGTTAGACAAGTTTGAAATCCGTTGATGATTCAATAATTTTGGTCTCTTTTGAGTTCATTCTCAAATTATAGTTTAATACTAGTGTCCCAGTATCATAAAAATTAGTTGCCCATCAGTTACGGGAAATAAATGAGTAGATTTAAGCCCTTTCAGCTAGATCAGTCCACGTTATAGTTCTGGAAATTATCAGCAATTCCTTTCTTTCTTGTTTTCATATGTACCTGTTGGAACTTGGAAGCATTACCAAAAGGCTGTTTCTTCTGTGCAAGTTACATTGCGCAATAAGGTGCACCATTTAATCATTTAGATGTGATGATATGGTTCTTGTTTATTTTTTTCAATCGGAAAACTTGAGAATTCATTCCCAAGTTTAGGACCTGGGTGAAACTATCCTGGCCAAACAGCTGGCAAAAGGAATGAGTTTAAAATTGTTATTATGCCAGAAGGTCAATGGTTAAGTATTGATAGAGAATATTAGAGGCCTAACCAAAAGATATATAATAAAAAATTACTGTACTATTTAATTATGTTTCAGACTGTAGTCTTTGACGTGGCCATTTTGATGGATTAATCCCTGAGCAAGATACCATCTTTAGGGGACCTAAAAAACAGTCGAAAATGGCGTTTCTGTCTTCTAATCACTTTAGCATACATATCCAAATTACTCTAATAATTGGTAAAAGAAGATAAGTTCTTTCCAAAGGCACACTGTTAATTGGATCAGTAAAAATACATTTGCTGTTGACTTGCATTTTTCTTTCTCACAAAAATGGGAAAGTTGCATAGTGATTGACTTCTCTGCTTTTTGGCTATTCATATGTGAGTTGCACAGAGGAATGGTTTAAACATGGTGCAAGCTTTAGTGCCTATACTTCACCCTGTATAAATCTGCTGATTGGTTTCTTTTGGGGTAATAATGCCTGATTTTCTGGAATATTAATTACAGGTGCAAGCAGTGCTTTTGCTATTGGGAGGGCGTGATATATCCAGCATTTTCCCCAGTTCTGAGTCTCTGCTAGAAAGCAATAGCGGGGTATTCCTGTATAAATCAACTTGCTCTTGTTTTCCCCCACACTGGGGTTAATATTTCTCTAATTGTTGATGCCTTTTCAAAATTACACTCTAGGGTATAGGCGACATCTCACGAAATTCAAAACTTTCACGAAGAACTGCATCTCTTGTTAGGTTCCGTGAAAAACGGAAAGAGAGATGCTTTGAAAAGAAAATTCGATACACTTGTCGAAAAGAGGTTGCTCAGAGGTATGAAACCTGTCTTGATAACTTTCGTCATATTGCATGGTGTTGATTATTTCTCTGGATGTTATAGTGATTGCATGCAGCTCCTTGTTGAAATATTCTGGTGGTTTACTCAGAAATGGTTCTCCAAAACTATGGTTGGAACAATACGGCTGTGAACTCATGTTCTAGTATTTCATGACAAAAAATGGGTTTAGGAAGTAGTCTTTTCTCTTTTCATGCACTACACAACAATCAGTGATTTTCTTCCCCTGAGTGATAAAGCCTCTTAGAGTTCTGGGTGAATGATTGGATCATAAAATACAGGCCTTTCCTCCTACTGGTCCTGTCTACAATTTGTTTGGTTGAGAAATAAATGATATTATATCTGAGGAAAAAAGAAGAAGAAATTATATGGATTTTCTGCATGTGGAGCTATTTGGTTGTTCTTGTTTGTTGTGGAGGTGATTTAGCTTTAGTTTAGTAACCTGCACTTTTGAAGTTAACAGAATTTGGTGATTGCCACTGTGTCGGCGCATTACCTGTTTAGGATGTGGGCTTAGCTCTTTTGGTGGCCTAGCTTGGTTCTTCCAGTTCAAATTTCTGAACTTTATAGTTTCTAATTTGAAGGTGCACTTGATCATGAGATAATAGTACCCAACAACTTATATGTGCTCTGGCAGCTCGGTAGTGAAAAGGTTCACTTTGAAGCAACATTGTAGCTCTTTCAGCAGCAACATTGTAAATGTATCAGAATCATTATTTCTTTGCAAGAGAGTCTATCCCATGAAACATAATAATGACTACTCCTTCCAGCAGAAAATATTGACCTTCGAAATCAGAGAAAATATATCATCTTTCACACAAACACACACCCGCAGATGTAAAACTATTTTTGTATTAACAAATCGTTCTAGGAGTGTTACCACTACCTTCATTGCCATATTAAGGTTGTATTTGGTCTTTTATCAATAAATATAATCCATGTATTAGTGCCACATCCAGTGATATTTACAGCTTGGTTAACACTGATTGATGACCAAGGTGTGTGTGCATCGACTTGTATAAACTAAGCAAATGGGTAGATAGTTAGTAAAAAGGAAGCTAGACTTACACAAAAAGGATGGAAGTAGTTTATAAATTGCTGTCAACTTGTAAGGTGGTTTTTGGGGTGTGAAATTTTATGCAACTTAAAATTATTTAAACGCCTTTTAACCTTTTATAGTATTTCCTTCGAAGTTTCAATGAGGTAATTATTGTCAAAATAGAAGTTTGAAAGCTACTTGAATTGCCGTTCCATAATGGTAATCAGAATAATGCAATAACTGGATGTGGTTGTGGTTCTTTCTCCGTTCCTCTCACTCACACATACCCCAGACAAACAGGATTGTGAAATTCTTGGATTTTGCCCTACTTTATGATTATACAATTGTTTTTCTACCATAATTCACCTATGCATGTGTTTGTTTTATGTGCATTCCACGAATTTTTAACTTTTCAACATTTAACAACAAACATTGATTTATGCAATGTATAATGGAAACAAAAAGATGAAGTTACCTTGAATTCAGTACTATTTACTAATTTTTCTCTCAATACTTTTACTTGTTTTGTAGGATGTATCGCAAGAATGGACAGTTTGCGTCATTGAAGGACGATTCTAAAATTGCTTCTGGAAACTGCGATTCAAGTGATGGCACTTCTTGTCCAGAATCTGTGTGAGTTTGAATTCTGTTCTTCAGTTAGCATTTGAACTTTCAGTAGGATTATTATTTATTTATTCTTTCTTTCCTTTCCCACTTTGTTGTAAGGATCATTGCTGTTTTATTGCTGGTTTTTAATAGTACACATGTTGATGCTGACATGCTGCTTCTTCCACTTCTGGTCTTCTGAAATTTTTAAGTTTACGTAGATGTCAGCATTGTGGAATTAGTGAAAAGTCTACCCCAGCAATGCGTCGGGGGCCAGCTGGTCCAAGATCTCTTTGTAATGCTTGTGGTCTCATGTGGGCTAACAAGGTAGGTGGTGCCTGTTTTGGTTAGTAACCATCTATGATAAAATGCATGTATGCATGCCCTCAGTTGGTGCTCAAACTTGTTAAAACAATGATGCATTGGCAGTGATATAGCATGATCGAGTTCAAACTTTGCTCTCTAAGTTTTTATCTAACATAAGCAATTTGACAACTTTATTTGTTCTTTGATTTTCTTACCCTCTTCTCATCATTCTGTTGATCTGAAGGGAACTTTGAGAGATCTTACAAAAGCAGGGAGGCCCATCCATTTTGACCAAAATGAGCTGGTATGTTGCCTCTACAGCTGGTCCAATTAGAAAATTATATTGAAATTATATGCATGTGCATTGGTTTGGCTACCAGACAATTAAGATAATGGAAAGTCCATGGAAGCAGGTGTTTCTGACACCTGGACACATGAGACATTTATGCCTTGTAAGGTGAGGCTTGAGGCTTGAGGGAGGCATTGGGGCGTAAGCCTTTCGGAACTCGAGTTATTATGATTAAAAAAATATAAAAAGAGTTAATAAGGGTATTAATCGTTATTAAAGCTTGGTAATCAATCCGAAAAGATATAACATTCAACTAGGGCTGTTACCTTCTTTAACTTGACTGAAGAGAGTCTTGTGTCAGAGGCACTGGTTGTGAGTGTTAGAGCTGTCCAAAGAGAGGCATGGTTTAGGTTTTCTTTGTCTTTGCTTTCCTATTTTGGAGTTCTATCGGGTGGAATATCACTTAAAAGCTCCCAGGAAAACGGTGCCCCCGACTTGGGTTCTTAAAGTTGTGAACTTAACAGACAAAACGGCGCGGTTTTATCTCACAGATTTTTAAAATTAAAAAAAATTAAAAAACAAGAACTAAGGTGTTAAGAGGGATGTGCCTTATCAGATATAGTGCATATAAAGCACATCTAGGGCATAAGGCTTCTGCCCTTCTTCAACGAGGCTTAGGCTTTCCTGACCTGCTGCTAAACACAGGGATACCTGAGGTGTTTCATAGTAGCCTCACCTCCACTCATGCCTCAGCCTCGCGTTTCAAACACTGCCCACACCCATTCCCAAGTCCATGTGACAGATTTTGTGCAAATAACAATCATCTGTATTTTGGGAGCAATACTAATTTAGGGTCGTGTACTATCTTGGAAGATTAGTCAATGTAGTAATCATAAATCTGATTTCACTGATGGTCACTTTTTGCCTCCACTCTTGTACATGCCAATTCTTTGTACCCTTCTTATTCTTGTAAAGTCACATTTTAAAACTTTCTTCTGACATAATCTAATTTGGAGTATCGATTCTGATGGTGTCCATGTGATCTTAAGGAAACTGCAGCTGACTTTAAACCTTTGATGTTAAAACCAGAAAATGCGCAGCTAGACCCGGATGAAGAGGTATGATTTCTTAGCATGGTTATTATGAATGTTAATTAGAACTAATTAGTCAATTGTAAGTTTTCTGATATTTGAGATGCCAAATGTGAGTATTGATTTCAACATTTTGCATAGTTTCTTTGCCTATTGTTGTGCTCTTGAAGAATCTTCTAGAGGTCTTCTCATCAAAAGGCGACAGAATTGAGAATTCTTGTACCTGCGAGAATGTGCAAATTTAGTTTATTTGTTTTTCGGCATGTGCAATTTAGCTTATTCTTTGTAGTTTGTTTGTGTTTTTTATTTTTCTTGTAAGTACATTGCTTCTACTTGTCTGAATGTGAAAATATAATTTTATTTGCTTTTCACTGGGGCCAATTTAGCTTAATCATTGTACATAACGTGAGGGTTTATTTCTTGTTTGAGTAAATGGATTCTACTTTCTCTTTGTGTTTGGTGGAAACTTATGCGATTGGTTCCACATGGAACATACTTGCTGCATATTCTAGATCCTTCTGCACAATGATATGTTGTGTTGTCGCAGAACTTGACAATACTTAGTATTTTTGTCTGGTCAGGGAAGCCCAGAGGAGAGTAAGCCTATTGCATTGGATACTGAAAACCCTCTTCTGAGACTGGGTGACGAGGTAGCACTTCTTTCCATATAACTAAACTAATTTTTCATCGATTATAATATTTAATATTTGACACTGATATTTATTTGGTTTCCAATGTTTCCATTGCTCATCTTTAAATAAATGAACGAGAAGAAGAGTTCTTTAAGATTGATAACTACGATATTTTGATATCTGTATGTGGACCAATGGAGTTTTATTGCTTAGGTTTGAAGAGTGGGTCCTTTTGTGTGATATCCCATGAAATCATAAACAATAGTTCTTTCCAAGTTATTCCAAATTAAATTGTAATCAGTTTCAGTCATCTGATGTGCAGGATATGCTGGAAACAGCTGAAGCTGCTACTAATCACATATCCATCCAAATGGAGAATTCAACTGTCAACTTTGATGAGCAGGTACTATTTCAAGGTTCACCTAAACCAAGTAGTTGGAACTTGGCCCTGTATTCTTGAGCTAAGATTCCGTTCCATAGTTTTGGGAAGTTTTCGTTTCATGCCTTATATGTTGACAACCTCTGAATCACTCTGCTGTCAACATTACATGCTATGGTAATGTTCTGTTCCAAGATATTTGACACATTATATGTAGGTAGTGGTGTTTATTTAATGGGTAAGTATTTGCACAAATAGACTAGTAATTTATTACTCAATGCTGAACCGCACTAAAAATAAATTGGATCTGACGAAGCATGTAATTGTACAGTACTTATAGTTGGGTAAGCCAGCATGTTTAAATGTAGGTAGTAGTTACATCTTCCTAAAGTAAGTCTCATTTTATCAAGAGTTCTCCTGTATTTTCTTTTGTTCATAAATAATCTTGGCTGATGTAAATCAAAGCTTAAAATGTGTTTTAACTAGTAATTACTACTTAACGTACATCAGAATGTAATGTAGAGTTGTAATTATCCTACTTGGACTCAATTTGTCTTATTTACACATCACGACCTGCAGGAGAATCTGGATGAATTTTGCAATGCCTCGGGGACAGAATTTGAGATTCCTGCAAACTTTGATGAGCAGGTATCGATCTTTAGCAGCTTGACATCGCATATGGCTGACTAGCCCTATGCTTCAGATGGGTTTAACCTTAAATGCTGTGCTACAAGTTTTATGAATACAATCCTACAGGTGGTTGATTTTTATGATTGCAACATCGGGACTCACTGGCCAGGAACTTGACATATACATACTGACTACGGGACGCTAGTGCGCATGGTTTCTTGTTGGCCAGAATGAAGGTGCAATGCTGGTGGCCCTCCGACTAACTTTGGATTTTCATGCCCTGGTTAATGTTTTTTAACACAAACCTTACACAGAAATCCCATGTGTATGTTACAACTAGCTAGATCATTTTGGAGCTCAGTTATATAATGTGAATAAGTTTCTGGTTTTGCTCTCTCCCTTCTACCCCTTTGCCCTTTGTGAATAACTGTAGTAGGATTGTGCCAGAAAATGTGATTGCCTGCCATTTACGTAGTAGCGAATCGGCCCTTGTAAATGAAAAAAAGATTTCCTTTTGTATCAATATCGGCAAGTGAAAAGAGAATCTCTTGAATTAGAAAACCGAAATCAAGGGGAAAAACAATATGCGGGCCAAACAGCTCCTAACTCAGCTCTTTCAAACCAAGGCATTAGGTAGCTTAACAAATTAATTAACTCTCATAGGTGATTAAGAAGACTAATTGGTAGTCAAGAATCAAAGTCAAGACTTGCATAATGGGCGGTACAAGAATGCTACATAATCGAAAACCAAAGGAATTGTCGAAGAAAGTGATTAGCAAAGAACCTGAAAGAAAATTATTTGCAGAGAGAATTGTATTTTTCCAATGTGTAAAAAATTATGCTTTAATATATTAGCTGTGCCTAGACTATAATGGGAAAATTCTTCAATGTGAGTCCAATTTTCATGTTATCAAATCCCTTGTGCCCACCCTTTTTCCTCCTTGATTTGTGACACGTGGCACATCACTTAATAACATTTAAACTCTATAAATAAATAAAAACATTTTAACACTGAACTCTCTTAAGCCCATTTGTTTTTATTAAAATAATTTTAAAAAATATTAAGATACAAGTTTGACACAAACTCGTTCTTGCCTCTTCATCTTCTACCTATCCTCTTCATTTAAAAAAAAATATATATATATATATATATATATATATATGAAGCAAAGACGTAGGAGTTGAGTCTGATGATACACAAGGTAGAAGATGAAGAGGCAAGAATGTGTTTGTGTAAATAGTGTATTTTAATATTTTTTTTAATTATTTTTATAAAAATAAATGGGCTGAAGAGAGTTTACAAAGTCAAAAATTGTTGTTAAGTGGTGCTCCACGTCACAAAACCGAGGACGAAAAACAGGCGGGCACGGGGATTTGGTAACATGAAAATTAGACTCTAAATCTATGGTACAAACCTTTTTTTCAGCCTGAATTGTCTCTCAATAAATTTGAAGTTCAGAAATAAAAGTTCTATTTAAAAGATTTATAATTGGTGATTTTACAGGTTTAAAACGTTAGCCAAATCCTCTCAATTCTTTTTTTCTAATGTTATCGAGTCTCTTAACCATTAAAAGCTCAAGTGGTTATTTACTCCACCCAAGGTCCTAGGATCAATTCCCCCTCCGACAATATTGCTTGTATAGGAAAAACAAAAAAGTCACTTAACCAATCTAATGAAAAAACAAGCACTTCGGAAGGACCAAAACATGCCTTGTTAAGCAACATAATTTCATTACCAAATGGCAACCCACATAATTTCATTACTAAGGTCAAAACAATCTCAAATGAAAAAAGAAAAAAAAATGGAGATATATATGCATATCTGAGAAACCATCTGATTCTGACAAAAATTAGGTAAGAAAGGTATAAGCGGAGGCTCCCTGTTATTCTTGGGGCCTAGTAGAAAAAAATACAATTATCAGCCTATACTCTGTATAAAAGGAGACGATAAATGCGCAGACGAAAAAGCAATGCCAGATACCTGATTTGCACAAATCAGTTGGAACAAAATACTAACTCCCCAACAATCAGACTACAGATGGTGGACTTCCAATCACCTCCAGAGTTGGGACAGCGGAATCAAATGAATATAATGCTTTGACACTATTTTAAAAGACTCGCAGCTACTCGAATGGTTTATTAATCAACCGATGGATAGAGACCAGGCATGTACATGCGTCCGCTTCCATTAGAATCTGCATTAGCGTAAAATGGTGAGTGAAGCTCCCCAGAGTGAGATGACTTTCTGGGCTTTGGATTCTTAGGTGAAGCTGAGTAGGAATCATTTGAACTGCTTGTATTATACATCGACGATGTTGGTAATCCATGGATCTTTGGCAACCCCGTTGGATCGGCACCCAAACTGTAACCCTTTTCCACTGTTTCTGCTTCCAAAGGCAGTTCATCCAATGTCTACCAACAAAGAAAACGGTAATCAAAAGTATTAAACTGAGGATTTCCCACTGCATAATGAAAGCAGTATTCTTTTTCTTTTAAAAAGAAGAGACAAAGAGTTCAAAATTGTACAATCCCAGATCTAAAAACCAGAAATGAAACATATCAAACTCCAGCCACAACACAAGCCAAACTGACCAGCCATCTATCAAACCACAACCTTCCAATTGAGTAAAACAGCAGAAAAAGCAGTAATTGCAAATAGTGTAAGTTTAGAGCCTACAGATACAGCTACCACACATTTTCATACATATTTTGTTTTGAATTACAAGTGTCAAATATACTCAGCTACTTATCGATTATAACACTGCAGAAGTATAAATCTAGAATCAAATACTGTTTTGACCATATTTAACTTTCATTCGCCACATGAATTGGGATAATCTGTGCATGCCAATTACCTGTGGATAAACTAAGCAAGCCCTTAAAACTCTGAACCCTAAGAATTTAGAAAAAAAAACCTACCCGGAAAGCCTGTTGCAGAACTCGGAGGGTTTCCCGGGTGCGCTTTCTTTTCATTGCCACTTCATCAGGTTCCTGCAGCATCTCTTCAAACAGGTTCTCTCTGTTTGGGATCATAAAAACCAAACAATAGCACAATCAACAGTCAATACAGGAAAACTAGTAAACAAGATCAAATGTACACAGCAACGTGTAAAATTGACAACTAACAAGACAATTTTTTGTTACCGGTAAAGCTTTTTAATGAAGACGTTGTGCAGCTCGCGCTTTGTATGATTTACCTGAGTACATGTTGATGACAAACAAATAGTTACTAAAGACTGAAATGCTTAGAGCTCATTTTAGCAACAACATATCTATCCCACAACATAATAATGAGTATAACAATATCAACATTGGGAAGATATTACATAAAACTGTTACCTAAAAGAAAGCATAAACTAAATATACTTCCAAGCAATAAGAATGATAGAAGAATATGCAAGGACCACGTGACAACTAATGATGCTCTAATTTTCTTATTTTTACAAGGCTCCATATGAACTTTGTGGGTGTGATGGAGGAAGCTTTCAGATTTAAGAGGTTGAGAGAATAGTTGAAGTTTCATCATTGTACAAATTTAGTATTCCACCTTAAATAGAAAACCATTTCTGCCACTTGAACCTCAGAGGTCCTAGTTTAACACAATACTTTGGAATCATAATGTCCTAAAAATATGACAAAGAACACACTGGAAGAAAAGTAACAAGGAAAAGAAAGGAAGCAAAGTGCGAAAGTAAACAGAAATAACTGGGTGCATCCAGGAATGTCAATATTACCAGGAAGTGCATTATTGCTTTTGGAACAGAATCCTCTATGTTCTTCCTAACAATGTCATAGTATGATCTTAATAGGAGTTTTGTGACTGCAATTTCAATTGTCTCCTGCTCTGAGTGGTTCTCTGTGGGCCGCAAGATAGTTGGGGGCTAAAAGGAAATCATACACAAGTCAGGGTGAAACCAGAGAGAGAAATAATCAAAGAAAGTAGAATTATCAGATAAAATCCCATGGCCGAAAAGTCAATAATGAAAACTAGAAAATACCTCTCTTAAATGGATCATGGAGACAGCTTGTTCAACGTTGTGAATAGGTTCGTTATATGACTTGTTTATTAAATTCTCTTTAGCAGGTGTGCGGTTATCACTCCCACCAAAAATTGATGAAATCCCCCAACTTGAACCAGTTGCGCCTCCTAATCAATTGCAAAAGGTGACAAAGTAAAATACATTAAATTCCAGCATTCCTTGCAAGTTTCTACATGAAATCATGCATTTATACATACAAAATGCACATGCACAAGACCCTACCATCCCACCAGGAAAAAATAAAACCATATTGATACTGTTGAACTCAATTTTTTAGTGTCAATATGTCGGTATACATCACAAAATTTTAAAAATGAAAGCTCTTTTTACCTAATATATTCCCGGAAGATGCAACTTTTTCACTGTCTACCACAGGTCGGACACCCTGTCAATCAACCAAACAAATCCATTGATACAATTAGACTAGCTTAAATAGTGACCAGCGTTTTCAATGGAGAAGGCATAATGTGAGGCATTTGGCTCTTGCAAGGCAAGGTGGAATCCTCAAGATGTCAAGGCATTATCCTTTTAGGACTTGGAATTATAATAATTCACACAAAATATAAAATATAAACGTGTAAATATTAATCAATGGTGGAAAATCCCCCTCCATGTAATTTTATGACACTCCCAACGTATTGTCAATTACAGCCAAGGGAAAAAGTTGTGAGAACTCTAGTTTTATAGTAAGAATTTTAATATTTGGAGGCTTACATAACAAAATAAATCTATCAATATCAGTGGTATTTCTTTATTTAGTGGACTTGATATCTGTTTTATTTTTTTGGTCAAACTCAAGATAAGTTTTATTGAAAATATGTTCCAACTCCAGAGCATATGTTGCGTAACCTTATGGTAAAGGTATACTAAAGTGAAAAAGGCCAGAACAAGATAGTGGTGTTTTATGAGTTAGAGATGTGAACTGCTGTTTTTCAGTTTAGAGTTCAATCTCAGGGAGAGAGACATAATTGGGTTTTTTTAAACTTTTCTTGTATCTGTTTAAAAGCCCAGCACTGCAAAAACCTTGTTTGTTATGGGCAAACCTAAAGGAAAGATGTGTTAGCTTCGCTAAAAAGGCTTAGAAATTTCAGGAGTTGCACTTTTCAGAGGCATGTTGATTGTACCCTGCCTTGAATAGAGCCTTAAGGCGAGCCTGGCTAACATCTTTGAGAACACCGATAGTGATTAATAATAACAAATTGTAGCATTTTCTCTGAGTTTCTTGGGAAATATAATGAACCACAGAAGAGAGAGAATTTTCCGTTACCTGGTCAGGAGGCACAATTCCATTTACTTGTCTGGCAAGAATTGCTCTAGATTTCAAACTTCTTTCAGATGGTGGTGCTTTATCAGAATCTACACCATCCTAATTGATTAAAAACAACAACAAAAAAGACGTAAGAAATTAATTTGACTGACCGATTGCGATGAACAATTTATACATCACTTAATAATGACCTTTAATACCACTGAATGCAAATACCTTTTGCCTGGAAAGAGGCAGGGGTATCCGAGAGGACTTCACCTGTTGCAATGCATTCTCAACAGCCTTACTTCCACCAATAAAATTTGCGTGTGAAGTATTTATGTAGTCCATCTGCAAAATTTAATTATAATAAGACACAAATACACATGTTCATAGTGTGACTACAGTTCAAAGCCATATTAAAGCAGCGAGTTCATCAGACATATGATATAAACAATCTTCTTCTAGCAAATATGAAAATAGCATCACTGAAATATTATGCAACAGGGTTGCTCACATTCTAATTTAGACCCAAATGAATATTATTACTAAAATCAAATTATAAACACCAATGCCAACCAATTGCATGACTGTACACACACCCAGTGACAATAATACAGCAGGCAAGGCCAGTTACAACTGAAAACATAAGGAAACCACATACCAAAGCTGGCCCAATGCACAAGACAAAATATAGGCAGTGGCCAACATCATTCCCAACTCAGGCCGAATAGTAGAACATAAATTCTTCAATGGATGATAACAAATAAAGATCAAAGATGCGTCTTAGAAAAATTTAATAAGGAATTAAAGAAAGGCTCAGAGAGGTCAAAAAAGTAGAATTCTCAACTAGAGCTTTCAGAATAGAATAAAGAGTAGACCCAGTGACACCAACAATAAAAGCCATTGGAAAGATTCCACTGATTTTCATAGTTTGTAGAATATGTAGGTTTATGAAATTATTTATCTTTTCATTCACATAATGCACCCGCAATATAAGTATCATAACCATCATACCTCCATCTCAATAATGTGTCCAATCATTGTCTCAGAGGGTTCAAGGCCTTCTCGCAAGAAGTTCCCTATGACTTCATCCATCCGCTTTCTCAGAACAGGGAATCGCTGCAATTCATTTACTAGGCAGCGATGGCTAATCTGCACAGCGGACAATATTGTTTGGAAAATGAATTAGGAATATGAGGTGACGCAAAAACAAAGAAAAATACAAGTGCCAATTTTCCTACCTTCATCAACTCGTCATATATGAACCTGGCACACTGAAGGCTTGGATCTAACAAACGAGCTATTTGTCTCCTGACAAGATTTTCAAAAGGCACCTATATGCATGAAAGTTAAAATCATATTCTCTCCAGTAAAGGACAAAATCCAGATGAGTAGCCTCTTGATTGAAAAAATTATGAAAAGAAATGGCATGTTAATGTAAAAGAAAACAATCTGAAACTAAATCGGAAGTAAAAGAATATAACAAAAGAAAGCCGTAAGTGTAATAAGGCCTACTTCTGGTACAAACAACGCAGATTTAGGACCAGTGGCATTTTGAATGGCGGTTCGAATGTCATCATCTGTAAGGTCCTCGCACGGATCCACCTCCTACATCAAATCAAATTATATCGTTTAATGATGACAAAGGATACTAAACGTATATAGTTTCTACAAATCAAACCACAAAACACCATAGGCTGAGGGACACAGAAGACAGAATAACCCAGTCATTTAGCTTCTACACCTCATCATTAGATACTCTCTACAAACAGGACTGATGTCTGACACGTGTAACAAAGTACAAAGGTCATAAAGGAACTTATACTGAAACAGTTTAACAATTGATCTACCCTTTATGCATGCAGAACCACTTAAATTGCTAGAAACAAAAAACAAAAAAAAACAAAAAGAATAAATTTGTATTATTCTGAACTCTAAAGCACCCATATATCAATGTAACATGCAACAGTCACACCTGTGTCTACGTAGAGAAAAAAAAAGAAAAAAAGTGAGAGAGAGTAGTAGTAAGATTTTTATATTGCAATCTGCAGTGTTCTCAACCGTCAAATGAGCCATTAAACTATAATGGCACGTAAATTAAAGGGTAGAACAGCTATTTTGTAAGTGATATGACTGAAATTACAATATATTATACTGTAATCTTTCGGAGAAAATGAAGGCATAAAAATCATGCTTAAGATAGAACAATACAATTCAAATTTATTCGATAATAAGCAAAAGTAAGGCATAGATGTTATTTTGTATACTATTCCACATATGAGAAAATGTCACAGAAATTCGACCATATAAACTCTCAGCCAGATAAAGTGCAATAAGTATCACAGAATTCAAACCTCTAAACTTTTCACAAAGATATTTTGAAAAATATAGTGAATTCGCGCTCCACCAGAAAGCTCAGATGTTGACATTTCTTCATTTTTCCCCTCAACCATTGTAGAAAATGCTGTTTTCAAAAGAAATTTCGGATACAATAAATCAGCTTAAACATGTACATGATAGTATGATACAGAGACATACAAGGTAAACGCAATGAGTTATAACATTCATCAGGACAGCCAAAGAGGACAGAAAGCAGGTAAACCCATGTTCACCTTCAGAGTACTTTGAAAGAATGTTGAGGAGAAGAGCCCCCTGGCCCGCCTATTGGCAACAAATATTAAGATAAATATTTAGATAAACATAAACAAATCCAGGAAAAATGACAACCAGAACTTAAATTGGTCATTGTTTGCATTCAAGAGTTATAAAATAAAATTTAAAAAAAAAAAGTTTCCAACTCTTGTGAAGGCATGGATTAAAGCAACACCAGTTGTGTAAGTTCATTCACATTGCATATTATCACATCAATATATAGCATAGAAGATTGCATGACAGAATTTAAATGTTGTGAGCAAGTCCTCCATTGTTCTTAGGGCAAAAAACCCAATAAACTCAAGATATTACACAATATAAACATTTGACTGTCCAATAAGATCATCCATATAGATCACGACAGTTTTCACTGCACATAAGCAAACCTTTGATTCTGTGATTTCTCCATAACTGGCGTGCTCCTTGGCAACAGAAACTAGTGCAGAGCTTATGCGTGATTTGAGCCCCGGAAGTACTGCCTTAATATGTTGCACCAGAATCTGTAAATGAATTATAAGGGTTAACTTCATTGGTTATCTGGATTAATTTAACCACTTTCACACTGATGAGCCCAAATTACCAAGAAAATGCCAATCACAATACTCTAAGCGGAATTCAAATGAATATGTATGTGTGTGTGTGTGTGTGTGTGTGTTTGTGTAAAAAGAACAGCATTTAGGGCCACTGAGATGAGAGGCAACTGTGTGTATGCAATAGTGTAACAGTTGCAAACATGAGCCAATTTTGTAAGAGTTCACAGCATTTGGGACTTATTTCATCAAATGTTATACCTGGTTCAACTTCTTTGCCAACTGAGGGATGCCACAGCGATCAGCTAGACCATTATATACCTATACAAAATCATAAGAAAATTTATACCTAAAGAGTTGTTAATCCATGCCAAGTGATGTATAGTAATTCAAGGAAAAGTAAATATACTGGCCGGCTGCGGAAAAACTTTTCCTCGGCCACAAGTGCATCCTTAATACTCCGGTTCATCGTAATATCCTGTTCCAAGAATAACAATAAACAGCCTTATCAGAAACCTTTCAAAAAGATACAATTCCATGCAACATCCACCAAACAAAACACTATTAGATATGCATGCAAATAATGTGAATTGGATGGGGGTTTGACTCGTGACAATAACAGGCACATACTTTTATTGGACCAAGAAACATTAAAAAACAGACTTGTATAAAATTCAAGACAATGAAAACGAAATAAAACCATCTTTCCATTATTAGCTGATTGGCATTAACAATGCATATTTGGGTAAGAAAAGGTAACAGAAAATTAAAATAATTATTATGCGTGATTTTGAAAGGAACAAAAGTAGCAGAGCAGTCAAAGAAGTGTAAATCTTCAACAAAATTATATTTATCTTCCACAGCAGTAAAGTACAATTTAAGCTTATGACCATCATCTCACATACAGCAGAGGATAAAAAATCTTCCAAAGAGTTTGAGATAGATTACCTCCTGACTACGATTCACAACACCTATATAACCAAGTCGCAAGGGAATCACTTTTCCAAGCAAAAGATTACGAGCATCAGTACCTCTATCCATTATATCCAACTGAGGTCAATAAAACACAGGCCAAAAGGCTATCAGCATAAAATACACATCTTGCACACTTCTCAATGAATTAAAACCTTATGAGAAATCCAGGTCCAAAAAAATTCACACCTTTGTGATTACTCCAATGGTTCGCAGACCTGTCAATAGGAAATTGGCTCGCACTAGTGAGATAAATATAAATTACAAATTTAACCACGAACACTAACAGCAGAAGTGAAAATCTACCATCAGGATCAGCATTTCCTGCAATCTGAAGAGCATCTGAGTTTGCTAAGTCAGAATTTGCCGCTGTAACAGCAAGAATTAAGCAGCTCGGAACTTTGATGTAAGACATGATCATAGTCCTGATTCGTGCTTCTATATCAGAGGGTTGGTCACCAACAGGAACCTTGGTTATACCAGGTAAATCTACCAGAGTGATATCAAGAACATTAGGTGAAAAAATCTTTAAACGTATCTGCTTGTCTGTGACGCCTTTATTCCCCCCTGCTTCTCTCTCTGTCTCCAGCTATATCAATTGGAATTTATTAAGAAGCAGAGGAATGAATGTATACATGAAAACATTGGCATACTCTCCAATTTATTGTACTCTGATTTTGACGAGAGAACATAAGGAAAATTAAATAAAAGAAATGAACGAATAAATTCAATTTTATCACCACACTTGGTTGTCTAGAAGCAAATGAGAGAGAGTTCAAACCTTGAATTGAATTTTACAATAAAGTATAAAATATTTGGCAAAGAATTTTGATGGCAGAAGGCAAAATGAAAGTAAGGGTGGGAGTCAGAAAAGGAAGCAAAGGTTCTGATAAAGACTTCAATTTTAAATTTCCAATTGTGTGAACTACTGAATAGTAATAGCTTAAACTCCTCACCGCGAACATTTACTGAACAGATTATGTTCAGAACGCACTTACTTTGCAACCAAATGAATCTCATCTGAATAACATCTGCATGCTAACTCTATATTATACGGAAAAAAGCTTCTCTTTCCATATGTCTCAAGTATTTAAATTTGTCTACTGTCCCTAAGAAGCTAATACATTTAACCAAATGAAGTCATTTCTTACAATATCCAAATTCAGATCATAATGCATAACTTCCCGCACTTTCCCAACAACCAAACATAAAAAATGACAATACCTGAATTTCCCTCCGAATCTCGGAGAAATCGTGGAAGCGCCTCCCAGGAACGTGCAGGAACTCGCCATACTCCTCGTCAGTGCCGTCGGGGTTGCGCTTAGTCTGCAAGAGCTGGAGCACGAGTGGTCGGCGCGTGCAAATTTCGGAACCACGCGGCAAGAAGTCACGGCCGACTAAGGCCTCGAGAACGCTCGATTTGCCGCTACTCTGGCTGCCGACGACGGCGACCTGAGGGAGCTCGATAGTGGATTGGGAACCGAGCTGGGCGAAGATGTCTTGCAGCTTGTTCACTATCGGGATCACGGAGTTGCCGAGGGGCGAAGCTGAGGGTAAAGGAGAAGAAGAACCGTGTTGGGGTGGTGCCACTGAGGGCTCGTCAGCCATGTTTGGATTGGATCTTGCAGAGAACTGGAAGGTGAAGCTCTAGGGTTTTGGAAATTTCTTAGAGAGAGAGAGACAGAGAGTTTGATTTGATTTTCATGTGACTGGACGAGCCTTAAGTTTTGAACTGTATAGTATTTTCCTTGAGAGAGAGTCTAGAGGTAACGAGAGAAGGAGAATTTATTTAATTTTTACAATAATCATAATTTCGATCGCATTGCATTTGGGGTCTTTCCTTGAGAAAATGACCCCCAAATGGCTCGTTAAACAAAGACATTTTTCATTTCCAACCAACGCATTCCTTTTGAAAAAAATTAAAAAATTAAAAAATTAAAAAATTAAAAAAAGGCCTTCATTTATATAGAGGAGTGGTCATTTGAATGGATAAGAGCAACTCCACTCATTTGCCCCTTGTCATGACAAGGGGGAGCTAGGGCAGCCACTATTCACGTGAATAGTGGTTGCCTTTGCAAATAGTATTGTGTGTTTTCACCCGTTGCCATGGCAAAATGCAATTACTATTCATTTTTTTATTTTTTTAAAAATTTGTTTATCTAAACAATTAATTTGGATAATATTTTCGAATAAGATTTTTAGGTTCGTACGTGTCAATATTTATTATAAAATTCATATCTCAATCGGATAAAATTTTGGTATTTATAGAAAAAAAAATCAATAATTTTTTGGTATTTTTTTTAAAATCGATTTTTTTTTTCATTTTTTTTATTGCACAAAAATTGGCTACCGTTGGATTGGAGAAAAAAAATCTGATCGAAGAGCCCAGAGCCCGACACATGGACTTTAGCGGCACTGTAGCGCGTAGCACTGTAGCATGTGAGCATTGTAGCGGTACTGTAGCACTGACGTCAGCACCAAAACGAGGGCTGGATCTCCAGCCAACCTTACCCTCGGGCCAGCCCAGGTTGTTGAGACCCACTCCCAGCTCGGGCTTGGGCTCTTTGCTGGAAACAGATTTTGGCAAAATTTTCCCCCACCCCGAGGCTCGATGGAATCGCTGGAGTTGCTCTAAGAGTATCTACTTTTATGCTCTTTATTTTTTAGTTAAAATTTAGCTTAAATTATATAAAAGCTGTATTATGAGCTCTTTATAAAATTTTAACTCTAATCATGGATCCCGACCCCCTATAGGGGGTGTATTCAATTAAGATTTTAAAAGAGTTAAATGGAGTTATAAAGTTTATAGAGTTCAATATATTTCAATTGATTTCTATAAACTTCACATAGAGTTTGATTGAATTCCTAGATTGATTTTAATGGTGTTTATTAGAGTTTTATCATAGATTTTAAAAGAGTTGATTGCAGTTCTAATTAGTTCATAAGAAAAAATATATATGTGAAGATAATTTTTTCCTTTTTGTTTTGGCATGGACTAGATATATATTGTAGATATTGTAAATTGAAATAAAGAAAAATCAAAAAAAAAAAAAAAAAAAAAAAAAAAAAAAAAAAACTATAGATCGATGAAGAAGGCTATCATATATATGATTTTAATGACAGCCTGTATGATTTTAATGATGTACAGAAACCAAAAAAATTAACAGCAACTAAAATAAAATATAAAAATAATAATAACAGAAACAAAACAAACAAAAAAAAAAAAAAAAAAAAACAACACACACCTTTGATGTACAACAACAAATATGTTGATATTCATCTATATATGATGATCGCAACAACAAGAAGTATTCAAGCAGCAACTATTCATATTATAATGTACATCGATATATGTTGAGGCTCAAAAAATCCACGATTCAGCCCAAATAAATTCTTAACCCAATGCGATACTTTATCAAGAAGAAACCCGATTTGGGCACACGAAAGTTCGTCATATACGCTTTGCACACATGCCACGCCAAGAAAATAAGCAACATGTCACACTACAAGCTTAAGTGGGCCCAAGCCACACAAGATGCCCGAGGCTTGCTTGAGTGGGTTGTGGAATGGATCGTAATAAGTTGTCATAAGGCACATTGATGGGTCGAGAAATGGAGGTTCTGGGTTGCTTGGGAGCCTCGGAACCCAAGTCCATTTCTTAGGCCCAAATATATGGGTGAGCACAAAGGAGAAATATAACCCAGCCAAAATAATCCAACCAAAAAGCCCAATCAAAATGGTCCACTAAAATTAACCCCTATGGCCCAATATTTGATGAAGGTAACCCATTTGTTTGGTAGGTTGACTTCCTATCGTAGAAGACCCATAAAATTAGAAGTAGCAAGCAGCAAAGACTCCATCTTTTGGCTGAAAGATAAAGCCACGAAGGAGTTTGGAAGACCACGTAGGTTGCTGGGAAGGAAGGAACAAGTTTTCAAGCAAAACATCCAAGATACCAAGAGATATTGGCGCGCAAGGAGCTGCTCTCCAAACCAGCATGTATACCCATTCTCTCTCCTTCATCAGACCTGGCCATAAAAAAAAAATGAAGAAAGGAAAAGAAGGAGATGGCTAAAATAGGAGTATGAAACAGTCGCGGGAAATGGGCCCTTGAGCTCCCAAAAATCCCTGATTTTGTGCAAATGGGCAGAGTGGATTTCACCAAAATAGGATGATTGAAGAGATGAGGGGAGAAAGGAAGGGAAAGACTTGGCCAAATTGGATAGAAACCATTAGGGTTTCTTGAAAAATGATGGCTTCCAAAGGCTATAAAAGAGGCATCTTCTACCCAATCAAGAACAACCCACATTTCAGAGAGCAAGTTTTCTCTCTCACTTGCAACACCCAGCCAATTCGTGCTATGTCATCCTCCTCCCCATTTTTCCCTCTTTTGGCAGGCTGCTCTAGCATTTGACAAAGTCACTGTTAAGCTGCCGAAAATAATACCCAAGCCACCCATTCCTCTCTTTTTCCTTATTCTCAGCCAAACTTCTCTGCAAGCTCTTCATCTCCTACCTTAATACCCTTTTTCCCCCCCAGGAACACTTAGTTTTCTCTTCAGTGCCAAACTCATGACAATTTTGCTCCCATGCCACAAGCTTCTCATGCCAAGCTAGAAAATTTATCTGTAAGCTATTATTATTTTTGTTGGTGAAGGTAACCAAAGTGTTTCCTAAGGCCATACTGTCATTTCGAAGCATTCTTGGGGCTTGATCTTTGAACTCAGGCTCAAGGGGCAATTTCATCCATTTTTGCTATTTACGATAGCTCAAGCCTGCAGTAGTTGCCGGAACGAAAAAGCCCCTACAATATATATGCTACTGTTCATTGATATATGGTGAAGTACAACAACAACAACAACAACAAAAACTATTCAAACACACGATGAAAGATCATACATATATGAAAACGTAAGGAGATTTTTTTACCTCCACTTGACAAGCACACACGTTCAAGGACTGGAAAGCGTAGAGCACGTTCAAAGTTTCTAGGGTTGGCATAAGATTTGTCAGGGCCTTTTGTATTTATACTTACCACTTTAATTTCTAACAAAATCGGACAACTTATTAATTCCTTCAAAATAAATTACTTTTTGAATACACCTAAATTTTGTTTGACTTTTAAAAAGTCATAATTGAATACACCTAGATTTCGATATATTTTTTTAATGTCAGTTGAAATTTGAATTGAATACACCCAAACTTTTACAAACTCTATTAAAATCTGAATTGAATACACCTAAACTTTTAAACTCTTTTAAAATCTTAATTGAATTCAAACGGTGCATTTATCCGCATCTCACAACATCTATGCTATGCCAATAATCTAACAATTTAAGATTGGACACTTCACTTCCCTCTTCCATGAATGTGCCTTTTTAGCAAGAACATAAAGCCGGCAACCCAATCCTAAATGGGTGGAGATGCCTCATAATTGTTTTGAATTGCAATGATTTCTAAGTGCTAGTGGTATTGTCTCAGTGCTAGCCGGCAACCCAATCCTAAATGAACCAAACCGATTATATGGACCATATAATTAATATATATATATATAACTCATTTTTTCTTACGAACTTATTACCCTAGATTCCACATATCTCTTAGCTTTCCTCATCTCCCTTGTAGTATAACATTCCCTCATCTCCCTAACGGTTTCAATCTCCCTAATTTCCATCACAGTCTCAATCTCTTTCATCTCCCTCATGGTCTCACAACCTCTATCCATGCTTTCAATGCCTTCAACCATTGTCCTTTTGTTGTTCCCTTTGAGTTTGTTAATGGATATTGTATATGGGAATTGGATTTTAGGCTTAAGCTCTGATGATGGAAAAAGACCAACAAAAAAATAATCAAGTTGGTTCAAGCGTAAACCAAATAGAGCCAATCAGACCAAACCAAACCAGTTACTTTATTCGGTCCATGTCACGATCTGATCCGAGAATAAAGAATATTCTAGAATCAGGGTGTGTGAATTGAATGAAATAAAATGAAAGGCTGAAAAATTGGATAAAATACATTTTCCTTATATAATAATGATAGTAATAATCTTACAAGTGTACAAGATATAAATAAAACTGTATCACTCTAAACTAATCAAACTTCTCTGGTTTCATCTTTGTCTTACCCACTAATTGATCTGAAAAAACATAATAGGTGAGGCATGAGCAAATCACCGCTTAGTGAGTTGATTATGTAATATGTCAGTCAAGCAATGTCATTTCACACACTCTAGAAAATATAATAAAAAGATACACAATCCAAATCATATCACATCATTACTTCGTATCTTGGTTATCCTTCACAAATTGTACGCAACACGTGACCCCTATCGGCCTCACTACCCTATGTCCTCGTCTAGAACATTTATCCTTCGGTTACCCCGTCACTAAAGTTTCTCATGTTCCATGAATAATACATACTTCACAAAAACTCCAAATGATATATATTGTGTGAAATATTGCACAAATTAGACATGCTTGACTTGAAAATAGAGAGAGATTCGTAAATAAAATAAATCTATGATTTTCACATTTATCATAAAATAAGAACTTTTAGAACACATTACATAACCAACTCACCATGATAAGTATGAAATATTGCAAGACAAACATGCAAGTTCTTCATTTTGTTTCTTTTTATTCCTTCTCTCTCTCTCTCTCTCTCTCTCTCTCTCTCTCTCAAACACTACTTCATGGAAGAAATCTATTTTAAAGAATTGGAATGAATGATTGAAGTAAGGAAGGATGATACTTATAGGAAAGGCTACGGATATAACCAAATAATATTTATACATATAATATTTTAAACCACCAAAAGATAGATAGAAAACTAAGGGAATAATGTGACTCATCCCCCTTTGGCCAATGATATCACAACACCACTTGTTACTAGCATGCAAGATGGCATGACAATGATGATTTGATTAAAACCAATTCCAAGTCTCTACACGTGGAAAACAAGAATGGTGTCATCTTTCAACTAAAGGAATAATCTCATACTAGGCTTAAGATTTAATAACATATAAGCCTTCACAATAAATATTAAATAAGAAAACTTCATATAAATAAATAATTAATATGCAATATGAATATTTCTTAAAAATAATAATTTATATAGTTTTATTTTGTTAAACAGGTTCTCACAATTTGATTTTCAGTTTTTGCGGTGAAGTGGACCATATCAGACTTTTCTCATCCCTACCTTTCATTTTTCTAAATCTGCTTTACATAGAGGATTCTAACTACCTTTCCTTCATACTCAGAGATGAATTTTATCCGTTTATACACAAGATGCTTTGTGCAAAATTGCATAAGATGCAATTTCAAGTTTCATGGTTGAGCTACCTTTCAATCTTTTGTAATTGAGTGGACATAGACTATCTTGACCAATTTTGGGGATATTTTACGTTGATTGGTATTTTTAGCATAAAGGCTGTATCCTGTTATTCTTCTTATTGTTGCCTGTGAAATTCTTACATTGCGAAAACTAATACTAATACAATATATACATGTGACTTGCGTATTTAAAATATCAATTTTGAAAGCTAGATATATCATAATGAGTTTCTTTAATTAAGTATGAATATGATTTTCAAAATTGTTTATTTTACAATAATGAATCAATTTTCACATTACAAAGCTATACTAACTAATTGCCTTCCATAATTAATGATTATCGATAAATTAAACAAATGTGAGTTTAGAGAATTTAGGGGTAGAAACACGAAATGACCTGACCAAAATCAATATCATGAATGATTTAACTTGATTATGGCTCCTTAATATAATTAAGCTCTACTTTATAGCATTTTTACTCTCCACATTAACAAAAGGTGTATGCTCACAACCATCCTTAAAGTATGACACATGTCTTATTGTTAACCTTCGTTAACATCAAGGTCTAAAATATAGTGAGCTGACAAACACTGCACGAGTGTAGAAAATATGTAGTAATTAATGAAAGAAGATTAAACACACCATAATCATATATATATATAATGATTTACTACAATATTTTACACTTTATACATTGCATGGTAAGATACATGAGTGACTTAGTACCACATAGAGTTCCTATGCGATTCAAATTTTTCACTATCTTCATCATCTCTATGTGTAGAGTAAGTGTATTGTAATAAAGAGTAGTCATTAAATGATAAATCAACAAAATAGTTTTGCATATAACTGTTAACATGCAACCCATATGGATCCGAGATAGGTTGAGGTTGTCCATAAGTAAAATCATTTGAACATTGGGTCTCAGATTCTTTCCATGAGCCGCTCGATTCCATCCCAAAAGTAATGGGATATAAAGGGGTTCGAATCCTCTTTGCGTCTTTGTGTTTTTTTTCCTTTTTTCCATTACATCGATATTTTCGATATTATAGTGATATTATAACGATATTTTGACAAAATATTGCTGAAGTGTGAGCGAAATTATAGACATCGATATTTTTTGATAATATCGTTGATATTCTCGATATTTTATATTATATATGTATGGATACATTCTAAAATATCCATGACCCCAAAAAACGATAATCTTCTCGATATTTTGTCGATATTATCTATATTTTAAACTATGGTTAACATTTACATCATAATAAAATAAAAAATAAAACAGGGCCCACAACCCAACACACAACCCTTTTTTCTTTTTATTTTTTTTCCTTTCTCCTCCTTCGACCCTTTTCTCTCCTCTCTCCTCTTTCCCACACACACTCTCTCTCTCACTCTGTATAGCCCTCTCTCACACTCTTTGCAGCAAAAACGCATAGCAACCATTCCACCGCAACCACCACTCTCTCTGGTAAGTTTCTCTCTGTCACTATATGGTAAGCAACCGCGATTTCTCCCCAAACTCGCTGTCCGGTTGGGTTGTTGCAACAAAGAGTGTGGAGGTTAACTTTGGTGGAGGTTATTTATCCTTAACAATCAACTAAGGGCCGCCTTGGGGTAGTATAAGTGGTGTCACCGCACAAGGCCCCTGAAAAAAAATTTCTTTATATTATATATATTAATATTATAGAAATGGTATATACATTAGCATGCTGCATATTATTACAAAAGTGTGTGTGGCGAAGTTGGCTTTGTAGCGCATATGTTTAGAAGGGCCCGTGTTCAAGTCTTATTGAAGTCATTTTGCAATATTGGTTTTGTTTTGTTTTTTTTCTTTTAGAGAAAAACTCTTGTAATAGTTTTAATTCTTCAAATAAAGATAACAAATACAATGTAAATGATTTTTGGATAGTAAGGTATGTTTTTGTCATTACATGTTTATTGATGATGACTTTTAACTATAAGTATTTTTGTATTAGATTATGTGATGCTACAATTTAAGTTTAGCACAAGGCCCTCAAAATCTCAGAGGTGGCCTTGTAGTCAACATAAAACAAAACATCTTTACTAAATGTATCAATCATCTCGCTTAATTGTTGCTTGATAAATAGATGCATATAGAAATGAAAGGATTATGCATGTGATTATAATTAAGTTACAATATGCATTAAGTTTACTTTCTCCGAATAAGAAACAATATGAAATAGAGCAGAGAACTTTAATTTTGTAGTGAATTAGACACTCGGTGTATTATATATCAAATTCTGCACTGCATGAATTACAAGTCAAATGAGTAACTATCAACAGAAACTAGTTATATTTTCCTCTTATACATCCAAGGTTGATTCTCCTCTGAGCCCCCTTCATTGGCACTTTCATTGGGTGCCGTTGGCACCTTCATGGCCACTTTCATTGGCACCTTCATTGCCATCTTCATTGGCACCTTCATTGCCATCTTCATTGGCACCTTCATTGCCATCTTCATTGGCACCTGCATTTAGGGGTCGTCATTAGGCCCGCGAGCCCATGGGCTGAAGAGGGCCCGCTTGGCCCATCGAGAAAAAGCCTGACCCGACCTGTTGTTGAGTAGCCTAAGCTTGGCTTGGATGTCTAAAACCCAATTCGGCCCATAAGCCTGGCCCATTTGAGCCCAAGAAAGCTTGGCCCCGCATGACCATAAAAGCCCAACCCGCGAGCCCATATACATATAAATAAATAAATAATCCAAGTTAAATGAAAGATGGAGAAAATCATTATCTATTATCATTGTAAGAACTATAAAAAATGAAGTAGGGGATAAAACATGATTTTATTTATATGGCGGTTGTATAATTATATCTTCATATTTATGGAGAAAAAAACTGTGAAGTTATGAACAAAGAAAACTATGGAAGCTATAAACATATAGACAAATGTAAAAAAAAGAACTACAAAAAAAAAAGGAAACATAGAAACACAACAAAACATAGAAAGAAAAAAAAAGAATTGACAAAAGAAACTCATATATAAAAAAGAAGATAAAATAAAGTAGGCCCATTTTGGCCCTCCCCGACTCTATAGGCTTTCTTAGGCTCAACCCATGGGCTAGGTCTGGCTTTGAATTTTCTGAAAAGCTCAGCCCGACCCAACCCGTTATTTTCTCTCTCATCCTTGAAGCCTAACCTGGCTCGACATAAGCCCATTAAATTTGGGTCGGACTAGCCTAGCCCTCCCCATTGACGAGCCTTACCTACATTGATGTTCTCATGGTGTAAATACTTGGTCCTACAGCCCTTAAACCTTTTTCACACACCAAATTGCTACTTGAATAACATGGAAAACAAAGATCACCAAAATCATACCAAACCAAATCTTCAACTATGTGGGGATGGAAAAAAGAGCTGGATTTTGAATCCCTTCGGGTATCACCAACCAAATTAGGAGCATAAACATGATTGACATCAATATGAGACTAGCACACATAAGCATTAATAAGATGAATGTGAAATGATGCTTTGTAGGGAATCTGCTACAAATAAGAAGATTAATTGTCTCATGTGGAAAAACAATATTTTAGACAAATTTTTTTTTATAAAAATTTTCATGGTGATGACTCAAGACCTTGAAAATATCATAAGACATTTTTAAAATTGTTCATAACTTTAAATGCTCATATCTCATTCGGTTCTAAATGAATTTTGATGATCTTTATATGAATTTAAAGCTTATAATTTTTACTTTTACTCCAAAAAATTGGTAAATATTTGAGTAACACATTAAGAGAATATACTCGAACTAAGATATATCGAGTTGATTTTACAAATTTGTTCTTTCATTTGTTATGGATTAAAATCTTTGATATTGATTATGAAATTTATACCATTGACAATTATTTTTCCACTTAACTTATAATGGACAAATCCTCAAGGAAAACCCCGAAACCACACAACACGCACGAATATGTCCATGGAAAAATTGGATATAGTCCATTAGGGGGAATGCATTTCCTTCTAGTTGGCCAACATCTTGATTTTTGTTTAAATTTTCTATTATATTTTTATTTTTGTTTCATGTGGTTATTTTGTGGTAACTCTATTTTTGTGTGTGTGTGCTTACAAGCAACTCAAGGAATTTGCAGGTATAATTGTCATTTGAAAGCAAGATTTGTAAAAGCCTAATGTCTATTTTATATAAAGACTTAATCATTTCAATAGCAAGATCTAAGGAAAAGGGTTGACGTTATGCTAATTTGGGATAACATGAAAAAAGTTATTAGGGTTTTGCAGAGTGTCGTTTTCAAAATGTAAAAAATTTATTGGACAATTATAACTTGCAATGTTGTTTCTTCCATGAATCATAGATGATAAGAATACCATTTAATTTTAAGGACATGTTTTGTCTAAAATAAATTTGAAAACTTTTACATGTGACCATGTAAAGAAAAATTTATGGATCTACCACTGTTCTTAGAGACTAATTTATTTGAATAGTTGGCAGGAGATTCGAGTGGAGGCGAGACAGCGGTCAGGCAAAACTTGGGCTGAGATGAACTAAAAAATCTGAAGCCCAGTCGGCCCATGATTTGGGACCGGACCGACCCATATTCCAGAAACTTAAACCAGTTTGGGCATTTTATTGGCCTACATGGAACCACGTTGACAGTTTCCAATTCATATTTCTCTGATTTCTTATTTAATTTTTTTATAAAAAAATCTGGCTCTTCTTGCGGCACACGCATATAGCATGAGCCAGGAGAGAAAAAAGCCGTGCGTTGCTATGAACTTACCAATATGCCCCTAAAATTTTTAGTCCCTCCTTAGATAATTCCGATCTTTTTTGGTTTTTGACCTTATCTCACTATCACGGCCCGGATCTCCTAACCGGTCAGTACAAGTTTGCGGTGTGAAAGTCATATAACGAAGCAAGACCTGCAATTCTATCCAATAAAAAGCTGCCACGTTTCCGAGCTTACAAATTCTGGGTGCACCGGATTCACGTTCTTTTGCCTATAAAACTAGCGTTTCAGTGCTTAAACAAATCCATATAGCTCCCAGACTCCTCGTCTAATTGTTAAATCTTTCTCATTTTCGCCGACTCAAAGCCCTAATTTTCTACCATGGCTCGCCGATCAGGAGGTTTGTGCTCTCCATTATTTCCTTCAGATCTGTCTCTGTTTCTTATGCTGTAGATCTAATCCACCGTTGAGATATAATTTCAGTTTTCATTTTATTTTTGTTGATTTCTAGGGTTTTAGTTTTGCTGAAAAATTAAGTCTCATGAATCGAAATGAAGCACATGAAAATTAGGTCTCTTTCTTGTAGATAAGTGTATGCATGTTGTTAGGATTCTGTGGGTTTCTAATTACCAAGAGAATAGAGGTTCTAGGGTTTGTCTATATTTTTTTTTAACAAATTATTTTATACGGATTTTCCTTTATTACGAAAGGAAAGGGGTTGTTGTTGCATTTATCCGGGGCTCATTTTTTAATTTTATTTTGGCAGTTGATCAAATCTTTCGTCATTTTTTTTTCTTTCTGTGTTAAATTGATTATTTGAGCGGTCTAAAAAAAATTGGCACGAAAATACTTATGCTGTTATATAATATGTAGATACACATGTTCTTTGTTTAGGTAATGTTCTAGATTTTGTGGAATGAGTACCTGTTGGATGTTTTCTGCAGTGTGCTCTGCCCAGCGCTTATTGCAAGGAAATATCCTTGTGAAGTTGTGAGAAGTAACTAAACATAAGTTTATTAGATTTGCTAATGAAATTTAGAGACTTGTACGTTACCATATTGGCAATCGAGCCTAGATTTATTCTCAACTGTTTGCTTGTAAAGAGACAGTTTTAATGTGCTATAAACACCACTTGTAGGTCGTTCTGCCCGTCCAGCTCCAGCACCTCGTCATGCACCAGCACGCAACCCTCCTCAGACAGGTGCTTATTTAAAACGTTATAGTTGAACTGGATTTTATTGTATTAAGATTTGTTTTTATTAGCTTATGTCATACTGCCCCTCTCACCCCTAATTATGTTATTTTCTTGATGTGATCAGTCAAACAATCTCCTCCTCCGGCTCCAGTTCAGGGTGGAGGTGGTGGTGGAATGCTCTCAGGAATTGGATCAACCATAGTTCAAGGTAGATGAAATTCATCTGGTTGCTTGAAGTGGTGCATGTGCAATCATTCAATTCCGTGTAGGATGTCTGATTTTCCCCTTCTGTTGCAGGTATTGGTTTTGGGACTGGAAGTGCTGTGGCACACAGGGCCGTTGATGCTGTGATGGGTCCTCGCACTATTCAACATGAAACTGTAGTCTCTGAGGCTGCTGCTGGTGCTCCAGCACCCATTTCTAGCAGCATGAGTGGCTCTGATGCCTGCAGTAATCATTCCAAGGCCTTCCAAGATGTATGCAAAACTCTACATCCTTTTCCTTATATTTTCCTGAAAATTTACTGAAGCAAGTAAAGTGTTTGGATCTTTCTTTGCTCTGTTTATTGGGAGTGAGTAGGGGTTAGTAGACAATATCACCTTGTATGTGTTTGAATTTTTGTTTTCTTGTTCTGCTATGAAGCATGTTTTTCGTGATATGGTTAGAAATTGTTTTCAAACTTTTTAAACTTTATGACTTGCTAGAAATTGTTTGTACCCATTTTGAAGATGTTCTGTAATTATTTTTTAATTGTGACCATAATTATTTTGTATTTGTTGTTATGTCTTTGCATAAGTAAGCACAGGATCCCCAATATAGAATTTCTATTCCAAATATCCTGTTTTCCTCCGTTCAAGTGCTTTTAAGAACAGTGCTCTAACTTTTTGCATGGATGTCCTTTTCGGTTGTATGGTGAAATACTTCAAAAGGAGAAGCAATGTAATTCTTTTTCAGAAGATAGAACAACAGTAAATCTTCTTGCATGTTTAAAGACATTAATCCTTTATGGCTTTGGTGAGGTGAAGGTTTGGATAATTGTGTAATGGTGTTCATTTTCATGCAATGGGTTTTCATTTCTAACTAATGGAAAAATGAATTATTTTTGCACAAGGGGTTTCATTTTTGTGTTATTTTATCATGAAACCCTATTGTTTCAAAACATTTTTGTAATGAATTTGGCTAAGAAAATGTTAAACTGAAATGTGGGGGTGGTTTCAGATCTAACTTTTGTTCGTGTTTTCGTTGTAGTGTGTCAACCACTTTGGAAGTGATATCAGCAAGTGCCAGTTCTACATGGATATGCTGTCCGAGTGCAAGAAGAACTCTGCCTCCGGCATGTTGAGTGCCTAAGCATTACCTATTTTTCCATTTGATGAATTGAAAGTGTTAAACTTTGCGCAGTTTATTCTTCTACCCTGTGCCTGTCATGATGGTGAATTAGTGGTGTATTGTGGGGAAAGATTTATATGAATCTTTTATGTGCATGGTAGAACATGCCGCATCACGTAGTTTATCGAACTTGGTACTTGTTTGAAGTATCCATGTTTGTTACCATCTGTTCTGAAATAATGATATTTTGGGGTTATGATGGCTAATGTGGTTATGATTTAATAGAAACCCTCTGGTTTGTGTTGTTTTGCGCTAGATATACTCTGCTGAAATTTGCTATCTTCCAAGTTTTATCTCCTGACTTTTCCAGTTTTCTGGCCTTCTGTGTATCTCCCTCATGGTCTAAATCCTACGGCGGGTTAGGATTTGGAGATTTGGGTCCTTTCTGGTCTCTGGAAAACTGACCAAAACACGGTTCGTGATTTCCTTTTGGCAACTGAGCAACAGGAACATTATCGCTTATCACTACAAGAGTAACTTTGCCAACCTAATTATATTTTAAATATATTATTGGGCACCAAAAGTGTATATACGATCCCCATTTTTGGACACAAATACTCTTCCTCATTGACTGTTTGTTTAGTAGCGTTTATGAGTGCTTTTGAATCTCTACCCACAGGGCATGTGGCAAAGAGCTCAACCAATGGGTTACGTCTACCCAGGGCATGTGGCAAAGAGCTCAATCAATGGGTTACGTCTACCCACAGGGCTTGAGGTAAAGAGCTCAACCGATCGAGTTATATCTCACTAGCTAGAAATAGCCCACCCACAGGGCTTGAGGTAAAGAGCTCAACTGAGCTATACCTCAGAGCTAGAAAATCTTTCTTGGTTGAATAAGATATAAGCATACAATACAACCACAAACAGCCAGTACCTGATTATTTAGAACAAACATGGATTTGTTTCAGACATAGGAATAATACTAAAAGCTGTTTAACAAAAGTAACAGAAGCATGCACGCCCAGTGAGCTGATACTTGCGAGCGCGGCTCACTGCTTCCTCCCATTCCCAATTTTTGGGAGTTTCACTAAAACACCCAAAATGGAGGTTGAAATTATAAAAAAACCCAACACCCAAAACACTTTATAAACACACCCAAAAAGTTGACTTTATGGTTGATTTTGGGTGTGTTTCTATGTTTAAATAGTGCTTGGGTTTTTTTTTATAAATACATGTCTAGGATTGGGTTTATTTATAAATTTGTATTTTTTTTCCCCATTTTGACCCCACATAGAAAAATGATGTGGCAAGGACCCATTGAACCAAGCTTTGGGCCTAAAAATAGAAGTATCCAAGCCCAAAGCGAAAGCAAGGCGTCGGACTTACAAACCCTCTCTTTGCTTTCACGAGCGTCATCGACCATAGGGGCTTGTACGCTGCGCAAAGCACTCACACTAAGGCCCCGTTTGGGATTGCTTTTTTTCGCCAAAAACCTGCTTCACTTTAAAGTTAAGCAGTTTCAGGTGTTTGGTAAAAATAAAATATCTCGATTATTTTAAAAGCAGTGGCATTTTGACAGCAGCTTTTAAAAGCAGACTATAGGTTGCTTTTCAAAGCTGCTTTCAAAAGAAGCAGAGATGAACCTTTAATGAATTTTTTTAATTCCCAAAATACCATCATTCATTTTAAAAAATAACACCACCTCCACTTCTACATCCAACTCCACCACTTACACCACCACATTCACTACCTCCACAACCACCGCCATCGCCACCGCCACCACCACCACCACCACCACAACCACCACCTCCTTCAAAACCTCCACATCCATCACCACCTCCACAACCAACACCACCACCACCACCACCATGCTGCCACCTCCACCACCATGCTGTTACTACCACCACCTCCACTTCTAAAGCTGCCACCACCACCACCTTCTCAACCACCACCAACTCCATCACCAACTCCACCACCACCACCACCACCACCACTACCACCACAACCGCCACCACCACCACCACCTTCACCACCACAACCGCCGCCACCACCACCACCACCACCTCCTTCAAAACCTCCACATCCACCACCACCTCCACAACCGACACCATCACCACCACCATGCTGTCACTACCACCACCTCCACAAGCGTCATCCCTACCACCACCACCTCCACTCCATCACTACCACTACTACCACATGATTAGTACATAACACTTTTAACATCATGTCTATTTTAGTCATTATTCACAGTTACAACAATTTTATATTAAAACTTACCAAACGGTTTTGACACTGCTTTTTGTACTAACAGCACTTTAAAAATATTGTTTACCAAACACGGAGCTGCTTTACTTTACAGCTAATTATTTTCAAAGCACAGCAGAAGCAACTTTTTTTAAAAGTGACAACAATCCCAAACTGGGCCTAAGAAGGACAGCTTTGTTCCCAAATCCACTCGTCCCGTCGATTATTTTATTCAAGATAATCCTGTAGTTGGCTGAAAAGATTTTGTGGTAAACACCAAGAACTTTGGAAAATTATTTTGTTACTTTTTTTTCTTAATTACAAGAACTCTTGAGCATTGATATAGATACATAGCTGAGAATCAAAAAAATTATGAAGGCGAAGAGAATGCATCAGCCGGTAGCTTAAACAACCTTCCATAGGACACTAACTGCTAAGTACTTCCCCAAAACAAAACCAAGACTCGTAGGCCGGCACAATAAGGTACCTTAAAGCAACCAGAAATAATGACCAATCAACATGAATAGATTCAAGCGATTTGTCATTATTTATAAACAGGCGAATTGCAAAAAACATATACTATTTACGAAGGAGAATATGATTTTGTAGAGATTCCGAAAGATAATGCACAGATTCAAACAAATGTTTCTGCCTCTATAGCCTTTGAATATATAGCATGTTCATTTATCAAGAATGAGTGTTGGAAATATGTCAACTCATGCTTCTCATGTGGTATAACACATGAGAATCTAAATTATTCAGTCCTTACTTCCCATGCATAAGGAATAAAAAATTTCTGTGGGTTTCAGGTTAAAACATCTAATTCAATTATCTCAAAATTAGGAATGAGATCAACTAGAGTAGTTGATCAAATTCCAAGTCCTTAATTCCTCTAGTAATATGTTCTTACGCATTCATAGTAAGTAAACATGCACTAACTATAACTCAACAATTGAAAATAATATGAAACTGAATAACCAACCCTTTTTAATTGTAAACGATGGACTACATTGTGCAATACTTTTTAAAATATTGGGCCTCTCCACTCATTGCTAATTGATTTGGATTGGATGCTCACATTCTAATAAAATTGAGGTTTTTAAAAAATAATTAAATTTTCAAATAATTTTTGTGTGTGCGTTGTGTTTTTTTTTACACATTTTAGATGACCAAACAACTTCTGATCTTAATGATTTTTAGTAAAGATGAGCTATAATATGGACTGTTACGGTATATTGTGTGGTGGCCCTAGGATGGATATGTGCATTTATCTTAAAACAAGGACATCCTTAATGTATAAAAATTCTTTAGACCTAGTATGATATGGTTATCCAATTGTTTACCAATGGTTACAATGCGGATTTAGGAATTTTTTAGCGGATGTGCAATTTTCAAAAACTAAAAGCTTTAAAAAAAAATAAAAATACAACCAAGTATCCTTATAATTGATCATACCTTTTTTTATTTTTATATAATCCTTTTGTAATCCTTGTTTAAATAAGAAAGAAAACCATGTTTAAAGCCTTTTTAAAGTCCACAAAATGCAGGCCTAAGAATGTGGTTTAAAGCCCATGAATTGCAGTATAGTTTCCTCCTTTTTATTTTTTTGGCCTGGCCCAAAACGATGTCGTTTTGGGAAGGACTTAAAAAAAAAGTATTAAGTGCGTTGCACAGCAAAGAAACTTTGGCTAAGGCATTTTGTCGAACACCTGAAGTGCACCACCACCAGCCTAAGCAAAGGGGAAAGTTAAAGCACCTACAATGGTTTTTTCTGGTGAGAATAGATGCAGCCGCACCTCTTTGCGCCATAACAGATCTCATTGGTTACAATATTTCTATTTCAAAAATTCTAGGCGAGATTTTGATTATTTCATATTAAAATAAAAAAAATGAAATATAG